AGCAACAACCACAGGTGAATTTTTTTGCAAAGTTTTCTATGTTTAACTCATGTATAGCACAGGTATAGTAAGGTTTAGTAATAAAATAATTGAACTCGGTTATGTGACTGAGAATTTAGCTATAGCTAGGTGCTGATGAGAAAGAGAGTTAAGATTAAAACGAAAAATATTAAATATAAAAGAATTGCTTTTTTGGAATGTGGTTACAGTTATTTAATGAGTAAGTAGAATTATATTATATAGCTATCTGCCATTTTTTGAGCTCAGCAAAATGTACCTAGCTTTTTTTTGTTTGGAACTGTGCGTCACTTTTTTCAAATAATACTATGGATGTAATTGTTTTTAATTCTTATTGGTTAGTAAAATTACAGTTTCTAGGAAATTCTAGTTTTAATTCCTTCATACCATTGAACAATTAGTTACTTGAGTTCAATTGTTTTTATTGAGCAACGAGAGATTAAATTAAAATACCTTGGTCTGCACCCTTGGACTTTTACTAAACTTCCCTTAGTTTGTGGAAATTTAAACATTAATATCCTCAAAAGTATGCATCACTTATAAATTGTGTCATAACATACCTTTCTTTGGTTTTTTAAAACTTTGCGAAAGTATATTTTTGTACGTATTTTTCTGTCTATATAATTTTTTATTCATAAAATTAAACTTTTAAAACTCTTTTACAGCTGGACAGTCTGGACTGACAACCATCAATGGACATACCTGCCACTTTCCGTTTACATATAAAGGCGTGACATATACAAGCTGTACAAGTGTTGACGGTTCTGGATGGTACTGGTGTGCAACTGCTATTTTACTAAACGGTGATGGTGCTGCTCGTATAGTAAATTGGGATTATTGTGTTGTCAAACAAGGTAAAAATGTTTTTACTTTGCGTTTGAAAAGCTAATAAAAGAACCCCACTTTCAACACTAGTGTGGTCATGCAAATGTACATTTGACTCTATCGAAATTTTTGTGTGAAATGTCTTTTATTATGATGTTAGAAAATTTGTAGTACTCTTTGTTGTACTAATTTGATGATGGGTGTCATGTGTATATTACAGGAAAAAGAAAGCATTTTAACTAATATATTTTAGCTTTTCTATCAACACTATAAATGCTTTAAATCAATACGTTACGATCTCAAATATCTTAAAGTAATGATGTCATATTTTTGCATCCACACACATAATATGAAAGTTGATTTAATAATTTTTTGAGCACAGGCTGGAAATCAATGCAATAGATTAGTTAATGATGCCATTAAAGACAATAACTCAAAAATGCTTGGAAAAAGTATGGTAGACATTGGTTTATTTCATCCTCATTTGTGCAAGACAAAAAAATCAGAGGATTTCCGCAAAGCATGCAGGGAAACCTGGAGATCTATAGCTGGGGAGGGTTTGATTTTCAAAAATCCATGTTTTAAACTTTCTTTGAAAATCAATTGTGATTTTAGATTATATACAACATAAGTTTATGATTAAGCTCTACACGCCACATTGATCATAGTCCAGTATGAAACAGAATAACCATCTGTGATTTAAATGCAAGGAAAATGAACAAGTTGAGTCTTAGAATAAAAAGACAAAGTAAAAAAACGATATGCAGCAGATCGAGTACTCCTAGAAATTTTAAAATGTTATGCAAAGCATGATCAATTTAAACTTTCACTGAATTCAAAATATTCTCTAACATCTTTAACAGAGAACCGACCAAGCATATTTCAAGATTTACTGTTTGATATCATCAAAAGCATTCCCAAATCCTCGCTTTATCATAATTGGAAAAACTTAAAATTGCTGAATGTGACAAAACTCGAGAAAGATTTTTTTTTACTTATTAGTTTTTATTTCACTTTTCTTTCTAAAATTATCAGCTTCCATGGAGATTTCCATGACCAGAAATGAAGAAAATTTCCATTTTAGGTAGAGGTAATAAGTATTTTTAATTATAAAATAATGTATGGTGTTTTATTTTCTTTTATATAGCTTCAACAACAGCAACAACTACAGGTGAATTTTTTTGCAAAGTTTCCGACGTTTAAGTCATGTATGGCACATGTATAGTAAGATTTAGTAACAAAATAATTGAACTCGGTTATGTGACTGGGAATATAGCTATAGCTAGGTCCTGATGGGAAAGAGAATTAAGATTAGAACGAAAAATACCAAATACAAAAGAATTGCTTTTTTGGAATGTGGTTACATTTATGTAATGAGTAAGTAGAATTATATTATATAGCTATCTGTCATTTTTTGAGTTCAGCAAAATGGAGCTAGCTTTTTCTGTTTGGAACTGTGCATACTATGGATGTAAATGCTTTTAATTCTGACTGGTTAAAAAATTCTAGGAAATTCTAGTTTAAATTGCGTCATACCATTGAACAATTAGTTACTTGAGTTCGATTGGCCTTATTGAGCCTCGAGTGGTTAAATTAAAATACCTTGGTCTGTATCCTCGGATTTTTACTAAACTTCCCTCAGTTTGTGGAAATTTAAACATTAATATCCTCAAAAGTATGCATCACTTATAAAATGTGTCATAACATACCTTTCTTTGGTTTTTTAAAACTTTTCAAAAGTATATGTTTTGTACTTATCTGTCCGTCTGTATACTTTTTTTGCTGCATAAAATTAAACTTTTAAAACTCTTTTACAGCTGGACAGTCCGGATTGACAACCACCAATGGACATACCTGTCACTTTCCGTTTACATATAAAGGCGTAACTTACACAAGATGTACAAGTGTTGATGGTTCTGGATGGTACTGGTGTGCAACTGCTGTTGTAAAAAACGGTGATGGTGCTGCTCGTATAGTAAATTGGGATTATTGTGTTGTCAAAGAAGGTAAAAATGCTTTTTACTTTGCTTTAGAAAAGCAAATAAGAGAACCTCGCTTTTAACATTAGTGTGGTCATGCAAATGTAAATTTGACTCCATCGAAATTTTTGTGGGAAATGTCTTTTTTCATGATGTTGGAAAACTTGTAGTTCTCTTTCTTGTACTAATTTGATGAAAAAGTTTCCATTTTGGTAGAAAATTTTCCATTTTACATAAACATAATAAGTATTTTTAATTATAAAATAATATATATTGTTTTATTTCTTTTATATAGATCCAACAACAGTAACAGTCACAGGTGAATTTTGGGGGAAAATTTTCGATTTTACATTAAATTAATAAGTATTTTTACTTATAAGATAATCTGTGATGTTTTATTTTCTTTTATATAGATTCAACTATAGCAACCACCACAGGTGAATTTCTGGGGAAAATTTTCCATTTTACATAAAAATAATAAGTATTTTTGATTATAAGATAAGGTATATAGTCTTATTTTCTTTTATATAGATCCAACTTCAGCAACAGCCGCAGGTTAATTTTGGGGTGGAAAATTTTCGATTTTACATAAAATTAATAAGTATTTTTACTTATAAGGTAATTCTGTGACGTTTTATTTATTTTTATATAGATTCAACTATAGCAAAAACCACAGGTTAAATTTTGAGGAAAAATTTTCCATTTTACATAAAAGTAGGTAATAAGTATTTTGATTATAAGATAATGTATATTGTTTTATTTTCTTTGATATAGATTCAGCTACAGCAACAGCCATAGGTGAATTTTTTTAGGAAAATTTTTCATTTTACATAAAATTAGGTAATAAGTATTTTGATTATAAGATAATGTATATTGTTTTATTTTCTTTTACATAGATTCAGCTACAGCAACAGCCATAGGTGAATTATTTTAGGAAAATTTTTCATTTTACATAAAATTAATGAGTATTTTGGATTATAAGATAGTGTATGTTGTTTTATTTTCTTTTATATAGATTCAACTACAGCAACAGGCATAGGTGATATTTTGGGGAAAATTTTTAATTTTACATAAAATTAATATGTATTTTTGATTAAATGATAATGTATGTTGTTTTATTTTCTTTTATATAGATTCAACTACAGCAACAGGCATAGGTGAATTTTGGGGGAAATTTTTAATTTTACATAAAATTAATAAGATTTTATATTATAAGATAATGTATGTTGTTTTATTTTTTCTTATATAGATCCAACTACAGCAACAGCCACAGGTGAATTTTTGGGTGAAAGTTTACGATTTTACATAATATTAATAAGTATTTTCAATTATAAAATAATGGGATGGTACTTTATTTTCTTTTATATAGCTTCAACTGCAGCAACACCCACAGGTGAATTTTTTAGGAAATTTTCCATTTAATATAAAACTAATAAATATTTTTAATTATAAAATAATGTATGGTACTTTATTTTCTTTTATATAGCTTCAACTACAGCAACAACCACAGGTAAAGTTTATGTCCCATATATACAGTATTTAAGTTGAAAATAATTAAATTCTTTATTGAGTTTGTATATTTTTAATTAATTAAGTTCAAATCGATTATGTGATTGGAAACAAAGATAGCTCGGCTCCGTTGGAAAATAAAGGGTTAAAATGAACACAAAAAATGCCGCATAATAAAAGAGTTTGTTTTTTTGGAATGTGGTTACAGTTATTTAATATTTAATAAATGTAATAAAAACATGCACCGGCCATTTATCGAGTTCAGCAAAAAGTAAATTTTTCTGTTTGCAACTTTATATTAGTTTTCTTTAATAATACTATGGATACAAATGTTTTTAATTATGATTGGTTAATAATAATAAAATTTCTAAGAAATTCCAGTTTTAATTCCCTTATACAATTAAACAATTACTAATGGTCTTCGTGTTTAAATGGCCTTATTAGGCCACGAGAGGTTTAATCAAAATATCTTGGTTTCGCCCTCCAACTTTTACAAAATGTCCCTCATTTTGTGGGACATTTTAACACTAATATCGCTAGAATCATGCGTTCACTTATAAAAAATTGTCATTATTAAGTCATTACACACTTTTCTTTGTTTTTCAATCATTGCGGAAGTATGTTTTTAGATGTAAACTTTTAAAACTCTTTTACAGTTAGACAGTCTGGACTGAAAACCGTCCATGGACGTACCTGTCACTTTCCGTTTAAATATAAAGGCGTGACATATACATCCTGTACTGATGTTGACAGTCCTGGATGGTACTGGTGTATAACTGCTGTTGGTTCTTTAAATTGGGATTATTGTCTTGTCAAACAAGGTAAAAATATTTTTTATTTTGCTTTGGGTGTGTTGTGCATATTAGAGGAAAAAGATAGAATTTTAAATAATGTACTTCAGTATTTTTATCAACACTACATTGCTATATATTAAAGTATTACGATCTCAAACATCTTATAATAATGATGTCATATTTTTAGCATCCACCCACACAATATATATAATTTGATCTAATGATTTTTGCGATATCATTAAAGACAATGACAAAGAGAATGCTTTTAAAAGGCTTTGAAGACATCGGTGGATTTTTATCAATATTTGCGAAGGACAGAAAAATCAAAAGATTTCAGCAAAGCAGGAAAACCTGGAGATCTATAGTTGGGGGGAGGGTGTGATTTTCACATATACACGTTTTTAAGTTTCTATTAAAATCAATTGTGATTAGGGATAAGATACAACATGAGTTTATGATCGAGCTCTCCCCGCCACATTGATCATAGTCCAGTATGAAACAGAATATCCACCTGTGATTTAAATGCAAGGGAAAAGAACAAGTTGAGTCTCAGAATAAAATTTCAAAGTAAAAAAACGATATGCAGCATATCGAGTACTCCTAAAAATTTTAAAATGTTATGCAAAGCATGATCAATTTAAACTCTAACGGAATTCAAAATATTCTGTAACACATTTAACAGAGTACCGAACATGCATATTTCATTATTTATTGTTTGATATCATCAAAAGCATTCCCAAATCCCACTTTATCAATATCGAAAAAAGTTAAAATTGCTGAATGTATGTTGTTTTACTTTCTTTTATATAGATTCAGCTACAGCAACAACCACAGGTGAATTTAGGGGGAATATTTCCATTTTACATAAATTTAATAAGTATTTTTGTTTATAAAATAATGTATATTGTTTTATTTTCTTTTATATTGATTCAGCTACAGCAACAACCATAGGTGAATTTTTTGGAAAAATTTTTCATTTTACATAAAATTAATAAGTATTTCTGATTATAAGATAATGTATGTTGTTTTATTTTTTCTTATATAGATCCAACTACAGAAACAGTCACAGGTGAATTTTTGGGTGAAAGTTTGCGATTTTACATAATATTAATGAGTATTTTCAATTATAAGATAATGTATGGTGTTTTATTTTCTTTTATACAGCTTCAACTACAGCAACAATCACAGGTGAATTTTTTTGAAAAGTTTTCTATGTTTAAGTCATGTATTGCTTGTACATGGTAACATTTAGTAACAAAATAATTGAACTCGGTTATGTGACTAAGAATGTAGCTATAGCTAGGTCTTAATGGGAAAGAGAGTTAAGATTAAAACGGAAAATACCAAATATAAAAGAATTGCTTTTTTGCAATGTCGTTACTGTTATTTAATGAGTAAGTAGACTTATAGCATATAGCTATCTGTCGTTTTTTGAGTTCAGCAAAATGTAGCTAGTTTTTTCTGTTCGCAACTGTGCGTTACTCTTTTTTAATAATACTGTGGATGTAAATGATTTTTATTCTGACTGGTTAAAAAAGTTACAGTTTCTAGGAAATTCTAGTTTAAATCCCTCATACCTTTGAACAATTAGTTGCTTGAGCCCAATTGGCCTTATTGAGCCTTGAGAGGTTAAATTAAAATACCTTGGTCTGCACCCTCGGACTTTTACTAAACTTCCCTTAGTTTGTGGGACATTTAAACACTAATATCCTCAAAAGTATGCATCACTTATAAATTGTGTCATAACATACCTTTCTTTGGTTTTTTAAAACTTTGCGAAAGTATATGTTTTGTACGTAACTATTTGTCTATATACTTTTTGCTGCATAAAATTAAGATTTTTAAAATCTTTTACAGCTGGACATTCTAGACTGACTACCATGAATGGACATACCTGTCACTTTCCGTTTACATATAAAGACGTGAGGTATACATCCTGTACTGATGTTGACGGATCTGGATGGTACTGGTGTGCAACTGCTGTTGTACCAAACGGTGATGGTGCTGCTCGTATAGTAAGTTGGGATTATTGTCACTAATATCGTTATTCATTGCAAAAAATGTTTATGGTAATTACTTATTTAACTATCTGATGGATTTTCAAAATTTAGCTGTAGCTGTTAATATAAGTACAATGCAGTCTTTCAGTACACAGTAGTAGAATTTCATTTTTGTAAAACGGTTATCAAGTAAATAAATGAACATAATGTTGAAATAACTTTGAAAATGCATTCTACAGCATCTTATTTTTGTGTGTGAAGAAGTAGTGATGACAGAGCTGGCCTGAATTTTTATTCTCTGTTACAATGCAAAATTTGCAGCTGAAATAGGGCACGTTTTTTAAAAAGTTAATCCTGTTTGCTGTTTTTTCACATTAGACACACGATTTGTTGTACTTAGGAAAATTTGAGTACGACCTGCCTGCCTGAAATTCAAACTAATACTTGGCAAATACAAGATCACTTTCTTGACTACTAAGCAACTCCAACTACACGTGCAGTAGTTATGCACGGTCAACTATGGATGAAGCGGCTCAAAAAATTCTGTCTCCTTTTTTGTCTCTATGGTGTCGACCCCTTACTAGTAATAGTCCAGTCTTATATCGACGAATTTGAATATTTACAAAATCATTTAGTAAAAAAATTTGACAAGATTCGTACCACAAATATTTGCTAACAAATAACGAAGTCGCTGAAAACAGAGCCACTCCTATTTTACGTGCATTTGAATAAAGAAGTTTATATTTTATCAAAAAGCAATTGCTTAAAAAGTTACATGATTATATTGACCACGTGGTTACAAGACTACATTAATTATGACATGGTTAATTAATTATATGATTACATTAACGACTTTTACAAATGCAGTTCATGTTTTGTCTTAGGAATCATCCACCTAATCAAATATCGCACATGTCGTCTTTTTTTGAAAAAATGACATTTCTTCATGACTACTTACAACACAGGCTTGAAGACATAATTTAAAATCATCATCTTTTTTGTTCAAATGTTATGCACAGATAAATTACTTGCATTGTATATAAGACATTCCGGTACAACTCTTGTCCTACTTTGCTCACGGAGCTATCTGCAGCTATCTATCATTCTGGAGTCTACAATTTTGCTTGTCTTTTCGTCTACCAGACACAATGGTAAAAAAACTTTATATAGAGTACCTCTATCTAAAATCTTGCTTTTATTTACAATACTGTTCATAAATATGATGGTTTTATTGTTTGGGAGAATTTCACATCAGCTGGTGCATATATAAATGTGCAAAATTAAAACAACACCAGCCAAAATAAGACAAGAGGTCTGCAGTCTCCAAAAGTTACGTATGTTTTTGGATCTTTCTAAACCAAAATTTTCGTTACAAATCATTAAATTTTTATTCATTTCATTTCATGACATAATTACATCGAAATTGACGAGGTAGCTAACTGTAAACTTGAAATCAAAGTAGAGGGGTTTCAATCAACTTTACAATGGAAAATATCCTGCCATACACGAGTAGGATGTAACAATTTAGCTCACGCAATGCGACAAAAATGAAATGCAGTATAACAAGGCAAAATAGTTTTAATATTGACGAGAGATACTTAGTCGAAATTTTCCTTATAAGGAATATTTAGGACTAAATATCTCTTATCCCTAGTGAGACGGGTAAGGGAACTTTGTTTGTGCTATGCCTTGTCAATAAAATTCCTTAGAGTACTCTTCTCACAATGCTCCATCTGTATATGTAAAGTTTGCAGAGAAAACATTGAATCTTCTTGTAAATCTCTCGTGGTGATTGCTTCTTCTTCACTTTCGAAATCAGATTTCTCGTCCTAAAGGAAAGACGCAGGTAGTCATTTTTATATATCTTTAGCTAAGCTACATCATCAACAGTTCCCACTGCTTTATACCACGTGAACCAACGAGCTTTCAAACTGTATATGCGATTCATCGATATTTCTTTTCAACATATCTTCAGTAGACTCTGTATTATTAATGGATTGTTTTTGTATTGGAGCCTCGTCCTCACTAGAGCTTTTATAGACGTCAACATGCTTGGAATCATTTGTAATTTTATTGGTCAACGAGTCTCCATTCAAAACTCTCGAGCGTACAATTGGTGCTTGAACTACGTTTAATTTTATCAAGCTATCTTCAACCTGGCGTCGTTGTTTCTTTTCCGTCACGCTTGATTTTGTTTCACTGTCGGAAGTTTCATTTTCAAGAATTTCTTCTACCTCAATCCACGAATTATAACATCTGTTATAAATATTAGAGCATTGTTTATGCACAAAATATACAGATACAATGTTCCATAACTGAAAAAGAAAAACATCTCTAACATTGTCACAGACATTACGAGTGACGTAACAAAGTGCTGATGAATTTGATATGCATTCGTCAAAGCAAGCTTAAGAAGACAAAAGGCATGCCAATAATAAATTATTAAAAATTTGCTAAGCGCATATACAAGCACAAATTAATTAAGAACGACCAACTGTACGTACTAGTATCGATTATGGAATAAATAGCTCGTTCAGACATAAATTTTCAGAAAAATTATTTGCGCGTGCGCAGTCGGCTTAAGCATGCGCAGTCAAATTGATTAGCTGTCCAAGTTCATGGTCATGGGAACGACCAATTGCACCTAGTAGAACCGATTTTAAAGTAAATAGCATGCTTAGTAAGAATTTAATAGAGAAATCATCTGCGCGTGCGCTGTAGCATGCACAGTCCACTCAACTAATTGTTCATAGTCATGGCAAAGACTAACTATATGTACTAGCAATACAATTGTGGCAACTAGCTCACTTAGTCGCAAATTATTAAAGAAATCATCTGGGCATGCGCAGTAGTAACTTGAATAATACCACAACTTTCGTAAGCTTTGAATTTATGTATATATATATAAACCTAAAACTTCATGTAGTAGATGTCAACTAGCAGTGGAAGCTGGGTGCGATGTAGTATGCAGTGGCTTAGGGGCCCACACTTCGGTGGCGACCGCACTCTCCCTAAGATGCTGCCCTTTCTATTCTGTTCTGTCTTGCAAACTCCCTACACTCCTCATATGTAATTTAACAGCCTGGATATATGCTTATAATTCAAAGCCTCATATGAAGTTGAAAAATTCTATCATTTAATCTGAAGATTCTTAAGTTAAAAATGAAACGTATTTATTAAAAAATGTTGTGATGGCTTTTTAAAAGTCTTATGATGGGCTTTTATTTTCGTATTGAAAATTTGCTTTCCGCCTGGCAAATCTAGTGTCCACGATTTTGAATAGATTTACTGGAGTTGTCACCGTATTCATACGCTAACTGCACAGCACAGATGAACATCGATTTGCATGGGCAAAATAAGAGCGAGATAACTAAAGCAAACACTTTGTTTAGCTTATGAGATCTATCTATATTTAAATCATGTCTTCGATAGTGCTTAAAAAGGTTATAAAAATTCCGAGGTTTCCATATAAAAACAAAATTATTGTGCTAGGAAGATTTAAATGTTATCGCTACAGATGACTAAACGTGACTTGCGTTTGTCTTTCATAGAGTTAGATAATGCTATCTTTCATGCACAGGTGAAAAAACGTGTTACAATTTCAAAACTTGTTGATCAGTTCGTATATAATACAGTTATTTCGAAGAAACCTAGTCTTAACCTAAGCGTAGTTAATGCAACTTAATAAGTATCAAAATTTTTCACTTTTCCATCTAAGAGAAGTTTGTGAAAAAGAATGAAATATTGAGAGGCTTTATTAGAGATGATAGAAGTGGCGTTCCTATAGTTTCGGCTAGCTATATTCTTTGTCGTGCTAACAATGTTGTTGAATCTGTCGGAAAATTGAATGAATGCACATAAAAATATGTTCCATAAGTAACATGCAAAGCAAAGCAGTTTTAAAGTCCAGTTTCACAGTCTTATTATTTATGTATTGCTTTAAAGACAGTTAAATTCTCATAAAGACGCATATAGGCGTTTATGCAGTAAATATGCAAGATATTTTACAAAACATTTGCTCACATAGTCAAATCATGTGTTGAATCCTGACGCGTTTCGTGAACTGGCGAAAGAAAATCTTAAAAGTTGACAGAAAAACAGAATAAATAAATTTAGACAATGCTTGAAGACGAATGCTTGAATTCAAGCAAAGGAATTTAACGAATGTTCGTTTAAAAGTGTTTGATAACATTGCTCAATATTGCAAGAAAGAGATCTTTGAAAATCAATATCGTGCAGAACGGGAATGTCTTTTTTAAACATCTGTACGTGATGGTATTTTTGCCGGTAGAGTATCTGTCGATATTTAACACCACATCATCGAAAAACAAAGTATAATACTAGAACTTACTATCGCATGGGAAGTGCTGCTCTGGTCCCCTTTTCACCAATAGGGGGAGTGCTCTGAAGAAACGAAGTCATCGCGGCAAGCTCGAGCGAGCATAAGTATGTCCTCTTCCTGTGCTTAACTTGCAATGACTATAGAGATGTTCTCGCAAATTTAACATTAATATCATTTGCTTTTTTTGAATGAAGACTATTTTCATTAGATAAATACTATATACCTTCATTTGTCGCCCAAGCGCTTTTTAAAGAGTAAGATCATCGCTCACATATAAATCAAACAAAGTTTACTTTGTATCCCAATTTGATGGAGAAGTTTTTCTCACTGTTTTATTACTTATACTTTGCTTTTATGACACGCAGTTACAATTTCATAGACGAATGAGAGTTAACAAAAGGTTTGCAAAAATCCATACAAAAATGCTTCTTCTTACTACGGTCTTTAGGCGTCGCATAGTTTGGTAAAAAAAAATGGAGAAAATATAATCTAAACTATCTTATTGTGATTATTCAATATTGCACGAAAGAGGCAAAAGGATTTCAATTAAATGTGTTTAATTGCTATCGTGCTGGGCTGGAATGACGTATTTAGCATCTGCACGTGATGGTATTATTCATATTTCTGACGCTATTTTATCCATGGATTTTATGGTCCTCGCCATTGATGACATCTGCAAAACAACGTATAATCATTTACACAACAAGCCTATACATTGTAGTCATTTTGGGCAAATTTCATTCATTAATTGATCGACAGCTTGTACACCACTCAAAATGTGCCTGAGGGGAGGTCATAGTTCAACATTTGATGATGACGTCAACATCGAAATGACGTTGGTTTTCTGTCAGGAAACAGCTGCATAAGCAATGTAGGAGGGGAAAGACTTAACACATTTATTGTTTCGTCGGGGAGTAAAGGCAGCGCGAAAAAAGTTCCCATCACCAGAAGTAAGACATTTTATTTTTATATTGGCTTGTTTATTCCATTTTTTGGGAGACGGGTGAACTTTAAGGAGTTTTCATGTGCATGAGTAAAATAATTCATACGTAGCGTGTCTTGATAAAGTTGCCAACATATAATTTGCAAAAAGCTACGGCCAGTTAGCATACATTGTCTGCGCCGTACTAGTTGCTCTGCCAAATCGTACTTTAAGATAAATTAGAATAATGAACTGCATCACATTTTATTACTATGTAATAATCTGTTCAATTTAGCTATTGTATTGAATTACGTGCAAACCAAAAGCCATACGATTGTGATAGATTGTGGTAAACTATTTACAGAACCTGCTGCTGTAGCTAAATTACAGATTCCGAGGATGAACCTTTCAATTTCTTTTACAACTCTTGAGGAATCGATAGCTGCTTCATCAAGCAAATGTTATGCTATAAATTTTATGCTATAAATGTTGTACAGTTATTCACTCAAGTATATTAATTGAATTTTTTGCTAACTTATTAAAGGTTGATTCCTATTAAAATCACAAAGGCTTGAATGAAACCAAAAGTGTAAATTAGATTCAAGGATTACAACACAAACTTAATCCATATTTATTGTGCACAATAAATATTTCATGGCTCAATAATTTTGACTTGCATGATATTATTGATCTAGCTTATGCAGTTTAAAGCCCGCCGCACACTGGTAAACTTGCCGCGCGTACTTGTTATTCGTGACAAGTGTGATCGACAAAATTTTTTATTGTGCGCGGAAGTTTTGAATAACATTTGTCATTCGTGACAGATGAGTCAAATATCAAGTTTTTGTCGATCACACCTGTCAAGAATAACAAGTACGCGCGGCAAGTTTACCAGTGTGAGGCGGGCTTAATATTAAGGACTGATCTTTAATGAACTTATGTCATCTTTGTTTTCGACAACTTAAGAGACATGACGTCCTTTCTTACGGAAAAACGTTATCTTTTCCTAATAGGCTTGGCATGTGTGTGCCAACAAACCTTCTTAACAAATATTTGTTGATTGATATATAACTGTTGCTGCAGTGAAAATATTTTTACATAGAAGTGATGGTCTTGAACTCACTTCTTTAACTACCTTTTGTTCTCATTTTGCTGATCGCAGGTTGATCCTAAAAGAAAATACTAAACATTATTTTGTGCAAGAATTTCATACATTGTTTAAACATTATTTTTCTGGAAAATATCTGTAATCTTACTCTTTACCCTATCTGAGTAATCAGCGAGAGCTTTAGCTTGGATAAATTTTGTATGCAAACAGAGATTTATAACCTTTGTATTTACTACCTAAAAATGTTTCTTAATACATTAGACAGTGTTTTCAGCATGATAGTTCGCTTATAATTTTTAAATACTGTGTTGAACTAAATGTTTTTACGTTTCAGTTGACTTTGGTAAATTTTTTTGGAAACGATGACATTTAACTTGGCATTACTTTTCACCCTACTTGTAAGTATGATAAGATTCCTCGGCATATTTCTTAAAGTTATTAATTATGGAATTAAATTCAGTAATGAACATGGTATCTTATATTGTGTCATAAATTATTGGACAACTAGTTTTGAGTGAATTTATTGCCTGGTTGAAGTGATCACAAAAACGTATTTTTATACAAAATATCAAAGAAGAAAATGTACGAAGCGACATACAATACCCGTATTTATTATGCAAATTACAAACTGGTGCGATGATTTCGGCCACCTGGGTTTGTATGACAAAAATTATTATTTAGAGTTATGCTCCATAAAATCGATAATAACTTTTCCGAATTCGAATGGCGATTGCGGAATGACTGAATATATGTGATATACTATTGATGGCTGTGCTGTACTTAGAAATTAACCTGATTATGTAGCTTCGTCAGACAAGAAATAGTTTCAATACTTACAATAGGAAACAGCATAAAGACTATACAAAGGTTGATGAGAGACGTTTGATGGACCTTCCATGTTTAAGTTAAATCGATCAACATGCAGAGTCCTACGTGCTTACAGCTCACTTCACAAACTGCAACAAACCTTTAGGAGACGTAGAACAACACAGCAACAAGAAAGAAAATAATCTGCAGTTTTTCTCCAAAATAGTTTTAACAAACATGTAACGATACTCCCGGGTTCAAACCGTTTATTTATAGTTTTAAAGGGCTACATCAACCTCTTCAATCGCCCAACACGGCAGTTCGTGAGAAAACCTTTCGTTGATTTTGGAACAAGCCTTAATGGACATACCTTTGACGTCTAATGCTAGTTATTGATTTATGAAAATTTAGTACATTTGAAACTATTGAGACTATCGATGTGCTTATTGATTTCAACCTAACATGAATGAAACCTGTTTTTAGATTAAATTATCTCTCTTAACTGGAGAAGTGAAATGTATGAGAATTAAACGTTCTACAGTAAGTTTATTATATTGTGGAGATTTTTATGAAAATATCCCATGATGCATGATATGAATGCACGTGCCCTAGCATGTTATACGGTACTAGTTTATTTATTTATTTGTTTACTTATTCATATAATCACGAGTTATTTGTTTATTTATTTACTAGTTTATTATTTATATATTTCTTTATTAAATAGTTTGCTACTACTACAATATCCGAGAAAATGTACGACTATAAGAGCATAAAAAAGGGTGGTGGGGTCATTAGCACCATAAACTTTTTTTATTTGGTGCTTAGCCATCCTCACTCCCCCCCCCAAAAATTTATCTTATACTTACTGAAATTACATTGGAACACGTTGTTTACAATGAACACCATCAATCTTTTTGATTATTAGTTAAATTAGTCGTTTTGTGTAAGATATTGATTGCAATAAACTTGCTTGTTTTTATTTAAGTTTTTCTTATGTGGTATAGAATTCATTCTATACGTTTTTCTATTTTCCATCAGACAAACGTTCAGTTTGAAGCACTAACTGCCAATGGACACACCTGTTATGCGTTTACATATCAAGGCGTGACATATTCAGCGGGTACCTGTACAGATGTTGATGGTTATGGACAATACTGGTGTGCAATTACAAATGTACCAAATGGTGTTTATATTGGGGCCGCTGGTCAGGGAAATTGGGATTATTGCGTTGTCAAAAAAGGTAAAAAATTGTTATTTTGCGTTGTGAAATCACAGTAAAGAGCCCACTTTTGACATTAGTCTTGGTCATGGAAATGTACATATTATTTCATCAAAATTTTTGTGTGAAATGTGTTTTGTTATGATATTGGAAAATTTGTAGAGCCCTTTGTTGCAATAATTTCATGATGAATGTGTTGTGTATATTAGTATTTTCAATTATAAAAAATGTATGGTGTTTTATTTTCTATTATATAGCTTCAACTACAGCAACAACCACAGGTGAATTTTTTGAAAAGTTTTTATGTTTAAGTTGTGTATGGCACATGTATAGTAAGGTTTGGTAACAAAATAATTGAACTTAGTTATGTGACTGGGAATATAGCTATAGCTAGGTCCTGATAGAAAAAGAGAGTTAAGATTAAAACGAAAAATGCCCAAATGTGAAAGAGTTCCTTTTTTGAAATGTGGTTACTGTTATTTAAAGAATAAGTACAATCATAACATATAGCTATCTGCTTTTTTTTGAGTTCAGCAAGATGTAGCTGGGTTTTTTCTGTTTCGAACTATGTGTTAGTTTTATAAATGATACTTTGGATTTAAATGTTTTTAATTATGATTGGTTAAAAAAAATACAATTTTATAAAATTCCAGTCTTATTCCCTATTACTATTGAACAATTAGCTACTTAATGGCTTTCGTGTTCAAATTGCCTATTGAGCCACAAGAGGTTCAATTAAACTACCTTGGTCTGCACCCGCGGACTTTTGCTAAACTTCCCTTAGTTTGTGGGAAATTTAAACCCTAATATCCTCAAAAGTATGCATCACTTATAAATTGCGTCATAACATACCTTTCTTTTGTTTTTTTAAAACTTTGCGAAAGTGTATTATGTACGTAACTGTCTGTCTATATAATTTTTGCTGCATAAAATTAAACTTTTAAAACTCTTTTACAGCTGCCCAGTCTGGACTGACAACCATCAATGGACATACCTGTCACATTCCATTTCTATATCAAGGCGTGACGTATACACGCTGTACAAGTGTTGACGGTAATGGACAATACTGGTGTGCAACTGCTGATGTACCAAATGGTGTTTATGTTGGTGCGGCTGGTCTGGGAAACTGGGATTGGTGTCAATAATACTGTTATTCATTGCAAAAAATGTCTATGGTCATTACTTTTTAAACTATCTGATGGATTTTTAAAATTTAGCTGCAGCTGTTAATATAAGTACAGTGCAGTCTTTCAGCACACAGTAGTAGTAATTGATTTTTGTAAAACGGTTAACAAGTAAATAAATGAACATAATGTTGAAGTAACTTGGAAAATGCCTTTTACAGCACCTTAATTTTTTGTGTGTGAAGAAATAGAGGAAAAGTGAAATTTTAGTAGGGGAAATGTGCATACACAGAGTGACAGCATTGTCTGATTTGAATCACTTGAGTATTATATTTTTTATTCAATATCGGTTGTCTCTAAATGCAGTTCCGTGAGTGGAAGATGAGGTGCAGACAGGGGGGGGGGGCGTGCGGCCAGTTTTTCGTCGAAACAATTAGAGTTGTTCAGGTCCGCAAATGATCCCAATCATTGAGAGCCTAACCATCCCCAACTACACCTTACCATACCGAATCAAGTTCAGTGAAAACTGTAGCATGTGATATGTGATACTCGTTTCCAATCTGCGCACGCCGTTCCTATGATATTAGAGTGATTTAGCAAACACGACGTTTCGTCTAAGACGTCGTCAAATTTTCGCGAGGGATCTGGGTCTAGGACGCCACCACATCGTAAAGTATTTATGATTTAGCAAACCTTTTGTAGGACTTCGTCAAATGATAGTATGAAACAAGTTTCATCCATTTCGGCATTTTTCCTGCTGGATCGTGTTTTCCGATAATTTTAAACTAATTCTTTGATACCAAAATTTACCGCAGTATATTCATTTCAATAAAATTATGAATAAAAGCAAAATTATCGACATACGGCTTTGTGACTAAAATTCTTTTGACTCCGAGGAAACCCCCGAAATTAGAGCAGACTTCGGATTGTTTATTTATTTGGTTTTTTTCGTTTTAGGAAACAAAAAATTCGCAATTTTTTCTGACTCACACTCAAATGAAATGGCAATAAAAATGTGAACTCAAAGTTTACCTTCATGTAATTATTGTCGAAAAAGATGAAAGTATAACATTAAATATTATCAATTTTAATCGCTTCGCATACTTGGGTGCAATGTCTATGCATTTCGTTTAGTCTTACAATCATTAAAAACAAAGCTGCCTGGGTCTTCCACGTGGGCGTCCGCCATCCGCGTCCGTTTTCCCCGTCCGCCGTCCGTCATCCTCTTCCGTGTCCGCCGTCCGCCTTCCGAGCCCGCTTTTTATCTACACCCTTGAATACTGCGTAATCGTGTATCGTAATAGACGCATGAAAGGCCACGTTATTATTATCATTCTTTTTCTCAGAATTCAAAGTGTAATTTATAAGGTAACTTTGAAATCGAATGGCCTGCAGCTTAATGGACGAAAGTGAGATCGTACAAACATTAGAGCCTCAAAAATTGACATATTGTGGCGTTCTCGGGCAAGGTAGTTATGGTCTGGTTGTTCAAGTGAGACACAAAGATGCTAAACAATATGCTGTTAAAATCAGCTTATTGACAGACAAAACCATGAAATATTCGAAACGTGAACTTGATGTTCTCATGGACGTCAAGTCGGAAAATATAGTGCAATATTTCAACCATTGGCATCATAACATCCGTGGAAATTCATTTCTATTTATTCAACTGGAATTATGTTTCAACAATTTGGCGGAGTTCGTGTACAGTAACAGGATTAATGGTGGCGTGGAGATCATTAAAAAACCAAAATTCTTTCATCATTGTTTTCTACAAATATTACGTGGCCTTCAGGCATTGCACATGAAAAATATTGTTCATCGCGATCTTCATGCTCATAATATTCTTGTAGCTTTACCAGAGCCAACTAGCGTGCCTGAAATTCAAATTAAAATTACCGACTTCGGGCTTTCCCGTTATATAAATTCATCTAAGGAGAATATTGATTTGTCCTGAGGTATTGCAAACGAATATTTCAGAGCACCCGAACTTGAACCCGGCAATTGTGCTCGTTATGATTACAAAGTTGACATGTACAGCGCTGGAGTTGTTCTTTATTTTCTAACACGCTATCTACCAAACCGAAACGATTGGAGTACTGAACTTGATGAATTAAGGAATGGTAGGCGCAACCCGAAGCATCTGGCTCACAATAACGAATTACTTCATTTGACTATACTAACGCTTTTAAGAATTAATCCGAAAGAACGTCCAACTGCAGAAGATATTTTAGAGAAATGGGTTCAAGGAACAAATACAGTGGATGGGCCTAAACTGCAGGCATCGCATCCATTATCGAGGCATGTAAGTCCAATTCACGACTTGATAGATTGTGCTGTTAATATAGAAGGCGAAGATTTCTGGCGAAGGTGCGAATTGAGGGAAACCAGCGATTATTCATCTGTAAGACAGACAATACTACAAATAATCCATTTTTCTGCCGATACAAATGTCGAGTTGTATGAGCAAACTACTGTCGATCAAGAAAAAACAATGTATATCATATCAAATGATGATGATGTTGAAAAAATGTTTGCAAGTGCAAAAAAGCGTGATGATGGTCAACGTATAAAATTAGTTGTAAAGCGTAGTGATAATGTGTCCATTGCTTTCAGTGATTCTACGCAGGCTACTCCCAACTTCAGTTAAAATGTCTTGAAGTAAAAAAGATACTCCCCATATTACTTTCGCCACCTCAGTAACGTGGGCAACATCATTCGATCTTACATCAAGTTCCACAAGGCCACGTAAAAATCCAAACCTACAAGAATGCAGAAACCTTTTTTGAAGCTGTTCAGTAACTATTCGCTTATTCAGTACGATTCCGGATAAATGTAGTAGTAGTTAGTAGTAGTTTCCTATGGTCACACCTCCATGTGTGTCTGTCTCATCAAGCCAGCTTGTGAAGTCATCATCCGCTTTATGCACTGTTGCGTAGCCGCCTTCAATGCGTGTGAACGGACATTGCAGGATGATATGGTCCATATTCTGGTTGGTGGCGTTACATGATGGGCAAGTTGGCGAGTCTTTGTAGCCCCATCGGTATAGGTTGTTAGCTGTTCTGCCCTGTTTTGATCTTATTCGGTTACAAGCGCTCCATTGTTTACGAGTTAGCTTCTTGAAACCAGGAAGAGGGACATTTGTGGGATCTTTAATTAGATCAGCACCTTTTGGTTTATTTTCGGACCATTGTTCCTTCCATGCATTGTTGAGGTCAAACGATTCAATCTTGGAGTTATAAAAAGGTTTTCGTGATTTAAGTCTCGAAGTAGTTGGAGCAGACTGGATAATGGTTTTTAGTGGAGTGTCAATTAGTGTATTTTCAATGCGATGATGTTGTTTCTGTGTTGCTTCCTGTCTGCGTATGTTAGGTGGAGCTATAGCACTCATTACAGGTAGCCAAGAGGTTGGGGTTGATTTTAATGTTCCGGAAATTGTTCGCATTGTGTCATTTAGCAATACATCTAACTTATTGACGTGTTTAGAGCGAGACCAAACTGGAGCACAATATTCTGCAACACTGTATGATAGGGCAAGAGATGATGTCCTAAGTACCGTTGGAGTGGCGCCCCACGATGTTCCTGCCAGTTTTTTAATTATGCCATTTCGTTTTCGCAGTTTTGTGGCAGTGTTTTCAATGTGCTGTTTGTATGTTAGCGAGCGATCTAAAGTCACACCCAGGTATTTTGGAGATGAGTCATATGGTAATTTGGAGTTGCCTACACGTATTGCAAGTTGTAGATTTGCCTTGTGATTGTCCAAATGGAAGAGGGTGCTTACAGTTTTTGTTGTGTTCATCTTTAGGTACCACTTGTTGAAAAAGATTTGTAGTTTTGTTGTATCATGGCTGAGGGTTTCTTTAATTTGTTTAATATCGCTAGATTGGTGTGATAGTACGAAGTCATCAGCGTAGCCAAGTTTGAGAGAGGTGGTCTGTGGTAAGTCACTAATATAGATGTTGAACAAAGTTGGTGCTAGAACTGAACCTTGGGGAACACCGTTTTTTATAGTTCTCTTTTTGCTTATTTTGTCACCCAAACATACATGATAAATTCTTGATCCAGACATTTTATTCAAAAGCTTTAGTGTTTTCTTACAAGGGATACATTTGGCTAACTTATACATCAAACCGTTGTGCCATACCGTGTCGTAAGCCGCAGATAGATCAATAAATACAGCTCCAATTTTCTGTTTTCTTTCATATCCCATTTCGATGTATGTCGTTAAGGCCAGAACTTGTTCAGTGGTATCTCTACCTGGTCGAAAGCCTGCTTGTTCTATTGGGATATAGGGGTCGAGTTGGGGTGCTATTCTGGTCAGTAGTATTCTCTCTAGAAGTTTAAAAAAACAACACAGCAGAGAAATTGGGCGATAACTTGATGGATCGTTTGAGGGTTTTCCAGGTTTGAGGATGGCAAGTATTTTTGCTTCTCTCTGCGCCTGGATCATCACGTTGCCGTCGTGCAGGGGCTTAAGTACTTCACTGAAGGAAAACTAAGAATGATCCAAACCCGGTCTCCGAACTTCGATGTCGAACTCCCGGAACCACACCTCCAAACTCCGGATAAATGATAGTCTATCATAACGCTGGTTGCGCTAGTGTCAACAAAAATGTGTAAGTTGGTTTCAGTTTATATAAAAAAGCTTTAGATAAATCTATCTTACAAACTAGTTGCTGACAAGATTTGGTAAAAATAAACTTTAAATGAATATGTTCATAACGGAGAGAAGTATAAAATAAATTAAAACATCAAACAATCAGAGGCAACTTATGTATTAACATATTTTGCACGAGGAGAATCACAGAAACAACAATTAGCATGTTCTACCATCAAGATTCTGCAATTTATTGTTGAAGAGGAGAAGAGACTTGAGATTTCGAAGATCCTGAAAAATACAACATTATACCGTTATGTTGACATAACATGACAGAATCCATGACATCATCGTAAGACAACACATGACGTCAACGTAGAACACGTGACATCATCTTAAAAGAACACATGCAGGTTTACGTCATTCAGTTCTATAAGACCTGGAGGGGAAAAGGGGCCTGGACCCCTTGGTCAAAAGCATGGCGGTAATGGCGGATTTTTGTTGTAAAAATTTCCACTTTAAGAAAAATTTTTAACATTCGCTCCCTCCCGAATCCGGATTTCTATTACTGCTTATATTAATGACAACCAGCGAATACAACCACGATACCGTAAGCATAAAATATTGAAAATAATGCTTCAGGTTTTTGTGAAATAGACACACACATTTAAATGAGGAAAATCTACGGTAAAATAACGTATATTTTGTCTTACTTAATGCTTTAGCTTTATTAGAAATAAATATCTTTCTTTACACTGTCAATGTGTTGTTAGGCTTTAATGCATAATCCAATGCGCATTGCTTGTTTTTGACTGTTTGTGAACAGCTTGGTGCAACTGTCTTTCTTGAATAGATGGGTAAATCTTAGTTAAAATGTCCAAAAAGTAGTTAGAAAAAGTTAGCTTACCCCTACGACTTAAGTCGACTGGAAATATATTATAAGTAGTTATGTAATTTTTTTGGTTTTTTTGGTAGGATTGATTCTGGGTGTTTAATAAGATATTATGATATTCTGATAAATCTACGGAGAACTTATGAAGAAAGTATCTTGAACTAGGAGAGCAAAAGAACGAAATTCAGAAATTGTATAATCATGTCGCTGGTTCTGTTTTGAGCCAAGATATTAGAAACTGGATTGTTTTTGACAACCATGGATCTGCTACTGAACAGAACTACATTAATTTACCATTGAAAATACGATTTCTTACATTAAAGTGCATTGGTTTCTCTGACATAACATTTTTCTTATTGCTGCATGAAGGCAAACCTGTTTAAATAATTATAATGTAGGTGAAGATATTTAGCATGTTGTATAATTGTTATTGTACAGTCATTATTTATAATATTATGGCCTTGTGTAATGTATGTCAAGAAGAACTTATTAATTCTCAAAAATGCTAACCTTCTTGCACTACTTTTGTCTTGTGTCCTTACAAATTACAGTTACCTATACTAATTTTTTCTAGGTTCAAACTTGACAAGCTTTTGAATTTTACATTATGCCTTTGAATTTTTCTTTTGGTCTTTTGGTAAAAATGTCAGTAAATTTTATCTAAAATAGTATTTTGTACAAAGAAACTATACATAATTGGAAAAGTATCATGTTGAGGGCAGATGACTTCTTTTACTAGATTGCTATTCTTATTCTTTTAAATAATATCGTAATTCTTCATAAGACATAAAAAGTTCTTTGCCATCAATTTTTGCTTCTTCCACATTCAACTTCATTGCAACCAATGCATCTTATGTGAATTTTTAATCACTTGGAATTGAAAAATGTATGGATTTTGTCAGATGATGCAGTACTATATTTAATGTTTCATGCATGTCATCATAAGCTTTTCTTGAGCAAATATTTCAAGGTAGGAGCATAATTTGGCCCATTATTGAACAAAGTAGTTTTTATCTGGATTTTGATGTACTAACCTGTTTACTATAACAAACATTTCATTTACAGAAACACCAGATGGCATTTATAAAACTTTTAGCATAAAGCAAACCTTTACACACCATCATCATGATTGTCCATAATCTGTCAAATTGTCCAGGCTTACTGTTTAATACAGGTATTTTTTTATTGTATGAAATGTACCTAAGAGTTCATTAAATAATCCTGCACTGCATTTGATTTCAATACAGCTCTGTTCTTAATATTTGCTTCATATTTTCAGAAAAATTTCATGAAAAAATTCTCCATTTCTTGGAGGTAAACTCAGTTGAAACAAGGAGTTTTAAGATACGCATATCTCGATAAGAATTGGTTGCTTTGCCTCGTCTAGCAAGCAATTAAGTAAAGAGCAAATAAGACTGGAGAAACATAACTTAAATTATAACTTAGGAGTAAAAACATTCACAAAATATATACCATCACACTTCAAGTATTGACTTAAAACAAAACACTGAACACTTCAAATGGTAAACAATCTTACGTTGCTTACCGGTGTCATGAAATGTTTCCTTTTCTGGCATTACTTCAGCATCCGTATACCAAACAAGTTTGCAGCATGTTTTAAAGATAAAATTTCTAAAAGTTTTTGTGCTTGGCATTGATATTTTATATAATCGCAATTGTGGTTGTCAAATCCGGGTGGGCGAAAAAAATTTAATTTTATGAGCCCGCGTCTTTCCGCTGACTTTGACAACCAAAATCCGCCATGTTTTTTTACCATGCGGCCGATTAATATCTCTTAAGCTCTCTAGTATCATTCTTTTTCTCATAATTCAAAGTGTAATTTATAAAGTAACTTTGGAATCGATTGCCCGGCTGCTTAATGGACGAAAGTGAGATCAAACAAATATTAGAGCCTCGCGAATTGACATATTGTGGCGTTCTCGGCCAAGGTAGTTTTGGTCAGGTTGTTCAAGTGAGACACGAAGATAACAAACAATATGCGGTTAAAATCAGCTTATTGGCAGACAAAACCAAGAAATATTTGAAATGTGAACTTGGTGTTCTCATGAAAGTCAAGTCGGAAAATATAGTGCAATATTTCAAACATTGGCATCATAACATCCGTGGAAATTTGTTTCTATTTATTCAACTGGAATTATGTTTCAACAATTTGATGGAGTTCGTGTACAATAACAGGATTGATGGTGGCGTGGAGATCATTAAAAACCCCAACTTCTTTCATCATTGTTTTCTACAAATATTACGTGGCCTTCAAGCATTGCACATGAAAAGTATTGTTCATCGCGATCTTTATGTTCAAAATATTCTTGTAGCTTTACCAGAGCCAACTAGCGTGCCGGAAATTCAAATTAAAATTACCGACTTCGGGCTTTCCCGTTATATAAATTCATCTACGAAGAATATTGCTTTGTCCAGAGATATTGCAAACGAATATTTCAGAGCACCCGAACTTGAACCCGGCAATTGTGCTCGTTATGATTACAAAGTTGACATGTACAGCGCTGGAGTTCTTTATTTTCTAACACGCTATCTACCAAACAAAAACGATTGGAGTATGGAATTTACAGAATTAAGGAATCTTCAGCGCGGCCCGAAGCATCTGGCTCACAATGACGAATTAGTTCATTTGACTATAAAAACGCTTTTAAGTAGTAATCCGAAAGAACGTCCAACTGCAGAAGATATTTTAGAGAAATGGGTTCAAGGAACAAATACAGTGGATGGTCCTAAACTGCAGGCATCGCATCCATTATCGACGCATGTAAGTCCAATTCACGACTCGATAAAGTCTGCTGTTAAAATAGAAGGCGAAGATTTCTGGCGAAGATGTGAATTGAGGGAAACCAGCGATTATTTATCTTTAAGGCAGACAATATTACAAAAAATACATTTCTCTGCCGATACAAATGTCGAGTTGTATGAGCAAACTAAGCTTTCATCACTTAGACTTTCATAAATGGGTTCAATGAGCTCAAAAATACTTTTTGGTATACCAATCTTATGATGGTATGTTGTAGTGTCTTTCTTGTATCCACACCAACTGTCTTCAGTGTCGGGGCAAATGTCGGGTTCATGTTGAGGGTTATCATCACTTGTGGCCACATGATAAAGGGATGCCTTGATTGCTTTGGCCATTTTATCTATGTCATGCAGGTTCTCTCTCACTGCCAATCCATAGTAATTTTGCAGAAGGTCAATTTTAGCATCAGTCAATCTGCCCTTTCCACTCACACCTTTACCATCCCCCAGTTTCACTCCTTTATGTGAACTCTTCAACCTCCGAAGGCGACTCCCCACTCTCTTTTGCACATGTCCAATGCATTCCAGTTTTTTTGTACCTTCATTGACGTTTTTCGTTGGAGGTGGACATTGTCGAATTTTCTCCGTATTGCTGCCTATTTTCATCCCGGAAGGGCAAGGATTTTCATCACAGTATCGGCCATGTTTGGCCATCTTCTGATTTTTGATGGCGGAGTTCTAACCGCTTTTCTCTTTTTATTCCGTTTATTTCCCATAATTTTTAAAAGTAAGAATTACAAAAATATACGAAAAATCAAACAAAACAAATATTTCAGGTGTAACTAAGTAAAACAAAGACTATTCTGACGATTTCAAGAAAGTACTTTCGAACTGCACGAGGCGAACAAACCGGTATGATTAGATGTCTTCGAGTCGTTGCTATGCCGACTAAATCCTACCAATTACAATTAATCTTTCCATAAGAGCTCTGAATAACATACACCAAAAGTACAGCTCGAAAACAGCTATTTTTTGCTTTTTTCGGGGGTGAAATATGGTTAAAAACACGTTGCTATGGCGTTGCTAAGGTTGAAAAATTAAGACATGGTCTCTTTGGTAGCTTTTTTTTGATATTTTGCATTATTCTATCGCAAAATAGATCCTATGTTCATCAAGTACAATAATCAAAGTAACATAAACTGCAAAAAAAATTTTTCCAAAAAATTTGAAAAAAAACGTGTCTGAAAGGGAGATGACCACCTTAAGACAGACAATACTACAAGTAATACATTTTTCTGCCGATACAAATGTCGAGTTGTATGAACAAACTAATGTCGATCAAGAAAAAACAATGTATATCATATCAAATGATGATGATGTTGAAAAAATGTTTGCAAGTGCAAAAAAGCATGATGGTCAACGTATAAAATTAGTTGTAAAGCGTAGTGATAATGTGTCCATTGGTTTCAGTGATTCTACGCAGGCTACTCCCAACTTAAGTTAAAATGTCTTGAAGTAAAAAAGATACTCACCAAAACCAAAGTTTTTTTACACTTGAAGTGTCTTGTCAAGACGTTTTCAATCAAGAAGTAATTGCACTTAATCAAGAAGTAATTGCACTTAATCAAGAAGTAATTGCACTTAATCAAGAAGTAATTGCACTTAATCAAGAGTAATAACACAATGTTTCCCAGCTGTATCATATAATTTACGAACCATCAGTAATTTCAAGGTCAATATTAGCTTTTCTTACTTACGATTGTAACAAACAAAAGTATTAATTGCAAAAGTATGTGTTGTTTTCTGTGTTTCATTTCTAAATTGCTGTTTTCTACGGATTAATATCCAATATGTACCCCCTCCCCCTCCCCACAATTATTGTTACAACTACAGCCCTGATTTGAATTTATTTTCATTGCAATTAGATAATGTCAATCTAATGAGCATTGCCTTATTTATAATACTTTGTGTAAGCAACTTTGACAGTACATATAAAATAATAAACTAAAGTATTTCTTTTTATTGTTAAACACGCAGGCAATCTTGAAAGAAAAACAAAAAGTTGTCTTTCATTAATAATAAATTTTTTAGCAGGACATTTAAACAAGACAGTAACAATGTAGTTTTAAAATCGTTTTATAAGCTATATTTATAATCTTTGCTATAAGGAATAAGTAATATTTATATATTCTTTGTTAATAAATGCTTTAGTGTAACATATGAGTATTAAACGTATGTAAATTTATGTACAGTCAGTGAGAAATAAAAAGACAAGCTATAATTCAGTTCAAAGACACTAATTTTCGTGGTAAACTATTTCTTAAGTTCATTTTTGTATTATAAATTAAGCTTAAATATATTAAAACATGTCTGCATGTGTATGTCACGAACGGCTAGAGGTCGGCAAAGGAAAAAAAATTTTTTTACGCCGGGATGTTAAAATTTTGTTTTTCACAAATAAGATTAAGGTTCAAGGAATCTCGCGAGAAAATCATTAAGGTACACGTTTCAGATAAAGTATAAAAATAATCGATACACTTACACAATTCGGAGTATTTTGAGCACAAATGACGTTGATGTTGCATTGTCTTTAACTTCTACATTCTCTCACATAACAAACAAATTACTTTCTGTTTCATGGTTTCTCAGTTACATTAAACAATTTGTACCTGCCATACAAATTGAAAAGCGAGCAAGATGAAACACTTCGCTATTCAATTGTTATTTGTTGTGTTTGATTTACGTTTAAAACAAGCTACGAAAGACAACTATCTTCATGTAACTAGCCCCTTAAAGATGTGAAACAAGTTCTCATCATCTTTTATTAAAAACAAACGCTCATGTAATTTGTGTCATATTTCAATTTTTCTCATCTTCATTTCGCCTCATCTCATTTCTTTACACAACAGGTACATCTTCTTTCTTCCCCAGTTTCTTCAGACTTGACTTTATATCTTCTGTACAACAATCTCCAGATATTTCATACTTGAAAAATGGTCACCGACTTACTTCGTTTGTAATATTTTCATGATTGTACAGACACTCATCCCTTATCATTAGATAGTGTTGGATTATGACTCGTATCTTCTTTTTTGCTTTCATTTGGGAAGTCAACGTACTCTATACCTGGTTCAATTTCAGTCGTCTGATCTGATTTTCCACTGACGTTATAATGTCTGGAGTGAAGTCCATCTTGACTTCTTGCAGCTTCATAATTCAATGAAAGTTGAAGAAGGGTTGATGGTAAAGAAATGTCTAAATTCTTTTTTTAACTGATGTTTACAGTCGGAAGGGTTGTTATCGCAGCTTACAGTTAAAATATCTGTGACGTTTGTAGCCGTGCGCGCATGCTCAAACTTACCACGTTCATCACTATCGTCAATTTGCTCAGTCAAATTATTGACTGTTGAACTTCCTTCTTCAACAAAAAAAGACGTACTTTGAGCGCGAACAAGAGAAGAAAATTGCGTTTTTTTGTTGTCAAAGCAACTCCAATCAAACATTAGACCTCCATCATCAACACTTCCGGTATAATTTCCACCAAAACCTGAGTCTTGATCATCATCCGTGTAGGACGTATGACACTTTTTTGTCAGTTTATCATCAAAGTTATCAGACACCACAGAGTGTTGGCTTTCATCAGGTTGAGTTATCTTGTTGCACATGAGTTTAACTTTAGCCTTGAAACAACGAAAAACAACATAAGTTTGTGGCATGTTTGTAAATGTAGATCGTCCAGGTTGGTATAGTCCTGAGAAGGACTGTTTTTGTTGTTGCTGACTGACGTTTCGACAACCTTAGAGGTAGTCATCTTCACAGTCAAATGAAGAGTAAACGACAAATGAAGAGTAAATGGACGTTTACTCCTCATTTGACTCTGAAGATGACTACCGCTAAGGTTGTCGAAACGTCAGTCAACAACAACAAAAACAGTCCTTCTCAGGACAATACCAACCTGGACGATCTACATCTACAAACATGTAACGATACTCCTGGGTTCAAACCATTTACTTTATAAATTTGTGGTTTGCTGAGCGATGGTTCATAGCAAAATCTATACTAGGAGCAATTGTTTGATGAACGATGTACAAAATTCAATTGAATCAAAATAAAATTGGCTTGAAAAGTTAACAGATAAACTATTAGTGGTAAACACATAAAGCATTTTTTTACCATACAATGTATTGAAGTAACTTTTGAAATAACAAAGTAGATACAACAATAATTTATCAAACCAAGTCTAGGTAAGTATCATTAACATGACTAGACAGGAATAATGCAAACTATGTAAAATGAGCGCTTTGGAAAAAAACCATTACAAGTACCTTTTCAGCATCTGTTATCTTCACACGATCGAGAATGAACTAAACAGTCAAAAAAAACAACACAGAACGTCTAAGAAATATACCTATAAACTTTTAAACCAAAAAGTAATGAATGTAAAAATATTACAAAAACAAAGTAAAAATGTTGGTTTGATACAAAAAAAACCCATCATGTGTTGCTCGTGTATTCAAGGATGAATAACAAATTATGAACAAAAAGGATGAGAAATATACGATGACAAAAAAAATAAGACATTTTTGAAGCTTTGTATTAGACTACAGTAAAAAAAGCTTTGTTTACTTCTCTGGCCTTGAAGTGCGAAAATATTTGAATCCTATGAGATTTAGAAGAAACGCAAGGATTTCCTATAATAACAAATATTATAAGCGTAAAGATAGTACAAGCTAATACAAATAATTTCCCTAAACATCAACATTATTCCCCAAACATCAGTATTTATATTAATCATAAATATATTAATGAACATACATGATTGCTTGATTTGAGCAAGCCCCAAAAAAGTATGCTTATTTTACGCATGCTCAAAAACTATGCTCAATTTGCGCATGCTCAAAAACTATGCTTAATTTGCACATGGCGATACATGAAAGCCCATACACGTTGGTCCATACACACATGCTGAAGCACTACACCATGCTGTGGAACAACGGAAAACTTCAGCAAAACTCACCAGCCAATGCAAGGATGCGTAAATGAAAAAGAGAAGATACTTTTGCCACCTCAGTAACGTGGGCAAAATCATTCGATCTTACATCAAGTTCCACAAGGCCACGTAAACAATCCAAACCTACAAGAATGCAGAAACCTTTTGAAACTGTTCAGTAACTATTCGCAAATTCAGTACGATTCCGGATAAATGATAGTTTATCATAACGCTGGTTGCGCTAGTGTCAACAAAAATGTGTAAGTTGGTTTCAGTTTATATAAAAAAAGCTTTAGATAAATCTATCTTACAAACTAGTTGCTGAGAAGATTTGGTAAAAAAAACTTTAAATGAATATGTTCATAACGGAGAGAAGTATAAAATAAGTTAAAACATCAAACAATCAGAGGCAACTTATGTATTAACATATTTTGCACGAGGACTGTCACAAAATTAACAATCAGCATATTCTACCATCAAGATTTTGCAATTTATTGTTGAAGAGGAGAAGAGACTTGAGATTTCGAAGATCCTGAAAAATACAACATTATACCGTTATGTGACGTACTTGAGAGAATGCATGACATCATCGTAACAGAAAACATGACGTCAACGTAGAACACATGACATCATCGCAAAAGAACACACGACAGGTTGTAGAATTACTTCCGGTTTACGTCCGGTTTGTCGAAGACGTAGTTTGCTTAAGTTCTCTATTATCATTCTTTTTCTCAGAATTCAAAGTGTAATTTATAAAGTAACTTTGGAATCTAATGCCCGGCAGCTTAATGGACGAAAGTGAGATCAAACAAGTATTAGAGTCTCGCGAATTGACATATTGTGGCGTTCTCGGCCAAGGTAGTTTTGGTCAGGTTGTTCGAGTGATACACAAAGATACCAAACAATATGCTGTTAAAATCAGCTTATTGGCAGACGAAACCATGAAATATTCGGAACGTGAAGTTGGTGTTCTCATGAAAGTCAAGTCGGAAAATGTAGTGCAATATTTCAAACATTGGCTAGATAACATCGGTGGAAATTTGTTTCTATTTATTCAACTGGAATTATGTTTCAAAAATTTGATGGAGTTCGTGTACAATAACAGGATTAATGGTGGCGTGGAGATCATTAAAAACCCCAAGTTCTTTCATCATTGTTTTCTACAAATATTACGTGGCCTTCAGGCATTGCACATGAAAAATATTGTTCATCGCGATCTTCATGCTCATAATATTCTTGTAGCTTTACCAGAGCCAACTAGCGTGCCTGAAATTCAAATTAAAATTACCGACTTTGGCCTTTCCCGTTATATAAATTCATCTACGAAGAATATTGATTTGTCCAGAGGTATTGCAAACGAATATTTCCGAGCACCCGAACTTGAACCCGGCAATTGTGTTCCTTATGATTACAAAGTTGACATGTACAGCGCTGGAGTTGTTCTTTATTTTCTAACACGCTATCTACCAAACCGAAACGATTGGAGTACGGAACTTGATGAATTAAGGAATGGTAGGCGCAACCCGAAGCATCTGGCTCACAATAACGAATTACTTCATTTGACTATACTAACGCTTTTAAGAATTAATCCGAAAGAACGTCCAACTGCAGAAGATATTTTAGAGAAATGGGTTCAAGGAACAAATACAGTGGATGGTCCTAAACTGCAGGCATCGCATTCATTATCGAGGCATGTAAGTCCATATCACGACTTGATAGATTGTGCTGTTAAAATAGAAGGTGAAGATTTCTGGCGAAGGTGCGAATTGACGGAAACCAGCGATTATTCATCTTTAAGACAGACAATACTACAAATAATCCATTTTTCTGCCGATACAAATGTCGAGTTGTATGAACAAACTACGGTCGATCAAAAGGAAAGAACGTATATCATATCAAATGATGATGATGTTGAAAAAATGTTTGCAAGTGCAAAAAAGCATGATGGTCAACGTATAAATTTAGTTGTAAAGCGTAGTGATGTGTCCATTGGTTTCAGTGATTCTACGCAGGCTAATCCCAACTTAAGTTAAAATGTCTTGAAGTAAAAAAGATACTCCCCAAAACCAAAGTTCTTTACACTTGAAGTGTCTTGTCAAGACGTTTTCAATCAAGAAGTAATTGCACTTAATCAAGAAGTAATTGCACTTAATCAAGAAGTAATTGCACTTAATCAGGAGTAATAACACAATGTTTCCCAGCTTTATCATATAATTTACGAACCATCAGTAATTTCAAGGTCAATATTAGCTTTTCTTACTTACAATTGTAACAAACAAAAGTATTAATTGCAAAAGTACGTGTTGTTTTCTGTGTTTCATTTCTAAATTGCTGTTTTCTACGGATTAATATCGAATATGTACCCCTCCTACATTTCTCGTTACAACTAAAGCCCTGATTTGAGTTTATTTTCATTGCAATTAGATAATGCCAATCCAATGAGCATTGCCCTATTTATAATACTTTGTGTAAGCAACTTTAACAGTACATTTTTTTTGTCTCTGAAGATGACTACCGCTAAGGTGGTCGAAACGTCAGTCAACAACAACAAAAACAGTCCTTCACAGGACTATAGGAACCTGGACGATATACATTTACAAACATGTAACGATACTCCCGGGTTCAAACCATTTACTTTGACAGTACATATAAAATATTAAACTAAAGTATTTCTTTTTATTGTTAAACACGCAGGCAATCTTGAAAGAAAAACAAAAAGTTGTCTTTCATCAATAATAAATTTTTTTAGCAGGACATTTAAACAAGACAGTAACAATGTAGTTTTAAAATCGTTTTATAAGCTATGTTTATAATCTTTGCTATAAGGAATAAGTAATATTTATATATTCTTTGTTAATAAATGCTTTCGTGTAACATAGGAGTATTAAACGTATGTAAATTTATGTACAACCAGTGAGAAATAAAAAGACAAGCTATAGTTCAGTTCAAAGACACTAAATTTCGTGGTAAACTATTTCTTCAGCTCATTTTTGTATTATAAATTAAGCTTAAATATATTAAAACATGTCTGCATGTGTATGTCACGAACGGCTGGAGGTCGGCAAAGGAAAAAAAATTTGTTACGCCGGCATGTTAAAATGACATCCTTTAATTTTGTCACAAATAAGATTAAGGTTCAAGGAATCTCACGAGAAAATCATTAAGTCACACGTTTCAGCTAAAGTATAAAAAATAATCGATACACTTGGACAATTCGGAGTATTCTGAGCACAAATGACGTTGATGTTGCATTGTCTTTAACTTCCACATTTTCTCACACAACAAACAAATTACTTTCTGTTTCATGGTTTCTCAGTTACATTAAGCAATTTGTATCTGCCATACAAATTGAAAAGCGAGCAAGATGAAAAACTTCGCTATTCAATTGTTATTTGTTGTGTTTGATTTACGTTTAAAACAAGCTACGAAAGACAACTATCTTCATGTAACTAGCCCCTTAAAGATGTGAAACAAGCTCTCATCATCTTTTATTAAAAACAAACGCTCATGTAATTTGTGTCATCTTTTAATTTTTCTCATCTTCATTTCGCCATCATCTCATTTCTTTACACAACAGGTACATCTTCTTTCTTCCCCAGTTTCTTCAGACTTGACTTTAGATCTTCTGCGCAACAATCTCCAGATATTTCATACTTGAAAAATGGTCACCGACTTACTTCGTTTGTAATATTTTCATGATTGTACAGACACTCATCCCTTATCATTAGATAGTGTTGGATTATGACTCGTATCTTCTATTTTGGTTTCATTTGGGAAGTCAACGTTCTCTATACCTGGTTGAATTTCAGTCGTCTGATCTGCTATTCCACTGACGTTATAATGTCTGGAGTGAAGTCCATCTTGACTTCTTGCAGCTTCATAATTCAATGAAAGTTGAAGAAGGGTTGATGGTAAAAAAATGTCTAAATCTATTTTTAACTGATATTTACGGACGGACGGGTTGTTATCGCAGCTTACAGATAAAATATCTGTGATATTTGTAGCCGTGTGCGCATGCTCAAACTTACCACGTTCATCACTATCGTCAATTTGCTCAGTCAAATTATTGACTGTTGAACTTCCTTCTTCAACATAAAAAGACGTACTTTGAGCGGGAACAAGAGAAGGAAATTGCGTGTTTTTGTTGTCAAAGCAACTCCAATCAAACATTAGACCTCCATCGTCTACACTTCCGGCATAATTTCCACCAAAACCTGAGTCTTGATCATCATCCGTGTAGGAAGTATGACACTTTTTTCTCAGTTTATCATCAAAGTTATCAGACACCACAGAGTGTTGGCTCTCCTCAGGTTGAGTTATCTTGTTGCACATGAGTTTAACTTTAGCCTTGAAACAACGAAAAACAACATAAGTTTGTGGCATGTTTGTAAATGTAGATCGTCCAGGTTGGTATAGTCCTGAGAAGGACTGTTTTTGTTGTTGTTGACTGACGTTTCGACAACCTTAGCGGTAGTCATCTTCACAGTCAAATGAGGAGTAAACGACAAATGAGGAGTAAATGGACGTTTACTCCTCATTTGACTCTGAAGATGACTACCGCTAAGGTTGTCGAAACGTCAGTCAACAACAACAAAAACAGTCCTTCTCAAGACTATACCAACCTGGACGATCTACATCCACAAACATGTAACGATACTCCCGGGTTCAAACCATTTACTTTATAAATTTGTGGTTTGCTGCGAGATGGTTAATAGCAAAAGCTATGCTAGGAGTAATTGTTTGATGAACGATGTACAAAATTCAATTGAATCAAAATCAAAGTGGCTTGAAAAGTCAACAGATAAACTATTTGTGGTAAACACATAAAGCATTTTTTTACCATACAATGTATTGAAGTAACTTTTGAAATAACAAAGTAGATACAGCAATAGTTTATCAAACCAAGTCTACGTAAGTATCATTAATATGTCTGGGCAGGAATAATGCAAACTATGTAAAATGAGCGCTTTGAAAAAAACACATTACAAGTACCTTTTCACCATCTGTTATCTTCACACCATCGAGAATCAACTAAACAGTCAAAAAAAAACAACGTCAAACAAATATACCTATAAACAATCATGGTATCTTTTTTAAACCAAAAAGTAATGAAGATAAAAATATTACAAAAATAAAATAAAAATGTTGGTTTGACACAAAAAACCCCATCATGTGTTGCTCGTATATTCAAGGGTAGATAACAAATTATCAACAAAAAGGATGAGAAATATACGATGACAAAAAAAATAAGACATTTTTGAAGCTTTGTATTAGACAACAGTAACAAAAGCTTTGTTTACTTCTCTGGCCTTGAAGTGCGAAAATATTTGAATCCTATGAGATTTAGAAGAAACGCAAGGATTTCCTATAATAACAAATATTATAAGCGTAAAGATAGTACAAGCTAATACAAGTAATTTCCCTAAACCTCAACATCATTCCCCAAACATCAATATGTATAGTAATCATAAATATATTAATGAACATACATGATTGCTTGATTTGAGCAAGACCCAAAAAGTATGCTTATTTTGCGCATGCTCAAAAACTATGCTCAATTTGCGCATGCTCAAAAACTATGCTTAATTTGCAAATGGCGATACATGAAAGCCAATACACGTTCGTCCATACACACATTCTCAAGCACTACATCATGCTGTAAAACAACAGAAAATTTTAGTCAAACTCACCAGACAATGCAAGGATGCGTAAATGAAAAATTTTAGTCAAACTCACCAGCCAATGCACGGATGCGTAAATGAAAAATTTTAGTAAAACTCACCAGCCAATGCAAGGATGCGTAAATGAAAAAGAGAAGATACTTTCGCAACCTCAGTAACGTTGGCAACATCATTCCATCTTACATCAATTTCCACAAGGCCACGTAAACAATCCAAACCTAGAAGAATGCAGAAACCTTTTTTGAAGCTGTTCAGTAACTATTCGCTAATTCAGTACGATTCCGGATAAATGATAATTTATCACAACGCTGGTTGCACAAGTGTCAACAAAAATGTGTAAGTTGGTTTCAGTTAATGTAAAAAAATCTTTAGATAAATTTATCGTACAAACTAGTTGCTGACAAGATTTGGTAAAAAAAACTTTAAATGAATATGTTCATAACGGAGAGAAGTATAAAATAATTTATAATATCAAACAATCAGAGGCAACTTATGGATTAACATATTTTGCACGAGAAGTGTCACAGAAACAACAATCAGCATATTCTACCATCAAGATTCTGCAATTTATTGTTGAAGAGAAGTGACTTGAGATTTTGAAGATCCTGAAAAATACAACATACTGTTATGTTGACATAACATGACAGAATGCATGACATCATCGTAAGACAACACATGACGTCAACGTAGAACACGTGACATCATCTTAAAAGAACACATGCAGGTTTACGTCATTGAGTTCTATAAGACCTGGAGGGGAAAAGGGGCCTGGACCCCTTGGTCAAAAACATGGCAGTAATGGCGAATTTTGGTTGTCAAAACTTCTAATTTGAGAAAAATTTTTAACATTCGCTCCCTCCCGAATCCGTATTTCTATTACTGCTTATATTAATGATAACCAGCGAAAACAACCACGATACCGTAAGCATAAAATATTGAAAATAATGCTTCAGGTTTTTCTGAAATAGACACACACATTTAAATGAGGTAAATCTACTGTAAAATAACGTATATTTTGTCAAGTAATGCTTTAGCTATATTAGAAATAAATATCTTTCTTTACACTGTCAATGTGTCGTCAAGCTTTAATGCATAATCCCATGCGCAATACTTGTGTTTTTGACTGTTTGTTAACAGCTTGGTGCAACTGTCTTTCTTAAATAGATGGGTAAATCTTAGTTAAAATGTCCAAAAAGGAGTTAGAAAAAGTTAGCTTACCCCTACGACTTAAGTCGACTGGAAATATATTATAAGTAGGTATGTAATTTTTTTTAGTTTTTTTTTGGTAGGATTGATTCTGAGTGTTTAATAAGGTATTATGATATTCTGATAAATCTACTGAAAACTTATGAGGAAAATATCTTGAACTAGGAGAGCAAAAGAACGAAATTCAGAAATTCTATAATCATGTTGCTGGTTCTGTTTTGAGCCAAGATATTAGAAACTGGATTGTTTTTGACAACCATGGATCTACTACTGAACAGAACTACATTAATTTACCATTGAAAATACGATTTCTTAAATTAAAGTGCATTGGTTTCTCTGACATAACATTTTTCTTATTGCTGCATGAAGGCAAACCTGTTTAAATAATTATAATGTAGGTGAAGATATTTAGCATGTTGTATAATTGTTATTGTACAGTCATTATTTATAATATTATGGCCTTGTGTAATGTATGTCAAGAAGAACTTATTAATTCTCAAAAATGCTAACCTTCTTGCACTACTTTTCTCTTGTGTCCTTACAAAATACAGTTACCAATACTAATTTTTTCTAGGTTCAAACTTGACAAGCTTTTGAATTTTCATTATGCCTTCGAATTTTTCTTTTGGTCATATGGTAAAAATATCAGTAAATTTTATCTAAAATAGTATTTTGTACAAAGAAACTATATATAATTGGAAAAGTATCATGTTGAGGGCAGATGACTTCTTTTACAAGATTGCTATTCTTATTCTTTTAAATAATATCGTAATTCTTTATAAGACATAAAAAGTTCTTTGCCATCAATTTTTGCTTCTTCCACATTCAACTTCATTGCAACCAATGCATCTTATGTGAATTTTTAATCACTTGGAATTGAAAAACGTATGGATTTTGTCAGATGATGCATTACTATGTTTAATGTTTCATGCATGTCATCATAAGCTTTTCTTGAGCAAATATTTCAAGGTAGGAGCATAATTTGGCCCATTATTGAACAAAGTAGTTTCTATCTTGATTTTGATGTACTAACTTGTTTACTATAACAAACATTTCATTTACAGAAACACCAGATGGCATTTATAAAACTTTTAGCATAAAGCAAACCTTTACACACCATCATCATGATTGTCCATAATCTATCAAATTGTCCAGGATAACTGTTTAATACAGGTATTTTATATTGTACAAAATGTACCTAAGAGTTCATTAAATAATCTTGCACCACATTTGATTTCAATACAGCTCTGTTCTTAATATTTGCTTCATATTTTCAGAAAAATATCATGAAAAAATCCTCCACTTCTTGAAGGTAAACTCAGTTGAAACAAGGAGTTTTAAGATATGCATATCTCGATAAGAATTGGTTGCTTTGCCTCGTCTAGCAAGCGATTAAGTAAAGAGCAAATAAGACTGGAGAAACATAACTTAAATTATAACTTAGGAGTAAAAACATTCACAAAATATATACCATCACACTTCAAGTATTGACTTAAAGCAAAACACTGAACACTTCAAATGGTAAACAATCTTACGTTGCTTACCGGTGTCATGAAATGTTTCCTTTTCTGACATTACTTCAGCATCCGTATACCAAACAAGTTTGCAGCATGTTTTAAAGATAAAATTTCTAAAAGTTTTTGTGCTTGGCATTGATATTTTATATAATCGCAATTGTGGTTGTCAAATCCGGGTAGGCGAAAAAAATTTAATTTTATGAGCCCGCGTCTTTCCGCTGACTTTGACAACCAAAATCCGCCATGTTTTTTTACCATGCGGCCGATTAATATCTCTTAAGCTCTCTAGTATCATTCTTTTTCTCATAATTCAAAGTGTAATTTATAAAGTAACTTTGGAATCGATTGACTGGCAGCTTAATGGACGAAAGTGAGATCAAACAAATATTAGAGCCTCGCGAATTGACATATTGTGGCGTTCTCGGCCAAGGTAGTTTTGGTCGGGTTGTTCAAGTGAGACACGAAGATAACAAACAATATGCGGTTAAAATCAGCTTATTGGCAGACAAAACCAAGAAATATTTGAAATGTGAACTTGGTGTTCTCATGAAAGTCAAGTCGGAAAATATAGTGCAATATTTCAAACATTGGCATCATAACATCCGTGGAAATTTGTTTCTATTTATTCAACTGGAATTATGTTTCAACAATTTGATGGAGTTCGTGTACAATAACAGGATTGATGGTGGCGTGGAGATCATTAAAAACCCCAACTTCTTTCATCATTGTTTTCTACAAATATTACGTGGCCTTCAAGCATTGCACATGAAAAGTATTGTTCATCGCGATCTTTATGTTCAAAATATTCTTGTAGCTTTACCAGAGCCAACTAGCGTGCCGGAAATTCAAATTAAAATTACCGACTTCGGGCTTTCCCGTTATATAAATTCATCTATGAAGAATATTGCTTTGTCCAGAGATATTGCAAACGAATATTTCAGAGCACCCGAACTTGAACCCGGCAATTGTGTTCCTTATGATTACAAAGTTGACATGTACAGCGCTGGGGTTATTCTTTATTTTCTAACACGCTATCTACCAAACCGAAACGGTTGGAGTATGGAATTTACAGAATTAAGGAATCTTCAGCGCGGCCCGAAGCATCTGGCTCACAATGACGAATTACTTCATTTTACTATAAAAACGCTTTTAAGTAGTAATCCGAAAGAACGTCCAACTGCAGAAGATATTTTAGAGAAATGGGTTCAAGGAACAAATACAGTGGATGGTCCTAAACTGCAGGCATCGCATTCATTATCGACACATGTAAGTCCAATTCACGACTCGATAAAGTGTGCTGTTAAAATAGAAGGTGAAGATTTCTGGCGAAGGTGCGAATTGAGGGAAACCAGCGATTATTTATCTGTAAGGCAGACAATATTACAAAAAATACATTTCTCTGCCGATACAAATGTCGAGTTGTATGAGCAAACTACTGTCGATCAAGAAAAAACAATGTATATCATATCAAATGATGATGATGTTGAAAGAATGTTTGCAAGTGCAAAAAAGCGTGATGATGGTCAACGTATAAAATTAGTTGTAAAGCGTAGTGATGTGTCCATTGGTTTCAGTGATTCTACGGAAGCTACTCTAACTTCAGTTAAAATGTCTTAAAGTAAAAAAGATACTCCCCAAAACCAAAGTTTTTTACACTTGAAGTGTCTTGTCAAGACATTTTCAATCAAGAAGTAATTGCACTTAATCAAGAGGTAATTGCACTTAATCAAGAAGTAACTGCACTTAATCAAGAGTAATAACACAATGTTTCCCAGCTTTATCATATAATTTACGAACCATCAGTAATTTCAAGGTCAATATTAGCTTTTCTTACTTACAATTGTAACAAACAAAAGTATTAATTGCAAAAGTACGTGTTGTTTTCTGTGTTTCATTTCTAAATTGCTGTTTTCTACGGATTAATATCGAATATGTACCCCTCCTACATTTCTCGTTACAACTACAGCCCTGATTTGAGTTTATTTTCATTGCAATTAGATAATGCCAATCCAATGAGCATTGCCCTATTTATAATACTTTGTGTAAGCAACTTTGACAGTACATATAAAATATTAAACTAAAGTATTTCTTTTTATTGTTAAACATGTACCTTGAAAGAAAAACAAAAAGTTTTCTTTCATCAATAATAAATTTTTTTAGCAGGACATCATTTAAACAAGACAGTAACAATGTAGTTTTAAAATCGTTTTATAATCTATATTTATAATCTTTGCTATAAGGAATAAGTAATATTTATATATTCTTTGTTAATAAATGCTTTCGTGTAACATATGAGTATTAAACGTATGTAAATTTATGTACAATCACTGAGAAATAAAAAGACATGCTATAATTCAGTTCAAAGACACTAATTTTCGTGGTAAACTATTTCTTAAGTTCATTTTTGTATTATAAATTAAGCTTAAATATATTCAAACATGTCTGCATGTGTAATGTCACGAACGGCTGGAGGTCGGCAAAGGAAAAAAAAATTTGTTACGCCGGGATGTTAAAATTTGTTTGTCACAAATAAGATTAAGGTTCAAGGAATCTCACGAGAAAATCATTAAGGGACACGTTTCAGCTAAAGTATAAAAAATAATCGATACACTTGGACAATTCGGAGTATTCTGAGCACAAATGACGTTGATGTTGCATTGTCTTTAACTTCCACATTTTCTCACACAACAAACAAATTACTTTCTGTTTCATGGTTTCTCAGTTACATTAAACAATTTGTACTTGCTGTACAAGTTGAAAAGCGAGCAAGATGAAACACTTCACTTCAATTGTAATCTGTTGTGTTTGATTTACGTTTAAAACAAGCTACGAAAGACAACTATCTTCAGATAACTAGCCCCTTAAAGATGTGAAACAAGCTCTCATCATCTTTTATTAAAAACAAACGCTCGTGTAATTTGTGTCATCTTTTAATTTTCCTCATCTTAATTTCACCATCATCTCATTTCTTTACACAACAGGTACATCTTCTTTCTTCCTCAGTTTCTTCAGACTTGACTTTACATCTTCTGTACAACAATCTCCAGTTATTTCATACTTGAAAAATGGTCACCGACTTACTTCGTTTGTAATATTTTCATGATTGTACAGACACTCATCCGTTATCATCAGATAGTGTTGGATTATGACTCGTATCTTCTTTTATGCTTTCATTTCGGAAGTCAACGTTCTCTATACCTGGTTGAATTTCAGCCGTCTGATCTGCAATTCCACTGACGTTATAATGTCTGGAGTGAAGTCCTTCTTGACTTCTTGCAGCTTCATAATTCAATGAAAGTTGAAGAAGGGTTGATGGTAAAGAAATGTCTAAATCTTTTTTTAACTGATGTTTACAGATGGAAGGGTTATTATCGCAGCTTACAGATAAAATATCTGTGACGTTTGTGGCCGTGTGCGCATGCTCAAACTTACCACGTTCATCACTATCGTCAATTTGCTCAGTCAAATTATTGGCTGTTGAACTTCCTTCTTCAACATCAAAAGACGTACTTTGAGCGGGAACAAGAGAAGGAAATTGCGTTTTTTTGTTGTCAAAGCAACTCCAATCAAACATTAGACCTCCATCATCTACACTTCCGGCATAATTTCCACCAAAACCAGAGTCTTGATCATCATCCGTGTAGGACGTATGACACTTTTTTCTCAGTTTATCATCAAAGTTATCAGACACCACAGAGTGTTGACTCTCCTCAGGTTGAGTTAACTTGTTGCACATGAGTTTGACTTTAGCCTTGAAACAATGAAAAACAAGATAAATTTGTGGTTTGATCCGTGATGGTTAATAGCAAAAGCTATGCTAGGAGCAATTGTTTGATGAGCGATGTAAAAAATTTAATTGAATCAAAATCAAACTGGCTTGAAAAGCCAACAGATAAACTATTAGTGGTAAACACATAAAGCATTTTTTTACCATACAATGTATTAAAGTAAATTTTGAAATAACAAAGTAGAAACAGCAATAGTTTATCAAACCAAGTCTACGTAAGTATCATTAATTTGACTGGGCCGGAATAATGCAAACTATAAAAAATGAGTGCTTTGGAAAAAAAACCATTACAAGTACCTTTTCACCATCTGTTATCTTCACACCATCGAGAATCAACTAAACAGTCAAAAAAAACAAACACGACGTCAAACAAATGTACCTATAAACGATCATGGTAACTTTTTTCAACCAAAAAGTAATGAATGTAAAAATATTACAAAAACAAAATAAAAATGTTGGTTTGACACAAAAAAACCCATCATGTGTTGCTCGTGTATTCAAGGATAGATAACAAATTATGAACAAAAAGGATGAGAAATATACAATGACAAAAAAAAATAAGTCATTTTTGAAGCTTTGTGTTAGACAACATTAACAAAAGCTTTGTTTACTTCTCTGGCCTTGAAGTGCGAAAATATTTGAATCCTATGAGATTTAGAAGAAACGCAAGGATTTCCTATAATAACAAATATTATAAGCGTAAAGATAGTACAAGCTAATACAAATAATTTCCCAAAACATCAACATTATTCCCCAAACATCAACATGTATATTAATCATAGATATATTAATGCCATACATGATTGCTTGATTTGCGCAAGCCCCAAAAATGTATGCCTATTTTATGCATGCTCAAAAAATATGCTTAATTTACGCATGCTCAAAAACTATGCCTAATTTGCACTCACCAGCCAATGCAAGGATGCGTAAATGAAAAAGAGAAGATACTTTCGCCACCTCAGTAACGTGGGCAACATCATTCGATCTTACATCAAGTTCCACAAGGCCACGTAAACAATCCAAACCTACATGAATGCAGAAACCTTTTTGAAACTGTCCAGTAACTATTCGTTAATTCAGTACGATTCCGGATAAATGATAGTTTATCATAACGCTGGTTGCGCAAGTGTCAACAAAAATGAGTAAGTTGGTTTCAGTTCATATAAAAAAAGCTTTAGATAAATTTATCTTACAAACTAGTTGCTGAGAAGATTTGGTAAAAAAAACTTTAAATGAATATGTTCATAACGGAGAGAAGTATAAAATAAATTAAAACATCAAACAATTAGAGGCAACTTATGTAATTAACATATTTTGCACGAGAAGTGTCACAAAAACAACAATTAGCATGTTCTACCATCAAGATTCTGCAATTTATTGTTGAAGAGGAGAAGAGACTTGAGATTTCGAAGATCCTGAAAAATACAACATTATACCGTCTGTTACGTAACATGACAGAATCCATGACATCATATTAAAAGAACACATGACGTCAACGTAGAACACATGACATCATCGTAAAAGAACACACGACGTCAACGTAGAAGAACAAATGACATCACCGTAAAAGAACACATGACGTCAACGTAGAACACATGACATCATCGTAAAAGAACACATGACGTCAACGTAGAACACATGACATCATCGTAAAAGAACACACGACGTCAACGTAGAAGAACAAATGACATCACCGTAAAAGAACACATGACATCATCATAAAAAAACACATTACGTCAACATTGAAGAACATGACATTGGCGTAAAAGAACACATTACGTCAACGTAGAGCACATGACATCATCGTAAAAGAACACATGACGTCATCATAAAAAACACATTACGTCAACATTGAAGAACATGACATTGGCGTAAAGAACACATTACGTCAACGTAGAGCACATGACATCATCGTAAAAGAACACATGACGTCATCATAAAAAACACATTACATCAACATTGAAGAACATGACATTGGCGTAAAAGAACACATTACGTCAACCTAGAGCACATGACATCACCGTAAAAGAACACATGACGTCAACGAATAAGAACACATGACATCATCGTAAAAGAACAAATGACATCAAAGTTGAAGAACACATGACATCATTGTAATACAACAAATGACATCACTGTAATACAACACATGACGTCAACGTCAACGAACACATGATGTCAACTTAAAAGAGCATATGACATCATCATGAAAGAACACATGACGTCAACGTAGAACACATGACATCATCGTAAAAGAACACACGACGTCAACGTATAAGAACAAATGACATCACCGTAAAAGAACACATGACGTCAACGTAGAACACATGACATCATCGTAAAAGAACACATGACGTCAACGTAGAACACATGACATCATCGTAAAAGAACACATGACGTCAACGTAGAAGAACAAATGACATCACCGTAAAAGAACACATGACATCATCATAAAAAAACACATTACGTCAACATTGAAGAACATGACATTGGCGTAAAGAACACATTACGTCAACGTAGAGCACATGACATCATCGTAAAAGAACACATGACGTCATCATAAAAAACACATTACGTCAACATTGAAGAACATGACATTGGCGTAAAAGAACACATTACGTCAACGTAGAGCACATGACATCACCGTAAAAGAACACATGACGTCAACGAATAAGAACACATGACATCATCGTAAAAGAACACATGACATCAAAGTTGAAGAACACATGACATCATTGTAATACAACAAATGACATCACTGTAATACAACACATGACGTCAACGTCAACGAACACATGATGTCAACTTAAAAGAGCATATGACATCATCATGAAAGAACACATGACGTCAACGTGAAAGCACACATACCCTAGATGTGGATGATACGTAGTGAATCTGATTATAACTGAGGTTAAGAAACGTCAACGTTGATGATGACAACTGCTCCAAATTTAAATGAACAAAATTGTTGTAACTTAAATCCAGCTGTTAAAAGAAAAAAATACACAAGATTAACACACACAAGATTAACACACACAAGATTAACACACACAAGATTAACACACACAAGATATTAACACACAGAAGACAGGAGAATTATAACATGATAGACAATTCAAGCTCATTCATCCTCTAATTTATTATATTCTTGCACATTTGACGATAATGACATCAAACAAGTCCAACTCCTAGATTAATCACCAAAATAGTCAATCGACATTATCAATATGTATGCGTTTATACATACATACAGTAATATAGGCATTACAACACACAATATAACTTATATGCATGCGTTTATACATACATACTGTAATATAGGCATTACAACACACAATATAACTTATATGCATGCGTTTATACATACATACTGTAATATAGGCATTACAACACACAATATAACTTATATGTATTTGTAATTATTAAAATGTACCTGTTCTAGTGAAGGAAGCACTTTTAAAGAATGATCAAATGATGAAATGTTGTTATGACTCATGTTGATATGTGTCAACAATATCCAAGGTCGTACAACAATTCTATATTAATAAAAATAATTCATAATAATTTTCTTTATGACTAACTGTGTTTCCAACAGCTAACACGAAATACGTAAGAAATGATAAAAGATTTCGTAGAAAGTACGACACTTGCATGCTGTATTTGAAGAAGCAAAATACGACATTGTATCGTCTTCCAAGTTCGAAGACACACGAGAAGAACATCAACGAAATCTTTATCTCTTTTCAAAGATAGCAGTAGTTAACAAACTGATAATCTACATTAGATGTTTGTAGATGTAGATCATCAAGGTTAGTAGAGTCCTGAGAAGAAATGTTGCTGTTGATGTTGACTGACGTTTCGAAAACCTCAGCGGTCACGTGACAGTCACTTGACTCGGCAGTCACTTGACTCTGACGATGACTACCGCTGAGGTTGTCGAAACGTCAGTCAACATCAACACAAACAGTCCTTCTCAGGACTCTATCAACATTCATTTTAACCTACATTAACGTCATTTTATACGAACTACAGTAATTTATCGATGTTTCTGCAGCTCAACTCCACGAGCAATGAATGGAACTATGGAATCGATCACTTGTCGTAGCATACTAAGACCTCTGATAAAAAATATTACCGATTATCTGTAAGTTTACTTGTTGACATAATTCGCCAAGATTCCACGTTGCTGTTCCCTTGTTTCATCTAAAAAAATTTTTTTACAAATCACTTTATGATAATGTATTAGTTTAATTAAAAAACTGTTAATAACTTTAGTCAATAGCAAAATTTTTGACACCAGTAACATAAAGTATTTTATGACATAGTTCCACAACAGGAAGTAAACATAAAATACGTAACCAAGAGAAACATTCTCGACACCAATAACATAAATTACATTATCGAACACAGAAGTAAATATAAAGCACGTCAATAATAGACTCGACAATAGAGTATGACAAAAAACATTAACTACTGTAGTTAAAAATATTACTGACTCTTTAACACCAGCTACTACTGACTCTTTAACACCAGCTACTACTGACTCTTTAACACCAGCTACAACTGACTCTTTAACACCAGCTACTACTGACTTTTTAACACCAGCTACTACTGACACTTTAACACCAGCTACTACTACTCTTTAACACCAACTACTACTGACTCTTTAACACCAACTACTACTGACACTTTAACACCAACTACTACTGACACTTTAACACCAACTACTACTGACACTTTAACACCAGCTACTACTACTCTTTAACACCAGCTACTACTGACTCTTTAACACCAACTACTATTGACTCTTTAACACCAGCTACAACTGACTCTTTAACACCAGCTACTACTGACTCTTTAACACCAGCTACTACTGACACTTTAACACCAGCTACTATTGACTCTTTAACACCAGCTACTACTGACTCTTTAACACCAACTACTATTGACTCTTTAACACCAGCTACAACTGACTCTTTAACACCAGCTACTACTGACTCTTTAACACCAGCTACTACTGACTCTTTAACACCAGCTACTACTGACACTTTAACACCAACTACTACTGACTCTTTAACACCAGCTACTACTGACTCTTTAACACCAACTACTACTGACTCTTTAACACCAACTACTACTGACTCTTTAACACCAGCTACTACTGACTCTTTAACACCAACTACTACTGACTCTTTAACACCAACTACTACTGACACTTTAACACCAGCTACTACTGACTCTTTAACACCAGCTACTACTGACTCTTTAACACCAACTACTACTGACTCTTTAACACCAACTACTACTGACTCTTTAACACCAGCTACTACTGACTCTTTAACACCAACTACTATTGACTCTTTAACACCAGCTACTACTGACTCTTTAACACCAGCTACTACTGACTCTTTAACACCAGCTACAACTGACTCTTTAACACCAGCTACTACTGACTCTTTAACACCAGCTACTACCGACTCTTTAACACCAGATATAAATGACTCTTTAACACCAGCTGCTACTGACTCTTTAACACCAGCTACAACTGACTCTTTAACACCAGCTACAAATGACTCTTTAACACCAGCTACTACCGACTCTTTAACACCAGCTACAACTGACTCTTTAACACCAGCTACTACCGACTCTTTAACACCAGATACAAATGACTCTTTAACACCAGCTACAACTGACTCTTTAACACCAGCTACTACCGACTCTTTAACACCAGATACAAATGACTCTTTAACACCAGCTACAACTGACTCTTTAACACCAGATACAAATGACTCTTTAACACCAGCTACTACCGACTCTTTAACACCAGCTACTACCGACTCTTTAACACCAGCTACAACTGACTCTTTAACACCAGCTACTACCGACTCTTTAACACCAGCTACAACTGACTCTTTAACACCAGCTACTACTGACTCTTTAACACCAGCTACAAATGACTCTTTAACACCAGCTACTACTGACTCTTTAACACCAACTACTATTGACTCTTTAACACCAGCTACAACTGACTCTTTAACACCAGCTACTGACTCTTTAACACCAGCTACAACTGACTCTTTAACAGCAGCTACTACTGACTCTTTAACACCAGCTACAACTGACTTTAACACCAGCTACTACTGACTCTTTAACACCAGCTACTACTGACACTTTAACACCAACTACTACTGACTCTTTAACACCAGCTACTACTGACTCTTTAACACCAACTACTACTGACTCTTTAACACCAACTACTACTGACTCTTTAACACCAGCTACTACTGACTCTTTAACACCAACTACTACTGACTCTTTAACACCAACTACTACTGACACTTTAACACCAGCTACTACTGACTCTTTAACACCAGCTACTACTGACTCTTTAACACCAACTACTACTGACTCTTTAACACCAACTACTACTGACTCTTTAACACCAGCTACTACTGACTCTTTAACACCAACTACTATTGACTCTTTAACACCAGCTACTACTGACTCTTTAACACCAGCTACTACTGACTCTTTAACACCAGCTACAACTGACTCTTTAACACCAGCTACTACTGACTCTTTAACACCAGCTACTACCGACTCTTTAACACCAGATATAAATGACTCTTTAACACCAGCTGCTACTGACTCTTTAACACCAGCTACAACTGACTCTTTAACACCAGCTACAAATGACTCTTTAACACCAGCTACTACCGACTCTTTAACACCAGCTACAACTGACTCTTTAACACCAGCTACTACCGACTCTTTAACACCAGATACAAATGACTCTTTAACACCAGCTACAACTGACTCTTTAACACCAGCTACTACCGACTCTTTAACACCAGATACAAATGACTCTTTAACACCAGCTACAACTGACTCTTTAACACCAGATACAAATGACTCTTTAACACCAGCTACTACCGACTCTTTAACACCAGCTACTACCGACTCTTTAACACCAGCTACAACTGACTCTTTAACACCAGCTACCGACTCTTTAACACCAGCTACAACTGACTCTTTAACACCAGCTACTACTGACTCTTTAACACCAGCTACAAATGACTCTTTAACACCAGCTACTACTGACTCTTTAACACCAACTACTATTGACTCTTTAACACCAGCTACAACTGACTCTTTAACACCAGCTACAAATGACTCTTTAACACCAGCTACTACTGACTCTTTAACAGCAGCTACTACTGACTCTTTAACACCAGCTACAACTGACTCTTTAACACCAGCTACTACTGACTCTTTAACACCAGCTACTACTGACTCTTTAACACCAGCTACTACTGACTCTTTAACACCAGCTACTACTGACTCTTTAACACCAGCTACAACTGACTTTTTAACATCAGCTACTACCGACTCTTTAACACCAGCTACTAATGACTACAGGAATCTTACAATTTTTATTTTTTAATGTAGGTATAATTGTTCAAGTTAAACTTGTGAAATACTTATTTTCTCACCGAACGTTTTTGCGTTGCGGCATCTACCAGAAAATCCTAAAAATGTTAAAAAATACATTGTCGAAAAGCATTTCGATTCAAAACATAGATACTTTACATCGCATATTAACGAGTTTGTTCTAGGTTAAATAACCAACCTTCATTGACTTTAAGCATTCCTTTATTGTGACATGAGTTAACTGCTTTTGAATCCTGTATAATCCATTGATCACCCCAACATGGCACTTTTCAATCTTAAAGTATACGAGAAAAGAACCGAAAATGTTATTGAACGATAGCAATTCTCAGTCAATGTTTGTCGAATTTTACATCCATTTACGGTATGGGAAATGAATTTTGAAATCTTCGACCAAATGTAACGAAAAACTACAGACATAAGTAGGTTATTATGAGTAATTATAATGATAATAGTAGTCCTTTATTTCACAGAGTAATTATTAAAGTAAATGGTTTGAACCGGGAGTATCGTTACATGTTTGTAAATGCAGATCGTCCAGGTTGGTATAGTCCAAAGAAGGACTGTTTATGTTGTTGTTGACTGACGTTTCGACAACCTTAGCGGTAGTCATCTTTAGAGTCAAATGAGGAGTAAACGTCAGGTTAGCCGTGTTCGTTATAGCCAGTGAGCCGTTAACAAATACGGCTAACCTGACGTTTACTATTCATTTGACTCTGAAGATGACTACCGCTAAGGTTGTCGAAACGTCAGTCAACAACAACAAAAACAGTCCTTCTGAGGACTATACCAACCTAGACGATCTACATTTACAAACATGTAGAGTAATCATTGTAATGCAATTAATACTTCTTATCTGTATTATCAGCGAAATGATCAATTCTATAGGTAAAAAACCTTCATTGTAACTCTGTGAAACAATAGTCGATAAAACCAAATTAAGTAGAATGCGCAGTTTTTAAAGTATGGTCACACTTAACTCGTGCAAAGTGAAGAATTCTGGTAGTCAAGTCATTTAACACTCCAGAATGTGCTTTCTTTATATAAAAACAAGTGGTGTCCTTTTGAAGTCTGTCTTCATGGTAAAACTTGAAATAATATCAAATATTTCCCAAGGTTACTAAAGCAATCGTTTTCTATTTAACGCCGAAAAACTCTGAGAAAAATCAACAACTACAGACTTCAACTTAAAGTAAATGCAAAAGTGATCATGTAATGATGGCAGTTTTTAATCTGTTCATAACGCCATGAAATAACCTTTCGTTTACGTATTCGCTGATACACAATAGATGTTTTGATAACAGACCGTTCTCGATAACCATGTACAATAAACAAACCTGTAGTTTCTTCAACGATTTAAAAAGTGAGATATCGAAGGCTTGATTGACAATCAACTCCTGACAAATGGATGATGAACGAGCCATACCAGTCACACAAAGATTCTGTAATTCTTGAACGAAACTGTAAAGATTTCCCAAATCAACAACTGCCTCATCAGAAAGCGACGAATCTAAGACGAAAAACCATTGAAATCGTTAAGACGACGATAAATAGGATTATAGTACAAAATTGTCACAATAAAGATTTGTTGATTTGACAGAAAAGTCGATATTTGAAACAAGTCGGATGAGCAAATTTTCTGATAAATTTACGTATCAAAGGTTTTTCACTCCTTCGTTAAGTCAATTTTATGTTCATAGTAAAATAAAAATGATGTTAGTATATTAAAGAAGCCCTTTATTTGGTATTTCTCAACATGAACCTCATTCCCTTTCCTCCTCGTGACGTCTTAAGTGCAAATTACAGCATAACCTTTATAGGGTTGACCCTCATTCACGCAACTCACCACTGTCTTCATGTATACCTAGTTGTTCAACATCAACATGAGGCATTTGCATCTGAAGGGTAATACAGTAGATCCGTGTCTATCCTACTGTATACCTGAATGCTCAACATTAACATGAGGCATCTGTAACTGACGTGTAATGCAGTAGATCTGTGTCTATCCTGATGTATACCTGAATGCTATATATATACCTGACTGTTCAACATCGACATAAGGCATTTGCAAAAGACGTGTAATACAGTAGATCTGTGTCTATCCTGATGTATACCTGAGTGCTATATATATACCTGACTGTTCAACATTAACATGAGGCATCTGTAACTGACGTGTAATACAGTAGATCTGTGTCTATCCTAATGTATACCTGACTGCTATATATATACCTGAATGTTCAACATTAACATGAGGCATCTGTAGCTGACGTGTGATGCAGTACATCTGTGTTGGGGAGAAAGTAAACGAACTTTCACTTGATAAGATACGAGGTCCTAAAACAGAAAGAAAAGTACAATCACATCTCAGTTTACTATTTAATTAAGACAGCTGAAGTCAAGATGCACTACTTTAATATGATTATGAGTAGGAACATGAACGTTAAACATGTTTTATCAAAAAAGAAGATAAAAAAACCCAGAAAACCAAGAAAGTTAGAACTGTAAAAAATAATCAACAAGTACAATGTCATTAATAATCAATAAAATCACCTTCATTCGTTAGGACTTGAGCCAGCTGCCTAGTGACACAGAGAACATCCTATCATTGCAAAAAACGCAATTTGAAAAAAGGTATTTTTCGCAGTCGACAGATAAATGACTAACGCAGCTATCTATGTATGTTAAAAAATGCGTGTCGACCATGATGCATTGCGCGTTTATCTGAACGCGACGGCCATTTTGTGAGTTGAGAATTTTGTTATTGTAATCCATGTAGCTTAGAGAAACGATAATAATTAATTATGAAAGAGTTTTTAATCAATGTTTTCTGCTAACTTTTCAGATAAATTAGACGACGTGGTGAAATTAAATTCGCGATCCCAGCGTCTCGGGAACAAAAAAATGAAAGTATCCCTGCTAATCACAGCAGCAACCATCTTTGCAAAGTTCCTTTAAAAATTAAAGAACATTTCTGCTTCGTCATTATCTTATTTACGAACTTACATGACTTTGAACATTGAGGAAATGGAAGAGCTCCAACGATTCAGCAATATCATGATGACTAAAAGTGTATAAATAAATATGTACATGTTAGAAGAATTTTAGTGAAACATTGAATTATCGCGATGGCTTTTTTAAAAGTCATATGTTGGGCTATTATGTTCATATTGGCATTTTCGGCGCTCTCAGGAAATATTTTACAGTTGAACTACCGTTCTAGTTGAACGTACTGAGCAAACGTCCCATTACGAGCCATCAAATTTTGCCCTTGACAGGGCGGTGTTAAAATTTTCAAGTCGTTTTTTGACGTCATCAAAACCGCTTCGAAACATTTTGAAATCACCATGCATGCTTTCGCTAAATTTTCACATTTCAGGTAACTTCTGTTGTATCCATCGAGATGCATCGTACTTTATGTGTGTGAGTGAGTGATTTTTGAATGCCCGAGGCGTGTGTCCCATGTCTATTACGTGCACTTTTGAATGCCCGAGGCGTGTATCACATGTCTATTACGTACACTTTTGAATGCCCGATGCGTGTGTCACATGTCTATTATGTACACTTCTGAATGCCCGAGGCGTGTGTCACATGTCTATTACGTACTCTTTTGAATGCCCGAGGCGTGTGTCACATGTCTATTACGTACACTTTTGAATGCCCGAGGCGTGTGTCACATGTCTATTACGTACACTTTGAATGCCCGAGGCGTGTGTCACATGTCTATTACGTACACTTTTGAATGCCCGAGGCGTGTCTCACATGTCTATTACGCACACTTTTGAATGCCCGAGGCGTGTGTCACATGTCTATTACGTACACTTTTGAATGCCCGAGGCGTGTATCACATGTCTATTACGTACACTTTTGAATGCCCGAGGCGTGTGTCACATGTCTATTATGTACACTTTTGAATGCCCGAGGCGTGTATCACATGTCTATTACGTACACTTTTGAATGCCCGAGGCGTGTGTCACATGTCTATTACGTACACTTTTGAATGCCCGAGGCGTGTGTCACATGTCTTTACGTACACTTTTGAATGCCCGAGGCGTGTGTCACATGTCTATTACGTACACTTTTGAATGCCCGAGGCGTGTGTCACATGTCTATTACGTACGTTAGACTTGGCAAGTTTGCATTCTAATCTTTGCATTTTGATGATGGTGAGGTGAAAAGATAAAGATGATGTAGAGACATCACAATGATTATGATATTATATTTGAACATTTGGAAGACTACACATAATTATGTAGTAAAATACATTATGTAGTAAATACATTATGTAGTAAAATACATTATGTAGTAAATACATTATGTAAATACATTATGTAAACACATTATGTGCATGGGCGTCAATCCTGAGATAATTGGGGGGGACTATATTCATATATTCCGTTATGCTTGGATAATTTCTTTTGAAAGTGAAATTATTTTTAAAAGAAATTAGCCAGGCATAACAGAATACATATGAATATGGTCCCCCCCCAATTAATGCAGGATTGACGCCAATGATTATGTAAACACATTATGTAAATATATTATCTGGCAAGTACGTATGAACTAACCTGTTTATAAGTCTTTGTAAATAATGCTCCAATTCATTTCTTCTTTTTTCAAGATGAGGTAAGGACATGTTCGTAAATACTTTTTTTGCTGGTAGCATATCTTGAGGAATATTGAATTTTTTCACTAACTAATAAGAAAAATATTAATTCAGTTTAGCAAGAAAATTCCATTAAGACTCCGAAAAATCTCAAAAGTTGTTCATGATCTTCCAGGATGTTTAAGAGCAAACTTGTACACCATTAGCATAAACGTAGCAAAAACATATTTTCATAATCTTATTTTGGGTGTTTTAATTTTGAAGAGATTATGGCTTGAACCGGAGCTCATCATTAATATTTGCATGTATATGTATACCCTCGAGGTTATAGTGTAAACCTGAGAAGGATTTTATCTTTGTGATAATAATTTTAGCAAAGTTTCAATCAATACAAATATATATTTTTAAATTTCTTATGTACATTTATCCTTCAATTAAGTAGTGCATTTTCTCTGTTAGAAAGCAATGTTTTTGAAATAATTTGAAGCCAATTAATCACATGATTACTAACAAATTGCTAACAAATTGTGACAAATGTTTGAATTGAATTTATTTTAAAGACCACAAACCAACTAAAAGTAAGAATCCTAAATATTGTAAAATGTCGATCTGTAACAGCAAACTGAATAAGGTGTTTCGCTGGTATGCAGCAAACAAAATATTTAACATTCACCAATAGGTCTCATGTCATGAGACAAAAAAATATTATAGTCCTACTGTTAAATTTCTCAATACTCAAATCAAAATATCGACCGTATACTCACATTGTTGTGCAGTGTATTGAACTCTCTGTAACGTCGAAGAATGAACCAATGATTGGACTGTGTCATAACATCAATTTTATAAAGCTATTGAAATAAAAATCTATTTAATGAGATGAATTTTTGAAAAAGAGAGTTTTATTTAAGAATTTTGGGAATAATTTAGACCAACAGAGTTTTCTCCAAAATAATGAAAAAAAAACTAGAGTAGAGTGACAGCTATGTAGAATTTCTTGCTTTCCAAACATTTGTAATCGCCTGTAGTTATGCAATACATTGGCAATATTGCTTTAAATGTTGGACTTTGATTTGTCCATAATTACAATCTTTGTGAAAATCTCTTTATTCGAGTTTTTTTGTTGCATACGGTTGAAATTATAATAATTTGTGTGATTCACACATCCAATCTCAATGCTATCCACGAATGTCGTTAGGTCTACAACGACTGTGAGTTTTCATTATCACTTGGACAACTTTCCCTCGATTTTTTCCTAGACTTCTGCTTCTGATTCTTTTCTAGTTTAAACATCATACGTATTTAATGTAATCAGTCTATGAAAATCGATATAAAAACATCTAAATACCGCATAAGGTGAAGGGCGCTCTCTCTTCCAAACTTCGCGAATAACAATATGCTTTATTCTTGTTCTCGATATTTCATTATCGCCAGATAAACTACTGCTTGAAAGACGCGGAGAACGTCGTTCATTTCGCCAAACTGTGCCGCCTGCAGGAGGCAAAAATGATTGCAATGATGCCATTCCTAACTGAAAATATCATTTACACAGTACAAAAGGGTTGTATCTTTCCAAAGCAAACCAAAGTTCATCAAATCACGCTTCTGCAAGATGATGAATGTTAAGGACACAATAACAAACAGTTGTTTTTATTACGTCATTGTTCTGTTTATGTACTCACTGCCCCCTCACATACCTGTACATCCCGCTCCCCCCGTGATCTAGATATCGTTACTTTGTCACAAATAAAACATAATCAACATAATCCAGTGGATACATAAATTGCTTGTCAACGGGGTCAATTCAACCAAGAAGTTACGATTTTGACTACGCTCTATTCACAATCTATTTTTATGTTACTCCGTCAAGGTCGAAGAACTGCAGTTTTCAACTTCGTATATAGTTATCAATTACGGACTTTTGCTGCTACAAGAAAGTCTTGTTACTGTACGTTTTTTATATAATCCGTATTATCCTGAGGCAGCTTAAAAAAGTTATACTTTGGTTGGTGACAAATTATTGGGGGTTGCAACCCCCTAGCCTACTTTTTGCAGCGTTGCTACAAGCTTGTATGAGAGAAATGGCAATTAAGCTAGACAGTTTTTGTTGCCTGTTTGTTTTCGTTACTATTAGTCATTCCTTCGTTCGATTTTATAGTTTAAATTTTCGTGCAGTGTAGTGTACTATGATGTGCTATCTTGACCACTACTGGAAAATTTATTTATTCAAATATATTTTCAATAAACTCATTTTAGATCACTATAGCAACATGGTTGACACACAGATAGGAACAATGGAATATGGAAGACAAATTGATGAACAGCAGGTGGGCTGTGTGCATCTTTTAACAGCATGTGGTTAGCTTTTTGCCTCCACCCTCACATGGTTCCCATGCACACATCCCTGTTATAAATTGGTATTGTTCCACGTTCTCTTACCAACTTTTGTTGCTTTTGTATTTTAAAAGCCAACAATTTTAGCTCGAACAAAAATTTTTGCCTCTTCTCAGTTTCTAGACTAATTTCTTTCTAAAGCTGTGGGTTTCATCTGCACTAACACCGTGAAAATGTGGCCCCTTTACGTTGTATTAAGTGTTTGTTCCCCAATATGCTGTTGGGACCTGGTGATTTAAACTATTTAAATGGCACTTGGCCAACAGCAGGCAATTTTTGATATTTTATTTTTAATATTTTAGAGTTTTAAAATAATGGAATACTGTTTGAGTAAAGGTGTAAACTGGTTTGACACCGCATTAATGTAAGTTGTTCAAAAATTTACAATTGCCAAATGGTATTTTAATAAAACATTTAAAAATATGATTGTGGATCTGTATTCTGTAGTAAATTGTCCTGTTTCACTGTCCCTCCCCTTTAGTGTATACAGTGTGCTTGAAGTAGCTTTTCAATGTCTACTTTACAGTCTCTGTTAAATGTTCCTTCAGATGCCTGTTTTATTGCATTTGCATTTACATTGCAAAGCTATGACCATAGCTTGCATCTGCATTTACATTGCAAAGCTATGACCATAGTTTGCATCTGCATTTACATTGCAAAGCTATGACCATAGTTTGCATCTGCATTTACATTGCAAAGCTATGACCATAGTTTGCATCTGCATTTACATTACAAAGCTATGACCATAGTTTGCATCTGCATTTACATTGCAAAGCTATGACCATAGTTTGCATCTGCATTTACATTGCAAAGCTATGACCATAGCTTGCATCTGCATTTACATTGCAAAGCTATGACCATAGCGTACATTGCCAGCTGATTGTTATGTTTTGGCAAATTATAAGCTGTGTAACATTTTGAAGTGTATGTTAGTCATTGTCATATTCAAATAATGCATTAAATGCATTAACGTCTGAATGTTTGGGATTGTTTCATCAGGTATAATGGGAGCAAAAGTGAGAAAATAGTTGGAAATTTTGCCGCCAAAGTGGGGCGAGCAAAGGTATGATGTTTAATTTTATCATAATTTGCTGAAACAATAACTTTTTTCCCGCATCGTTTACTTCTTCTGACTTATTCAGAAAATTTTGCTCATTTTTTTTGAAATGATATTACTTTTTTGGGCCAGATATTAAAAATTAAGAAGATGGATACACATTGAGCGAGGACCATTTTATTATTGACTAACTTTTCTGTCGGTTTTGTAGATAAAGATTGCAACAAAAGCTTTCCCTGGCTACAATGATAAAGGTCCTTGGCTACAATGATAATCATTAAATATTATTAATATACTTTTTTGTGAGTAGACTGTGCGCATGCAAACCACTATTTTATACCAATTGTACCCTATGGTTATACCACAAAAAAAGTAGAAAACGGCCGACCAAATGGCTTCCATTCATATCACTGAACTCTATGTTCTGACTGGATACACAAAACAAAGCACTTACAAATTAACAAAGACATACTAAAGAACGGGAAAGTTAACACAGTGACGAGATTTCTAATGCAGTATCTCATTAAAAGAATGCAATATGTCACTTCTGTTTCGCTTACTATAGCCAAAACCCAATTACTCAAGATGTCGTACACAAATAAAAGCTTTTCAAGCGATAGTTGTAGTGACAATGAGTTTTTGCTCAAATTCGAGAGAAAATCTAAGGACTTCGCTTTTCACAATTTGAGCACGTAAGAACATTTATACGTGACGTACAATCTAAGCAGGGCGCCTTCGGCAAATGCAGAAAGGTTTGTGAATTGCTGTTAATTAAAACAGCGAGCGCAAAGCATACATATTTTTTAAATCTCTGCATTTTTCAAAGTTTCACGTTAATAGCATTAAATGTATAATATTATTTGAATCGTGTTCGGCAATGTTCTTCACTTTGTGGTCATTTATTGAACAGGATACCCACATGTACACAACGGACCTATTTCTATAAGATAGTATATTGTGAATATTTCAAATGTCGAATTGTCATCAAAATGTTAAATATGGATTGTTTATTCATCTTTTTATCTTTACGTACCTGTACACGTATTGCATTTTAGGTTTTAGTTTTGATGGTATTATTGAACAACTGAATGAATCCTTAAGCAACTTACAAACGGATTACGTGGACATCTTTTATCTCCATTATCCTGATCGCAATTTTCCTATCGAAGAAACACTCAAAGCTTGTAATGAACTTCATAAACGTAGGTTTATTTTTAAACTTATTATCAAACATGTCTTCTGTCAACGTACAAATTTACTCTCGCAATTCGATGCATTATCTTGAGCTTTGATCAGCATCTGTGAAATACAGCGACGTCAAGGTGTATGCGTGTATCAAAAAATGAACACCTTTACTTCATTTCAATCCCCATCAGTATGCCAGGCTCACCGGTACATGGTGCTTAACCCTCTAGGAGCCGGACCTTTTCAAAAGTTTGTACACATTTCGTTTGTTGATTGTTGCCTGTGGGCACCAACGGTCTCTAGAGGGTTAAAGTATTGTCGGCTACGTGCATACATATCTATGATGTTGCTATCGCAAAAGCTTTTCAGCTCTCGAAAATTTAACAGAACTTCTTACAGCAAAACATACACAGTAACGCACCAGTGGGATTAGCTTAGTATTCAGGCATCGAAATTTCACGATAGAGTGTTTACATCGGTCACCGTTTTAGGGGGAAATTATATAAAGTAAAAAGATTTATGTTAATTTCATGCTCTGTTGAGCATCGGCATTTTGATGTGCTCCTCCAACATGGCTGCCATGACGTCACATGCAAACACTCTATTGGTCAATTTCAACAGGTCTTTTTTACGCACCTTGCATATTCATGTCACATCACAACACGGAATCTTATCAATGCCCCATGTACTGTGCTATTTTTAGAAGGGAAATTTAAAGAACTAGGCGTCAGTAATTACGCGTCCTGGGAACTGGTAATTATTTTCCTCCTCTATAATTTTGTTTCATTGTATACTGCAATCTCACCAAAGCACGAAAATTTGTTTCGAAAGTGAGCAATCACTTTAACGATAGTATGTGGTATGATTTTGACGTTTTGCTACTACGCATACGTACGTTCAAATAACCATGAAATGTCTAGCCCATTTTTTGTCAAACCATGTTCTTGTTTTCGTGTATCGGTGCATCTGTATCTTTCAACTCCTGTAAGTACCTGCCTTCTCTTGTAAGTACTTGCTTAATCTTAAAAGTACCTACTTACTCCCGTAAGTACCAGCCGACTTCTGAAAGTTGATGTTTTTAATTGCTATTCAAACTATGACCCGTAAAATAAATTTATTTCAGATGGATGTATATCACATTTGTAAAAGCAATAACTGGGTTATTCCCACGGTTTATCAAGGAATGTACAATCCGCTGACCAGGTAAAACTACAGACACATTGCGATGCGCATCAAGTGCAAAGATTGGTAACTAGTTCCTCTGATCCGCGCACCTTCGATTGCTTTTTGTTCCATTCTACCGGCACCAACTCGCCTTTTTTTTCAAACATTTAATTTCTGTAAAATTACCTATATCCTTACTTCGTAAAGTATTACTACGTTAACTCCTTTAATCACAAGTTTAGCCAAGCGTTCAGCGTTTCAGCAAAAGTTCGGCCAGTTCGTCATGTTGTTTATAGTTGAAATTTTTCTCCGTACATCGTACAAAATATCATTATGCAACTCTTAGTTTAACTGCATCTTCAAGACAAGATCATCTTCGTTTTCAGGATGGTCGAAGCAGAATTATTTCCTTGTTTAAGAAAAATTGGCGTGAGATTTTTTGCTTACAACATGGTAAGATTGAAGAACTGATTGGAAAAACCACTTTGCAAACTAAATACTTTTCGGTACGATTGTCGACTCAATGAGTAATGAAATGGCGCAAATGTATGTTATAGCGCCAGCATTAAATTTTATTATTAGACGATATTATACTGTGATGCGTTCACGACATTTAGTTTAACATGAAGTATTTTGTAGTTGGCGGGTGGCCTGTTAACCGGCAAACACAAGTTGGACGACAATCCTGAAGAGCAGACTAAACCAGGAAGATTCTTTGGGAAGGAATTCTGGCCCTCAAGGTTGCATTAACGATTCAGAATTTTTACCAACATAAATTGTATACATAAATGGTTACTTAAAAAGACGCATTTCAGGTCTTTTGTACATATGGTTATTTAAATTGAAAATTGAAACGTCGTATTTACATAACGTTACTTGGGAGTACACGTTCCTACCTCTATGTACATATGGCTACTTAAGTTGATACGTTCTTTCACATTTAACACATTTGTAAACGACACAAGTTGACCCATTTGTAAACGACACAAGTTAACACATTTGTAAACGACACAAGTTGACACGTTTGTAAATGGCACAAGTTGACCCATTTGTAAATGACACAAGTTGACCCATTTGTAAATGACACAAGTTGACACATTTGTAAACGACACAAGTTGACACATTTGTAAATGACACAAGTTGACACATTTGTAAATGACACAAGTTGACACATTTGTAAACGACACAAGTTAACCCAATTGTAAATGGCATAAGTTGATACATTTGCTCACAAATTTTATTCACACAGTTTGTAATTTTTCCTTGTGAATAAACGAAGCAACGCTGTTTTGGCATCTTCAAAGCTAAGTTCTCAAAAAAATGCTATTATAAAGTAAAGCTTGTCATTCAGCATTTTAAGTCTGATATTTTTACTGTAGTCGGCCTCTTTTTTGGGCATATTTTTAAAAAGAATTTTAAGTGTTGATAAAAAAACAATGTGAATAATTGTAAAAATGACGTTATTGTGGAAAAAGTCGTACTTTCCCCTAAATAGGGGTGGGGGTATTCTAAGTTATGGAGCCGAATTCGTATAAATATTTTACAAAAGCTTGGTGTGTAATATTTGAGTGAGGAAGGTGAAGGAGAAATTTTTTCTTTCTAAGTTGGAATAACATTTAATTCAAGCTAATGTTGTCACATTTAGAACTCGTTTTTGGAAAGCGCTTTTGTGTTTTTGTTGTTGTAGCTACCGCAAGCGATTTTGGCACCAGGAATATTTTGACGGTGTAGAGAAAATTCAGAAAGCGACTACTTCATGTTATCGTGACGAAAACGTATCTCTTATTGAAGTGTGTACTCGATGGATGTATCATCATTCTCTGTTGTCGGAGAAACACGGAGGTACGGACTTCAACGAAAGTACTAGATTTATTTAGCGAAGTGTATCATAATATAGACGCTAAAGTTCAACTTTCGAGGAAGTGTAATAGTTAAACTTAGCTGCATGAAGCTGCAACGTTTAGACATGGAAGCACGAAATATATAAAATCGTCAACTTTCGAGGAAGTGTAATAGTTAAACTTGGCTGCATGAAGCTGCAACGTTGAGACATGGAAGCACGAAATATATAAAATCGTCAACTTTCGAGGAAGTGTAATAGTTAAACTTGGCTGCATGAAGCTGCAACGTTGAGACATGGAAGCACGAAATATATAAAATCGTCAACTTTCGAGGAAGTGTAATAGTTAAACTTGGCTGCATGAAGCTCCAACGTTTAGACATGGAAGCACGAAATATATAAATTCGTCAACTTTCGAGGAAGTGTAATAGTTAAACTTGGCTGCATGAAGCTGCGACGTTTAGACATGGAAGCACGAAATATATAAAATCGTCAACTTTCGAGGAAGTGTAATAGTTAAACTTGGCTGCATGAAGCTCCAACGTTTAGACATGGAAGCACGAAATATATAAAATCGTCAACTTTCGAGGAAGTGTAATAGTTAAACTTGGCTGCATGAAGCTGCGACGTTTAGACATGGAAGCACAAAATATATAAAATCGTCAATGAATCGATAAAGTTTTTGTGGTTGCTTTGCCTAATTTCTGTTAATCGTTCAGCTAGTTAGCAGTTTTATCCGGAACTGAACTTTATCGACACTTTTCATTTATTTTTTTTTGTAGATGGAGTTATTATTGGCGGATCTTCTCCAGCACAACTGGAAAATAATTTAAACTTTATTGACAAAGGACCTTTACATCCTGGTAACTTAGTAATAATTCAAACAAATTCTGACTTTTTGATGTCATTTTACCACCTTTTTTATCTTCGTTCAAATTTCTGCTGATATAGCCAGTGGCGCAGCTCGAACGTTAATTGTTCATATTCATATATTCCGTTGTGCACTACTGATTTCTTTTGAAAGTAATTTGAATTTCAAAAGAAATCAGTAGGGCACAACTGAACATATGAATATACAACCCCAATTGACGTTCCAGTTACGCCTCTGGATATAGCTACCATCTTTACTTTCTGATAACTTCTATAAGTGAATTTGTAATTTCACCATCTTTATTGTGCTCGTTTCTCGTGTAGTTTCGAAGTTCTCACATCCTGGTAACTTTACAATAATATTCAAAAAAATTCTGACAAATTTCGAAAAACTTCTGACGTAATCCTGACACTTCGTCGTTTTCTTCAACCATTACTAAAATAAAGGCAGCTCAATCTCAGTCAATAGCTAACTCCGTATGCTGGGTTCAAAGTTTATTTTATTAAGTAGATTTTGAACTGTAAGTTATCTTTATCATTAGTTTTTTTTTATGTTTTAAGACATTGTTGCTGCATTTGAACTTTCTTGGGAAAGAATTAGTGGCGTTTGTCCTCGTTACAATCGGTAGCCGAACTATGATTGGTCAGTTTCAATTGACGATTTCAATGAACTCTAACTACGGACAAGTTCTGATACAGAATTAAATCATTTATATTTTCCAAAAGTTTATCTATATATTACTGAATAAAATGTAGGTGGTGGATTTTTTTGAATGCATTTTCTACAAGGAAATAATTTCCTATTAAAGACGATTCCTCCATGATTTAGTCACCAGTACACTTTGTAATCTTTTGTGAAAAAATATTTCTATTGCTAATTGTATGTGAGTTTTTGTAATTTTTTTTAAACTATCAATCACTTGCAAATCTTTCCACAATTTCTGTTATTAAACATTTGCAAAGCATTAGGACGCGAAGTGAACATTACACGGAAACAATTTACCGAATATTAATTGCTTTAATATACATCTTATGTCGTTTTTACGATATAGCTTGTAAGGATACAAGCTACGTACCAATGTAAGCTACGTCGATAAAACACATAGTAAGTTGTTGCTCATTTGCTAATTGAAGCAGTTTCGACATTTTTATGGTGCATTTTTGTCTTTTTAAAAACAATCTCAAACGATATCGCAATAACAAATAATTCATTGCTTCCCTAGCAACCGCTATTCTTTAGATAATGTCCCCCTGCTTATTCCGGTCTAGTTGCTTTCCTTTCAACTACCCCCTGCCTGCTTATTCCGGCTAGTTGCTTTCCTCCGAATAATACCTGTTGACTTGCCAAAGTTTGTAATATGACTGTCCATTGCAAATTTATTTGGAAAGTAGTTTCGAATCACAAACGATTTTTGATCCTGACGCTAACTCCTTTAGTACTTGTTCCTCTGCCTGCAGCTGTGAACACCAAGGTGAGATGAGTATTATTTGTGAAGAAATCATCCAATGTAGCTAATTGCTAGTTAGTAATGTACAGATAATGGATTTTCATGAAATAGTTAGTGTTCCAAAGCTTCTACATTTATTCAATCTGTAAAGAAATCCTTAAACATATTGATTATTCTGGCTCACTAGAAGATTTTCTTTCAATTTTCGAGCAAAGCGTTGTATTAAAGCAATGTAGTATTATCAACTGTGAAACTTCTGCGCATCAGTGCATGTGTACACAATAACAATATTCTTGCAATTTTCTCAATCAAAATTTTAGTATGATTGTTCTTGAACCACTGAATATAAAGTACGACATACTTGCATACAGCACCGACCTTTTAGTTATATTTGTGCAGTATACAATTTTTGTATGGCGACGAAAGCATATATGAATAATGCAACAATTCTAGATTATACAAATGATTGCTTGATTTGCTTCAACAACACTACGAACGAGACAATGCGTCCCGAACACTGATCGCGACATTCAACCTCTCCGTAACTTCTGCTGTTTGTATAACATTGTAATACTTTTAATGTTAGGCCTTGTTGTCTTGGAATGATTATTTTTTGTATTGTTTTGCAATGTTTGCTCCGATAATCGTTGAGAAAGAAACTGAGCTTCTGCAGTACTGACTTCGCTAGTTCGGTGAACCGTACACTGTTTATATAGCCGAGCCTACGGAAAATTGCCTTCGCCGGCCTTCGTCTTAGACTCTGTAGAACATAAATAAGAAAATAAACGTTTATTTTTTTGAATTTTGTTTACATTTGCATACAAAGGTAAATATTCAAGGTTAGAATTTTTATGTTTTATGACGCATATCCGTGGTTAAAACAAAGATCTTGTGTTAGACGATTTTAATGCAGACATTCAACTGCGAAAAAATAAAAACAAAAAATTACATTTCAATCTCTCTAAGAAATATGTTTATATCTTTACGTATATATGTTTCATAAAAACAGTAGAATTTACTAAAGCGTAGAACGAGTCCAAAAGCCATCATGCTCTATAATTGATTGGTTCAACGGTGCAATAGACCACTAGTTAATTTTGTTTGCATTTTCAAAGATCTAGACTAGACCTACACCATTTTGCGCTACTACCTTCAGCGATGTGTCATGATTGTTCGCGTTATGACTTCCTGGCTTAGAATAGTATTTGCTAAAGGTTGACTAAGATGACGAAACTATCTTTATACAGCTATAATGGTGGTCCTTGCTCAGTTGAAACTTTTTTTTGCGTCTTCTTTCTTGCGATTTAAAAGATCTTTTGTCGCATCATTTTCTGCCATCATTTCCAAAGTTTTTAATAACTTTGTGATCGACTCTTCATTGCTTTACTTCTATCTACTTTAACGTTGACAAACATCTGTCTTCCTTTCTTTGTTGTCTTACTTTGCAGTCATTGTCATTCTACATTTGCGTACTCCATTCATTGGAAGACTCAATGCTTTGCTCCGAATGACATGAGTTCCCAATTAAGGTGAACACAAAACATTGAACCGCTTTCAAAAACGCTTGATATCTGCGACAGCTTAGATGGTAAATGAAACCATACAAGTGCCGATTCATTTTATCCATACACCTGCATTTTATCCCCTCGTCCCTAATTCATCCTCCAACAATAGAATTTCTAATCCGATATCCGTTTCCGCGAACATGTGCTATTCGTGTATACATAATATTCTGATCCAATTACGTTGCCGGTTTAAATCATAAAACATGGCTTTCCAATGTCGCCCGATTTGCAACGCAGTTTCAACATATAAACGTTTTTTGTTGTTAGTTCTTACTCCTTTAGTATTGGCTCCTTTACCAATTGCCATTAATGAAAAGGTAAGTAAGAATATGAATGAATTTATCTTGTAAGTTTAGCTGATACTGATTTTAGATAAAACTGTTGCTGGTATTTTGATTGCACGCTGAAGTCATGATGATAATTTCGCAGAAAGATGTAAGAATGATGAATAATCATTCCAATGCTTACGAAATTATTTTTTTGCTTATTCTTACAGGATTATTCTGTTCTGCCAAACTACTTTCTGTGTTTATTCGATGTGAAGACAATATATTTCTAGAAGAAATAACAAATGATATTCTTGTTAAATAATTGAATTCACACAGCAGGAATGACATTCACCGGCAGGCCATGCACTCCAGAGAAAATGAAATTCAATATTGTGCTAAAAATGTCATCTTAACACCTTTTTATCTAAATGAGAATCGTTTGTTTTAAATGAACTACTGTAATCAATATTATGATGGTGTGACACATTCGTTATAATCTGTCATTAATACTTTAAGTTTTAACAAGATAGAAAGTGTGAGCAAAGAATTGTTTCAACAAAATTTTGGTTGTCGTGCAGTCATGTTATCGTTTAGTTTTGTGCAAAAATAAGTTCCACCACTGGGCACTGGCCTTCGCCGTATTTTTTTCAAGTTTTTCACAGGCTAAAATCGAAACAACTCCAGCAGATATTAACGGCATGCACGAACTACAAAGAAGACGAGCAGCTCTCAACGAGAAAGCTCTAAGTCTTTGCTTCTAGTATCTGATACGTACATCACCTATATGAATGTCTTCTTCTAGACCAGGTTCCGAAGATGCATTAAACCTGCATGGGGCTTCCGTTTACAAAACCATATTCTACGAAAAAAGGAAAGAAGATTTAATGATGGTGTGCAGTGTGTTATCTCTTGTTATAAATGAGCTCTCACCATGAAACAGCCAGAACGAAACAGCCAAATCTTGACAATTACAACTTTTGCTAAACGCATATTCTCGAAAATCAATTGTTATTCACTTACGATTGCTTAGTTAGAACAGTTCAAACTTAATAATCGTACGTATTGTCTTTTCCATCATGCTCGCCCAACGTAATTAATACAATTTCTTAAGAAATGAAATGATTAAAATTTTCTTTAAATATTAATTACGCGAAAATCACGGTCGAGCTTAGTGTGAAAATTTTCAATGCAAATGATTGTAAATTGAAGTATTGACCATCTACCAATAAGATAAAAACAGTACTTACATGACCAAAGCGAATATGGAACTTTTTATATACATCACATATATGAATGTCTTCTTCTAGACCAGGTTCCGAAGATGCATTAAACCTGCATGGGGCTTCCGTTTACAAAACCATATTCTATGAAAAAAGGAAAGAAGATTTAATGATGGTGTGCAGTGTGTTATCTCTTGTTATAAATGAGCTCTCACCATGAAACAGCCAGAACGAAACAGCCAAATCTTGACAATTACAACTTTTGCTAAACGCATATTCTCGAAAATCAATTGTTATTCACTTACGATTGCTTAGTTAGAACAGTTCAAACTTAATAATCGTACGTATTGTCTTTTCCATCATGCTCGCCCAACGTAATAAATACAATTTCTTAAGAAATGAAATGATTAAAATTTTCTTTAAATATTAATTACGCGAAAATCACGGCCGAGCTTAGTGTGAAAATTTTCAATGCTAATGATTGTAAATTGAAGTATTGACCATCTACCAATAAGATAAAAACAGTACTTACATGACCAAAGCGAATATGGAACTTTTTATAAAACCCAGACATACCATTACATCATCAATAAATCAACATAAGTTTTTATTATTTTGGTAATAAAAGTGGATATCACTCCTTATTTAGCAAGCAGAGTTCATATGATTCTAACAAAAAGAATTAGATTTTAGCAAGCTGGCTTTCAGATATAAATATTTGTATCAAATAAACGTCTTATGTTGATTCACGTTTGTCCGTTTATAACACAATTATCAAAAAACTCAGACAACAGCTTCTTGAGCATGCGCAAAACAAAGAATTTGAATGACTGAGCATTGGTATGTAATATTTATTTCAGGAAGGAAAATGTGCGTATGCTATCCTCATTATGGCAGTTTATTGGATAACTGAAGTGTGTCCTCTAGCTGTGACGTCACTACTTCCTCTTATACTATTTCCGGTTCTGGGTGTCGTTGAGGCAAAGAAAGTGGGCCCACCATACTTTAGTGATACCAATATTCTCTTTATGGGTGGATTGTTGGTTGCCGCTGCAGTGGAGCGCTGGAACCTACACAAGCGCATTGCTTTGTTTGTTTTGTTGAAGATTGGAGTTCAACCCAGAAGGTAGGGCTTAATGCATAGTGTAGTTATTTGATAAGAAGATTTTGCATGAAAAAGTAAGAGTTATTTCCAAGAAAACAACAAAGGCTTTCACTGCTGAAGAGAGGGTGCTGTAATGTAAACATTTTATGATAGACTGTTGATGGCGTATTCCAAAATTGATTTGCGAAATTTGTTTGACGATCCTAGCAAAGTGCTTTGCAACATGCTGCTTGAAAATATAATTTATTTGCAATTTAGACTGCTGTTCGGCTTCATGTCCGTGACTGCGTTTCTTTCAATGTGGTTAAGTAATACCGCTACGACCGCCATGATGGTTCCAATAGCTCAAGCAGTCGTAAAAGAATTGAAAAGAGGTACAATTGAAACAAGAGAAACAGATGAAAACACCTTTGATATGAACAGTTTGAAGGATGAAACGAATGATGCATCAGAAACAAAGTAAGATCAATTCTTGTATATCGTCTTGCATCTAAACATGTTTTCCACTGTCAGAGATCGTGAAAAATTGGCGGGAGGGGGCTTATATTCATATGTCCAAGATATGGCACGTTAAGTTTCTTTTAAATCGATTGTTTTCAACAGATTATAACATGTGCACATGAATATGAGCCCCCCTTTCATTATGGATTATCTGCTGTCTCTGACTGTTAAGTAGATTTCTTTAAATGGCTAAGCTTGTTACAGACAGCCCCTCCTGCTTCACACAATTGCAATATTTAAAACAGGGGGGAATCAGCACAGATCGACGCATTTTTAATAAGAAATTAATCCTACATGGTCACAATGGCTTGTTCATTAAAAAAATACCTGCAGATTTAAGAATGTAACATTGCAGATGTAATAAGTAATTTTTTAATTTTTTATAACCTGAACTCAAGAAAATCCATCTTATTTTTTTATGAAATATATTATTAGATCTTTTACAAGAGTTGGCGACACTGAAGAGGTAGCTGTAAACATTGTGATGCTATTTAATACTTATCAATGATGTTCTCGTACGCAGGTCGTTTTTAATTTATGTAGTTTTTACCTTACAGCATCAGTTTACTTTCCAAAAACAGGTTGAAATGAAGCACAACAAGTTTTGTAAGGGAATTTTCCTTAGCATAGCGTATGCAGCGAACATCGGTGGAACCGGTACATTAACAGGAACTGGACCTAATCTTGTTCTTAGTGGCCAATCTGAAGAGTAAGATAACTAAAAAAATTGTGATAAACATTTGCAATACATAAACTCAATAACAAAACCACAGAAAAAGAAATGTTTACGTAATCAAGTTTATTATTAACATTGAAGGTTGTTTCCTGGCAGCGGCGGAATAGGCTTCGCTGATTGGTTTATTTACAGTTTTCCTCAGATGATCATGTTGTTGCTGATTGCCTGGATCTGGATTCAATATCTTTATCTAGACACAAAGTAAAATATTTAACGTTGAAGATATTCTTGCCCGTCATGAAGTTATAACAAGTTAAATGAAATGCTAGAATGCTTTGTTCGATTACTTTTCATCCTAAAGATTTTCTTGCTTTTTAAAGATGAGTGTTTTCTTTCAAAGTCACATTAAAGATTTTCTGTTTTAAATGTTTATGCTGTTCAGTACTAATGCGTTTGTCAAGGAAAGTTGCTTGTTAAAATTGTCGTATAAATGACTCAAACAAAAACTTGCAACAAATTTTTAGGTTTTCAGAATTCTTCTTCTGTCGTAAAACAATGCAAACAAGTAGAATAGATTACGTCGAAAAGGCCAGAAGCATTGTAAGACAACAATATGAAGAACTGGGACCAATTACGTACGTTTTATAAAATAAAGTAAAGTTTGGTGTCATTGAACCATAAACAAACTATTTTGCTGGGTAGTAGCCTCGTGGTTATGCTGCTGCAAAGACCGGCTTTCGTATATTAGCATAAAATTTCATAAAATTGTTATTTAATATTTAGTCAAGAGATATCAATTCTTACAGGTTTGCTGAAGTGACGGTCTTAATTCATTTTGTGACCCTTACGTTACTTTGGCTGTTCAGAGATCCGAAATTTATCGATGGTTGGTCTATATTGTTTAGAAAAGGGTAAGAATTTATAGCATAAACTCAAGACTTCTTGCATTGGTATTGATCAAATACATTGAATTGCATTTAACCTTATCTGCGCATGTTCTTGGAATCTTTTCATTTCCACAAACCATGTTCAGCATGAATATATATTTGTATATCCTCAGCTTAATTATATACGCCCTAGAAACATACGGGCTTCAGGGAAATTCCAGGAAATTCGTCCAGTGGAACATGCCTGACATTTACTTATTTTTAAAAGACTGTCTGGACCCACAATGTATGTCTATATAAGTGCATGTAATAATTAACTATGTTCTCAGTACGTCTATATAAGTGCATGTAATATTTAACTATGTTCTCAGTATGTCTATATAAGTGCATGTAATATTTAACTATGTTCTCAGTATGTCTATATAAGTGCATGTAATATTTAACTATGTTCTCAGTATGTCTATATTGTTTTAGTTTTGTCCGTGATGGCACTGTTGGTATTGTTGTCGCATTTTCTTTGTTTAACTTCCCATCGCGCATGCCAAAGTTAATTGCAAAATTACTGTGTAGAACTATCATTGAAGACGAACAAGGTAATTTATTTGCATATTAAACTGTTTGCCATTCGTAATTCGAGGGAAAAACTACCGTATTTTTGTAGGGGTATCAACTAACATGATACCAATATAGTATCGACGTATTACTAAAGTAAGATCATCCCATCTAAGTGGTGCTCAATTGACATCATTAACAATGGTGAAGTGTGCCGATGAAAGACGACCCTGTACTTACAATTAAATTACTTTCCGGTTTGTGAGTGCGTATGATTTTTATGCACGAGTGAACGTAGCGAACGAGTTTGTTTTCAGTTCTTCTCGATGAGTGCTTAGTAAAATTGGTACAAACAAACAAACCATGAAATAGTCTTTTTCTTATACGAGAATTAAAGTGTAGACTATTTTGTAATTTGTCGCTGAAGTAAGTGATAGACAAAATTCCAACACTTCAAAACAATCATATATTTTGCAAAAAAAAATACAACAACATAAATGAACTGTTCATTGGGACAAAATAGTTTTTCTATCATTTCTCTTTTAACAATATGAAAGCCAATTTCTCTCACGAAGGAAATATGCTCCTATACTTCGTTGTCTTTTTTTCTTTCGGAAGGAAACGAAATAAATTCACTTACTTATTCATTCAGTATCTTGATTCATATATTCTTGATACTTCAAGATTCATGTTTCGACGGTAAATTTTTATCATTTTCCTGTCATTTAATTGTTTTTATTTCATTATTCATTGCTCGTGAAAATCAATACTCGTATAATAAAATGGTAGATTTTCCATTCCATGTTGTAGCTATGTATGACCGTATACATACAATGATATATTGTATATGCTCTGCTATATATGTGCTATGTTGTATATTGGAAGAAACGAAATGTTTTATGGAAATACAACATGCATTTATATATTGCAGATGACTTTTCTTACCAAAAAACTCTTCTCGAATGGGACACAGTGTCGCGAAAATTTTCGTGGGATATTCTTTTGCTTTTGGGAGCAGGTTTCGCCATGGCAAAGGCTGCGAAGGTGATTTGAATGAAGCATTTATTCACTGAAAAAGAATAATGTTTTCTCCTCATGAAACTCTTTTATTTCAGGACTCTGGTTTATCTTTATGGTTGGGTTTACAACTTAGTAAAATGGATAGTCTACCTGTGGCTGTCATAGTTTTAATAAGCGTCACGATGTTGTGTGGTTTCACAGAAGTTACATCAAACACAGCTACAGCAACAATATTTATTCCTATCCTAGGAGCATTAGTGAGTGATTTATCATCTTTCTTATAACATTTTCATGTATCCTATCCTTTACATTTTGAAATATTTTCCATAAAGGCTACTGCTCTTCAAATTCATCCATGGCGTCTTATGATACCCGCGACAGCAGCTTGTTCCTTTGCTTTTATGTTGCCAGTAGCAACTCCTCCGAACGCCATTGTGTTTTCTTCAGGTTATCTTAAAGTTACTGATATGGTAATGAATGACGTGTTGTTTCTAAGATAAATTTATTAGAACACTCTTTCATTAGACCAGCACAGTTTTTACTACCACAATGCAAATATTTTTTTGTCAATTACTTGAAAAAATGAGTTGGATTAATTTTCTAAAGAAGGAAATATAATAATTTAGTTAAAATTTTTCATTGTTAGGGAAACCACACAGAAAACATTGTTGAACTGAGTTGTTGAGGCTAACAACCAGGGGCGTCGGAAGCGGAGGGGGGAGGGTGGGTAAAGCAAAATTACCATAAAAGAGAATGTTTACTAATAGTCTATTTTGACTATAAAACATACATATGAACAGTGCAGTGAGTGGACTATAAAGAATCACGTAGAAATCGTTTGCAATTTTTTTTCATTAGTTTATTACGTTCGCGATTAGATGACCAGCGTTGCTAAAATTCAAAATGGCGACTATTTGACAACATGTTACAAACATCGGTACTCGTAATTTCTAAATGTGCCCCTCCCCCTTCCAAGTTCCTTCCGACATCCCTGCAGTAACAACGTTCCTTTGCGCATCATCTTACTGTTTATTTTGTTTATTTATTTCATTTTAATTATGCAGTTACAATAATGTAAAATAAAAATCACTGAAACAACCACGAAAAGATAATTTCCACTAATGGGTTTTCCGAACGAGATAGAATTGAGAAGAAAACGTATTGAATCTATTGTCAAATTTCTACTATTGTTGAGCAGAATATTGTTGCATGCAAGTAGCATAGTTAACACGTTGTGGCTCGTTGAAAAATGTCACATAAATTTTACATTTTCCAGTTTATCAGATCAGATTAGGAAAATTAATTTTCAATACACATTTAATATAAACGACAATTTTTTGAAAATAGACATGTTTCGACATCTCATGATGCCGATGGCATCATGAATCATGAATCATGAATCATGGCATCATGAATCGATTTCGGCATCATGAGATGTCGAAACATGTCTATTTTCAAAAAAGTTGTCATTTATATTTAATGTGTATTGGCAATAGTGCTTTTACGAAATTATGGAAAAATTAATTTTATAATATGCTGACAAACGTCCTTGTTTGGTTTCTTAAACTTATGCTTTTGCCGGCAATTCATGCTGATATTGCTAATTTTAGTATTTTCGCATATCTTCATGAGAGTTTGATTTCAAACTTTATTTTTCATTTAAAAAAACGGCATCAATCAACTTAGTTCAATTTAATTCATCAATCACTCTTTATAACTGACATATGTAAAAAGTACTTTTCTCTCAAATTATATAACAATGCTCATAATTTATGTTGTCTGAATTTGATATGTTTTACAAAAATACCCTGCTGTTTTTTTGAGATCACCTGAATATAATTTCTTATGCTAAATTTCTTTGATTACAGGTAAAGACAGGGATAGTGTTGAACATTACTGGTATAATTGTGTTGATGGTATGGTTATACACATTTGGTACATGGTATTTTGATCTTAATACATTTCCTGAATGGGCTGAAACGATCGTGAAGAAAAACTCTACCAAGACTGTTCAATGTATAGTTCGTAACATTACTGCTTGAGTTGAATGACTGACAAAATATATAACACTGTCAATATACTTGAAGTGAAGGGGCGAATCTAAAAACAAATAAGCAAGAAGAAAAAAATAACTAAATTAAAAGTGACACAGTTTGAGGATACGTCCGCAATCTTCAAGCCATTCAGTTAAATTCCTGTACACCACAAGACTATTGTACTTAAGAAAATTATTCATTTAAGTATATAAAGTAACCATTTTTTTGTACACCCTTTGCATTCAAATTTCATGCGATTGAGATAACATTAAATACTTACTATTCGTTGGGATTATTTAAGCCATTTGTAATCCAACTCTACTGCTGCTTAATGCCATATCTGCGTGCATAAGTTTAAAATGTCGCACAATGGTTTCAATGCAAACTATAAAAATGTAACCCAAACGGATGGAATATTGTTGAAAACGTTGTTGTAGCCATGCATGTTTGAAAAATACAAATTAGAAACATTTTATAAAGGTTAACAAGATGAGCACTTAATTAGTACCCCAAGGCCTGTCCTAAGGGCATGTTGCCATTCTATAACAACGTATTCGAAGTGAAAAAAACAGTGTCTTTGTCAGAAATATTGAGGTTGGTTTGATGCACCCTGTGTGAAATGAAAAAGTATCCACTCACAAGTAAGGCGACATTTATTTTCTCTTTTATGCTTTAAGTAATCACTTCAAGTAATTATTTAATAGTGAATAATGTATGTCAGAAATACTTTTGAATTAATTAAAAGTATGTTCCCACTTTTGAAGAATAGGATGACGAGCGTACATAGGGTAGCATAAATTAGCAGCCTCACAAATTAATACACGGCCGGCGGCATAAAAATAAAATGGCTTGATTAGCCCCTTTTTTTAATAACATCACGCTTATTTAAAATGATATACATCAAACTTTCACAAAGTTTTACCAGTGTCGACATTTGTCCATTATCAAGCTGATCGTGTTACGAAACATTAAGTGATAAGAATGTCTATTTGAATCAAGAATGACTTGAAGATATTTCTTTTGTGGAGGCTTTTCAGCTTTTAAAAGTGCTCGCACAGCGACGAAGGCAAGAAAACGTTTTATGATACGTCGTTGTTGACTCAACAGATATATCGAACGCTTGTTTACATTCGTATAAAGAATTGTTTACATTCGTATGAAGAATTGTTTACTTTCGTATGAAGAATTGTTACTTTCGTATAAAGAATTGTTTACTTTCGTATGAAGAATTGTTTACATTCGTATGAAGAATTGTTTACATTCGTATGAAGAATTGTTATTTTCGTATAAAGAATTGTTTACTTTCGTATGAAGAATTGTTTACATTCGTATGAAGAATTGTTTACATTCGTATAAAGAATTGTTTACTTTCGTATGAAGAGACGTTGTCTCAACTACATGGGGACTTCCCCTTGTGATTTTGTTGTTTCTATTATGTTAATAACATTTCGATAGGCCACTTTGACATTTTTGTTTATTGCATCGAAATTGTATCAACATAGCCGTTAGCCTGCGAATAGGCTAAGTTCCAACTTATCGTTTCCGTTAATACTTACTAGTTTGAATATATGAAAATGGCTTACAAATATCGCTCAATTTGCCAGGCAGTTTTAACATATAAACGTTTCTTGTGTTTAGTCTTGATTCCTCTAGTATTTGCTCCTTTACCAATCGCCATCAATAAAAAGGTGAGTAAGGTTATGAATAAATATCAGCTGATATTGATTTTAGCATAAGGTATGTGCTGGTGATTCTAAGATGCACGCAAGTCATCATGGATGGAGTATTTTGTAGAATATACATTTCAATGATGCATTAAACCAGATGCGGTAACGCCTGATTATTTTGCCTGAGGTATTTCTCTTTTGAGTACTCGCAGTAAAAACTGAAAATCAATGATGTGTGACGTAAATTTATTTACACAGCAGGACTACGACGTGGAAATTAACCACGATAATTAGGCTTTCTGTTTACATAATATGTACATTCCACGACGTATAGGTTCGCAAGTTGAAAATGATGAATAAGTATGATCTGAACATGAATCTTTCGCTTAAAATGATTATTCTGATTAAATTTATTCAGCATAAAATTGAACTAATAATTCAAGATGGCAGCGAAGCTTTTCTTTGTAATCACTGACCTTTATACAAGGGCTAAATTCAAATTTCAAAAACTAAGTTAACGGAGTGATATATATGTATACGTGTTGACCATTGTGGGAGTTGTTCTTCATTTTAATTGTAGCTTTGATCAACTCAACTTCGTGAAACAGAGGGTCAATTTTACTTCATTCAACTTTACGCTTCGTTGGAGCAGATCATTGCTCGAGTACCGAAAATTGTACAGTTCTCCTCAATTTACTAAGTTCAAAAACTGACAAAGGAGGTTCGGGACAGCCATAATTGAGAACAGCTATATTTCGATTGAAAATTTATAACCAATATGCGATCTGCGCACAATCTTGGCAAAACTGTCAGTCGAATATTTTTATAAGTACGCTCTTGATACGAACAATTTAGTCAACAGTATACAGCTAGCTTTGTCACATGTTGTTATAACGCTATAGATACCGTATTTGAGGAAGGTTGATTATAGACGAAGGCTTTCTCCGTTAGACTATGATAAATAAAACTTTCATTTTCACTCTGCTTTAAACAAAAGCCAAATATAGTTCTACGTCTGCATGATTACTAAAAGTCTATGGAATATAATAACATTGATTTTGAAGCACATAAAAAGTGAAACTGTACCAAGCTGTTTGACAAGCCATGCCTGAAGCTAGAAGCATATTTCTTTTCTTCGCACCATCTTATACATCAGAGTGCTATTGACCTTTTGAACTTGACAAAGCTGCGCATGCGTAATTTAAGCGTGCCAGCATTTTGCGCTACAGCGTAGAATGCAGCTCTATGGATATTAGTCTTTATTTCCTGAAGCTGCATGCAATACCATGAAGTAAATAAAGCAAACCAAAGCTCAAAAACATTAAAGCTGAATTCGCTTAGTCCGCCATAATTGTTTTTCCAGACCTGCTTGAATATTCACGACCATGTAATCGTGAACTCATTTCAGCTAAGGCTGAAATTGCTCCATGTAATCAGCTCCTTAGTATTCGCATTGCGGTATATATATGTGAAGGTGTCTATATTTTTGTCGAATATAAAGACAACAAAATCCATATAGCATAAAAATTGCATAAATCACCAAGACATGACCATAAAGTCTAAAGGGAGTGGTGCACATGATGTCAATATTTTGTATGTAAAATACCCTTTGTTAAGGGTAGTTGACTTTGCACATGCCCATTAAAGACTCAATGGCATCAAACACGTGATTGAGTCTGTGGATATGGGGGGGATACACGTGCACCCCGCCTGATCACTCAACGTTGATGTATGAAATTTATTTCAGGAAGGAAAATGTGCGTATGCTATCCTCGTTATGGCAGTTTATTGGATAACTGAAGTGTGTCCTTTAGCTGTGACGTCACTACTTCCTCTTATACTATTTCCGCTTCTGGGTGTCGTTGAGGCAAAGGAAGTGAGCCTGCCATACTTTAGTGAAACAAATGTTCTCTTACTTGGTGCTTTAATGCTTGCTGTTGCAGTGGAGCACTGGAACCTACACAAACGTATCGCCTTGTTCGTCTTGTTGAAAATTGGAGTTCAACCCAGAAGGTAGCGATGAAGCCATGTTTGGTTTCTAGATAAACAGCCGTTGCATTAAAAAAAAATCGGTTTCCTTCTATTTTTCTAAGGCAAATGCATTAATATTAGTTCCTTAAACAGCGAAAGAATGGCGCTCGTATTTTTTACAAAGTATAACCAACTTTTAATGCTCAGCAGTTGATTTGCGTAAACCTAAAAATATAATTATTTTGTAATTTAGACTGTTGTTCGGCTTTATGTTTGTGACTTCGTTTTTTTCAATGTGGCTAAGTAATACTGCTACAACCTCCATGATGGTTCCAATAGCACAAGCTGTTCTAGAAGAATTAAAGGAAGGTACAAAGGAGACAAGAGAAACTGATGAAAACACCTTTGAATTGAAGAGTTTGAAGGATGAACTGCTTGATACAGAAACGAAGTAAGAGTTATTTGCTCTAATATGATGGCACATTTCCCCTTATGCGGCAAACATTTTCTTTTAAAATATTAAAGTGATCTTATATCTCAACTTGAGTTCATGCGAAAATCGAATTAAGTAAACGAACATTCAGAGTATAAAAGTAAGAAATAGCAAAGTGAAAAGAACAAAAAGACGCAAATAGAAGTAAAAACGTTATGTGCAACAAAACAGAGTATTCAGACGAATATTTTACATTGCTAAATTGTTAGTTAAAATAAGTCGAAGGGTTTGAAAATGTAACATTAGTTCTTCAATTATTTTCGTGATTTTTTGAACATATTACTGATCTACGGAATAGCTAACTTAAATCTCATTTGATTTGTATTAATTAGGTTTACAAGATGTAACAACAATGAAGAGGTGTGTATCATTAAAGTTTTACAATGTGAATTTATATGTAGTTTACAATTTACAGTTTCAGTTTAATTTCAGATTGACGTGAGGCATAACAGGCTTTGTAAAGGAATTTTTCTAAGCATAGCGTACGCGGCCAACATTGGTGGGACTGGTACTTTAACAGGAACTGGACCTAATCGGATTCTTGGTGGTCAATCGGAAGAGTAAGACGAAAGAACATATTTCAATGGAAATTTGCAGTACAAAATTCAATAAAATAACAAGACCTAGTTGATTGAAAAAAAAACATGTACATGGATCTTCAGGTAATCAACTTTAATATTTACATTTAAGGTTGTTTCCTGGCAGCGGTGGATTAGGCTTCGCTGATTGGTTTTTCTATAGTTTTCCTCAAATGATCATCTTGTTGTTGATGACCTGGATGTGGATTCAATATTTTTATCTGGACACAAAGTAAAAAGTTTGTTGTTTGCCATGTTCTCGTCTGCTATGAAGTTGTAAAAAGTTCAATGAAATGATAGCTAAAATGCTTTTATTTCAACCAAAAGATTTTCTTTCGGTTGAAACAAAAGCATTAGAGATATAACATACGCGACCTAAGCACATGTATGTTAAGTAGTGAGCGTTCTTCCTCGAAAAATGCGTACGTTGAACAACTTTGGTTGTAATAATGTTGAAGATTTGCATTAAATTTTCAGCTTTTTAGAATTTTTTCGCTGTCGTAAAAGGAAGCAAAAAAGTAGAACGGATTACGAAGAAAAAGCCCGAAGCATTTTAAGACAACAATACGTAGAACTAGGACCAATCACGTACGTATGTTCTATAAAAAATTGTAAACTTGAGTTCACTATCATTAATAAAATGCGTATCAGTCATTTACCAGCAAAGAAATCTTACACATCTATTAAAATGTATTGATGAAGCTTACTTCGTATACATGAAAACTTAACAACACCGTAGGCAATCCACAATTTTGATTATTGAGTCTTGTAGAAACAATAAATATGAACAAAAATCAGTAGTGTTGTCCTACAATTAAAATTTGTAGCAAAGAATTCTTTCTGAATGGCAATGCTACTCTAAGACCTGATCGTCGTATTTAGCATTAAAATATTATTTACTATCTATAGCAACGTTTTTAATTAATGTAGATTTGCTGAAGTGGCCGTTTTAATTCATTTTGCCACTCTCACTGTATTTTGGCTGTTCAGAGACCCAAAGTTTATCAGTGGTTGGTCTGTACTGTTTAAAAAAGGGTAAGAATTGAAAACATAAACTCAGCACTCGTTGCAACCGTTCTGGATAAAATAGAAAAGTTTGGTTTCAATGTTTACATAAAAAAGTAACTCTGACAGACGTTAAAAGTGGCGTGAAAATGCAATCTTTTTTTATAATTTTGCCATAGCAACGATGGTTGGCCGATAATTTGTGGTAGGGGACTGTGGATGAGGATTTCAATAAATGCATTCCCTTACCCAATAATATGAATTTATGTGTCATGGTAATTTTCATCACCTTACAAATATTTGTTTTGAACGTTTTTGTGGACATCTATTCATATCTTTGGTCGTGGGTTTTGTCAACGCTCTCAAAGAATATTTATGTTTCTAGTGATTATCTTTGTTCCATGGAAAATATGATCTTTTATGATAATAATGAAGTATTTGATTATGGTCTCTATATTTTTGCAGATATGTTCGCGATGGGACAGTTTCCATTATGGTTGCATTTTCTCTGTTTATCGTTCCATCGCGCATGCCCAAATTCATCGCAAGGCTAATTGGCAGGGATATTAATCAAGATAAACAGGGTGAATATATTTTGGGTATTAATTAACAAACAGATAACATTTAACCGTTGTCTATACAGTTATAGATACACGGGTATGACGTCAATTGTGGTCACTTTAAGTTTTTATCTTAGCTTGAACATAATGTGCCATATTTCAAATTTAGGTTTTCCATTCGCATTTTAGTTGTGTCATTTTCATGCGCAAGCTATTGCAAATCTGCCATTCGGTAACACAATTCTCTACCTAAAAATGGTTTTGATTTGCGACATATTTTCTATCAAATCAGACAAATTAAAAGTCCAACTAACTATATCCACTAAAAGGTTTTCCAAATCTCTCGCGCTCATGAGTATAGGGTCGTTTTTCTAACCGTTCTGTTTTTTTACACCCTTTGTATTTTGCAGATGACGATGCTCACTCAAAATCTCTTCTCGACTGGGACACAGTTTCGCAGAAATTTCCATGGAATATAACCTTGCTGATGGGAGCAGGTTTCGCCATGGCAAAAGCTGCGAGGGTGATTTGACTGACGCATATATTTACTGAAAAAAAATACAGTTTTCTCCTTATGAATCTCTTTTATTTCAGGACTCTGGTTTATCTTTATGGTTGGGTTTACAACTTAGTAAAATGGATAGTCTACCTGTGGCTGTCATAGTTTTAATAAGCGTCACGATGTTGTGTGGTTTCACAGAAGTTACATCAACACAGCTACAGCAACAATATTTATTCCTATCCTAGGAGCATTAGTGAGTGATTTATCATCTTTTTTATAAAATTTTCATGTATCCTATATTTTACATTTTGATATATTTTCGATAAAGGCAACTGCAGTTCAAATTCATCCATGGCGTCTTATGATACCTGCAACAGTGGCCTGTTCCTTTGCTTTTATGTTGCCAGTAGCAACTCCTCCAAACGCCATTGTGTTTGGGTTAGGATATCTTAAAGTTACTGACATGGTAATATTTATGTGTTTCTCTTTTAAAGATAAATTGATTATAAACATCATTTAACTTAACCATCTTGTTTCTTACTTTTGCTTGGCAAAGATTTTTGTGTTTTTTCATTGAAGAAATATCAAATGAATTTTCTTAAGAAATCACTAAAAACAATGGTTAAAAAGTTTTCTTTGTTAAATTGAACGTTCGGGCTGGCCTTGCCTCGATGATTGACTTTTTGCACTAGCTTCATTGTATTGCACAACATTTTATTTGATGAAAGCAAGAAAGATCTTTTTAAGAATATTTTTGCCAAGTTTTTATACATTGTAAGGTCATCAGAGCTAATGAATTTTAGATCCTATCAAATAGTAATCTGTGTTTTGATGCTATTAAAAGCTCAAACAATAAGAGAGAAATAAGTTGAAAAACATCTTTTTCTGAAACTTATATTTTTGGCTTTTTTGATAATGGTCAGTTTTCACCACGAGTGTTTTCATTTTAAAAAATGACATCAGTTATCGTAATTTAATTGAATTCATCAATCATTCTTTATAATTGACATATGTAAAAAGTACTTTTCTCTCAAATTATGCAACAATGCTCATAATTTATTTTGTCTGAATTTGATATGTTTAACAAAAATGCCCTGCTGTTTCTCTTGAGATCACCTGAATATAATTTCTTATGCTAAATTTCTTTGATTACAGGTAAAGACAGGGATAGTGCTGAACATTACAGGTATAATTGTGTTGATGGTATGGTTATACACATTTGGTACATGGTATTTTGATCTTAATACATTTCCTGAATGGGCTGAAACGATCGTGAAGAAAAACTCTACCAAGAATGTTCAATGTATAGTTCGTAACATTACTGCTTGAGTAGAATGACTGACAAAAAAAAAACTTAACACAATAATCAGGCTGTCAGTATTCCTGAGGTGAAGGCGTGAAAGCCAAACGTAAAAACAATTAAGCAAGAAGCAGAAAATAACAAAATTAGTAGTAACACTCGTATCTGGTGGTCAAATTACGTGTATTACACGCATGAAGTTACACGTTACGCGAGACTTGTCAATAAAACATGCTTTTAACGAAGTCTTTTTTTCATTTTTGTTGAAAGAAAGAATATTAAATTGTAGAAAAGTATTGGGCCATTAAAGCTAATGGCTTGATCTTTATTCAGTCAATTATGATGCTTTCCATGGAATACGTCTTTACATGTTTGTAAATGTAGATCGTCCAGGTTGGTATAGCCCTGAGAAGGACTGTTTTTGTTGTTGTTGACTCAACAAAAACAAACAAAACAGTCCTTCTCAAGTCAGCAACAAAAACAGTCAACAACAAACAGTCAAACAGTCAACAACAACAAAAACAGTCCTTCTCAGGACTATACCAACCTGGACGATCTACATTTACAAACATGTAACGATACTCCCGGGTTCAAACCATTTACTTGAATACGTCTTTAGTTAGAACTCTTGAGCAGGTTCCACCTTCGATCTTCGGTCTCGGGTTTGCACTGATGTGCTGTCGCCTGTGTTAATTTTACACTTCAACAAATATAGATAAATAATAAAAGCAGGTCCGTACATGCATTTCCAATATTGCTGATACATAATATAAATCCTAACACGTTTTAATATGCAGATGAATAACATGTGATTTGACGAGATTTGAACTCGCACCTCCGGGATACTATTTCGCCGCTACCAAGCCCACAGGGACTGGAGACGAGTCAAATATCTTTAAAACTACGTATGGACGAGAGATTCTCGCCTTGATAGCAGTTACTGGATGGCACCGTGTTTCAACTGTGTGCGAGTTCAAATCTCGTCCAAGTCAGATGTTTTTCATGTGCTTATAAAAGCGTGTTAGGATTTATATCATGTATAATCCCTGATGATAGCTTTGGAATATTCCATATACTAGTAGTTGAGAATGAATTTTATCACCGCAGATAAAGCGGTGTTTGATTCATAAAATCGCGAGCGAAAATGTATACAGTTGTACAGCTGTCTTTTATTCATAATATTTGTAACCAGTCACAGTTGCAAGTTACGTTCTAAAAAGTAATTAGTTACCGTTTCTCAAAAAAGTGACGGTTAAATGTAACTAGTTATTTGTAAAAAGTTATATTCGGCAATATACTTATAATAAATCAGACACTGTACAAGTTTAAAAAGTTTAACTAATGACTTCAATCCAAATTATACGGGTGCAGCTCAAATAACTAGAATAGCTTTGAAAAGATGCGTGTTGCAGCCATGTACATGTTCGACAAATACAAATGACGAACATATACATGCATTGTAAAAAGGTTTAACAAGATTTTTATGCTCATTCGAAGAAAACATGCTCGAAGTATAAAACATGTAAATCATATTTCTTTATTTTCTTTTGTTTTCATGCTTCAAGTAGTAACTTTGTTCGCACTGAATATGACTCAATGAAAATATTTTCTCCGTCTTAAATCTCAAATCACATTTCAATTGTATTGTGAATTTTTTTTTCTTTCCCTTGTCACGTTTCACATCATATGCCACTGACCGTCTTGTGATCACATCGCGACATATTGTTGACAAACGTCCTGTTCAAACTTGATTTATTGTTTGTGTAATTGTGTTGACGGTTTGAATCATAAAATATGGCTTTCCAATGTCGCTCGATTTGCAACGCAGTTTTAACATATAAACGTTTTTTGTTGTTAGTTCTTACTCCTTTAGTATTCGCTCCTTTACCAATTGCCATTAATGAAAAGGTGAGTAAGAATATGAATGAATTTATCTTGTAAGCTTAGCTGATACTGATTTTAGATTAAAACTGTTGCTGGTATTTTGATTACGCACAGAAGTCTTGATAGTAATTTCGCAGAAAGATATATAACTAGATATACGGTGTTGTTTAAGCTTCCTCTTTAATTTATACCTTCAGTAATGTATGTACATTAAGCAAGTTAAAAATGACATTGAAATGTGTATAGTCTATCAATATACATAAATCTTTGGCTTACAACGATTAGCTAAAATAAATTGCAGTCGGGTGACACGTTTTACGTGATCTCAACAAAAGATTTTATGTTTTTTACACAACTAAGGGCAAAAAGGTTTTCAATTTGCAAAGAAGAAATTCAAACATATCCTAACAGCAGTGCTGTAGAACTAAATTCATCAGATGGGGGGCTCTCTTGACGAAGCTGAAGCCATGATATGATGAAAAATTACCCATTTCAAAGGTAGAAGGGGGGCTCGTCCCCCAAGCGCCCCCCCCCCCTACTACAGCACTGCCTAACAGTATCCTTTGGACTTTGTAATTATTATGCAGTTAATATTTTCTTTTCAAAGCTATATTTAAAGGCTAAATTATTCGCACTGCAAATGGCATAATCGAAGACAGTTTGCATTTAAATTATTTATTGCAGTTGTTTTTTACTTTCGTGTTGAGAAAATCATAGAAAAAATTATTATGGATTTTTGCATTTTCGTCAAACAATGTATCGTCTAAAAAACAGAACTCGCTTTCCGAATGTTTTTCCTCTGACTCCTATTTGTACGTAGATGTTTTTCGTTTCGTTTTGTTTACGTTTAAACAAACTTTCGCTGTTCGCTTTAAGATAATTCTTGAATTTCGTCGAAGCATTAGCTACGTGTAATGTACTGGCAAAGTATTTCTGAGCCAATCAAAATAACTCATATCTGCTTAATGGCTTTCAGATAACAAAGTACTAATATCAGATATACGTATTTTTTTGTCATATAAGATGTAAATTGTTTTAAAGAGCAGTTGTCGTGATGGGTGGACAAGATAACCTAAGAATTTTAAAAAGATCTGTTTCATATTACAACCAAAATACTTACTCAGTACTTTTAAGCGTTAGAGTTTTCCTGTTTATAAATGACTGAGCATTGATATATAATTTTTATTTTAGGAAGGAAAATGTGCTTATGCTATGCTCATTATGGCAGTTTATTGGATAACTGAAGTGTGTCCTCTAGCTGTGACGTCACTACTTCCTCTTATACTATTTCCGCTTCTGGGTGTCGTTGAGGCAAAGGAAGTGAGCCTGCCATACTTTAGTGATACAAATGTTCTTTTAATGGGTGGATTATTGGTTGCTGTTGCAGTGGAGCGCTGGAACCTACACAAGCGTATTGCCTTGTTTGTCCTCCTCAAGATTGGGGTTCAACCCATAAGGTAGGGGCGAAGCATATGAAACAAAGAGTATTTGCATGGAAAAAGTCAGCTTATTATTTTGCAAAACGAAAGCAACAATAAAAATTTCACTTCAATAGAGAATTTTTTTAAATTCAATCAACTTTGAAAGAGTACGGTATTGCGTAAACCTGAAAATATAATTATTTTGCAATTTAGACTGCTGTTTGGCTTTATGTCCGTGACTTCATTCCTTTCAATGTGGCTAAGTAATACCGCTACAACCGCCATGATGGTTCCAATAGCACAAGCTGTTCTAAAAGAATTAAAGGAAGGTACAAATGAAACAAGAGAAACTGATGAAAACACCTTTGAATTCGAATTGGACAAATTAAAAGATGAAATGAGCGATGAATCAAAAACTGAGTATGAGTTATTTTTCTTTAATAAAGAATGGCTCGTTTTTCAATAGTTTAGTGAATACTTCAATTCATAATATTAAAAAAAGTAATCTTACATCTTAACTTACGTTTAGGAAAAATTAAATTTAGTGAACGTGAATTTAGAATATAAAAGTAAGAAATAAATCAATCATTACCTAAATAAAGTGAAGCAAACAAAAGCACAAAAGGGTGATGTGCTATAAGACAAATTATTTAGAGTTGAACACCCAGACAGACTTTTTTTATGTTTGTTAAAGTACAAAGATTTCAAATGACCATAATGTTCATTAATGACTATCTTATCGATTTGAGAATGTGTATATTATAGTTTACTTTGATTTTTATTATTAGGTTTTCAAGATGTAACGACAATGAAGAGGTATATACCTTTAATGTTTTACAATGGTCGTCACTGATGCCCTAGTGTATGTATATGTAGTTTATGATTTACAGCTTTAGTTTACTTTCAGATCGAAACGAAGCATAACAGGATTTGTAAAGGAATTTTTCTAAGCATAGCGTACGCGGCCAACATTGGTGGGACTGGGACGTTAACAGGAACTGCACCTAATCTTATTCTTAGTGGTCAATCGGAAGAGTAAGTAAGATAAATCAACAAACTGTAATAAAAATCTGCAATATAAAACACACCAAAAAATCCAAGAACATTGAAAAGTCCACATGAAAAAATTTTGAGGTAATCAAGTTTATTATTAACATTTAAGGTTGTTTCCTGACAGCAATGGAATAGGCTTCGCTGATTGGTTTATTTACAGTTTTCCTCAGATGATCATCTTGTTGTTCATGGCCTGGATTTGGATTCAATATTTTTATCTAAACACAAAGTAAAATATTTCTTGTTTACGATATTATTTTCTACCATAAGTTAACAAGATTAGTGCTTGATTAAATTTCGTTTCAATCCAAAGATTTTCTTGCCTTTCCATGATAAACATTACGATACAAAATAATATATTAACTGACCTAATAAAAAAAGCGCACAATCTTCAATGAAAAATGCGTGCGTTGAACAACTTTATAGTTGTGATAATGATGTAGAAATGACTAAAAAATTGCAATAAATTTTCAGGTTTTTAGAATGTTTTCGTTGTCGTGCAAGAAAGCGAACAATCAAAACGGATTACGTCGAAAAAGCCAGAAGCATTGTAAGACAACAATATGAAGAACTGGGACCAGTCACGTAGGTTTATTAAACAAAAAAGACAAGCACGCATATCATTATAGCATAAAACAAAAAAAAACAAAACAGCTTGCATGAGTTCAAGCAACAATGATCTAGTGCTCGATCCTCTAGATGTCTGACAAACGTGAAAGGTTGCGAAAAGCAAAACTCTTAGGTCAGTCTTCTTACAAATACATAAAACAGTCATTCACCAGCAACTAAATCAAACAGAATCATTCAAAAGTTTTGATCAGGCTTATTACCCTATGATAGTTATGATATTAACTTCACCTTACATATAGGTAAACATATTTATTACGTTATCCTAATGAAAAACAACAAATGTCCACTAAAATCAAAAGCGTAGTCGTATAATATTCATAACAATGAATACTTTCTGACAAGCCATTCTAAGGCTTGATTTTCGTGCTTTGCATAAAAATTTCATGTAATTGTTAGTTATACATACTATATAGCAACGCTAATACTTATTACAGATTTGCTGAAGTGGCCGTTTTGATTCATTTTGTGACTCTCGCAATACTTTGGTTGTTCAGAGATCCAAAGTTCATCAGTGGCTGGTCTGTACTGTTCAAAAAAGGGTAAGAGCTTATAACATAAACTCAACAATCGTTGCAGCACTTCAGACAAAATACAACAAATTTGGTTACAATGTTTGTAACTTACATTTTACGAATTTATAATTTATGCAGTGGCACCGATATTTGGTAAATATATGAAGTGGAGGTGTTCCTATGTGCATTTATGGATAATGTTCTTGCCTCAATTAATTCAGTTACGCGACACTGCATTTTTTTTTCTCTTGTACGCTTGTAATGTTGCAGTATAGCTACCACGAACACGCGTGTTAGTTTTTCAAGAGACTTTCGGTTTTCATTCCCACCTGCTTAACCATACATGTGTTCTATGGTGATATTTAGTTACATGCAATAAATAAATACACATGCTTCACGTGATCAGCAGGAAATTAATCCATTGACTAATCTGCTCGGAACCACACCATGCATGATATTAAAACTTGTTTCTGATAGTTTATTTGGATAGCAATGCTTCTGCATGGATACATTGTCAGCAAAAACAAAAATATTTATTCTCCGTCAATTGTTATTTTTCCAGAAGAAACTCGTTGTTGTTTGATAGCAACAAAGTCGCCTAATTATGGTATTTACTGTTGCAGATTTGTACGCGATGGTACGGTTTCCATTATTGTTGCATTTTCTCTGTTCATCTTTCCATCGCGCATGCCCAAACTAATTGCAAGGCTAGTTGGTAGGACCATCAATCACGATGAACAAGGTAAAACAATTTTCGAATGGTTTGAACCTTTGAGTATCGTTTGATGTTTGTACATGTAGATCGTCCAGGTTGTATTACTTGGAAACTTAAAGTAGAATAATCTCATTGTCTCCGACAAAAACATCATTTCTGCAAACAATTATAAAGGTTTTCTCCATATGCATCGATCTTGCAGATGACTATGCCTTCTCCAAATCCCTTCTCGACTGGGACACAGTTTCTCAGAAATTTTCATGGAATATTCTTTTGCTAATGGGAGCAGGTTTCGCCATGGCAAAGGCTGCGAAGGTGACTGACGCATTTATTCACTGAAAAAATGATGTTTTCTCCTCATGAAACTCTTTTATTTCAGGACTCTGGTTTATCTTTATGGTTGGGTTTACAACTTAGTAAAATGGATAGTCTACCTGTGGCTGTCATAGTTTTAATAAGCGTCACGATGTTGTGTGGTTTCACAGAAGTTACATCCAACACAGCTACAGCAACAATATTTATTCCTATCCTAGGAGCATTAGTGAGTGATTTATCATCTTTCTTATAACATTTTCATGTATCCTATCCTTAACATTTTGATATATTTTCCATAAAGGCTACTGCTCTTCAAATTCATCCATGGCGTCTTATGATACCCGCGACAGCAGCCTGTTCCTTTGCTTTTATGTTGCCAGTAGCAACTCCTCCAAACGCCATTGTGTTTTCTTCAGGTTATCTTAAAGTTACAGATATGGTAATATATATGTTGTTCATATACAACTAGTAGCTACAACCGTAGCGTTTAGTAAAACTATTTTACAGGAAGTTTTTGTTGCAGATTAGTAGATCAGATTTTTTGAAAAAAGGTTTTATGATTTTAAAATTATGGTTGCAAAGCTTTATATACAACAAGATTATCAGAGCTGAGGATTTTAGCCAATCTAAGGAATGTAAGCTATCATGGTAATCCATAATCATATGCTATTGAAAACTCAAAAGAAGAAGGGAAAAATGAACATACGTAATTATTTTAAAAAATAAGATTATCAACAACGCTCATAATTATTGCTAGCTAAATTTGATATTCTTTACAAGCACGCATTGTTGTCTCAAGCTTGAGATCATCTGCACATAATTACTTATGCTAATTTCTTTGATTACAGGTAAAGACAGGGATAGTGTTGAACATTACAGGTATAAGTGTGTTGATGGTATGGTTATACACATTTGGTTCATGGTATTTTGATCTTAATACATTTCCTGAATGGGCTGAAACGATCGTGAAGAAAAACTCTACCAAGACTGTTCAATGTATAGTTCGTAACATCACTGCTTGAGTAGAATGACTGACAAAATAATTAAGTGTTTATCAGATTTTCAGTAAGGTGAAGTGCAGAAGCAATGTGTTGTTCGTAACATTACGGCTTGAGTTGAATGACTGACAAAATAATTAAGTGTTTATCAGATTTTCAGTAAGGTGTAGTGTAGAAGCAATGTGTTGTTCTTAACATCACTGCTTGAGTTGAATGACTGACAAAATAATTGTTTATCAGATTTTCAGTAAGGTGTAGTGTAGAAGCAATGTGTTGTTCGTAACATTACGGCTTGAGTAGAATGACTGACAAAATAATTAAGTGTTTATCAGATTTTCAGTAAGGTGTAGTGTAGAAGCAATGTGTTGTTCGTAACATTACGGCTTGAGTAGAATGACTGACAAAATAATTAAGTGTTTATCAGATTTTCAGTAAGGTGTAGTGCAGCAGCAATGTGTTGTTCGTAACATTACTGTCTTGAATATTCCAAGGACTACATGACAGCATGTATAACACGTTAATCTGACTCTCAGAACTTCTGAGGTGAAAGGATAAATGTACATAACAAGAAACAAAATTTAAACTGACGCACGTTGTGGAGACTAAAGGGGGCTTAAAGAATTGCAACTGCTTGAAATCACCAGTGGTTTCATAGCTGCCGTAATTTATCCTCAAGAAGCGATAAATGCTAATGAAAAGGAATGTTATGCATGCGATTATAGTGATGTTCGGCATCTTAAATGCAATAACTAATAACACAGAACATTGAAAATATAACTAAAGCGTATTTTCCACAAGGCAGACTTTTTCGCGCACCAGTCAAATTTGCAAGATGATTGGTTGTCAAAAAAATCACGACATCATCTACCAATTACGCGCTGAAAATTTTGCCTAGTGGAAAACAGCCTTAACATTTAACATTTCCTCAATCAAAGAACAACACAACAAACATTCAAAATGGCATTTACCACTCCGGCAGCAGTTAATGATAACGCTACGGAATTAAAGGAAGTCTTCTTTTGAGTTGCTGCAGCGGGCAAGATTTAGTAGCATTAACCAAACGCAAAGAGCTACCCCTTCATCTTGCTTGTTTATAATTGCTTTGCTCGCCTACTTTCGGCGGAGCTGTCTAAGGCAAATTAACTTTTCCGAAAGTCGATAGCATTTTGTTCTTCCGATAAGTGAATATAGCAGAACCAATCACATGTCATGCACGTGGTTTGTTATTGTTACTGCCTGACTTAATTTGTGAACAAAACTTAAATTCCAATAACTTCCATTCATGTACGTAGAATATGGAAATGAAATAAGAAATCAGACATTTTTGCCTTTTGTAATTGTCTGGTTGAATGCGAATTTTATTCCATGATAAAATTATTAGGAAAACCATCCCATAAATCAATGAAGCCGTTATTACTTCGAAAAAAAATTAAAGAGTGATTCCTTCAACAGTAATGAACTCAGTGCCGCTATGACATACCACTGGCCTGGTTGATAACAGAAATCAATAATTGTGCGTTCCAATGCTTATCATCCACCAAGGTACGTAGAGAAAACTTGGTGTTAACCATGCAAGACTTGGACAAAAGCGACGTACAAGGAATTTCACTTGTCCAACGGATGAAGGCTGAACACCTGATGAACATAAAAGGACAACGAAAACTACTCATAAAAAAAGGTGTGGACGTATATATATCATAAAAGAAAAACATAAGGTTACCTTTGTTTCACCACAATGTACAGCAAGTTTTTTAAAAGGTGCTTTATTTAAGCAAGTATATACTGTATATAAAACTATAGTCCTTTTCACTTCACCTCGTTATTCCACTTTTCAAGAGAGTGGTACTTTCAGAGAGTGGTACTTTTCAAGAGAGTGGTACTTTTCAAGAGAGTGAGTGGTACTTTTCAAGAGAGTGGTACTTTTCAAGAGAGTGGTACTTTTCAAGAGAGTGGTACTTTCAGAGAGTGGTACACTTTTCAAGAGAATGGTACTTTTCAGAAGAGTGGTGCTTTCAGAGAGTGGTACTTCTCAAGAGAGTAGTACTTTCAGAGAGTGGTGCACTTTTCAAAAGAGTGGTGCACTTTTCAAAAGAGTGGTGCACTTTTCAAAAGAGTGGTGCACTTTTCAAAAGTGTGGTGCTTTCAGAGAGTGGTACTTTCAGAGAGTGGTACTTTTCAACAGAGTGGTACTTTCAGAGAGTGGTACTTTTCAAGAGAGTTGTACTTTCAGAGAGTGGTACTTTTCAAGAGAGTTGTACTTTCAGAGAGTGATACTTTTCAAGAGAGTTGTACTTTCAGAGAGTGGTACAACTTCACTCTCTGCCGCAGTATTAAACATCGCTGGATCTATAATATTTCTTTAGCTTTAAAACACCTCCAACATCTGTAAAACCATATTCTCTTGCAAGTTCTGCTATTACTAACACCTTTCCAGATTTTTTCATGATATGAGGATCTAAAATGAAAAAACATGCTCCCTACATGATCTTTTCACAATGAAAACCCCATTCAAAGATACTCGAAATATTTACGATACTCGTAATGCGAGTTTGTGCTTTTAATAAGTACTTGAGACATTCTATCTACCGTTTCCAAGAGCAGCAACAGCTTTTCCACTAAACTCCGGTGTTTTTAGATATTCTCCCTTAAATAAGCCACTGCTTATCTAAAAAAACACGAGGACAAATTCTTGAAATTATGTGACTAAATTCAGAAATCCTACATGGCAATGTGTTATTTTTAACAATTCTTCAATTTTGACGGTAAAACTGTTTTCTACTAAAACTAATGTTTGCTGTGAAGATATTATGATAAGATGCTCCAAATAAAATTTACATTTCACGATGTTATATGTATTTCAAGAATGCCTCGACTGCAACTGTAACTAAGTATTCTTATTAAAGTAAATGGTTTGAACCCGGGAGTATCGTTACATGTTTGTAGATGTAGATCGTCCAGGTTGGTAGAGTCCTGAGAAGGACTGTTGTTGCTGTTGTTGACTGAGTATCAGTATTCTTATACAAAATCAAATGTTGGCTAGCCCTTGATGAATGTAGTAATATAAACAGTTTACGATAAGATGCTTCAAAAAATTTACAATTTTTACCATTTTGCTGAAAATACTTTTAGCTTCGGATTGCATTATTTGTTTCATGGACTCAGTTGAAACACAACCAGGCCGTAATGAACAAGTAGCCACATTAAGCTTCCTCAGTTCTTCAGCCATGTCCGCCATCGTACGATCGTTCTGCAAGATCGAAATGAAAAGATGATTTTTCAAAATCCAAAAAATACCATAAAAAGTAGAAACAAGTTTATGCAGCAGCGGACATTTCTCACACTTGCACGAGTGTTTGACTATAAACACGTAAAAATAAAAAAGCACCATTCAGTTACACAGCTAATTGTCACTCACTTACACTTGCACAAATCATTTCTTAACAAAACAAAAAGAAACAAAAAAACACACATCTTTTAAAAGTATCCTTTTTGATTCTAACCAAATAATCTTACATTATCTAGTGAAAACATCAACTAACCTTAATCCAACAGCATTCATGCCATCCCAGTCTGATATTGGCTACACAAATGCAGTTAAAACTACAGAATTTTACTTCACAATAACAAATGTTACATGATGTAAGGCAAGTATAACTGAAATAATTCAATGGTCAACTCACTTCTTTCCGGAACATTCCTTGGCTATTGTTTGCCAGAGTCTAGAACCACAGTAAAAACATAATGTTATACAGCATTTTAATATAAAAGAGATAATCAAAAGCATGTTAAGAGGAAAATCCATAAGGAAGAATCCAAATGTGCAAAAACTTTATCAAAGTTTAATTAAGTAAATGGTTTGAACCCGGGAGTATTGTTACATGTTTGTAAATGTAGATCATCCAGGTTGTTATAGTCCTGAGAAGGTCTGTTTTTGTTGTTGTTGACTGACGTTTTGGCAACCTTAGCAGTAGTCATCACTGAGGTTGTCGAAATGTCAGTCAACAACAACAAAAACAGTCACAAAAACAGTCCTTCTCAGGACTATACTAACCTGGATGATCTACATCTACAAACATGTAAAAAAGTTTAATTGTTGATTAAGAGTTCAATAAAGTGATTGCAATGAAAACTGTGTGGTACAAAACTCCTCAGCAATGGATATGGTGAATACATGATCAACATACTTGAAAACATAAAACTTGTCAAATATAAATTGTTATTTTTAATTACACAGTAAGTCATAGATGAGCAACATACATGACCGACTAAGTCATAGATGAGCAACATACATGACCGACTAAGTCATAGATGAGCAACATACATGACAGACTAAGTCATAGATGAGCAACATACATGACCGACTAAATCATAGATGAGCAACATACATGACTGACTAAGTCATAGATGAGCAACATACATGACCAACTAAGTCATAGATGAGCAACATACATGACCAACTAAGTCATAGATGAGCAACATACATGACCGACTAAGTCATAGATGAGCAACATACATGACCAACTGAGTCATAGATGAGCAACATACATGACCGACTAAGTCATAGATGAGCAACACACATGACCGACTAAGTCATAGATGAGCAACATACATGACCGACATACATGTTCTAAGCTTAAATTTGGAATGGTTCAAGCTAAAACATCACTTTATTTTAACTGAAAATAATCAAAGCAATCTGTTCATGCAACTGCACAACAAATTTTGTCCACTTTGTTCATTCTTCATTTGCTCAAAATTTTCTTTACTTGTTCGTCATCATTGTGATCACATCGGATTACGACACATTGACCACCATGGCTACTTAACTGAACAGCATATTGTATATGGTTAATATATTGTTTTATTGCCAATGTTTTAGTTATTGTGAATCATTTGCAAAAGTAATGCAACACCTTTGATAAAAACAAACTGTTTTTAGAACCAACCATTCTGTGCTATTAAGATTCTAGTGCACATTTGAAGATACATATAGAGGGTTTCCCCGGACAACAGAGACAAGGTATAACATAAATTACCTCATCTTTGAGCTCTTTGTCTACTGTGCGACCTATACTTATGAAAAATATTGTTATAATGGCAGTTAGTGAATAGCAAGCAAACTGTTTATAAAATTGTAAAAGTAAAAATTTTTGCATGTTGAATATGAAAATGTATTTATGTATTAAACTTGATGCACATGGTGGTACCATTCTTGACTTGTAATTCAGACATATTGCTGGTCTGATACAAAGAATATTTTATTAGTGTTATTGTTGGCACCAGCCAACACGTGGAGCAAAAATCTCAAGAGATAGGTTGCAGTCTGTATATTTGCCAAATGCATACAGTGACAAATGAAGCCCTAAGCAGGTTGTGGATGATGTGAAAAAGTAGTTTGCAATGAGAATGAATAATTATAATCCCCTCCAATAACTTTGTGAGCCTTCTCCTTTCCATACTCTCCACGATGGTCATACCTCCCCACCTGGTCCTCATTACGTATTTTACTTATACTCCTTATTTATATTCAATAAACAACGTGAAACTATTTTACCTGTAACATAAACAGTAGCTCCTGCCTTTAATAACATGATGAGAATACCCTTTCCAATACCACGTGAGCCTCCAGTTACAAGACAAACGTTTCCTGACAAACTCAAGTCGAATTTCTTAGACATTTTTTTTGAATGTAAATCACTTTGGTGCAGAGAGAATCTGGGAGAAGTCTGTGGATACGCGGTACTTCATGTAAACATTTTATATCCTTACAATTTATCTCAGGAAACAAATATGAGCTTCACCAATTTTTGTTAACTGTATGACTGCATCCTTAGACTCTGGCGTCTTTGACACTTCATGTCTTCGTTTTTGACCTTCATATACCTTCTGTGATATCTTCCTCTGGGCTTCTCGCTTGGTGGATCTATGTTCAGAATCATTTTACTGACGTACTCATATCCCTCCTCATTTACACGCTTTTTTATCGTTGGATGATTTATAATCCTATATTACTCTTCACTTTCTTCATTTCTCGTCTTTTCGGTGATCAGCCTCTTCCTCAAACACATTTTTAACTATCTTATTTCTACAACCAATTGAGTCTGATTAACTTTCTGTTATACCACATGCCAGACTTCAATTCAGAATGCACCGACTTCACCAGTGCTGTAGAACTAAATTTATCAGGGGGGGCTCACTTGACGTTTTTGTTAATAGTGCCGCTTTAAAATTACCAATTTCAAAAGTAGAAGGGGGCTCTTCCCCCAAGCGCCCCCCCCCCTCCCACTTTTACACCACTGGACTTCACCCGTCTCGATAATCTCTTACAAAGCAGTGTAGGCTGTACATAAATGTACATTCAGCAATAAACATGTACAATCAAAATAACTACACCAGTGGTGTTCGCTACATTGTATGATTAAAATAAGCTTGATACCAAAATTGCACAAAAATTTCTTGTATTAAACAACATGCAACACTTTATCCATTTAGGCATACTACGACTTTTTCTCTTATCGCAACAACCTAATATTTAAAAAAATCCCAACCCTTTGGCAGGGCACTGATCGTTCTAGCCATGAAACGATGTGCTCAAAAACACAACTTTCGCTGTACACCTCTTACAACTCATAATTTCTTTCACAATTTTATAAAGAATTAAGAATAATGCAAAAGCAAATAATCAATGTGGCCCCAAAGCAATAAGTGCGCACAATAAGCAGAAATTTACGTTTTGTTCACGATGACGTCATCAATAGTTATCAAAAAGTTTGCAAATTCCAAAAATTCTCACTACCACTCGATGAACTAGTATGAAATGAGTAAAATAGCATATAAAACCGTTTACCTCCAGTCACTCGTTTATGGAGCAGCAACGAATGTTTTTACCATGATGCTGACTCAGCATTTAGAGTTCTTGTCATATACCACAGACAGACCTGCCAACTGGCACGGTTTACCAGCTGTGACCTGAATCTTAAAAATCTTCTGAACAGTTCAGTTTCTTGATCACTTTCTCCCAATATTTTTCATTATTTGCTATGACTTGTACTTAGTAAAACAATTTTGAAAAATCGAAATGAGTGTTTAATTGCGAATTTTATTCAACAACACATTGAAGAAAGAGAGAACTTGGTGGAAGAGAATCGTATAAAAACAGCAAATAGAAAAAACCCAATTGGTGCAAAATTTACTCATAACAAACCATGTTTATCTAACGTCAAAAACACAGACATACAAAGAAAACATCCATTACTGTAGTGATACATCAAAACTTTTGTTGTTTATCATAGGTGTGCAGGAACTATCATTTCTGAGGGGAGGGGGGGGGGCAGTAATTATTTCCCCCACACAAAATGAAGGTTCTGCCGAACATCCTCCCTTGAACTTTTCAATCTTCATGCTTTCTTAGGGGGAGGGGGGCAGCTGCCCCTCCTGACCCCAACCCATACACCTATGTTGTTTATAAGGAAAATATATAGGATGGTAATTTACAAGACACTGCCAGAAACATTAGAAAAATTCAACCTTCTCGGTTCACCAATCCATCAAACTGTAGCATTAAAATGCTGTTACAGCACTCTAAAGCCATTGTATACTTTCACACAATCATAAATCACAAGTACTTGACCATGTATGGATTGCCAACAATATGTCTAAGAATGTCTTTACACGCAGTGGCAATAGACATGTAATTGATTTCTATGTCTTGTTTACGAAATCTAAATAATTCAGTAAACTATCATGGAATTCTTCGGGTTTATCAAGATAACAAGCATGACCTGCATCCTGAATTTCTTTATAACGATAATTTGATAGATAAGAACGAAGTGTTTCTGTTGATCTTGCACCTAGTCCTACATCCCTTGAGCCTCGAAAAATCAATGTTGGTGGAAACTTCTTAAAGTCATCACTATCAATGTCTTCAGTACCAGCAACTGCAATTGCAACAAAAGCTTTAGATGGTTTTCCTGCAGCAAGGTATGGTAAACTAAATCGACCGCTCATTGATGGTGAAATGATGACTGCATTATTAAGGCCAACTTTCTTAATGAATTCAAATAAAAATTCACTTTTGCCTGTGTGCAGCTCATACGTTGACCTTCCAAATCCTGGTAAATCCAATGCAATAACATGGTAACCGTTCGATGCTAAGATATCGAAGGTTTTTATATCGAGCCAATTCTTTGAAGAAAATTTCATTCCATGCAGCAAAAGTACATCAAGTTTTACTTCCCCTTTCGCCAAAATTTCGCGATAAAATATCGAGTTTGATTCGCCATTCCAGCTAAGATAAAACTCCTTAACTATTGGAGATTTCTCAAAAATACGCTTCATTGAGAGGTTTAGATATTTTCCAAGTATTAATACCACTACAATTGCAATGAATGGATAAGCAACATACCATTTGTAATACATATACGGGCGTTGTAGGAATATTTTTCTCCTCCCTCGAAGGTTAAATTCGGATACAATTTCACGATTCAGATAAAGCTACCCCACAGAATAGTTTACGTAATCTGTTCTGTGGTTACTTCTTTTGCACGTTTTATAAGGCGTCACCAACACTGATCAAACGTAGCCATCTGAAATAAGCTTGATGCGTCATACACAATCATCTACAACGACTCTGGTCGATATGCGTGAGTGTGAATGTAAAGTATTCTTGGTTTGCAAGTTACGTCATAGCCGCCATGTTGGGTGATTTTAACAAAGGGATTTTCTCTTTTCCTTATTTACAATGCAAATTTTATCCAACATGGCAAGCATTCCATTGTTCTCTTACTCCAAGGGGGATGGTTACAGCCCACTAATTACAAAAAACTGTTAAGGCCTGTTAAGAAGACACTGCCAGAAACATTGCAAGAATTCAACCCATTAAGTCCTCACCAAGACATCAAACTACAGCATTAAAATGCTTTTACATCACTCTAAGCCTTAGAGTCTAAGGCCACTGTATACTTTCTCACTCTCATATATCACCAGTATTTGACCACGTAGAATATGGATTGTCAACATCATCTCTAGCGAAAACTTTATACGCAAATGCTTGTTTGATTTCCTTGTTATATTTGTACGCAGTAGCTACTCATGCTGGAGTTCTAAAATTTTACTGTTCTTACTCGTAAATATTGCAGAACCTTTTCTTTTCTGGATTTATGGTGCAATAAATCATAGTTCTACGCACAAAATACTTGTTTTTACTGTGTTGCCATGGGTTCGGAAACAAGCAAATTATGATTAACGAAAAATCATCGAAATGTCTTCTGTCAACACGGGAAAAGAAAGTGTTGAAAGCGTCGTTGTTTTTATTGAAAAACCAAAGCTGCAGCGATTCAGAAAAAGAAAAAAATCAAGAATATTTTCTTAAAAAAAGAAACTCGGCAAAATTTAAATCGATTTGCACTTCACCAACACCGATCTTTACATTTGTTTTCTTTTTTCCTTATTTTTTTGAGGCAATAATGATAATAGCTACAATGAGAAGTTTTAATTTCGCTTTTCTATTGTTCTTCGACAAATTTGTTTTCTTTTTTGAAATCGCGTAAATACATCGGATGCATTATTTACACAGTGATTTGTCTTACACGACAAATTTTTCCATATATGACAAGAACACGTAATATGGCGTCAGTGTCTGCCCGACTAATCGTTGTGTGTAAAAATGCCTTGACTTTCTTTTCAAAACAATGACAACGTCGCGTGCTTGTTTTGCATATTTCTTGTACCATATAATTTTATTTAGTCGTGGAAGAGAGTAAAGATATGTCGAACTCAATTGCAACTCATTACACAAGTTCAAAAGCAGCAGTTCACAATGGTAAGTCACAATTGTAAGTCCAGTCACATAAATAAAAAGAACCGTACAGATAAACTTTGCGCTCATTAATTTATTTCACAATCCAATATATGTCAATGTATGAGTTATTTAACATGGACGAATAAGTCTCTTTAAAGTTTATCACAAAATGCGATGTAGCTAATATAATAATTCATACATTTAATGACGTTAGAAACTTGAAATTTTTCAAACCGTATGATTTTAATACAAACGATTGTTGTTTAAATAAGGGCATAGAAATCTTGAAAACCTTTTGCCACGTATGTTATTCTAGACCTTATTGCGTTGTTGTGTTATTGTGATAACGTGGGCGGCGAGTTTGTTTCACTTAATTTGATGAATCTGTTAAGTTATCAAGGCAAGTGTCACAAAATGGTTGCTCAATACTCAGAATTATTGAGGTTGCTTGGCGAGAAAACGATTCATAAGCACCTAAATAAATCTACAAAGAACATCGAGTGTGCCGAAACGACATCAAGTGTGCCGAAAGGCATCACGTGTGCCGAAACGATATCACGTGTGCCGAAACGATATCACGTGTGCCGAAACGATATCACGTGTGCCGAAACGATTACTATAGTCAGATGTACAAGGGTACTTTAACGTCCCATCGTAATGTTTGCCATGTCATAAAAAGTGATGAAAGCTCAAACAACATTTAAAGAAACATGCAATGATTTGTCTAAAATCGTCCTTATACAGGCGGACCTTATACTAAAAGTCTGCCGACAATAGACTTAATTAATTAATTTTTTTGAGGGGGAGGGGAGAGCTATTTACAGTCGTTTAATCCTTGATTAAACGATTGATTAGATCCTTGAGTAGACGATTAAATAGAGAGCAATGTTCTTGTATTTATGAATGCAGTACTTATATTGTAAGAACATTTTCCTTTTAGTCACTATTTTACACTACAATTTAAAGATACAAATGGAATCACGACGAATATATCAGTTAATATAGAATCACCTGAAAGTATGAATAAGTTTTTATCAGTTCAGTATACTGTCAAAATATTCTACTAGGCTCAGTTGAACACAGCTTAAAGTCCTTTATAGATATACAGGCCATGCAATCATTTGAAATCGCCCGACGTTGACAATTTGCACGATTCACTCAGTGACGTAGCCAGCTCGATAAGAAAGGGGAACGTATTTATATATTCATGTCTTAATCTGGGGGGACTTCAGAGAGAACTGCAGTTGTTTCAATTCATCTGGTTGATTAAATCTTTTTTTTTAAAGTTTTATCACAAAAGACCAGTACACGTATAAATTTTTTTAAGCCCAAACATTTTATGGCAAGTGCCCAGGACTCAGTACCATATCATGTCTATTTGCACATTGACTACATGTTTACGTTTTTGTTTTTTATTACTTTTTACGGTTTTTGAAACTAAATGAACATATGTTCATTAAGTTTAAAAGAGTGACTCTTGTGAAAAACAGCAAAAATTTTATCATGTATTCTTTTTGTTATAGAAAAATACGTTCGTTGTATACTTTACATTGGTATTGATTTCTGTTATCTTTTTCCTTCTTGTAAACCAAATATATCTTTTTGAAAACAAAGGTAAGCAGGTCTGTTGCACTGCACGAGTTTAACAACATTCAAGATTGTGAAACAAACGTCAAGTACCATATTTTAAATTTCTTCTCGATTGATTTTTGAGGAGACATTGATAGATATAACAACTAACTGTGTCAACTAAGTAAAAAAAATCCTGTAGCTAAAATAATCAACGAAGCAGTAAATGAGGCATGTATTCTTCGAGAGAGTGGCAAACTGGCAATCTACTACACATGCGCATGGGGGAAAGTCTTGTGTTAGTTTATTCTTTCCCTATAAAGCTGACTGAAACTGCAATTAGCTGAAAAATTTGCCGAGAAAGGATTAAAATTATAATAATATTAGATAGGTGTTTACTAAATTTAATCATTCAAACAGTAACTGGAGCTAATGTCAATTTTTATGGTGTATAAGACCAATCAGCAATAGCCATGCATGTTCTCATTGTATCATACATTAGTCTATTAACTAATTAAAAAATTCCTTGGCATCAGCCTTGAAGTGTTAGTTGTTTTGATGCGTACACTTAATAGATAATTTCGTTTTATTAAGGTGAAATAATTTCAAGATATATTATGAAAGAATACCTCAAGAAAAAACAAGACAATCAAAGTAAGATGTACAAAACGGCATAACTTAAATGCATGGGCACATTTCTTCATAGTAGCTAAAACGACAAAGCGTACTACAATAACGATTTGATTGTAGATAATAAAGATTCATTAATCTTAAAAGTTGTAAAGAGTTTAGAGCAGCCTTTCACAAACACAGGTAATATTTTACTGTTTTCCCTCTTTGTTTATGGCCCAAAATTTGAATAAATTTGTCCATAATAAAACCTAAGACAATTTAATTTTTAACGTTTTTCCATTATTTTTTGATCATATTAATGATCCAAATTACTTGTTGTGAAACAGTCAACGAGTATTTCAGTCACAGCCGTTAAATTACTCAATTTTTCCTTTACTATTCTGCCATGGCACTGTTGAATCTTCATGATTCAACTTAATACATGTCAATCTTACTGATGAATTCTTTATAGATCTAAGCCACATATTCAAAGGTGATTTATTTGATAATCGATCTTGGGAATTTGATTTAAGTGGACTCTCTGCTCGAAGATTTGGTCAAAGTTATGTTGAACAAACAAGCTTCGATGCAAACGGTCGAAACACCGACTTCTATAATCCAGTTGGATTTTACAAAGATGGGCTTTTGCTGTTCGAAGATAATGGACCTGGAATTTTTCATAGGTTGCTTTGGTTTCATCGCGCTGACCTAAAAATAAACATGGATTATGTCTCGTTTGAGGTTAGATATAAACTTTCTCAGTGATTTTTCACCATTTATAGAAATGGTTGGTAAACTGAACAAACAATATATATATGATTTAAATAATAAAGTTAACAGAAATGTTTTATAAATAATTTTATGTGAATACTAGTACTTACTAGTAGTGTTGTTTTGGGAATAAATTTTCAGGGCAGTAAGGAGTGGAAACTAGGGCATTAATGTTTCTTCTGAAAACACGCTCTATAAATATGGCACTTCAGAAACGATAGCCAACGGTCCGAGCAGAGCAATGCAGTGCGAGTTATGCAAGGGGAACCTAGGGCATTCTCTCTGGGAAATTTTTTATATAAAGAAAATTTAAAATGCTATTTTGATAGGTAAAACCAGTGGCGTCACCAACTCGATAAGTGAGGGGGACAATATTTATATGATCATGTTTCAATCCCTAAGAAAAATTGATCTTAAAATCCTTCTCACTTATCAAGCTGGCGACTCCATTGTATGCAAACCCCAAATTAAAAATTCGTATTTCCATATAGTCATTTTTTGGCGTTCAGCAATCAACAGTTAGGTGAACCATGGCCCCTTGTCCCCCTCCTCCTCCATCACTTTGCAAGCACGCCTCATCCTGCTGTACGATGTTCTTTTTAATTGATTATATCAGTAAATTGAACATTATTGGAAAAGAAACACAAAAGTTTTTTTTACTATAGGTTGATGGTAAAGAAGTAAAAGAATTACCTGTCATTTTTGAAGCTAATGAAACATTACCATTTCTTGAACCGTTCATTAGAGTAAATAATGTAAGTGAGTTTGGTGGATTTTATCTTACTTTTCCTATTGCTTACTCGACATCATTTCGCGTTATTATAAGATGGCAAGGAAGCCAAAATATTGATACCGAGCAAGCTTGGACCCAGTCAATCTCGTGTCGTGTCAATGGTACTTACTGTGATATATCGGGTTATTATGCCGTTACAACGAACAAATTGACAAATGAACGGAAACTTAAGAGTCTGTTCAATGAGTATTTTCTTAAAGAAAAGGTTTTGTCAAATTATATACAAGACGCTACAACAGCTTTCTCAAAAATGGCTAGAGAACCAGAAAATTTTGCGCCTGGTCTTCGATCCCAATGCTCTCTTTCCTGTCACAAAGTCGAACCAAATGAGGAAATAATAATTTATCATGCTCACCATAGTGCGATGATAATTGAATCAATGCGCCTTCGCATTTATGATAAGATAAATAACATGATAAAAATTTCCGAAAATTGGAGAAGAATTCTCATAACAATGCAATGGGACGATAAAGAACCTCAAGTGAAAGATATTCCTTTAGCTGGGATATTCATTACTGGACTAGACTTTCTTCGCGAAGTAAAAAGTCTCACAACTGGTTTAAGATATATGACATGTAGTGTAGAAGGGGATTATGCATCGCAAATGGAACTGTATGATTGGACTGCTTATTTATATTATGAAATGCCATTTTGGAAGTCTGCAAAAATAAGCGTAAAAATACCTCATGGATTTGATTCTGCGATAGTTTGCTCTCAACTCTCAACGAAAACTCTGAGTGAAGAGAAATACCATCACAGTTTAACTGGCTACTTTAGTGCACAGGTGAATCAGCAAGGGTTCGATTACAGCCATCATAAAAATATTTTTCATTTGGAAAAACAATGGGGTCATGTTGTTGCCGTTAACTTTTTCTTGAGAAATGACAAAATAGCAAGTACCCATGAACTTGACGTTATTATTGAAACAAACGATGCAATAGCGCCAATATTTCCAGGAACTGGATTAGAGGATTTTTTTCACTATGTTCACGATTTCCATGCAAACAAAAATAGGACATCGCTCTTCAATGGTGCACCATACTACTTTAGAAAGCGCCGATTTCGCATTTTAAGGTGCTTTCGTCATAACACCTTGGATCCAATCATATTTACTACCGGTATTCGAATTTATCTAGAATCAAGATTTGATCGATCAAAAAGCGCAAATTATCGAAATTTTATGAATTCTTCATTGTCGTTTAGTCAAAAGATTTTACGAGACTCGTTGTTTACGGTGACTTTATACTACGGTAATAAAGGTTCTGGTGGTGTATATAGCGATGTTTTAAACTACCATGAAAGAAATAACACCTTATCTAAAAGATTGCATTTTTCACCACAACAAGTGCGAACGTTTGCAATTCAAAGTATGTATGAAGATCAACCGGGAATGCTATTTGACAAAATGGTTGTTTCGATGGAACCAGGACAGAAAGTAGTACATACGCTCAAAATCTTACCAAAAAATGTTGGTATAATACTTCGTCGAGAATATCATTCGATGGTACCTAATCAAAAAGCTAAAGTATCTATTGACGGAGATGAAGCAGGTGTATGGTTTTGCCCTCAGAGAGCCATAAAAAAGATGTTGTCCTTGCGTTTTAATGATCATCTTCTTCCATTATCTCACACTTTTGGCAAAAGTTCGATTGAAGTTACTTTGACTGCAATAACGCGATGGGAAACAATTGCAATACAAGTTCTTTCGGTTCTCCTAAATGATTAGTACCTGATCAATGCATGTACAATCAAGTACAAAATGCATGAAAAAAATGTGACTTACAGTGGTATGAATGTAAAACTATTTGTCTTATTGTATATCATCAGGGCCCTCCTTAAAACGTTGATTGGGGGGTTGGCGTTTCTTTATGTATTCAATTATCTCCGAGTGATTTGTTTTGAAAAGAAATTCATTTATAAAATAAACGTTCAAAAGTAAACTTTGTATGCCATATTCATTAAAATTTCTGGATTGGCTGGAAAAACATCATAAATGTGCTTGAATAAGAGAGATCTAGATCCAAATTGGACAGTGAGGCTGCAGGAAGTTGAGATAAAGAAGGTACGGATTTTTATATACTTAGTATCAGCAGTGAAAAGAGGTAGTGAATGTTAAAAAGAGCCTTTAAACATATGAAGATACAGGGAATCGGATGAAGAGAAAGAGAAGAAGCACAAATGTGTGAAAAGAGAGAAGAAGAAAAAATGAAGGGCAATAATGGTTTACCAAAAAGTGGTGAGACCAGCAATATCAAATGGTTCGAGACAATATTTAACGAGGGAAAAGATAGGAGACACAGCAAGAGGTTGCAGAGATGAACACGCTGCAAGGTTGTCTTTAGGAGTAACATAGTTTGACAAAATTAGGAATGAAAATATAAGAGGTGCAGTTTTAAAAAAAGAGCCAGAGAGGCCTGGTTTAAATGTTTCGGACTTATAGAGAGAAGAGACAATGGGTACATTGGAAGAGCAAAGAGGAGATATATGGATTTACTCAGAGGACATGAAGTTGTGTAGTTTATTGAAAAAAGATACGTTAGTTTCAATCGTTTACGCACAGAAAACACAACAATTTATCTAGCCCTGTTGCATATCAAGTTTTGTAAAAATACAACGCTTAGCGAGCAAAATTATACACTGCTATGTGAAATTCTTTATTCTCCTATCAATATCATCATCTTCCAATTTGGGTTTGAAATGCGAATGAAGCTGTCTGCTTTAATTCTTTTCGAAATCAAAATAAAAAGTTAAATTATTTTTTTTTGACATGCAGGCCAGCAATGCGGCCGTCAACATTGCTACGTTTCAATTGAAATGATGAGTACAAGCCATTACACCTTCTGCACAGAACGTTTAGTGCAAAATAAGCATTGATTAAAAATGTTGTTTTGGTGATTCACAACTATTGATAATAATGGCTTAAAATATACTATGTACTAAACTATTCTTTGTTTAGTGTTATTCTTGTAATTATTTGCTCTAGAACTTTAATGTAAATTTCAAAAATATCTTGGGTCATTTTCAGACCCAGTGTAATGATAGCTAATTTGGTACACGAAGCACAGGACAATGGATGGATAATATTTTTAAAAATCGAAATGCTTTTTTATATGCCTCAAATTAAAACATTGATAAGTGCCTATTTTGTGAGTTGTAATTTGCATAATGCAAAATAAAACCTTTTAAATTTGTAAAGTTTCACGCATGTTTGTGACCACGGTAGATAAAAGATCTTTTTCATAATTATATATGTGTAAATGCTAGCAAATGAAAAAAAACTATATGCAAAATCTTTGCAAAATTGATGCCGTCAAATATTGACTTTCGGAAATCCTCTTTGAATTTTCGGAAATCTCTTTGAGTAACTACTTCACTCGCTCACGTCATCGTCTGGTGCTCACGTGGCTTCAACAACAGAACACTGTCTTTTTTATTGTGCATCATGGCCAAACCTGATCCAGGTGAAGTCTGAATACACTTTTTAACAGATACATATATATAATAGAAAAAACTTCACAACGGATCCAGTTCGTGAAGTTTCGACTAATGACTCTAAAATATTCTTTCGAAATTTTTAACCAACATGCAGTGTTGTTGTTAAGGTAATTTAATTGAAAATTAGCTTCTGTAGAAGTTAGCCTCTAACATATTCTTATTCTGGATAAAGTGCATAGTCATTTTTGCTTTAGTCACATAGTAGTAAAAATGAATGTCAATCTATTTGTCTGTTCGCTGTACTACTCACAGGGGAAATTACTTTTTTGTGCTTCTTCCGTTTCAGTTCGGCTAGGCTATAAATAAATTTTCACCGACCCAATCATCTCAATGACTCTTGTAATGCACCAATCAAAAGCTGACATTCTCAAACATACAATTTACCATTTGCGGGATACAAACAAATTAAGTCATTATTTTGCACTGAACAGAGTTTGTGTTATTCTCTACTGAACAAGCTAAGGAGAAGCATAAAGTTTTCGCTCGATCCGGTAATTTTCATAATGACCACTTATGGTGAGTAAAAACGAACAGAAAAGTGCTCTGTGATGATGTTAATTAATGCTTCTGCTATTGCCATATTGCCTTATATCAACAGTGTGTTGCACTGAATAAATTTAAAGATTAATTTTTGATACGATAATTGTATCATAATAAAAATTAATGCACTAATAATTGTACAATTTTGTTAAAACAGGGCTAGTTAAATTGTTGTATTTTGCTGAGTGTATTATAATACAAAATAGTAGCGAGAGACTTGCCGAGCGGAGATCGAATTCGTGTAATAAAAATTAATGCCCAACATTAAGTTTTAATTAGAGCCATAGCAATAGACCGAAAATTGTAAAATTGAATTTATTGTGACGTTTCGTCTTTACTCAAGACATCTTCAGACAATTAATAAATAGGATGTTAAGATAAGATATCATAATTGCAAAAGGTGTTAAATTATTACTAAAGGAGGCCGTGTCAAATGGATTATATGATAAGGAAGCTAGGAAGTAAATTAAAGTGAAATTAAAATAGGTTAAGTGGAATGGAACTTCCTTGTATGTCCCAAAATTTGTCATTCGTGACAGATGAGTCAAATATCAAACGCGTTTGTACAAAACTTCCGCGCACACTAGGAAATTTTGTCAATCACACTAGTCACGAATAACAAGTACGCGCGGCAAGTTCGCCAATGTGCGGCGGGCTTTAAGTGAAGCTTGTATTTATTGATTAGAAGGCTCTCATGAATGGAGAGTTCATAGGAATCGTTGGAAGAGGAGATTATTTTAAAGTCGTCTAAGTTGGGAGTGTGTCCAGTTGCGTTAATGTTAGCAAAAATGCTTGATAGCGCAGGGTGGGAAACTTGGTTGCCTGTAAGGGGGGATATTCCCAAGTGCTCCGAAAATCTGGTGTGTAGATGATGTGTGGTTTGACCCACATACGAGGCGTTGCAGCTTCGACATTTGAATAAATAGACTACACCAGATCTCAGAGGTTTGGAAATTTTGTCTTTAAAGGGGAAGAACGAAGAGATACGTTGGGAAGAGCGGAAAACAAATTTAATAAAACTATACTAAAACTATACAGTTATAGACACACAGGTATGACGTTAATTGTGATAAGAACTTTAAAAAGTGGCCACTCCCCAAGGAATAAGTGGGGACTTTTTGTTCTTATCACAATTGACTTCTTACCCTTGTATTTATATTTGCATAGACGACGGTTAAAAGTTATCTATATGCTTTATAGAATCAAATAAAAAAACACTCCCCAATTAAACTGTAAACAGTTTACAGGATTATAAACTTTAAACTTTTGCCATTCATTTTTTTGGGTTTGAAAAGTAACTAACAAAGTAACCCGGGTTCCTCTTTGAAAACCACAAAAGTTTGGTAAAAAATGTCTCTTTGCTGTAGAAAATATGTCATTTTCAGATAAATTATTCCATGATTAGCTATAAAACAACATCGTAAAATTCTTCATTGTCCTGTCAGTAGAATCATCATGAAATTTGGGTTTGACATGCAAATGAAGGAGTAAATTAAACAGTTGCGTAAAACTTAGAAAGGCTCTTTCCTATGATGTTATTAAATAAATCTAGATGAAATACTTTATACACGAAATGTACGTCACTACAATATCACTGAACACACAAATTGACTTAATCCGATCTATACTAATCGAATGAAATTTTATAATTCAAAGTTTTCTTATGTGTGTTATAATATGGATTTTTATATTAATTTTAAGTAAGTTTTGTAATCAGTGTATGTAAGGAGAACTTAAATTAGATAACGAACGTAGCAGGCATCTACTTTTTATGCAGGTTTATAAAACCGTTTGATGTAAAATTGATACAAAAGGGCAAACTTTCTTTTTTTGAATCAAGCATTAAAATGTCTATCTTTTGTATATCTGAAATAGAAAGAATAGTTATGACTGACAGCTAGTCTCATGCAAATGATGAAAAAAGGGAGGGGGGAGGGTGCACAGTTTTAAAGATTAGCAAACTATAATTTTGTTTTGTCTTGCCTCTTTTGAAAATGCGTATCCGAATACCAGTGAATTATAACTGGTATAAGATTTGTTATTTTTTACTAAAGAAATAATAGTTTTTTAAAAGTTAATATCTACATTTATTTTATAGGAGCATTGGTAGGATTATTTGCTTTGTGCATCAGTTGGCATTGTGTGGTAGGTTTTGATCGTGTTTTTAGCACTTGGACTAAATTTTGGTGGTGGAACGTGAGCTCAAAATGGCCAGCAAACGTAAAAGACGTTTTGCAGAGCACTTATGGCACATGTTCGACAAAAAACTACTGCTTTCAGCGGTTACCATCATGGACACAGGAGAGCAAAACTGAATTATTGGCAGTAGACTCGATGGGTACCATATATTTATGGAAATTTAATCCCGCTAATCCTACGGCACATGCGTGTTGGCTTGCTCTTCACGATCACAAGGAAACTGCTTCAAAAAAGGTTTTTCATGATTTATTTCTAAAGAGTTTGTATTCCCATACAAACTATGATGATCAATTAATGCTTTATTACAAAAAAAATATGAATAGAGTGGTGAAGCTAGCATCCAGTAATCATTGCTCTATGAAAATTAGAACTAATTTCCTTGGAAAACTAAATTCATTTATTGTTTCAATAAATGAACATTGTGATATTTGCAAATTCTTTTAGGGCGTGTATATAAGCTGTGATAATTTAGAAAGCTCTTGGAGTTTTTTAAGACAGACATACGTTTCCAATAAACATACTCATAAAATTTAATAATGCCATATGTACGTTGACATAATAAAAAAAAGTTCACTAATTTATTTTTGGCTTATGTACATTTTTCTACATTGAAAAAAGATCTTGAACTTAAAAACTTGGAATCCAATCGTCATTGAAGGACGTGCACCAAAAGCCAACCAAGATTCGTTCATGTATCGAGAACAAAATGGATTGAAATCACTTCTTCTTGACGACGACAACTGTGACTGTTTATCTTCGTTGAGTTTAGGACATGGCATGTGTGGTTCAGGTATGGATAAAATAAAATTACATGTTTAAGGGTGGCACGTAGGAAGGTGAAATTATGCTAGATGAATGTAAAATATGTCCTTACAGATCAAAAATTGAATTTTTACCTCTAAAACAATGCTCTAAAAATGTAAATTCAATAGTCTTTGCTTATGAGTTGAAACAATAGCTAAATTCTTTTTTTGGCGAACCCTGAGTACTTTATACCTGTCCCTTGATGTTCATCAATGTTCTCTTAACCAACTCAATAGTTTTTACTTATAATCATAATTTGCTTTTAGAACCAAGTTGTATTACATAATTTCAAATTTATTATATGCTTTTGGGAAATTTGAATAAATTACAATATGAAATTAGCAAATTAATTCCCAGTGAACGTAACAGTTGTCATAAAACTTAGTGTAAAATGCAAAAAGATCCATGTTTTAAAGATCTTGCGTTGGACAGCTTTCATCGGGCTAGCTTCACTAGTAAAACATCTTGCATTTTTAAAAACTTCATTGGCAGCTGTACCAGAGAACGTTAAAAATCTTAGAATAACCAAAAGTTTTAGCCTAGTCTGTGCGCCTTGTTTTAGAAAACTTTTTTCAAGAATCTACTTTTTTGATACACCCTGTACATACGTAGTTTTATATTTACCACAAAATTTTGCTTTGTTGTGACAGCCATTTAAAACTTGTATAAATTAGCACAGCAAAGATCTTTACAAGATGGAAGAGAATATTAGATAATTTTATTTTACCTGTCGCCTATCTACACACATAAAGGGCAGCCACAACAAATTTTTGTTGTTTTTGTTTTATGTTGAAGGATAATATGTTATAAAGTTAATGAAAAGTGTATTACTATTTCCATTAAACAAGATACTAACACTTGCACGAAAACGAGCCACAGCCGGAGAAAAATTTGGGCATTCATCGTACACAGCCAAGAGGCCAGCAGAATGCTCCGAAGCAAATACAACGTCAAAAGATCTTATTCTACATTTTATTTTAGCATTCACGTCAACTGACAAGCCAAATGTAGAATGCGCTTTTTCTGTTAATGATTGGTTTTTTAAACTTGCATTAATTTCATAAAATAACTTTAAATATTTTGATTTATTTTCAGGACATAACAGTAAATTTGGAAAAGAGATTGGAGTCGATGCACTTTACGATCCCGGATGTAACGGGCCTCGACCAACTATTGGATTGTCTTTGTACTTCCGCCAAGAAAAAAAGATATTTTTGTCCGACTTTGGAGGTGATTGGGCAGCATTTTGGTGGTGGACACCTGGAGCTCCATGGCCAGTGCACGTGAAAGACGTGTTGCAGGATTGTTACGGCACGTGTTCCAAATATGATCATTATTGCTTTCAGAGGCTACCAAGTTGGACTCAAGAAAATGAAACAGAACTTCTCGCAATTGATTCACGAGGGACTGTCTATCAATGGAGTTTTGATTCTTCTAATCCAACAGCGCATGCAGCTTGGCTTGCATTTCGTGATCATATAAGCGGCGAGGTGATAATTTCACATAAGTGAATGGCAGAATTTTTTTCTTCTAATTATCTGTAACTATTATTCCTCTATTTGTGCAATTCACTCACAGTTAAGTGTTGAAGATGATCAACTAAATTACTTGTTTTTTATTTTTTTGGAAGGAGATTTTCAAAAGCACGTTATTAAAATATTTCACTACTCAATCCTTGCACTAAAACCCCGTTTACACTGTACCGGATTGCTTTTGTATCGGGTTGATTTCCTATACGACAGAAATTTTATGGGGTGTTCACACTACATTGTCATGATAACAGATAGTCTCGCGCCAAATAATACAACATTTTAGCAAAAGCAAAGGAAAAAAAACTTGAATCTACGCATTGATCCGTCGAAGTGTAAACAGCAGCCCAATCCGATACAAAAATCACAGCGTGACGATGCAATCCGGTATTGTGTAAACAGGGCCTAATTGAGGAACAGAACATATTCTTTACTGAAATAAAAAATAAATATCATTATTTTTTATTTAGCGGTCCAAAGCGATATTTTTTCATTTTCCAGCAATTTGATTGACTGCCTGAGCGGGTAGCTTTTTACGCATATCTGCCCGTGGACACAAGCGATATTGTTTTTGCAATGTTTTGTTTACGATATGAAATTTAGATTTGTAAAATTGATTTAAAAGCGATGTAAATTGTATTCAAAGTGTATTCAAATGAAAGTTATCATAGCAAGATTGAATTTTACTATCCAGACGAAGCGAAGTTTGAAGAAAACAATTCAATTTTAGACTCAACATATTTTTTTCGAAATGTATTTGTTACAAAGTGAAATGTAAATTTTCAAATATGATTTAAAAGCGACGTAAATTGTTCTACGAGAAAGCAAAGTGTATTCAGATGAAAGTTATCATAGCAAAAATGAATTTTCCTATCCAGACGAAGCGAAGGTTGTAGAAAACAATCCAATTTTTGTCTCAGCATCAAGTTGCATCGGGCCATCGGCCATTTTACAACGCGAATTTTCATAATAAAAATAAAAAAATAAATATGTTATTTACCGTATGGGAGGTTCGTACGGAAAAAATATTTTCACGAGGTCTAAAAAGCGAGATCTCAAATTTTCATTGATGGAAAAACAGGCTCTGTAGAAGCTATGTTTACTATGAACTGTTCTTTGTAATAAAAAACTTGCTTGTATAAAATTGAATCTAGTAAATCTTTTTATGCAATTACATGCTATTTTTAACTTAGATAAAGAATTCCAAATCATGGAACCCCAAGACTTTGGTTGGTCAGCCTCCAAAAAGGAACCAAGATTCTTTTTTATATCGCGATGCAAAAGGATACAAAACAGTGTTGTTAGATGACGATAATGGTGACCATTACAACACCCTGAGCATGGGCCATGCTATATATAAGCAAGGATTGGGAGTAGACTATCTCAACGACACTACACAATATCCCTCAATTTCAAAGGGGTTGACGTTGTATTTCAGGTCACGTGGACAAAGAAATGCCACCAAATATGGTAAATCTTGGAAAGGCTTTTGGTGGTTTACATCTGGTGCCACATGGCCTAAAAATGCTTCCACTGATGTTCTTGCGCATCCTTATGGAACCTGTAGCAATAGGTAAACAAAACTAATACAAATTACAAAGCAATGTTTCCTTTGTTTGCATTTGAAACATTTTGCTGCCTTAAATCTTTTAATACATTCGCACATTTTCTATTTTTCAACTGCTCCATTATCAGCTGGTAATGATATTTTTTTCTTTGTGTGTTGTTTTTCGTTTTCCGTTCTTGCAACCTCGAAAATGAAGCTATTTCGTAACAGTACATACCTCTCTGTCTTGGTGTTGTTACTGTGTTTGTTTTTTCTTCGTTACTTTCTTCTGATTTCACTTTTCCTTTTCATAGCTACAAATAGCCAAAATAGTTGCAAAATTAAAGTTGCCATATGGCAACAACAAGAAAACAATCCAATACTTGAAAGACCAAAAACTTGCAAGAGTTAAAAAAAGTTTTACAAACAGCAAAGTTTTCCTACAGACACCCTTTAGGTTTAAAATTTTTTAAGTGGAAAACGCTATTTATTTGTTTTAAAGAATTTTCCAGCAGCAAACTACAACTTCTTTTATGTCTTAATTCATATTTATCGTCTCTTTCTCTCATTTTGAAATAATTTTTAAATTTTGCTTTTCCCAGTAAACAAACGAAATTCTTCACGTCGAAAATAGATTTTTATCTTTTATTTTCTTTCTGAATTGCAGTGATGCGTTCTGTTTTCAACGTTTGCCAGCCTGGGCCTATGAAGACAAAACTGAACTTTTAGCAATGGACAATGCAGATAATGTATACCTGTGGCATTTTAACTCAACAAATCCCACCTCTCATGCAGCCTGGAGAGCATTTCATGATCATACAGAGACTGGTGCAGGGGTAGTCAAAAACTCTCATCCTTGGAACCTTAAAATTTTAAAGGGAAAGTCAAACAATATAAACCAAGATTCATTTATGTATCGTCTTCAAGGAAAGACAAAGTCAATTCTTCTTGATGACGATAATTGTGACTGTTTATCTACCTTGAATATTGGTACATCGATGTGTGGTGGTAACGCTGGGATTCCAAAGGGTTTCGGTGTCGATAAGCTGTATGATCCTATTTGTGGCGTGCCTCAAACTTCAAATGGACTCAGTTTGTACTATCGCACAGAAATGTCTTTCGTAGACTTCGGTATGGAGTGGACACCATTTTGGTGGTGGACTAAAGATATTTCCTGGAATAAAACAGAGAAAGATGTACTTGGTTATGAATATGGACATTGTAAGAAAGAAGATAGTTATTGTTTCCAGCGCTTACCAAAGTGGACTAGAGAGGATTTTACGCATCTGTTGGCAGTCGATTCCGCTGGCACAAAATATTTGTGGAAGTTCGAGGCTAAAAATCCTACATCCCATGCTGCCTGGCTCGCATTTCATGATCACAAAGTAACCATGGCGGGCAAAATTAAGAACAACAAAGCTTGGAATCCTCAAGTTATGAAAGGTTTAAAACCGAAAAAGGTGAGTACATTTGTAAAGAAACAATGCGGGAAATTTTATGATTTTCTTCTATGATACAGTACACTGATATCCAAATTGGCATTTTCGTGCCTGTGTTTAAGGACGAAATTAGAAACACCAGTAGAGTATTTTAATTTAGTGGCAATTTGGCATTTCACAGCATAACAAAATTTCGCAAAATGAGCCCTCCTCCACAGTGAGAGATATTTCTTTTGGCCTGACAGTTTGACAAATATCAGAAGACCCTCGCCATGTTGAAATATTTTCTATTTTTTTTAATTGAATTGAAGCCCTGACCTGAAATTTCATGTACACTGACTGTGTGACTTGATCAGGAAAACCAATAGTTACTGGTTAATTGCGCAGTAAACATACATGTTAGTGTACATGTATCTGCCAAATATCGGTCGATATTTGGTCAATTTCTTTGACTTTTAGCAAGCACAAAATTGGTCAATTTCCATACTTTCCATCTTAATTATTGCACTGCTACTCTCTTTTTTATTTCAGGACCAAGATTCATTTATGTATCGTGAGCAGCAGGGAGTGAAGTCGTTACTACTTGACGACGATAACTGCGACTGTCTGTCTTCGCTTAATTTGGGTCACGGAATGTGTAATTCTGGCTTTAGTACATCATTAGGTCCAATAAACAGGTGTGCAAATTTTGTTACGTTCAGTTCAAACGAACAAACAAACAGGCGAACAAACAAACCGGCGAACGAACAAACAGACAAACAAACAGGCGAACGAACAAACAAACAGGCGAACAAACAAACAAACAGGCGAACAAATAAACAGGCGAACGAAAAAACAAACAAACAAAAAGGCGAACAAACAAACAAACAGGCAAGCAAATTAACAAACAAACAGGCGAACAAACAAACAAACAGGCGAACGAACAAACAAACAGGCGAATAAACAAACAAACAAACAAACAGGCGAAAAAACAAACAAACAGACGAACAAACTAACAAACAAACATACGAACAAACAAACAAATAAACAGACGAACAAACAAACAAACAAACAGGCGAACAAACTAACGAGCAAACAGGCAAACAAACAAACAAACACGTGAACAAACAAACAAAGAAACAGGCGAACAAACTAACAAACAAACAGGCGAACAAACTAACAAGCAAAGATTTTTGGGAAATTCTTTTCAACGTTGCAAAAATGTCATTTCTACATTTTATAGATTTGGTGTAGATGAGCTCTACGATGAACATTGTAATTCTCCACGTCCAACTGTAGGCCTTGTTTTGTATTTTGCTGCCACACGTCCCATGAGCCTTTGTATGTATGGCGGTGATTGGTTGGCTTTCTGGTGGTGGTCTGCAAACGCCAAGTGGCCTTCAAACGAAAACGACGTGCTTGGGCATGCATATGGAACGTGCAGTCCTCGTGATGATTATTGTTTTGGCAGGTTACCACAGTGGGCTCAGGAAGACCTTACCGAATTGCTAGGTGTAGATTCTGCAGGCAATGTTTACAAATGGAAGTTCGATTCCAAAAATCCTACAGCTCACGCAGTTTGGCAAGCATTTCATGACCATCAAGAAACGCCGGCGGGAAAAATATTGCATAGTAAATCTTGGAATCCGAAAGTGCTGTCTGGGAAAAAACCAAAGATCGATCAAGATTCGTTTATGTATCGTAAACAAAATGGAATTAAGTCTATTTTACTGGATGACGATAACTGCGACTGTCACACTACTCTAAATATTGGACACGGCATGTGTAAATCATCTCATGACACCAAATATGGGCCTCAAAATCAATATGGCGTCGACACATTATTTGATAACTTATGTCAAGTTCCTCAACCTGATAACGGTCTCACTCTTTACTTCCGCACAACCTGAATGCGACACTTGAGTTTTTTACTTTCTTTGTTTTATAGCGGTTTAGTTATTTTTGCTTGTTTACTGATTTTTTGCTGATAAGAAATTTTCCATAGAAAGCTATCGACTTTGTTACATGTATGCATAAATTATAAAATCTTGTTTTGTTCAGTTTTGTTAGCTTATCACTCCTATAAAGCTGACAAATAATGTAACTGACAAGTACAAAATATGGTTTGAATACTGATGATTACATAACTTTTGTATTAGAACTATTATATAAATTTTCTCTTATATGAGACAAATTAATTCTTTTGTGGTGTTGTTTCTAATTTATTGTAGTGACACCACAGCCTATTTTTTCATTTAGTTCAATTCCCACGCCCTTCCAAGTGCTAAAGTCACCCACTTATGGTCTCCTGGTAGTTGAATAAATGTTAGCAAGTTTACGGTTTCATACTTTAGTGGTAAATTTGAGTAACACCTAATACGACATAATTGTTTATTGCAAAACCATGCAAATAAGATATCGTACCGGAAGTGGCTTACGCACTCAAATTTTTTCTACCTCAGTCCACAAATTATAACATCTGTCATAAATATTAGAGCATTGTTTATGCACAAAATATGCAGATACAAAGTTATGGAGAAAAAGAAAACATCTCTAACATTGTCACAGAAATTACGAGTGGCTTAACAAGTGTTAATGAATTTGATATGCATTTGTCAAAACAAGCTTAAGAAGACAAAGAGCATGCCAAAAGATATATGATTGAAAATTTGCTAATCGCATATACAAGCAACAATTTCAGAGCTCGCTCTGTCACAAATTAATTAAGAACGACCAACTGTACGTATTAGTATCGATTATGGAATAAATAGCTCGCTCAGACATAAATTTTCAGGAAAAATTATTTGCGCATGCGCAGTCGGCTTAAGCATGCGCGGTCGTATTAATTAACTGTCCAAGTTCATGGTCATGGCAATGACCAATTGCATCTACTAGAACCAATTTTGAAGTAAATAGCATGCTTAGTAACAATTTAATAGAGGAATCATCTGCGCATGCGCTCTAGCATGCACAGTCCACTCGACTAAATGTTCATAGTCATGGCAATGACTAACTATATGTACTTGCACTACATTTGTGGCAATTAGCTCACTTAGTCGCAAATTATTAAAGAAATCATCTGGGCATGCGCAGTAGTGACTTTAATAATACCACAACTTTCGTAAGCCTTTGAATTTATGTATATATATATAAATCTAAAATTTCATATAATAGATGTCAACTAGTAGTGGAAGCTGGGTGCGATGTAGTATGCAGTGGCTTAGGGCCCACACTTCGGTGGCGACCGCATTCTCCCTGCGTACCCCGAGCAAAGCCTATCGCAGGTGATCTCGGGGTCTGATGGGCGGAAGCTTGCTATTGGCATCTCCCAAGTAGGATAGCGTGGAGGGGCCGAAATCTCCTACCGAAACGTTAACATGCGGCGTTCTAGTGCCTTACGCTTAAAGAAGGTATCGGGAAGCATGGACCGAAAACGGGCTTTTTTGCTTTTTAATTTTATCTTTTTGTTTGTCTCATAATAGAAACTAGAACATCCAAGGATACTACAAAGCTTAAAAAACTTCTGCCTCTTTAACGATACGTTTTTTAAATGTTACGTTTTACAATAAAACTTTCTCATAACTCTCTCGTGATGAACGAGAGCCTCCTTATACAATATAACTCTTTCATCATGAACATAAGTATCCATGGGCTTCATGAAAAAAAGGGATTATCTACTTTTCTAAAATAGTTTTTACAAAGGTAACATTTAATAAGCCAAGCAATTTGTATCGTCTAAATTGAATCTCGCTTTCAACCCTTACGTGATAAAATTTTGATTCATTTTGGATAGTAAATATATTTTTACCTTACAATATTTTCATGATTCATTCTAGAAAGGAACTTCTCCTCTCGAACAGAACACTTTTCGGATTCAAAGGAATTCTTTTGATCACATAGAGACAGCCGTCCATTTCATTACATACCTAAGCGTATATAAAGCATTTCCAAATCAAGTACAAAATTTCCTTCAAATGACCAAATTATCGTCTGTTTAAACGATGTATGTAATAAAAAGTTACCTTCACAACTGAAGCAAACCATCCATTCTCCAAGCATTTGCAACACCTCAAATACATTTCGAACTCTTGAATTTCTCGCAGCGTTAACGAAAGGAATAGGCATCAAATCAGGAGACTCGTCTTCATCATCACAGCCATTTTCATTTCTACCGTGATCTTTTTCAGCGTCAAGCTTATCTGAAGTGATGTTATTGCTTAAGCCGTGCGACATGGGATTTGGAGAGACAAAAGGATGGCCAAGAAGCTGCTGTGCTGAGCATTGGTTACCGTTCTCCGGATACAGACATCTATACAAAGTATATGACATTAAAAGACAGTAGCTATAAATTCTTCGTCGCTTTAATGCTTGTTTTTCTTCATGATCTTCATTTATTCAAGTGGAAGCTTTGAGTGGAAGTTTTCAAGCATGGCTATGATTGTAATCGACAAAAAACCTATTCTGCAAAGGGTACCTTTCTTTACAGCTCTGCAATTTAATAAAAGTAACTTACAAGTCCAAAAAGAGCTCTTCAATGTATCCAAAGACCAAACTCTTTTTCCTGACATTAGTTGACTTTTTAAAGAAAATACCTAAAAAGTGTAACAATAAAAAAACAAAAATGTATAAAGTTTGATAAAAAGCAATCCTTATAATACTGCTACTGATTTTTTTTAGTGAAATAGCTGACATGAAAACTGGTCGGCATTTTCAATTTTGGCCATGTATCAAGCCATTACATTTTGCAAAGCAGGACAGCTTTAATTGTGGTGTAATCATTTGCCTTGCAAGTGAGCACTCCCACAGACATTCAGCAATTCATTTTATTAATTTATACATTGCTCATTTCTTGCACTAGAATTCTACACAATGCAAATCATGCCCACAAATCATAATGTATAGAAATATATATAAATGTACACTGCTGGTTATTTACGTACAATAAATTTCACAATTCTTTTTTCACAGTTTGCAAGGAGGTGTATTTGTGAAAATTCAAGCTTAAATTGATATTTTAAAATGGAATTACAGACAGAGAGAAATTAATATCACTCATATCTGGCTCTTGCTATGATGACATTCATGAGTAGGTTTCCACCAGTCTTTAAAGCATTATACAGTGCACGAGAAATTTAAATTCATTTTGAATTCATTTCTTTGTTTCGCTGTAGACGAAATACTGGTGTTTGCAAAATATGCAAAGACAATGATGGTGAAGATTGGTTTGGATGCGACAAATGATTTCACTTTTACCATTCCAGCTATTTAAATTTAGAATTTTCTGCTGCCCTCTCCAACTATTTTGTTTGTCCATGCTAAAACTCTTGGCATGACATCACACAAATGTCTACATTTATCATCTCAACATTAAATAAATTTCAAAGGAACAGGTGAACAATCATTAGTGCTTCAATGATTGTGTTGGATTTAGAAGAATTTAAATTGAATGAGCAGCAGTTAAATCTTAGCACAACTTTGTCACAATGTCCTATCCATTTCCTGTATTCTGCTTGCAAACATGTTGCATTATACACTCTCAAGAAATGGTTGTAGTTCAGAAATGGTTAATTCAGATGCTTAACTCAAAAGTCAAATTTCATTACAGTCAAAATAACGAAAACAGTTAAAATAATAAAAATAAATAAGAAAAGAAGAATACATACTTGCTTTGGACGAGTGCAGAAAAAAGTTTTCAGATTCAGCGATCAATTGTGTTGCATGAACTCATACAAACACGTACATTGTGTTTTGTTGACTCTCTAATTTCGACATAATGCCAGTTATAATTACACATTGTCAATCTCCGATAATTTTCTTATCTTTCCACATTTTAAAACATAAATCTTTGGGATGAATGAACAGTAATTCGGAATAGTTGAATAATTGCAATTTTATCCACTACACTGACCATAATGCATCGCGGGCGCATCCTCTCTTTCGCCCGGGTGAGGGGATGTATAATAATGTGGTATGTGACGTTATGTATAACAATTTATGCCTTAGAACAGGGGTCTCCAAACTACGGCCCGCGGGCCAGATGCGGCCCGTTGAGCCTCTCAATCCGGCCCGCAGAGACATTTAAGAAAAACAAAATATTATTAAACAAAATAAACTTTGTGCAGAAAGTTCACGTTATGACTCAAGCCAACTAGCAAGAGTGGCTTACATCAATTTTTGTCCCAACTTCCTACTTCTGTTTCAAGCACATTGCGAAATTTAAAAAGCTGAAGGATAACGTGGAAATTTTTTATATTTCAATGCTTCATAATGGCCGATAAAAGGAAATGAAAAATAGATGATGAATGTCGGCGATTTCAAGAAGAGTGGAGTGTAAAATACTTCTTCATGATGTTCTTCGTAATGTACTTCATGATGTACTTCGTATTCTTCGTTATGTACTTCGTTTTATTTAAGCATTCGCTCTTTGACCAGCGGTATACGGTTCGTCGGCCCTCAACATGCTGGATGAAAGTTCATGTGGCCCTCTGGCTGTAAAGTTTGGAGACCCCTGCCTTAGAATTATCAGAGGGTGACCGCCTGATGGATAACCGCCTCTGGGCAGCGGTAAATATAGCATGAAGGTGTATCTGAGAAATTATCAATTAGGACATGAAAAGATAGCAGTCTTCTATTAATATTATTTATTGCATGAGAATTTTAGTTTATTTCAGACCAAAAATAAGCGACGATGTTCCTTTGACATTTTGACTATTCTATCTATTACATTAAATGAATGAATTATGCATAAGGCTAAAAAAATCCATTGTTTTTATACACAAATAAAGATAGTATCTATATGGATTTGTAATAGTTACGCATTATAGAATAAGCATGATTCTATGGATAAGATGTAAGTCTGACCAAACCAGTGGCGTCACCAGTTCGATTACTGAGGGGGGCGTTCATAAATGAATGTTTTAATTCTTATAAGAACCATGCTTCCAAAAAAGATATATACATGAATTATCGAGCTATCGACAGCACTATACTAAGCACTTCAACACCTCTATATGAAAAGTCAGGGCCATATATTCCTAGAGTATTAAGGCTTAATTTTCAGTATCATTGGAAAATATAATTATTTTTCTAAAGGACTGCTTTCCAAATGGATCTTCATTTTATCAGATATTGTTTTTTTTTGAGTGTTTTCATCCAATCCTCTATTTTATTTCTGTCATCTGTAAAATTTTTATTTTCATACGATATCAATCTTGGCAAGTTGATTTATTGCAGGCTTTTTATTTCTATTTTGTTTGAAAATCCCAATAAGTTTTTTATCCAGCATTCCGTAAATGTAAGGATTCACTGCTGAGGAGCCGATTACGTAAAGGATGAAAAAGGCGCCTTTATTAAAATAACTAAAAACTTTCAAATTATTTGTAGTTGAATTACTAGTAGTGTTGTTTTGGGAATAAATTTTCAGGGCAGTAAGGAGTGGGAGCTAGAGCTTTATTGTTTCTTCTGAAAACATGACCTATAAATACGGCACTTCAAAAACGATGGCTAACGGTACGAACCGAGCACTGCAGTGCGAGTTATGCAAGGGGAACCTAGGGTATTCTCTCTGGGAAAATTTTTAAATAAAGAAAATTTAAAATGCTATTTTGACGGGTAAAACCAGTGGCGTCACGAACTCGATAATTGAGGGGAACAATATTTATGTATTCATGTTTTAATCCCTAAGAAACAATTGATCTTAAAATCCTTCTCATTTATCAAGCTGGCGACGCCACTGTATGAAAACCCCAAATTGAAAATTCGTATTTCCATATAGTCATTTTTTGGCGTTCAGCAATCAACAGTTAGGTGCACCATGGCCCCTTGTCCCCCTCCTCCTCCATCACCATTGCAAGCACGCCGCATCCTGCCCTACGATGTTCTTTTTAATTGTTTATATCAGTAAACTGAACATTATTGGAAAAGAAACACAAAAATTTTATTTTACTATAGGTTGATGGTAAAGAAGTAAAAGAATTACCTGTCATTTTTGAAGCTAATGAAACATTACCATTTCTTGAACCGTTCATTAGAGTAAATAATGTAAGTGAGTTTGGTGGATTTTATCTTACTTTTCCTATTGCTTACTCGACATCATTTCGCGTTATTATAAGATGGCAAGGAAGCCAAAATATTGATACCGAGCAAGCTTGGACCCAGTCAATCTCATGTCGTGTCTATGGTACTTACTGTGATATATCGGGTTATTATGCCGTTATAACGAACAAATTGACAAATGAACGGAAACTTAAGAGTCTGTTCAATGAGTATTTTCTTAAAGAAAAGGTTTTGTCAAATTATATACAAGACGCTACAACAGCTTTCTCAAAAATGGCTAGAGAACCAGAAAATTTTGCGCCTGGTCTTCGATCCCAATGCTCTCTTTCCTGTCACAAAGTCGAACCAAATGAGGAAATAATAATTTATCATGCTCACCATAGTGCGATGATAATTGAATCAATGCGCCTTCGCATTTATGATAAGATAAATAACATGATAAAAATTTCCGAAAATTGGAGAAGAATTCTCATAACAATGCAATGGGACGATAAAGAACCTCAAGTGAAAGATATTCCTTTAGCTGGGATATTCATTACTGGACTAAACTTTCTTCGCGAAGTAAAAAGTCTCACAACTGGTTTAAGATATATGACATGTAGTGTAGAAGGGGATTATGCATCGCAAATGGAAATGTATGATTGGACTGCTTATTTATATTATGAAATGCCATTTTGGAAGTCTGCAAAAATAAGCGTCAAAATACCTCATGGATTTGATTCTGCCATAGTTTGCTCTCAAATGTCAACGAAAACTCTGAGTGAAGAGAAATACCATCACAGTTTAACTGGCTACTTTAGTGCGCAGATGAATCAGCAAGGGTTCGATTACAGCCATCATAAAAATATTTTTCATTTGGAAAAACAATGGGGTCATGTTGTTGCCGTTAACTTTTTCTTAAGAAATGATAAAATAGCAAGTACGCATGAGCTTGACGTCATTATTGAAACAAACGATGCAATAGCGCCAATATTTCCAGGAACTGGATTAGAGGATTTTTTTCACTATGTTCACGATTTCCATGCAAACAAGAATAGGACATCGCTCTTCAATGGTGCACCATACTACTTTAGAAAGCGCCGATTTCGCATTTTAAGGTGCTTTCGTCCTAACACCTTGGATCCAATCATATTTACTACCGGTATTCGAATTTATCTAGAATCAAGATTTGATCGATCAAAAAGCGCAAATTATCGAAATTTTATGAATTCTTCATTGTCGTTTAGTCAAGAGATTTTACGAGACTCCTTGTTTACGGTGACTTTATATTACGGTAATAAAGGTTCTGGTGGAGTATATAGCGATGTTTTAAACTACCATGAAAGAAATAACACCTTATCTAAAAGATTGCATTTTTCACCACAACAAGTACGAACGTTTGTAATTCAAAGTATGTATGAAGATCAACCAGGAATGCTATTTGACAAAATGGTTGTTTCGATGGAACCAGGACAAAAAGTAGTACATACGCTCAAAATCTTACCAAAAAATGTTGGTATAATACTTCGTCGAGAATATCATTCGATGGTACCTAATCAAAAAGCTAAAGTATCTATTGACGGAGATGAAGCAGGTGTATGGTTTTGCCCTCAAAGAGCCATAAAAAAGATGTTGTCCTTGCGTTTTAATGATCATCTTCTTCCATTATCTCACACTTTTGGCAAAAATTCGATTGAAGTTACTTTGACTGCAATAACGCGATGGGAAACAATTTCAATACAAGTTCTTTCGGTTCTCCTAAGTGATTAGTACCTGATCAATGCATGTAGAATCAAGTACAAAATGCATGAAAAAAATGTGACTTACAGTGGTATGAATGTAAAAAATGTAAAAAATACTTGTCTTATTGTATATCCTCAGGGCCCTCCTTAAAGCGTTGATTGGGGGGGGGGGAGGGATTGGTGTTTCTTTTTGCATTCAACTATCTCCGAGTGATTTGTTTTGAAAAGAAATTCATTTATAAAATAAACGTTCAAAAGTAAACTTTGTATGCCATATTTCTTAAAACTTCTGGATTGGCTGGAAAACAGCATAAATGTGCTTTAATAAGAGAGATCTAGATTCAAATTGGACAGTGAGGCTGCAGGAAGTTGAGATAAAGAAGGTACGGATTTTTATATACTTAGTATCAGCAGTGAAAAGAGGTAGTGAATGTTAAAAAGAGCCTTTAAACATATACAGATACATGGAATGGGATGAAGAGAAAGAGAAGAAGCAAAAATGTGTGAAAAGAGAGAAGAAGAAAAAATGAAGGGCAATAATGGTTTACCAAAAAGTGGTGAGACCAGCAATATCAAATGGTTCGAGACAATATTTAACGAGGGAAAAGATAGGAGACACAGCAAGAGGTTGCAGAGATGAACACGCTGCAAAGTTGTCTTTAGGAGTAACATAGTTTGACAAAATTAGGAATGAAAATATAAGAGGTGCAGTTTTAAAAAAAGAGCCAGAGAGGCCTGGTTTAAATGTTTCGGACTTATAGAGAGAAGAGACAATGGGTACATTGGAAGAGCAAAGAGGAGATATATGGATTTACTCAGAGGACATGAAGTTGTGTAGTTTATTGAAAAAAGATACGTTAGTTTCAATCGTTTACGCACAGAAAACACAACAATTTATCTAGCCCTGTTGCATATCAAGTTTTGTAAAAATACAACGCTTAGCGAGCAAAATTATACACTGCTATGTGAAATTCTTTATTCTGCTATCAATATCATCATCTTCCAATTTGGGTTTGAAATGCGAATAAAGCTGTCTGCTTTAATTCTTTTCGAAATCAAAATAAAAAGTTAAATTATTTTTTTGGCATGCAGGCCAGCAATGAGGCCGTCAACATTGCTATGTTTCAATTGAAATGATGAGTACAAGCCATTACACTTTCTGCACAGAAAGGTTTAGGGCAAAATAAGCATTGATTAAAAATGTTGTTTTGGTGATTTACAACAATTGCTAAAAATAGCTTAAAATATACTACGTACTTAATTATTCTTTATTTAGTGTAAATTTTGTAACTATTTGCTCTAGAGCTTTAATGTAAATTTCAAAAATATCTTGGGTCATTTTCAGACCCAGTGTAATGATAGCTAATTTGGTACACGAAGCACAGGACAATGGATAATAATATTTTTAAAAATCGAAATGCTTTTTTGTATGCTTCAAATCAAAACATTGATAAGTGCCTATTTTGTGAGTTGTAATTTGCATAATGCAATATAAAACCTTTTAAATTTGTAAATTTTCACGCATGTTTGTGACCACGGTAGACAGAAGATCTTTTTCATAATCATATGTGTAAATGCTATCGAATGAAAAACAACTATATGCAAAATCTTTGCAAAATTGATGCCGTCAAATATTGACTTTCGTAAATCCTCTTTGAATTTACTGAGTAGCTACTTTACTCGCCACGTCATCGTCTGGTGCTCACTTGGCTTCAACAACAGAACACTCTCTTTTTTATTGTGCATCATGGCCAAACCTGATCCTGGTGAAGTCGGAATACACTTTTTAACAGATACATATATATAATAGAAAAAACTTCACAAAGGATCCAGTTCGTGAAGTAATGACTAATAGCTCTAAAATATTCTTTCGAAATTTTTAACCAACATGCAGTGTTGTTGTTAAGGTAATTTAATTTAAAATGAGCTTCTGTAGAAGTTAGCCTCTTATGTATTCTTATTCTGGATAAACTGCATAGTCATTTTTGCTTTAGTCACATAGTCGTAAAAATGAATGTCAATCTATTTGTCTGTTTGCTGCACTATTCACGGGGAAAATTACTTCTTTTGTGCTTCTTCCGTTTCAGTTCGGCTAAGCCATAAATAAATATGCACCGACACAATCATCTCAATGACTCTTGTAATGCACCAGTCAAAAGCTGACATTCTCAAACATACAAATCACCATTTGCGAGATACAAACAAATTAAGTCATTATTTTGCACTGAACAAGCTAAGGAGAAGTATAAAGTTTTCGCTCGATCCGGAAATTTTCATAATGACCATTCATGGTAAGTAGAAACGAACAGAAAAGTACGCTGTGATGATGTTAATTAATGCTTCTACTATTGCCATATTGCTTTATAATAACAGTGTGTTGCACTGAATAAATTTATGGATTAATTTTTGATATGATAATTGTATCATAATACACTCAGCAAAATACAACAATTTAACTAGTCATGTTTTAACTAAATTGTACAATTGTTAGTGAACTCTTAGCGTGCAAAATTATATACTGCCATATACAATTCTTCATTGTCCTGTCAGTAGAATCATCATGAAATTTGGGTTTGAAATGCAAATGAAGGTGTAAATTAAACAGTTGCGTGAAACGTAAAAAGGCTCTTTCCTATGATGTTATTAAATAAATCTAGATGAAATACTTTATACACGAAATATACGTCACTACAATATCACTGAACACACAAATTGACTTAATTCGATCTATACTAATCGACTGAAATTTTATAATTCAAAGTTTTCTTTTGTGTGTTATAATATGGATTTTTATATTAATTTTAAGTAAGTTTTGTAATCAGTGTATGTAAGGAGAACTTAAATTAGATAACGAACGTAGCAGGCATGTACTTTTTGTGCAGGTTTATAAAACCGTTTGATGTAAAATTCATACAAAACGGCAAAATTTCTTTTTTCGAATCAAGCATTAAAATGTCTATCTTATGTATATCTGAAATAGAAAGAATAGTTATGACTGACAGCTAGTCTCATGCAAATGATGAAAAAAGGGGGGGAGGGTGCACAGTTTTAAAGATTAGCAAACTGTAATTTTGTTTTGTCTTGCCTCTTTTGAAAATGCGTATCCGAATACCAGTGAATTATAACTGGTATAAGATTTGTTATTTTTTACTAAAGAAATAATAGTTTTGTAAAAGTTAATATCTACATTTATTTTATAGGAGCATTGGTAGGATTATTTGCTTTGTGCATCAGTTGGCATTGTGTGGTAGGTTTTGATCGTGTTTTTAGCACTTGGACTAAATTTTGGTGGTGGAACGTGGGCTCAAAATGGCCAGCAAGCGTAAAAGACGTTTTGCAGAGCACTTATGGCACATGTTCGACAAAAAACTACTGCTTTCAGCGGTTACCATCATGGACACAGGAGAGCAAAACTGAATTATTGGCAGTAGACTCGATGGGTACCATATATTTATGGAAATTTAATCCCGCTAATCCTACGGCACATGCGTGTTGGCTTGCTCTTCACGATCACAAGGAAACTGCTTCAAAAAAGGTTTTTCATGATTTATTTCTAAAGAGTTTGTATTCCCATACAAACTATGATGATCAATTAATGCTTTATTACAAAAAAATATGAATAGAGTGGCGAAGCCAGCATCCAGTAATCATTGCTCTATGAAAATTAGAACTAATTTCCTTTGAAAACTAAATTCATTTATTGTTTCAATAAATGAACACTGTGATATTTGAAAATTCTTTTAGGGCGTGTATATAAGCTGTGATAACTTAGAAAGCCCATGGTGTTTTTTAAGGCAGACATACGTTTCCAATAAACATACTCATAAAATTTAATACCATATGTACGTTGACATAATTAAAAAATTGCATTAATTTATTTTTGGCTTATGTACATTTCTCTACATTGACTAAAGATCTTGAACTTAAAAACTTGGAATCCAATCGTCATTGAAGGACGCGCACCAAAAGCCAACCAAGATTCGTTCATGTATCGAGAACAAAATGGATTGAAATCACTTCTTCTTGATGACGACAACTGTGACTGTTTATCTTCGTTGAGTCTAGGACATGGCATGTGTGGTTCAGGTATGGATAAAATAAAATTACATGTTTAAGGGTGGCACGTTGTAAGGTGAAATTATGCTAGATGAATGTAAAATATGTCCTTACAGATCAAAAATTGAATTTATACCTCGAGAATTTTATAGCATGAAAACAATGCTCTAAAAATGTAAATTCAATAGTCTTTGCTTATGAGTTGAAACAATTGCTAAATTCTTTCTTTGGCGAACCCAGAGTACTTTATACCTGTCCCTTGAAGTCCATCAATGTTTTCTTAACCAACTCAATAATTTTTACTTATAATCATAATTTGCTTTTATAACCAAGTTGTATTACCTAATTTCAAATTAATTTTATGCTTTTTGGAAATTTGAATAAATTACAATATGAAATTAGCAAATTAATTCCCAGTGAACGTAACAGTTATCATAAAACTTAGTGTAAAATGCAAAAACATCCATGTTTTAAAGATCTTGCGTTGGACAGCTATCATTGGACTAGCTTCGCAAGTAAAACATCTTGCATTTTAAAAAAACTTCATTGGTAGCTGTACCAGAGAACGTTAAAAAACTTAGAATAATCAAAAGTTTTAGCTTACTCCGTGCGCCTTGTTTTAGAAAACTTTTTTCAAGAATCTACATTTTTGATACACCCTGTACATACGTAGTTTTATATTTACCACAAAACTTTGCTTTGTTGTGACAGCCATTTAAAACTTGTATAAATTAGCACAGCAAAGATCTTTACAAGATGGAGGAGAATATTAGATTATTTTATTTTACCTGTCGCCTATCTACACACATAAAGGGCAGCCACAACAAATTTTTGTTGTTTTTGTTTTATGTTGAAGGATAATATGTTATAAAGTTAATGAAAATGTATTACTATTTCCATTAAACAAGATACTAACAAGTGCACGAAAACGAGCCATGGCCAGAGAAAAATTTGTGCATTCTTCGTACGTCACCACAGCCAAGAGAATATTCCGAAGCAAATGCAATATGAAAAGATCTTATTGTACATTTTGTTTTAGCATTTCACGTCAACTGACAAGCCAAATGTAGAATGCGCTTTTTCTGTCAATGATTGGTTTTTTAAACTTGCATTAATTTCATAAAATAACTTTAAATATTTTGATTTATTTTCAGGACATAACAGTAAATTTGGAAAAGAGATTGGAGTCGATGCCCTTTACGATCCCGGATGTAACGGACCTCGACCAACTATTGGATTGTCTTTGTACTTCCGCCAAGAAAAAAAGATATTTCTGTCCGACTTTGGAGGGGATTGGGAAGCATTTTGGTGGTGGACACCTGGAGCTCCATGGCCTGTGCACGTGAAAGACGTGCTGCAGGATTGTTACGGCACGTGTTCCAAATATGATCATTATTGCTTTCAGAGGCTACCAAGTTGGACTCAAGAAAATCAAACAGAACTTCTCGCAATTGATTCACGAGGGACTGTCTATCAATGGAGTTTTGATTCTTCTAATCCAACAGCGCATGCAGCTTGGCTTGCCTTTCATGATCATACAAGCGGCGAGGTGATAATTTCACATAAGTGAATGGCAGAATTTTTCTTCTAATTGTCTGTAACTATTATTCCTCTAGTTGTACAATTCGCTAACAGTTAAGTGTTGAAGATGATCAACTAAATTACTTGGTTCGATTTTGTTGGAAGGAGATGTTCAAAAGCACGTTATTAAAATATTTCACTAATCAATCCTTGCACTAAGACCCCGTTTGCACTATACCGGATTGCTTTTGTATCGGATGGAGTTCCTATACGATGTAGTAGAATACAATCCAATTTTAGTCTCAGCATCAAGTTGCATCGGGCCATCGGCCATTTTACAACGCGAATTTTCATAATAAAAATAAAAAATAAATGTTATTTACCGTATGGGAGGTCCGTGCGGAAAAAATATTTTCACGAGGTCTCAAATTTTCATTGATGGAAAAACAGGCTCTGTAGAAGCTATGTCTACTATGAACTGTTCATTGTAATAAAAAACTTGCTTGTATAAAATTGAACCTAGTAAATCTTTTTATGCAATTACATGCTATTTTTAACTTAGATAAAGAATTCCAAATCATGGAACCCCAAGACGTTGGTTGGTCAGCCTCCAAAATTGAACCAAGATTCTTTTTTATATCGCGATGCAAAAGGATACAAAACAGTGTTGTTAGATGACGATAATGGTGACCATTACAACACCCTGAGCATGGGACATGCTTTATATAAGCAAGGATTGGGAGTAGACTATCTCAACGACACTACACATTATCCCTCAATTTCAAAGGGGTTGACGTTGTATTTCAGGTCACGTGGACAAAGAAATGCCACCAAATATGGTAAATCTTGGAAAGGCTTTTGGTGGTTTACATCTGGTGCCACATGGCCTAAAAGTGCTTCCACTGATGTTCTTGCACATCCTTATGGAACCTGTAGCAATAGGTAAACACAACAAATACAAATTACAAAGCAATGTTTCCTTTCTTTGCATTTGAAACATTTTGCTGCTTTAAATCTTTTAATACATTCGCACATTTTCTGTTTTTCCAGACAACCTCGAAAATGAAGCTATTTCGTAACAGTACATACCTTTCTGTCTTGGTGTTGTTACTGTGTTTGTTTTTTCTTCGTTACTTTCTTCTGATTTAACTTTTCCTTTTCATAGCTACAAATAGCCAAAATAGTTGCAGAATTAAAGTTTAGATTTTACATTGAGCTGCACGTGGTCAATTTATTGGTCATCTTCAGAGTCAAAAAAAAAAAAGAAAAAAAATATTTTTTTTTGACTCTGATAATAACTACCGCAAAGGTTGTCGTTACATGTTTGTAAATGTAGATCGTCCAGATTGGTATAGTCCTGAGAAGGACTGTTTTGTTTGTTGTTGTTGAGTCAACAACAACAAAAACAGTCCTTCTCAGGACTTTATTCACCTGGACGATCATCATTTACAAACATATAGTAAAAAAAAGTTTTACAAACAGCAAAGTTTTCCTACAGGCACCCTTTAGGTTTAAATTGTTTTAACTGGAAAACATTATTTATTTGTTTTAAAGAATTTTCCAGCAGCAGACTACAATTTTTCTTATGTCTTAATTCATGTTTATCGTCTCTTTCTCTCATTTTGAAATAATTTTTAAATTTTGCTTTTTGTTGTAAACAAACGAAATTCTTCGCGTCGAAGATAGATTTTTATCGTTTATTTTCTTTCTGAATTGCAGTGAAGCGTTCTGTTTTCAACGTTTGCCAGCCTGGGCCTATGAAGACAAAACTGAACTTTTAGCAATGGACAATGCTGATAATGTATACCTGTGGCATTTTAACTCAACAAATCCCACCTCTCATGCAGCCTGGAGAGCATTTCATGATCATACAGAGACTGGTGTAGGGGTTGTCAAAAACTCTCATCCTTGGAACCCTAAAATTTTAAAGGGAAAGTCAAACAATATAAACCAAGATTCATTTATGTATCGTCTTCAAGAAAAGACAAAGTCAATTCTTCTTGATGACGATAATTGTGACTGTTTATCTACCTTGAATATTGGTACATCAATGTGCGGTGGTAACTCTGGCATTCCAAAGGGTCTTGGTGTCGATAAGCTGTATGATCCTACTTGTGGCGTGCCTCAAACTTCAAATGGACTCAGTTTGTACTATCGCACAGAAATGTCTTTCGTAGACTTCGGTATGGAGTGGACACCATTCTGGTGGTGGACTAAAGATATTTCCTGGAATAAAACAGAGAAAGATGTACTTGCTTATGAATATGGACATTGTAAGAAAGAAGATAGTTATTGTTTTCAGCGTCTACCAAAGTGGACCATGGAGGATTTTACGCATCTGTTGGCAGTCGATTCCGCTGGCACAAAATATTTGTGGAAGTTCGAGGCTAAAAATCCTACATCCCATGCTGCCTGGCTCGCATTTCATGATCACAAAGTAACCATGGTGGGCAAAATTAAGAACAACAAAGCTTGGAATCCTCAAGTTATGAACGGTTTAAAACCGAAAAAGGTGAGTACATAGAAAGGTGAGTAAAGAAACAATGCGGGAAATTTGAACTTGAAAAAAGTGCACGCGTAAAGTTGACAAAATTTCATGATTTTCTTCTATGATACAGTGCACTGATATCCACATTGGCATTTTTGTGCCTGTGTTTAAGGACGAAATTAGAAATATCAGGAGAGTATTTTATTTTATGGGCAATTTGGTTGGCATTTCACAGCATAACATAATTTCGTATAATGAGCCCTCCTCTACAATGAGAGATATTTCTTTTGGCCTGACAATTTGACAAATATCAGAAAACCCTCGCCATGTTGAAATATTTTCTATTTTTTTTACTTGAATTGAAGCTCTGTCCTGAAATTTTATGTACACTGACTGTGTGACTTGATGAGGAAAACCAATAGTTACTGGTTAATTACGCAGTAAACATACATGTTAGTGTACCTGTATCTGCCAAATATCGCTTGATATTTGGTCAATTTCTTTGACTTTTAGTAAGCACAAAATTGGTCAATTTCCAAACTTTCCATCTCAATTTATGCAATGCTATTCTCTTTTTTATTTCAGGACCAAGATTCATTTATGTATCGTGAGCAACAGGGAGTGAAGTCGTTACTACTTGACGACGATAACTGCGACTGTCTGTCTTCCCTTAGTTTGGGTCACGGAATGTGTCATTCTGGCTTTAGTACATCATTCGGTCCAATAAACAGGTGTGCAAGTTTTTGTTATGTTCAGTTCAAACAAACAAACAAACAGGAGAACAAACAAACAGGCGAACAAAGAAACAAACAAACGGGCGAGCAAATAAACAAACCAACAGGCGAACAAACAAACAAACAGGCTAACAAACAAACAAACAGGCGAACAAACAAAGATTTTTGGGAAATTCTTTTCAACGTTGCAAAAATGTCATTTCTACATTTTATAGATTTGGTGTGGAAGAGCTCTATGATGAAAATTGTAATACTCCACGTCCAACTGTAGGCCTTGTTTTGTATTTTGCTGCCTCACGTCCCATGAGCCTTTGTATGTATGGTGGTGATTGGTTGGCTTTCTGGTGGTGGTCTGCAAACGCCAAGTGGCCTTCAAACGAAAACGACGTGCTTGGGTATGCATATGGAACGTGTAGTCCTCGTGATCATTATTGTTTTGGCAGGTTACCACAGTGGGCTCAGGAAGACCTTACCGAATTGCTAGGTGTAGATTCTGCAGGCAATGTTTACAAATGGAAGTTTGATTCCAAAAATCCTACAGCTCACGCTGTTTGGCAAGCATTTCATGACCATCAACAAACGCCGGCGGGAAAAATATTGAATAATAAATCTTGGAATCCGAAAGTGCTGTCTGGGAAAAAACCAAAGGTCGATCAAGATTCGTTTATGTATCGTAAACAAAATGGAATGAAGTCTATTCTACTGGATGATGATAACTGCGACTGTTACACTACTCTAAATATTGGACACGGCATGTGTAAGTCATCTCATGACACCACATATGGGCCTCAAAATCAATATGGCGTCGACACATTATTTGATAACTTATGTCAAGTTCCTCAACCCGATAACGGTCTCACTCTTTACTTCCGCACAACCTGAATGTGACACTTGAGTTTTTTACTTTCTTTGTTTTATAGCGGTTTAGTTATTTTTGCTTGTTTACTTATTTTTTGCTGATAAGAAATTTTTCATAGAAAGCTATCGACTTTGTTACATGTATGCATAAATTACAAAATCTTGTTTTGTTCAGTTTTGTTAGCTTATCACTCCTATAAAGCTGACAAATAATGTAACTAACAAGTACAAAATATGGTTTGAATACTGATAATTACATTACTTTTGTATTAGAATTATTATATAAGTTTTCTCTTATATGAGACAAATTAATTCTTTTGTGGTGTTGTTTCTAATTTATTGTAGTGACACCACAGCATATTTTTTCATTTAGTTCAATTCTCACGCCCTTCCAAGTGCTAAAGTCACCCACTTATGGTCTCCTGGTAGTTGAATAAATTTTAGCAAGTTTACGGTTTCATACATTAGTGGGAAATTTGAGTAACACCTAATTTGACATAATTGCTTATTGCAAAACCATGCAAATAAGATACCGTACCGGAAGTGGTTTACGAACCAATTTTGTTTAACTGTTTAGAATTTCATTTTCAAGTATTTCTTCTACCTCAGTCCACAAATTATAACATCTGTCATAAATATTAGAGCATTGTTTATGCACAAAATATGCAGATACAAAGTTATGGAGAAAAAGAAAACATCTCTGACATTGTCACAGAAATTACGAGTGGCTTAACAAAGTGTTAATGAATTTGATATGCATTTGTCAAAACAAGCTTGAGAAGACAAAGAGCATGCCAAAAAATATATGATTAAAAATTTGCTAAGTGCATATACAAGCACCAGTTTCAGAGCTCGCTCGGTCACAAATAAATTAAGAACGACCAACTGTATGTACTAGTATCGATTATGGAATAAATAGCTCGCTCAGACATAAATTTTTAGGAAAAATTATTTGCGCATGCGCAGTCGGCTTAAGCATGCGCGGTCGTATTAATTAACTGTCCAAGTTCATGGTCATGGCAACGACCAATTGCATCTACTAGAACCAATTTTGAAGTAAATAGCATGCTTAGTAACAATTTAATAGAGGAATCATCTGTGCATGCGCTCTAGCATGCACAGTCCACTCGACTAAATGTTCATAGTCATGGCAATGACTAACTATATGTACTTGCACTACATTTGTGGCAATTAGCTCACTTAGTCGCAAATTATTAAAGAAATCATCTGGGCATGCGCAGTAGTGACTTTAATAATACCACAACTTTCGTAAGCCTTTGAATTTATGTATATATATATAAATCTAAAACTTCATATAGTAGATGTCACCGCACTCTCCCTGCGTACCCCGAGCAAAGCCTATCGCAGGTGATCTCGGGGTCTGATGGGCGGAAGCTTGCTATTGGCATCTCCCAAGTAGGATAGCGTGGAGGGGCCGAAATCTCCTACCGAAACGTTACATGCGGCGCCTGATGGGCGGAAGCTTGCTATTGGCATCTCCCAAGTAGGATAGCGTGGAGGGGCCGAAATCTCCTACCGAAACGTTAACATGCGGCGTTCTAGTGCCTTACGCTTAAAGAAGGTATCGGGAAGCATGGACCGAAAACGGGCTTTTTTGCTTTTTAATTTTATCTTTTTGTTTATCTTATAATAGAAACTAGAGCATCCAAGGATACTACAAAAGTTCAAAAAACTTCTGCCTCTTTAACGATACGTTTTTTACATGTTACGTTTTACAATAAAACTTTCTCATAACTCTCTCGTGATGAACGAGAGGCTCCTTATACAATATAACTATCTCGTCATGAACATAACCATCCATGGGCTTCATGAAAAAAAGAGATTATCTACTTTTTTATAACAGTTTTTACAAAGGTAACATTTAATAAGCCAAGCAATTTGTATCGTCTAAATTGAATCTCGCTTTCAACCCTTATGTGATAAAATTTTGCTTCATTTTGGATAGTAAATATATTTTTACCTTACAATATTTTCATGATTCAATCTAGAAAGGAACTTCTCCTCTCGAACAGAACCTTTTCGGATTCAAAGGAATTCTTTTGATCACATAGAGACAGCCGTCCATTTCATTACATACCTAAGCGTATATAAAGCATTTCCAAATCAAGTACAAAATTTCCTTCAAATGACCAAATTATCGTCTGTTTAAACGATGTATGTAATAAAAAGTTACCTTCACAACTGAAGCAAACCATCCATTCTCCAAGCATTTGCAACACCTCAAATACATTTCGAACTCTTGAATTTCTCGCAGCGTTAACGAAAGGAATAGGCATCAAATCAGGAGACTCGTCTTCATCATCACAGCCATTTTCATTTCTACCGTGATCTTTTTCAGCGTCAAGCTTATCTGAAGTGATGTTATTGCTTAAGACGCGCGACATGGGATTTGGAGAGATAAAAGGATGGCACAGAAGCTGCTGTGCTGAGCATTGGTTACCGTTCTCCGGATACAGACATCTATACAAAGTATATGACATTAAAAGACAGTAGCTATAAATTCTTCGTCGCTTTAATGCTTGTTTTTCTTCATGATCTTCATTTATTCAAGTGGAAGCTTTGAGTGGAAGTTTTCAAGCATGGCTATGATTGTAATTGACAAAAAACCTATTCTGCGAAGTGTACCTTTCTTTACAACTCTGCGATTCAGTAAAAACAAACTTACAAGTCCAAAAAGAGCTCTTCAATGTATCCAAAGACCAAACTCTTTTTCCTGACATTAGTTGACTTTTTAAAGAAAATACCTAAAAAGTGTAACAATAAAAAAACAAAAATGTATAAAGTTTGATAAAAAGCAATCCTTATAATGCTGATACTGAATTTTTTTAGTGAATTAGCTGACATGAAAACTGGTCGGCATTTTCAATTTTGCCCATGTATCGAGCCATTACATTTTGCAAAGCAGGACAGCTTTAATTGTGGTGTAATCATTTGCCTTGCAAGTGAGCACTCCCACAGACATTCAGCAATTCATTTTATTAATTTATACATTGCTCATTTCTTGCACTAGAATTCTACACAATGCAAATCATGCCCACAAATCATAATGTATAGAAATATATATAAATGTATACTGCTGGTTATTTACGTACAATAATTTTCACAATTTTTTTTCACAGTTTGCAAGGAGGTGTATTTGTGAAAATTCAAGCTTAAACTGATATTTTAAAATGGAATTACAGACAGAGAGAAATTAATATCACTCATATTTGGCTCTTGCTATGATGACATTCATGAGTAGGTTTCCACCAGTCTTTAAAGCATTATACTGTGCACGAGAAATTTAAATTCATTTTGAATTCATTTCTTTGTTTTGCTGTAGACAAAATACTGGTGTTTGCAAAATATGCAAAGATAATGATGGTGAAGATTGGTTTGGATGCGACAAATGATTTCACTTTTACCATTCCAGCTGTTTAAATTTAGAATTTTCTGCTGCCCTCTCCAACTATTTTTTTTGTCCATGCTAACTCTTGGCATGACATCACACAAATGTCTACATTTATCATCTCAACATTAAATAAATTTCAAAGGAAACAGGCAAACAGTCATAAGTGCTTCAATGATTGTGTTAGATTTAGAAGAATTAAATTGAATGAGCAGCAGTTAAATCTTAGCACAACTTTGTCACAATGTCCTATCCATTTCCTGTATTCTGCTTGCAAACATCTTGCATTATACACTCTCAAGAAATGGTTGTAGTTAATTCAGATGCTTAACTCAAAAGTCAAATTTCATTACAGTCAAAATACGAAAACAGTTAAAATAATAAAAATAAATAAGAAAAGAAGAATACATACTTGCTTTGGACGAGTGCAGAAAAAAGTTTTCCGATTCAGCGATCAATTGTGTTGCATGAACTCATACAAACACGTACATTGTGTTTTGTTGACTCTCTAATTTCGACATAATGCCAGTTATAATTACACATTGTCAATCTCCGATAATTTTCTTATCTTTCCACATTTTAAAACATAAATCTTTGGGATGAATGAACAGTAATTCGGAATAGTTGAATAATTGCAATTTTATCCACTACACTGACCATAATGCATCGCGGGCGCATCCTCTCTTTCGCCCGGGGGAGGGGATGTATAATAATGTGGTATGTGACGATATGTATAACAATTTATGCCTTAGAACAGGGGTCTCCAAACTACGGCCCGTTGGGCCTCTCAATCCGGCCCGCAGAGACATTTAAGAAAAACAAAATATTATTAAACAAAATAAACTTTGTGCAGAAAGTTCACGTTATGACTCAAGCCAACTAGCAAGAGTGGCTTACATCAATTTTTGTCCCAACTTCCTACTTCCGTTTCAAGCACATTGCGAAATTTAAAAAGCTGAAGGATAACGTGGAAATTTTTTATATTTCAATGCTTCATAATGGCCGATAAAAGAAAATGAAAAATAGATGATGAATGTCGGCGATTTCAAGAAGAGTGGAGTGTAAAATACTTCTTCATGATGTTCTTCGTAATGTACTTCATGATGTACTTCGTATTCTTCGTTATGTACTTCGTTTTATTTAAGCATTCGCTCTTTGACCAGCGGTATACGGTTCGTCGGCCCTCAACATGCTGGATGAAAGTTCATGTGGCCCTCTGGCTGTAAAGTTTGGAGACCCCTGCCTTAGAATTATCAGAGGGTGACCGCCTGATGGCTAACAGCCTCTGGGCAGCGGTAAATATAGCATGAAGGTGTATCTGAGAAATTATCAATTAGGACATGAAAAGATAGCAGTCTTCTATTAATATTATTTATTGCATGAGAATTTTAGTTTATTTCAGACAAAAAATAGGCGACGATGTTCCTTTGACATTTTGACTATTCTATCTATTACATTAAATGAATGAATTATGCATAAGGCTAAAAAATCCATTGTTTTTATACACAAATAAAGATAGTATCTATATGGATTTGTAATAGTTACGCATTATAGAATAAGCATGATTCTATGGATAAGATGTAAGTCTGACCAAACCAGTGGCGTCACCAGTTCGATTAGTGAGGGGGACGTTCATAAATGAATGTTTTAATTCTTATAAGAACCATGCTTCCAAAAAAGATGTATACATGATTTATCGAGCTATCGACACCACTTTACTAAGCACTTCAACACCTCTATATGAAAAGTCAAGGCCATATATTCCTAAAGTATTAAGGCTTAATTTTCAGTATCATTGGAAAATATAGTTATTTTTCTAAAGGACTGCTTTCCAAATGGATCTTCATTTTATCAGATATTGTTTTTTTTTGAGTGTTTTCATCCAATCCTCTATTTTATTTCTGTCATCTGTAAAATTCTTATTTTCATACGATGTCAATCTTAGCAAGTTGATTTTTTGCAGGCTTTTTATTTCTATTTTGTTTAAAAATCCCAATAAGTTTTTTATCCAGCATTCCGTAAATGTAAGGATTCACTGCTGAGGAGCCGATTACGTAAAGGATGAAAAAGGCGCCTTTGTTAAAATAACTAAAAACTTTCAAATTATTTGTAGTTGAATACCACCATACTTCAAATGGAAGTGCAGATAATGTGAATGCACAAACGGTGACAAGACTTGTGACGAAAATTCTCGTGTTTCTGGAGTGACGCACTCTTTCGAATGAATCAAATGATTTATCTTTTTTTCTTTCACCAGTTTCGTTCTTACGATAAGCTATCATTGTTTTGGTTTGTCGTACCAACGTATGATAGATTTTAAAATACAATACAAACATTAACAAAACTGGAGTGATGTAATGGATACATATGGATATAGCTGTATAAACCAACCCAAGCGTTTTATTTGGCCAGTGGGTATAACAGCCTCGTGATTTACTGTATTTAAACGCGAAAACGAAAGGTACTAGGAATACTGCCATAATCATATTTGAACAAAGAATTATCCTTTTTAAGTTCTTGCGTGATATTGTAGCTTTCAAAGGATGTAAAACAGCGAGATAACGTAAAACACATATTAAAACCATCGTTTGAATACCACCTGAACAGAAAAACAACTCACAGAACTGCCATATTTTACATACATATGTTTGTCGTAATGGCCAGTTATTAGACAAGTTGCTTAAATTGATGCGAACGGCTGTAAGTAAATGTAACGCGTCATAAACAGCAAGAATAAAGACCAGATAGTAATAATTGCTTCGTACCAATCGTTTTTCCCTTTTCACCAACATTATCACCAAAATATTTCCACAAATGCCAAAGAAGATGACGAGTGCTAAAATTGTTCCAATGATATAACTTGATGTTGTCATGATTCTTGTCGATTGAGGTATAAAGGTATCAATTTGATTTGCAGGAAAATGTGAGTCAACTCGCTTGAAAAACTGCTATTCTTCAAGCCTCAAATGTTCTTGAAATTTGCTAATTTTATAAAGTTTAAGAGAACGTACAGGCAATTAAAGTATATGTCAAGAAAATTAAACTGACGCGTCTTCTTGCGTGGGCACAAACTTTTTTTATGTGCGAAAATTGTCTTTTATGTTTATATAGGAGGGAAAGGAACTATTTTCACCTGCGTTTTGTGGCGACTGCCAAATCTAAGATTTATATCTTATTAAAGTTGATTTTATTATTGATTAAGAACACAAAATTGTGCGAAATTAAAACGGCCTTTTTTCGCAAATGATGAGTTTGCCCAACATATTTTCATGCAATGCATGAAAATAAATATAAACATCGACAAATTTATACGTCATTGATATCAAGTACGCTAACTTTACCTGACACTTTTGTGCTCGAAATTTCCAGCTGCAATAAATTAAAAAACACGCGTGCAAAACAAAGACTCTAGCTGTGGCTATTGATTAATTAAATTCTCAAGAGATTTTCAACAAGGAGAGATGCAGACATAATGCCTCGAACTTAGACAAAGTGCTTGAGATCAAAAAATGTACTCTATGTAACCATAACAAATGACAATGTCAAGATATTACTGCTGTATGTGTTGTCAGGAAACACGTTATTTTAATTAAGACTATATAGAAAGAAACGAGTTGGTGATTGGCAGAGAGGAGTGATTTAATTCTTTGCTATCTTTTAATGTGTTTGCCATTTGCACTATCATTATAATTCATATGCATCAAAATGACAGTGATATTTACCTAACAGTCAACATATTAAGATAAGATTATAGCCAGATTTAAAAACACACAATAAAGAAATGCAATATAGCTACGTAAAAATCAAGCATACGGTCAGCGAATCCTCTTCAATTTGTCGACTACAAAAACACATTTATCAATCACCAAAGTAATATATAATAACTATAATAACATAGCTCAAAAGTTTGTTGTTCACACAATAGTTTAAGGCAAACACCGAGTATCATATGGTTAAATTTTTCAAAATGTTATGATTGACAACATCCTGAGAAATAATTTGATTTCTAGCAGATTCCAAATGTAATTTCATTCAATTTTCATGACAAAATATTTCCGAAGCTTTCTACGACTTACAAGTGAACATTTCAGTGTGAAAAATTGTTCCAATAAAAGGAAGATTTTAACGGCACGATGAACATCGAGCGCCCATCTTATTGAAACTTCTTCTTCCCGAAAGATCTTTGAAACAAGGAGCAAGTTCAAACTAATAGCAATACGTTGTAGCTTTTGTTACCACAAAAAATCAAGCAATCGCTTTTTTTTATTTCAGGAATCAATTTATGTTTTTTATAACAAATTTTGTTATTTTATATCAATCTATTTTGTATTAGAGTATTATAGTCGTAACCTTGTAATGACGGACATTGAGTTTGAAAATCTATATCTACATCATCTACCATTGTTGCACTAAGAATTTCAGACCAGCTCACCAAACTTCCTCCGCCGCATGCGCAGTTTGTTGCGATTCTCCTGATACGAAATGGAGGATACTGATCCCAAAGATTTACTTGTACCAAACTTCCTTGAAAGTTTTGCATCGAAATTCCTTGTACCAGTCCTAACGTGAGAATTCCACTCCTTTCAGTAAGGTTCCTTTTGCTGGTATTGTTTCCAAAATCGAAGACAAGACCAAAAACCGTTTCATTCAGAATAACTTCGCTGTTTCTATAAACTTGAAGCGAGTTTTGCTCGTTAAGAGATATGCAAATGTGGCGATATTGTCCGTCAGCAATGTCCATGTTTGGTAGAGTCCTAAAGAAGCAACCATTACAAAAACGTTGGCGAATTGAGAGATATTTACGAAAACCACTGTTAAGTAAGGCAATGCTCAGCGTATACATAACATTTACATGCACCTTATTTTCATCACTAGTCTTGCCTTGTGAACTCATTCACTTGTAGCACAAAATGGATGATAATTTGAGAGAGCAATATTGGTTTCATTCTCTATTTTAATCATGTATTTGCAACGTATCTTGCCTTAAAAATAACTTACAAAGCATTTGCCAGAATTTTGGGAGAAAATTTCCAAGAAACACGATATGTTATCTTGCAAGTGGAAAAAATATTGTAAAAGCAAATGTAGTATTTGAAATTAAGTATTTGAAAACTTGAAGTTTGACAAATACGTGGTACATCATACTTTTTGCAAGGAAAAATTATTGCAACAAAAACAACACCTTTTGCTATGTGCATTTATAACAAAAAACAGTTTTTTCATAGTGATCTGTTTTTTGTTACTTTAAACTAAGTGAATGATTTGAACAACGGAGTATCGTTACAACTTTTTAAATGTAGATTGTCCAAGTTAGTCGAGTCCCGAGAAGGACTGTTGGTGTTGATGTTTACAGAGATTTCAATAATAACCTTAGTGATAGTCATCTTTAAAGTCAGTGTTGATGATTCATGATTAACTCGGTTAAACTACTTTTCCTTTAAATTTTGCGTTTCCTCACAAGACATAACGCTTGAGAATACAATTTATAATGGAAAGGAACGTTTAATCCAAAATAGCACATTTATTGATTAACTTAGAGATATTTGGCTAACGCTTAACGAGATAGCTGTTTGATAATATACTTAATATTTTAAAACTTTCCAGCCTACCATGATCTCCGACTGTATCCAATCTCAATGTGTAACTTTTGCTCCAAAATAGTGACGTTGACAATAGTTTCGTTTGTCTTTATTGTCTTTTTGAACCGTTTATAAATATAACGAGGATAATGATGAGCATAATAAGGGTGTCTACGGTACCAGTAGTGATAGCGAGGATTCTTTATCTTCTTTACCACAATCTGAAATCTCGTTCGCTCCTCTGAAATAGAGATAAGTTGGGCAAACCTGTCTGTTGTTCTAAGCCAGAAACACAACACAAAAGTAATGTTCGTTGGTAGTTTAAATGTTCGCATAACTGAGCCGACTGTGGATGGTTCTTTTGTAGGAGGTGTTCGTCTGCGTTTTTTCCAAAGTTGAAATTTTTTTCGACCTGGAGATGCATCGAATCTGTCAAAACTCTCTTCATTTTCTGAAATTTCACGTTTACGACGACTCCCGCGAAAACTTATAGCTCTTATAGCATTCCCTAAATAGTTTTAAAAACGAACAAATTTGAAATCACGTGTGACATTGATTGCACAGTTTAGTTTACTTTCTTTCAAATATCAATGGCTTAGATGCATATACACAAGATGCGGCACTCATGAAAAACTAACGTTCTTGTCTGACTTAACGCTTGCAGTTATAATTATTCATTTTGCAATCAACCATAAGATTACAGTGTGGTCTTTTTAAAATAGCCGGCTACTGACTATATTAAGTACACTGACAAATTCCTTTATGCCTCCTAAGTAAAATAGTGATTAAGCTATTATCTTACCAAACTCTTCGCATAAAAATATTAATTTTTTGCTAAAGTATCTTCATATCTATAAATATATTACTAAGCTCTAACACTTTCATTGATGACATCATAAAAACCAGCTCACCTGGATCAATGGTGATAAAAAGCTGCTCAGGTGAGCGATAAGCGACGTTGATAACTTGCTGTAAGCGAACAACTCCTTTTCCATCACAGGATAGATAATATCCTCTGAATTTTACGGATTGAAATACAGTAAATAGCTGATGCTCATAAAGCAATCTTTCAGGTGCCCAAAGATTGCTGTTGTCTGTCAATGATGCAGCTGTACTTGAGGTCTGCAAATCATATAACAATCTTTTAAATTTTTTTTTGCCTCTGAAGATGACTACCGCTAAGGTTGTCGAAACTTCAGTCAACAACAACAAAAACAGTCCTTCTCAGGACTATACCAACCTGGACGATCTACATTTACAAACATATAACGATACTCCCGGGTTCAAACCATTTACTTTAAAAATATCATCATAATCATGCACATACTAAGTAGCAAAGTCGGCCAGTTTCTTACTCATAAAATGAACGTATTTTTGTCTTTTTGTGTTCACTTCTTTCAAAAAAAAACAATGAATAAAGATTGATTTTTTTAAAAAAATGAAAAGTAGTTTTGTTGGAAAAAATTAGCCCTGAATTTGCTACTGGATGTATACTGATATATTGGCTTTGCTACTGGATGTATACTGATGTACTGGCTTTGCCATTTGATGTATACTGAAGTACCGGCTTTGCCATGACTGGATGTACTGTAGTTATTATGAAATTTTCACGTGTTCTAACGATTCGTTGTATGACGTAAACATTTTTATCAAGGATATTTTAGATATCCTTGATAAAAGGATAAAAAAAGACTTAACGCGAGCAAATTTTTATGATATTGTCGACTCTGATGAATTTTTCAATATTTTTGCTCCTTTTTCTAAAAGACTTGTTTCAAAAGTCAAAGAGCTCATGTACCGAACATATTAGCATTATCTATTAATATTTCTTGTGAATGCATTCAGTGAATAAAGAAATTTGACATTTAAAGAGCATCCTCGACCCCCCTTAGTCTATTGAAGAATGGGGAAGTACTTCAAACTTATTGAACAGTTAAAAGGACAAGGTCTCCAAAAATTGGCCAAGTAATTTATGGCTTAAGTCCCCAGAGATATTATTACTTAAACTAATATATTTTTTATTTGTTTGCTATACATAAAAGAAAGATATGAATTCTAACGACGAATGATCATGATAAAAAAATGGAAAATATCATGCTTATTTTCAAATACCATTGCAAGAAGAGGCTCATTCAGAGACTTTGTGTAAAGATGATACTGCTGACCACCAAGTTCAAACAGCAGTTGAATTCTTGTTTCTTGAAGGGTTGATTTTTCACCAATTTTTAGCAAGCCTATATAATGCAAAATGTCGTTTATATTACAAAAATTTAATGAAAATAAGTTACTATAAACGTTGATTTTCGTTATTCGAACAACTTTTTTTGATTATCTTACAATAAACTGCTAACTGGATGCAAAGAGCCTAAAACAAAAACGATGCAAAGAGCCTAAACTATACGAGAGTGCAAAGAAGCATTAAATACTTTATGCAACATACTTGAACCAGATTACATACAACTGAGGAAGTCTTTTAAGCGCATTTTTAGTTTCACCCTCTCCCCTCCGCAGTTAAAAAATGGATAAAATTACCCTTAAATTAGTAATATTTACAAAGATGTCTTTATTGTTTGAAAAGGTAATTGCCAAAGAATGAAGATTAACTGTCAAAGCCAAAACGTGAGGATTAGCAGCCAAACGACGAGGACTATGTAGGCGTCAATTAGTTAGTTTCTATATTGAAAATCAATCTTTCTTTAAAGTAATAAAAAAGTTTTCCTATACTTTTTTTGTGTTTCACTTTTGCTTTGCTCTTACTTAAACTTAAAATAAATCTTCATATTGCAAGTGCTTTTGATTTTTTCTTTGGCAGAAACTACATAATATTTGCATTCATCGTACTTGATCGTATATTAACATGTCATTTTCCCGTAAAAATATCTGTTTATCTAATGTCGCTTCTTCTCCTCATTAAAATTATCCAGCGTGACATTGCAATGTTGGACATCACAACATGGTTGCTTAGCAATGCATGCTAAAGCTTCAAGGCAAAGAAAGGTTTAGAAACACTTCTTTAAAAATTCCTTTTCAATAATGTCATTTGTCAGTAAGATAGAGCCTCGCACTATAACCGCCGACAAAATTTTTCATTTCACCTCATAAAGGACACATGGTAAGCACAAGTATTTTTTAAAGAGGTTTTAATCAACACCTCTTCGCTCCTTTTTTACCACTGTTTTTTTTGTTGTTGTCATGACATTGCGCCAACCTGACAGGAAAACTTCATTGGAAGGAGGAAAACACTTCGTAATAATATATTATTAACTTTCCGTTTCCGTAATTAAGTCAATACGAAGTAAAGCGAAAAATATTTAATCATTTACTTGTAAAGTTGTTGTTTTCCAAATCCCCACCACAATCAACAATTTTGTCATTAGCATTGTCTTGGTTTGTTATTCTTAAATATTTGTCTCCTGGTCCAGTCATGAACGACCAGATTCGCAAGACAGCATCGCCACACACCAAACATGGCTGAGCCTGGCTTGATTGAGACTGACATTTTTTTACCTAAACGTACAGATCAACAACACACATTACGTCATTTGTTAACATGTGACTGATTTGTACATTGTATATCAAATGTTTCTTAACGAAGAAGCTCATTGATAACACCATGCGCATTTTCGTTAATTTTGTTAAAAATACAATATTTTAAACGAAGTTAAAGGTGTACGCTAAATTTTTGATATACCTAACGTTCACTGTAGATAACATTTAAAAAAAATCAGCATGTATACTACTTAAGTCTGTTATGTTGTGTTATTGTTTTTATTTGTACAAACTCATTTAAAACTTTCATTAACTTACCGTTACAATAAGAATTGAAAACAACACTTGATATAATAAGAACTGCATCTCACTTTCAATGATTCAAACTGTTATATGAATTCCAAAATAATCTCTCTTATATAGTTTACCATATAATTAAACTTATTGGCGTGGTTACAAAGCGGCGCGTAGCTTATAAAAGAGGTGTGTCGATTGCTCTTAAAGCTGCTGTGATGAGTAGCTTTTTTGAAGGGTGTACTCAAGGTTATTTTCTCATCAAAGTAGTAGATTACAATGAATGATTTGAATTCTTATCATATATTACGTACAAGTCCTGTTGTATTGTGAAATATTGCTCTTTTATGGATTTTGTCTTTGTAACAGCTTCCGATGTCAAGTCAAAGAACTTTTATGTTGACATTCCTCATTCTAAAGCGAATGGTTTAAACCCAAGCCGGGAGTATCGTTACATGTTACAGGAACCTTAAGATGACCACCTAAGAAGGTTGTTGAAACGTCAGTCAACGTCAACATCAACAGTTCTTCTCAGGACTCTACTAACCTAGAAGATCTACATTCTTTGCTCTAATAAACACTAAACAGAGCTCTCTTGCTTAAATTAAGGAATGAATTTAAATCCATGAGCTACCCAGCAAAAGAAAGAAAATTTTTTGAACTAACCTAACTAAAGTGAAAGAAAATTAGTGTTTTAATTCTATGATAAGTTTAGAAATGTGTAAGTAATAATCAATGTAACTATATAACTACGAATATTTGTAAATATAATGCTTTTATTAGCGTGGATAATTAACTAGTATATAATTCTAAAGTTGTTAATATTTGTGCTCAAGTAGCTAAGAACATGTGGTAAATGACTTAATTCAAAATTTTCAAAAAAAGCATTTCTAATTCTTAAGAATAGAAATTGAAATTTATCGGTTTTTATTTGTGCAGGGAGCGAGTACGTATAGCATACAACATTGAAATCTTCAGTCAAAGAAATCTTTCTAGTGGCACATAAAGAATAGCCCTATTTGACACATTAGCATCGAAAGTTTCACCAAAAACTATACAATTGAAATAACATAATTTGATGCTTCATGTACCCGTGATTGTTGCTATACGTAGGAGTGAAATTTATGTCGAAGTTCAATTAAAGTATCATAATTTATTTTGGTGTCGTCATTGTCCAGTTTGCGCCCAAATTTTCATTTCAACGATAATAAAGCTCTTGAATTTTGTTTTTTTTATTTTTTGATGATTGAATATAAGATGTCATGCAAAATTGTTAAAAAAATCAGGTAGAAATCCAATTTCGGGCGTTTGCATTAACTTTGCATGAACGGAGATTTTAATTATACCACATCTCATACCTACACTACATTTAATCAAATTCATACGTTTTTTTGGAATAAAGTGGAAAATCATTATCGTAGTTAATTTATTCGTACAAAAAAATTACAAAACACAAAGTGTTTGTTTAAGTAACGGACATATTGTCATTGGTATATTTAGCAATATGTCGTCTTCCTGTAATTTTCACAGACAAAAAACAAAAAGTGATTTCATTTTTCTTTCTTTCGTGAACTGGAAGAGTCGATAAGTCGCTACTATAACTGAATCGATGTTTATTAAGCTTTGTATCCATATTTATTCTTAAGCAGAAGAAATTCAAAAATTGCCAGACATGCGTTGGTGGTCGTTTTGGAGACACAACTACTTGTGCGTGCGTGTGGGCAGGAGTTGTATATTACAGTATGAATTAAATCATGAACTTTTGCTTATTTTTTGGCATCTTTCATATTCATGACACACAGTCTTGTTGAAACTCTTGAGTTGGGAGTGTTTTATAAAAGCGGACATGTGACACGTTTTGATGCACGTTTTAAAGACGAAATATTTGTCGTCAAAGAAGGAAGTTTTATAATTAATTTTGTGTATATTAAATCAATATCTTCAAACTTCATTTGTTTATATTTGTAGTATGTTGTCTTCTTTGAATTGTCAACTGTAATTACCAACTATACTCCATGAGCAATTAAGATCAATGTTTTTGGTAGGTGTTGTAAGTAATGAAAGTCTTGACCACTTACTCTGTAAACGAGAGTAGTTCATGAATTTTTGATTAAATCCGTTGTACCCTAAACTCTTTTGGATGCTTCATAGAAGTAAGAAGCTAAAACCATCAGTAAGAGCTGGCCTAGAGAGATGACGAGAAAGGGTAACATTCCTGGAAAATTCAACATCTCTGATCTGATTTACTGGGAAACCTATTTCTTGAGAGAACGGAACGGGAAATTTTCAAAGAGGGATCATAAACAAATTCCTGTCAAAATATAATCCACTCAGATAATTTTTATTGTTACCATAATTTCGTAAAAGTACTGTCGCTAACGCGCATTTAATGTAGACCACAAAATATGTCTGTTCTCAAAAAATTTGTGGTCTATATCAAATGGGCAATTTTTACTGTTTTATGTGAAAAGGAGACGTTTTTGTCTCATCTGTGTTGTTTGGGGTTCCGGTTTTGACAACCTGCATCCAGTTAAAAACGTTCTTTTTTGGCAATAATATCAGTACTAAATTCCTCTTGACAGAGGGACGTCATTATTGTTGCCTAGCAACATTTAGATAAAGAAAGTGTCAAAATAATAGCTATAGGTAATTTTTATTGAAAATGAAGTACAACATCTTGGGGACAGAAAGTTTCAAAAGAACAACTTAAACTTCTTCATTTAGTTCAATGCAAAGCAAAAACATGCCTATCTAAAACAAGACATATATATAGTACTGTTAGAAATACTTTTTAGGTATGAAACCCACATATACGACCATCGACAAAACCTCAGCAATTCAAGAATGGGAAACCGGATGAAATACATCATGTTCATTTTTTTCATCACAGTTCCATTTGTCCCGGTGCATTTGAAAATCTCAACTAAACGTGGGAAGAAGTATATTTCCTCTTCTCAAACATTCCGTCTCATCTCTCTAAAAGCTGTTTATATATTATTATATATCTCTAGAGTATAAACATTTTAACAGTTTAAGTTGACTAAAAGATGTTGCATGTTTGTAAACGTAGATCTTCCAGGTTGGTATAGTCCCGAGAAGGACTGGTTTTGTTGTTGTTGACTGACGTTTCGACAACCTTAGCGGCAGTCATCTTCAGAGTAAAAAATTAGACAATCTAGATTTACAAACATGTAACGATACTCCCGGGCTCAAAACATTTACTTTACTAAAAGATGTGTTAAGCTGGCTTATTATATACAAGATTTCTCATTTAAAAAAGGGAGTTCTCTGACAGCATCTATTTTAGGTACAGTTTTGTCAGTAAAGCTCGAAGTTTGCTTTATCAAATTCACAATACAACAATGAATGCAAAATGAGCAGAAACAAAATGCATCAAAACAAGTGATGCAAGCTGCACGGCTCAAAATTAGCAAAACTGACATGCAACATGTGCTGTACTAAAATTTGCTTCTTCTACGTCCAATTATAGACACGTTGCACGGGGAGACTATTATTTATCAAATTATTTAAATATTTTTTACAATGCACAAAAGAGCTAAAACTCTCACCTCTTTGAATCAAATTAAATTTCGAAGCTCTTGTGCAAACTGCAAAAATTAGAGCATTTACACACCGCCCTCCCGCTTTTCGAGACTATTTTTTCTGATTGTTCTTACTGTAATATGAACTACACAATAATAAAACGTTAAATATTTTTGAAAAATTTTGATAAAATCACATTTTACTTCGGCTAGAAACATTTTAGAAAGATAATAATATTTCAATGAGTGCCTAGTTTCTGCAGCCATCCTCCAGTAAGCTAAGTTTATTTTTGTAGAGAACCACATCATTCAAAATTTGAGCAAAATACAGGGATGGGGTAAAGCAAGGACGCTCACAGCACACGTTTCTGCACAACTTAGAAAATTTGCATTAAAAGAAAAAACAACACAAGTGGTCATTTTTTAATTAGCTTGAAACTTTTTAAAATCTGATTACATTGACGTAGCATTTTGTTTACGAATCACAAGAAATTCAAAATCTTCTAACAATGATGCGGACAACATGGACATAAACAATCACTTTAATATGATAAACTATAGTTATGTATTCAGATAAAATTTTGATTCATAATTTATGCTATTCTTAATGTTGGATCCATAATTTTGTCGTACATTTTTTGATAATTGACAATGACAAATATAATAACGCAAAATAAAAATCATGCTTTCCTTGGGCTTGTTCAGTTTTAAACTATATAATTTCAAGCAACTATATGATTTCTAAAAATCCTTTTGCTTGTACTACGCTTTCTTTTTCGAAAACAACCACCGACTATGGTTAAATAGTTCCCAACTGCTCCAGAATATTTAAATTATGTTTTAAGAATGAGAGTTACCTCAAAAATCAAACATAAAATGGCAAGAAATAAATAGATGAAAAGAGTAATTAAGCTGCGCTACTTTTTCTTATCACCAAATAGTTTAGTGAATAACAACTTCTTGAAGCTCAAATTCAGCTTCCTTTCTTTCAAGTTCAATTTTTGGAGTCGTATTGTTGTGCTCTGTTTCATTTTCTGCAAACTGGTCATCTAACACTGTTTTCCCATCACTACTCCTGAAATCGTTCCCATTATTCTTTTGCATCAATGTTTCAAACTCACGATACTCGTGCTCACTTTGATAGTAATATGTAAAGTTTGAGACGATAACAGGAACAGGAAGTGCAATAGTGAGCACTCCTGCTAGAGCACACAGTGAGCCCACAATCTTCCCTTCCAAAGTTTGCGGATACACATCTCCGTATCCAACTGTCGTCATAGTGACCACTGACCACCAGAATGCGTCCGGAATCGAAGGAAAGTTTTTGTTGCTATCTTTTTCTGCGTAGAATATGGCGCTGGAGAATAACACGACAACAATAACCATGAAGAATATTAACATTCCCAATTCTCGCATACTGGCTCGCAACGTTTGACCCAATATTTGAAGTCCCTTGGAATGCCGCGAAAGCTTGAAAATACGGAAGACGCGCACAAGTCGTACAACACGAAGTACCGCAAAGGATTTTCCAGAAGAAATATCAAATGGTATAGTGACGTAATACGGTAAGATAGCAATCAAATCAATCATATTTAAAAATGATTTAAGAAATTTGATCTTCTGTGGTGAAGATAGCAGTCGACAAATATATTCTAGTGTAAACCAAGCGATACATGCAATTTCGATGGAAATCCAAGGCTGTTCCTTTTTCCCCGGAGTGCAAAGCTTCGGCATACTTTCCAAGCAGAACGTTACTATAGAAACTAAGATGACAGTCAGAGACAAAAACGCCAAAATACGAGCAAATGTAGAGCTGTCTGGATATTCAAACAACAACCAAACACGATTTTGCCATTTATTGTCGGGCAGAACTTTGTCTTCGTCAGAAGATGAATGACAGGGCATCTCAAACAATTGATTGATAGCAGCATTTCCCAATTCAAAGAACATAATTTCGCGAGCAAGTATTTTCAATGGTACTCCTTTTGGTCGGAATATGTGACCATTGTTCTGGTAGAAGCTCAGAATCGCCTCAAATGCTGAACGGTTTCGATTAAAAAAAAATTCCTCCATTACAGGATCGTAGAATTGTTGACGTTTTGCGACCGAGCCAAGCAAAGTGTTTGGGAAGTTTTCCAGTGTACCCCGATACGTTTGAAATCTTAAACCGCTAACGTTAATAGTTATTTTGATATTTTCATGTTGCTCTCTTTGAGCCAATGAATCACTATTTTTGTACCTGTTTTTGTTTCCAGCGACTCTGAATTCGATTCATGACGATCAAGAAGCGGAGTGTCTGTCGACATTATTCACGATTTACGTTATTTTTATTGCAGTACTCTTGAGAAGATATACATGGAACACCGTGAATTTTATCGGATTTAATATTAGTATGGTCACTATAAAGCTATTTTTTTGTTGAAACACAAAAATATAGTCCAACATTCGACTACTCATGTAAGCTTCTCATTGTCCACCTGCATGTGAATTTCTTTTAAAAGGACGCGAGCGATTCTATTTTGCATTGCAAATGAATGCCCGGGTGTTGCGATAACAGCATTAGATGTTTATGTGCTCGTTGTGGTATGTTGAAGGAATTCTTCAAACACACATTAGGTGCATTGTAGTTTCTAGAATCATATCTATACACTGGAAAAGACCATTTCTTCAAATATCTTGTGAACAATTTCATGAACAGTCAATTTACTCATTAACTATTTATGTTAAATCTGTAGCTTTGCATATTACGACGATATATGATTAAATTATTCATTGCCCTGTCGCAGACACAGAGGGGTGGTAAAAAATTCAATTTAAGAGTGAAATAATGTTTCGAAAGCAAACATTGACGGGTGTTGCTAAGTGCGTTGACTAAATTTTTTATAAGTGTTTATTTTACAAGGAAATCCTAATTTCTCTGCATAATGTACGGTTGATACACTAAACGTGGAACACAATTTTAGCATAATATTTTCTTAAACATTAGGCAAAATAAATTCGATTGATTTGATTTATTCTTTGGAAAGTTATATATAAATCGTTATTTATGAGGTTATTTGAATTTGAATTTAGACGATTTAATTCATTTTGCGCAAACATATATCTGCAAGTTGCTAGCAATGAAATTAATTATTTCAAATGCGAGCGAGAGTGCTGCGAGTTATTTGTAGTGTTCTCAAAAGTTGAGCGATATAAAAAACAACATGCTGTGTTTTCATCAGAACAAAAACTATTCCTGCTAGCTAAATTAATTAATAATGAGAAACAGTTCGTTAATTAGCCATGAAATTTTAGTCATTAAAGCATCTCTTTATCCACACGTAGACAAGAGACAAATATAAAAATTTCCATTTAAATGTTTCAGTGTTGTGCCGTTTTATATATTAAGCTAAAGTAATATTGTACAAGGATTTGTATTTTTTAATGAGGTTATGCAGTAACCAAGGCTAATATCGTAGGAACGGCGCGCGCATACTGGAAACGAGTACAACATATTGCCTGATACATGGTTCGCACTGAACATGATTCGGTGTCATAAGGCGCAGTCCGGGATGGTTAGCATCTCAATGATTGGGATACGCCAATGTATGAGGGCGCCGCAGTACTCTCGTGGTTTAAACCATTCTCCTCAATCAAATGTCAAGTTATTCATGTGATCCTAAGGTAATATGGACACAATAAACATATGTAAAACCACCCCACCAATTATCTATCATAATATTTTAACATAAATTCGTGAAAGCCCTATCAATAATGCGTATTTAATAGATACATTCATACAAGTTTTTTTTAAAATAAACACGTTTCAACATCTCGTGATGCCATCTTCAGTATAATAACGAATACAATGCGTATGATAAATATATATATACATAGTAGTAATATGATACGGTGATTGCTTTTACAGTCACGAGTATAGAAACGAAAAACTTGAACGTTGAGATTAGGGTTAGTTTTGTTAATGTGAAGTGCTTCTTTGATTTTAAGTGTAAATATAGTAACTGCAGTTTCAATGATTTTAAAACAAGAGGGTGAATAGTTAGTAAAACAAGAGGGTGAATAGTTAGTTTTGCATGAAGGTGATTTTAAAAGGTGTCGACAGATATGGACACAATATATAAAATATGACTACCCAACCTAATATCATTATTTCTAACCAAGATTTCATTGCAATATTTTTATATAAATATATACTAATGATTCCATAAACAATCAATTTATCTATCATATTACTACTCAAATGCATACATGTTCAAACATGTTCATTGAATTAAAAAAAAACTTGTTATATTTTAACTTTTAGTATTTTATTTTTAAATAATTAAAAGTTCATCATCAATATGTAGCAAAGGAGTTTTGACCAACTCAGCCGTCTTTTACCACAAGATATCAAATATTAAATATTTTAGAAGAGCAGGTGTATGAATAGTAGGATAAATTTTTTTCGACGCCAAAGACTGCTTCTTCGAAAGTGATCACTATTTCCAGTCAACAGAATAAAAGCTGAGCGTCCTTTTCATTTATATTTATCTTATCTGTATGTTTTTAAATTGTTCGAAGCATCTGTCTCGCTACCTCGGAACTGAAGAATCTTTGTAACTCCCATACTAAAAAATGCACGACTTTAGATTCCAGTGCTTCATCTGCAATACGATTGTTCACTCATTATTGGGTTCAGTCGGTACGACAACATCAACAGTCAGACGATTATAACGCTCCTTCACACAAGTTAAAAGTATCGTAGTAGCCGATATCGACACCATCATCACCCATGTCATCCATTTTCCACCAAAACCTCCCGCTGAGATTATTAGAAACAGTCCCTGAAGGCAATAATCTGTTAACTTCAACATACAGCTCCCAATACCTTCAGCAACTGGATAAGAAATTTCTGCACCGAATTCAAAGAACAACGGCAGAGCACCATTCACAAACATCCCCGTGAAAGTGAACATGACAGCAACTAATATTTTGTTAAAAGGAATTACTTTCGAAAAGATAAAGCACACGATGAGGATAGAGATGGTCGCTAAAACCATCAATAATATAAGGAAATCTTTCAAATGACCAGAAAAACGATCAACAAATCTGCAAAAAAGTCGAAACAGATTCATCCATTATTGATAGACTGACAAATAGCACAAGACGAAACGTTCAATGATGCACCGCTTACGAGGGTTTGAGGAAATTTCGAATAAAAAATAAAAATTTAAGATACGGACAATTTACTGAATACTTAGTAGCACTTGGGAAACGTGTGCTTACAGAAACCACTGCAGTGAAGAAAATAGACCGTTAAACTTACGTTGAACAAAAAATCCCGGTTAAAGCACCACCGATAGTAGCTACGAACCCAAGCCAGCCAGCAAATGTTTGTCCAACATTGAACTCTTCAAGATTCTGTGCTAAAATAGAGGTCCAACCACTGTATACACCACAACTGGCTCCATAAAGTAAAGCCAGTAATAAGAAACTTCTATTCCTGAAAAGTTGAGTAAGACCATGTTTGGTGCTGAAGCGTGGTGAGCCCGATGATCGACTGGGGGTTTGTGAGGGTTTGGCTGGATAATGAATGAGGATCACCACAAATAGGAGAAGATTTAGACCAGCTTCCATTAAAAATAAAGTTTGTATTTGTTTATAATAATGATCTCGTTGAGTTGAGTTAATCTCGTTGTACGAAAGACTTCCTAAATCATCTACAAACAATGGACCAACAATAAAGGACAGCGCTGCACCAGCAAAACTACCACTCATAAGAATTGCGGTAGATGTTGCTCGTTGGTTGCTGGGAAACCATGTTGTTGACAATAACACCCCTCCCGACAGGGGAATGGATGCAGTAATACAGCCAACTATTTGTCCAATACATATAAATATTGTTGTTACAGTCCAGTGTTTAGCTGTCGGAATGCATCTCAATGCTGAACCAAAAAATTGACAACCTGCAGCAAGCAGAGTCCCGACTCTTAATCCTATAAATTACAAACATATGTTATGTACATACATGATACAAAGACCAAAAGTAACAGTATTTTTTATAAAATAATGTTTGCACAGTCAAAACCAAAGGTAGAAATGAAAAAGGATTGTGCTACGAGTAATTGTGCTGTAAAGATAAGACCAATCTTTTTGTGCTACCAGGTTGATCATCTTGAAAAGATTTACGAGGATTTTGTAAGATGTCTCAAGAATATGTAAGATCTTGTCTGAGCATTGGCAAGAAACCGTCTTGGCAAGATTTTGGAGAGTTGATACCATGACTTAAGCTCGGTTTTGCAAATATACAGCCACAATCTTTTGCCTTTATCTTAAAATATTTTTCAATCTCTTTGCAAGGTCTTACAAGATTAGGGCATGTTCATCACATGATTATGTAAAGATCTTTTAAGATTATGGATAATCATGGCAAGATTTTATACATAATCTGGAAGGATTTTTCACGCATGATCTTGCAGGATCTTTCCAAGATCCCTCTAAGAACATGCTAACGTCAAGCACAATGCAGGATTGTGCACACAATCTTTCCAAGATCCCTCTAAGATTGTGCTAAAATGAATTATCCATTGTATGTTAGTAACAAAATCAGTCTTCAACAACAAACATCACTTGTATATAAAATGTTGTTTGTAGATGAGTTGAATCATCGATATGGATAAACAAGTTTGAAAAAGATAAACAAGAGAAAACATTTCAATGGATTTCATATAGAGGCTTTTAAAGCCTCTATTTAATCAAAGTGAAAGGATACTTTTCAAGAAAACACTAATGCTTTCTTATTTTGCAACATTTTTTATTGTGTACACATTTTATTTAAATTTGGAAAAGGATCTAAAAAGCCACCTATTCATAGCACTGTTGATGTTCATAGCATCATGTAATTAGCAGATTTTCAATGATCTCTTGCGAGAAGACAAATAACTGCTTGTTTTTAGTCAAGTGCTGACAGTCTATTTTTATACCAAATAAGCTTTATGAATTTTAAAATACTAAAATGTTCTAAAATTTTCATGTCCTAATAAGGCAAGCTTATTTGTATAATGTTAAATGAAATGAAAACATATATGGCATTTTTCATTTTTGTTCTGGCCTGTTGAGATGATTGTTCTCATAGTATAAAGAAATAAGCTTTATGCTCGAAGAATATGTAAATAATGTTCAGGTTTTTAATCATGCATGATGAATACGACTTTGATTAAATTAATGATTACTTAATTCTTGAAATACATTCCAATTATAGACTGTGATGTCTAAGTAGAAGATAAAGTAAGATGTTTGTAAATGTAGATCGTCCAGGTTGGTATAGTCCTGAGAAGGACTGTTTTTGTTTTTGTTGAATAACGCTTCGACAACCATAGCGGTAGACATCTTCAGAGTCAACAACAAGAAAAACAGTCCTTCTCAGGACTACACCAACCTGGACAATCTACATTTACAAACATGTAACGATACTCCCGGGTTCAAACCATTTACTTTATAAAGTAAGATATTGGCAGGAACATTACATTTTATGGAAAGATACGCTGTGATCATAAAATGATATCGATGATCATAGCTGGATTGTACATGATTTGATTTTGACAAATGATCTTCGAAAATGAACTTAAGAGCATGACTCAATCTTGTGAGATGTTGCATGATCTGATGATCAAAGCATGATCTTTGATGGATCATGGTAAAATCCTGAAAAGATCCAATCAGATCTTGTAAGATTTTCACAAGTTCATGCACAAAATCTTGGCAAGTTCTTACATGAACTTAGTCTGATCTTTGAGAGACTATTGTAAGACCTTGCAATATCTCATCAAAGATGTTCAACCTTAATTAGTCAGACTGCAAGTTTGGTCGTGCCATACAAATTTTAGATCATCAGCATTTACTTAATATTTCATAAAAAATGTATTGTTTTACTGTGACTCATCACCAAAATATTGACGTAACACGACCAGACTGGCTGGTTGCTAGGTGACTGACTACCATTATTAACTAACCTTTTACATCCAATAACCATCCTAATGGGACAATTGTTATAGCAGGACCAATACACCCAAGTGCAGGTAATAGATCTATCATAAAGCTATCCCATTTAAACACTGCCCGAGCAGTTCTTTGTATAGGTGACCAAGTATTGTAAAATACACCCTGTCCAACAGAGAGAAAGAAAAACAACAGCAATATATACCAACGTTTAGCGTATGTTTTTATTTCATATTGGTTCAACAATGGTGTTTCTTCTGCTTCTTGAACGTTGCTAATCTTGCTCGAATTTGATGCCTTCATCGATGAAAGAACAACTCGAACACTTGAATTGACTTACGCCACTTCGACAAAACGATAAGCATACGTTGAAATAGCAGCTTTTTACACCGAAGTTACTATTATGCAAGTGATTTACGTAATGACATACGAATTGCCTCAACTAAACTTTCATACTTTTGTACATGGCGTGATATTCCCACATATGATTGGTCCACGCCATATTTACGCCATTTTCACAGCGTCTTAGGCCCGTTTCAAATGGCGTGCTTCTCATGTGCCGAACCTAATTTAGAGTATTTTGCACACGAGAAGCGCGACGTATGAATCAAATGGACGATACGTCGTGTTTGCTAAATCACACTCCAATATCAAAAGCTTTTCTACTTCCGGTTCTGTTGTCACCGTTGAAAACCTGGGGCATGCGCTAAATGGCTAAAACTAGGACTGCTGACTATGGACTATAATTTTCTAAAGCATTTTACATTTTGCAAATAAAATTCCATTTTTAGCAAGCTAACTTATAATAATACTGCCTTACAAACTTCTCATCTTCAATATCGAATGAAAGGAAATGATTTTTATTCGTCAATCCAAGCACCTTTGTTAATCAGTCGCACGACGTGGCGTTGCACAGGCCACAGGCTATTTTTTCGGTTTTGTGAAGTAGCATCAATCTCCCTTAGTATAATTTGACATAAACCATCAAACAGATATCACAGATAACTATAGCAACGTCAATTTTACTATATTTAAATTACTGTTATTTACACAAGATTATATTTATACCCTTCATATTTGTTTCTTTACAAAATGTAGTTGATTTACAATATCTGGATTAATGGCGCTTACAAATGACAAATCTAAATAATACTTTGTCATTATCAATACTGTCTGTGTCGGGTGACCATCAATAATATCATTTTCCTGTCAAGTATCAAGTCATTATACAGAAAGAACTTAATATCGCCAACATATAAAGGTGTTTTTCCTTTACAGCGTCCGAATCAAAAGATGGATTGCGAAGCTATTCATCTTTTTTTTACGAAATATTTTCCCCTAGCTTGCTATTGCTGTTTTCTTTCATGTTAAAAAAATCATGTTTATAGGATATAAAACTTAATATTGACGCATGCAAAGTTAATATTGCTGAGCGATGATAAAATGTCATTAAAAGTATTGTTGAGATATGCTCTCACATTCTTCCGTCACTGTAAACAATTACATCAAGTGTAGGTAATTATAAAAATGACTATTTTTCAGAGACAATGGCGTAGCAGCACAGATGGGACAAGCCCTCCTTTTCAATAACCATATTAAAATCTATTAACTGCCTCGTACATTTGGTATAATTTCGCTCTCTAGCCATTAAATTTAAATTTTTTGTACATAAGTTCATAATGTGCAATTTCTCTTGTTTTAATCCACAGTATAATGATAATCTTCGAATCTGACATGCCCATCTTGCCCAAGGGGACTGTGGATTCGCCCACCCCGAGCCTATAGTAGTTACGCCAATGTCAAGAGATACTTATGTTTAATCATATATAGACATATTTTTTATATATTTCCTAAAAGTTATAGTAAACTAACAATATTTGTTAAAGAAACAAATACAACGTAGATTCGTTCTAAAGGCAAGTGCTTTGCGATCGAAATTGTTAACTTTTACTCCCCTGTTTCACTTGTAATAGAAAAGAACTTCCCCCCCCCTGTTTATAATATAACTACTCTACAGTCCATAGTCAACAGTCCAAAGTCCAGTCCAGGCTTTAGCACATGCCAAAACCAGGGGTCGGTTGTACAAAGCCTGGATAGCGTTATCCATTGGATGGCGAAATTTTTACACTTCGTATAAAAAATCGTTTATAATTTCCTCACAACATAGCATTTATTTAATCTTGGAAGCACTATTTTCTTTCAGTAAACCCTCATTTCAAGTCTTCCATTTTTCTCTTTTAAAAGGTCTTTTACACGTTCAAAAAAATTGCTATCCAGTGAATGGCGCTATTCGTTCTTCGTGCACCATGTGGTCTAATTCGATCTCACCGAAAGAAATTGTTTAAGATTAACCCTGAACGATTATTTTTTTAAACAATTCAAGTACCACTTGACTTAAGTTCATGACTCATCGCTCATTGAGTTGGGCACTTCTCTCAATCACCTGCCTTTTTTATTGTTTCCTGTGTTCTGGACTACTTTATACTGGACTGCGATGGTATGGCGAGGTTCTGCAATGCGATGCTGCAGTGACAAAAAATTGGGGCGATATACATGCGGTGATTTCTGACTCAATCACCAACACCATTGTCATTTTTGCAGGTTTTTTGCCGATGTATTATCAATCAAGGGCGGCGAAAGATGTATCGGCTTGAATTGACTGGCTTTCGAGTTTTCCCAGAATTTTCCTCGGATAGCATAGAAGACTGTACAAATACAGTAAACATTCGGTAGTCACCTTCATAGCCAATTAAGGAGTAAAAGTCAGGTTCGCCTTTATTGTGGTCTGGTTCATACTTCATCGTACTGTGCGTACGGACTGGAGGATCTACATCTACAAACATCTAACAATATTCCCGGGTTCAAACCTTTCACTTTAAAATGATTATCGTTTTTCATAATAGTGGGGTAATCAGCATGCTTATTCACTCTTGTACGGAAATATTTCGGTGCGCTCACTCACCGTAAAAACGAAAGATTGGTAAAAAAATAAATACTGTTGATAATCCAAATGTACTTTGTAAGACAATAGCTGCGTTTTTTTGCTAAAAAATGTTTTTATTATCATCTCTGAAGTAACACTGTACTTTGTTCATCAAGCGTTAATCGGTTATACTTCGCCTTGACGAGAAACAAAAACAACGTTGTAAAGCTACATGTTACCATAGTGACCCACGTCATCCATTTCGCGCCAAAATTCCCCATGGAGACAATAAGGAACAAGGCCTGTAAGATATAGTCCGCAAATTTCGTTATTGATGAGGTTATGCCTTCTGCGACGGGAAAAGCAATTTCTGCACCAAGTTCGAAGAAGAAGGGCAAGGCACCGTTTATAAAAAAACCAGTGAAAGCAAAAACTACAAACAGTAATGTTGTGTTGAAAAGAACAACTTTAGAGAAAATTAGGCACACGACAAGAATTGAAAGTGAAGCAAGAGCCATAAAGACGATCAGAAATTCTTTTAGATAGCTTGAAAAATGGCCAGCGAATCTAGAAAGAAAAAAAGGTAAGAAAAAGATCACGAATTTGTCGCTGTTCACATAAATCAATTTACTATAAACTCCATTGTCGGTATTACATTAATAAGCCCATGAAAAATTTTCACAAAAAAATGACTTAAAAATTTTCATGTAAATATTCAAACCTGAGGCTCCGAAAACCTTACGGTCAATTTTTACCAAATGATGACAAAACATAACAATGTTATCAACACGAAATCTTAATCATGATTAACATCCTATTGACCCTAAGCATCATAAGATCCTAAACATCATGATAAGATCCTAAACATCCTATTGACCCTAAGCATCATAAGATCCTAAACATCATGATAAGATCCTAATCATCACGACAACATCTGCCAACATCCTAAATATCACTGTGCCATCTTAAACATCATATAAGATTGATAACAGGATGGGAATTAAGGATTAAAATATGCATCGCAAATCGAAAAATCATAACCTCCCCCGAAATTCCCCATGACCAGCAATATCTTGTTTCAAACAAGTAAAACAGAACATTTCACGAAATAGAATCAGTATGCTATGGTTAACAAATGGTCACGAAAGCTTAAACTCATGATTTGTAGCCACAAGATATATACAAAGTACAGCACTTTGAAATCAGCACGAAGTTTGGATAGCGTCAATCATTGGACAGTGAAATGTTCATACTAGTAAAAAAAGCTTTAATATCAAAGAAATTTTGTAATCTTAGAAAAAATATTTTATTTCAGTGATTGCTCAGTTCAAACCTTGTATTTTCCTTTTTAAGAAGTTTTTTTACAAGTTTGAAAATGTTTGCTATCCAATGGATAACCGGCCCCTGTTGTTTATAATTTTCGTGATTTGGCGGAAATTGACCAGTGATCTCCAACGACATGTAAACGTTACTGAAAGGAATTTATTGCTTGGCATTAGCAATATGCAGCTACAATTCTCATGATCTGTTTATACTTTTTTCTTTGTCGACATGTAAACGTCTGCAATTAAGCACGATAAATGCATATTTTTTGTGGTTTATTGAGCCATTTTTAATCAAACTGGTTATTTACGTAATGGTACGCGCACTGCATTAATTGAATTTTCACAACGTACAAAAAGAAAAGTGTAAAAACTTACACAGGTAATTAATTTTATTTTGAATTTGCGCATCGCAGTTTTCGCAATTTACGGCATCGCAAGTCGTCAAAAGTGTAACGCATTTTGCGAATCGCGACTAGTTAGTTCGCACCGTGTGATAAGATTCTAAACATCATAACATCTGTCAAAATCCTAAATATCACAGTGCCTGATTTTTGCAAATCGCGACTAGTTAGTTCGCACCGTGTGATAAGATTCTAAACATCATAACATCTGTCAAAATCCTAAATATCACAGTGCCTAATTTTTGCAAATCGCGACTAGTTAGTTCGCACCGTGTGATAAGATTCTAAACATCATAACATCTGTCAAAATCCTAAATATCACAGTGCCTAATTTTTGCAAATCGCGACTAGTTAGTTCGCACCGTGTGATAAGATTCTAAACATCGTGATAACATCTGTCAAAATCCTAAACATCACAGTGCATAATTACAGTTAAACTTTCAACTCACAGAGAAAAGAAAATTCCCGACAAAGCACCACATATGACAGCGGTAAAGCCCAACCATCCAGCTACTTTTTGACCAACACCGAACTCTTCCAGATTTTGATCTAACACTGAACACCAGCCACTGTAAACACCACAGCTGACGCCATACAATGTTGCCAGAAGCAAGAAATTCCTGTTCCTCAAAAGTTTTGATAAACCATCTTTGAAATTTGCTCTTTCAGTAATTGACGACCTACTAGGTGGCTTGGGTGGTTTATCAGGAAAATGAAAGTAAATTCCAAGAAATAAAATACCCATGAGTCCAGCTTCCAAGATAAATAACCCATTAATTTGATTAAAATACATGGCTTCTTCCTGTGGAGTCAAAATATATCTCCCATAATGATATTTTGTTATTGACTGCGCTACATCTTCTATCAGCAGTGGACCAATTATAAAAGAGAGAGCACCTCCGATTGATGCACTTCCCATTATAATTGCAGTTGATATTGTTCTTTGGTTGCTTGGAAACCATGTTGCAGACAGAAGAACGCCTCCAGAGAGTGGTATAGGGGCCACAAGTCCACTTAATGCTTGACCACAGCAAACGAGGAGGGTTGAAATCCACCAATTGTAGAAGGGTGGATAACATCGAATAACAGCACCAATAAACTGCCCTGCTGCTGCCAACAACACAGAAAGCCGCAAACCTGTGAAGACAAAATGAATTCAACTATATAGAGAGCATTCTCAAAATGTGCACGTTTCTTTTTCCCAGCAACTTATGCATTTATATTTCAGTACTTACTGGCAGTGGCAACATTTCAACATGTTTATATATGCTAACTTAACTAAATAAATTATATAAGCTAACTAAATTGTATAAATGTATCACTAAACTTTAAGTGACAATCTAAAGTTGACATAATATGCAAGCAGATCCTTACACTATCTACAGTGTGTCTCAAAAAAACAGAACCCACATAAATTAATCATGAATTCACTGATACGATTATGCACAATACCATCACTAGCATTCAAAACAAGCTAATGAAATCCCAGTTCTGCACCACATGGATTTCATAGGGTTTGTAAGGTTTTTAAAGCAAGAACAAGTCTTCATATGCTGACTTTCATCTCAAGTTTATCACATTTTATAAATGCAAAGCAAAAGTAACTGAGTTGTAACAAACACAAAAAGGTAACCATATTTTCCATAAATTGCAACAAACATGGACAAGAATATGACCAAACCTAACCAGGTGGAAGATATCACTATTCCCCATTAACTATCTTATGTACATTTCATTTTAATACATACGTAATCATTTGTACAGGTTCCATTTTTTTGAGACACCATGCATATTCCACCTAGATTCAAATCAAGTCTCAACATACCTTTTACATCCATTAACCATCCCAATGGTAAAATAGTCAGGCAGGGTGCTATACACCCAAGTGCAGGCATTAAATCGATCATAAAACTATCCCATTTATACACTGCTCGAGCAGTCGTTTGAATGGGCGCCCAGGTGTTGTACATGAGTCCTTGACATGCGCAGAGCAGAGCAAAAAGTGCCAATATGTACCAACGTTTAGCAAAGGTTTTAACATTTTCAACTTCCCTGTTATAATCTTTGATGCTGTCTTGACTTAATAATCGGTGTCGGTCATTGCTAGCAAAGTCATCAGAAGTCATTATTCAATATTCGTTATTGCAACTGCAGACGATTAATGATCTATAACAAAGCCGCATACTAATGAAAGAAAGAACAAATTACGGAGATTCTTTTTTAAAATACTCTGTAGGTGCTTGTCACAACGCCAATACAAGAAAACACACCCTTTTTCCGTTAAAGAATGAGATACATTCGTTGAAATATCGCATCAAAACTATAACGAAGCAAAAGAGAAAAATGGCAACTTTGTACATCCGCCATATTTGTCATTGTTCATTGTTTGTCGTTTGGTTCACCACCTTATCACCTGCCATCCCCAGGCCACCCGCGCCGCCCAGCAGGTGATTTACCACATTTACTATGAAAAAAAGACTGGGCAACACATCTGATACCAAATTTCAGGCAAAAATTTAAAGCCTACCTGCAGAAGCTGTAATCTGGACGAAAATTTTTGCTAATTTCAATTTCCCAGCGCTGTGAAATTCAATGAGCAAATTCGAAAAAAACAACAACTTCTATCATAGACCAGTCACCAGGAATGAGTTGGATGTGCTAACTCTTCCTAGTCTTGGCTGGAGTTATGAAGTTGTAGGTGAGCAATAAGTGGTTATAACTTTATAACCATGTACTCTTTATTTAACTGTCATTGATTTTTGTAAAGAATATAAACATTTTTGATGACTGCATTAGATTCTACATGCTAAAAGGGATTGGGGATGCAATTACGCCGAATGCTTGTACCAACAAAATAAAGCAACAATGCTTTAAGAACCGGTTTTTCCATAATTAGACACAGCTAATGAAGACAGCCTCGCCCCCTGTCCCCCGTTAATTGCATTGTAACCTGCTTTAATGGGTTGATTATGACCACCTAGGCAAAGGACTCGCTATGACCTGCGTCATAAGAAATAAAAGTCCACCTACCTTTCTTTTCAACTAATACCAATAAGACACTGGAATTTCTAGGAAAAGAACAAGATTATTCAAGCAATATTTAAAGTGGCAAATATATTTTAAAACGCCTAGCAATAACATCCATTATAGGCATGACGTATTAAATCTATTAATTAATTGAAGGCAAAATCGTGCAGAAAAGTAACAAAAATATTCGAGAAAAGTTTAAAATTGCCTGGCTTCGCAATGAAATAGTTAAGACTAGTGTTAAAATTGTTATTTCAATGTTCTTTTCCTTCTTTCAAATTCTAAACATCTTTTACCAGTGAAAGGGCTTCAGCAATGCTGCCATCAAATGAATCAATAATGTTACTTAATTGCAACACAGCTCCAGCGATGCTCTCGTCGAATGCAACAGCAAAAATTTCACCACCATCTTCGCTGTTGTGCACAGCAAGTACCACCGTTTTACTAAAGCCGTTTTCGTTTGCATTGTTTACCTTTGTAAGAAGATTTTCTGTATTGATTTTGCTTGGAAATTTACCTTTTACATAAACGGATTTGGTCAAGCCGTGTCTTTTAGCCATGTAAGGTGCAATAAGAATTTGTGGTGTAGATCCATTAAGACGAGGATTTACGTCTACCAAGTAGTCTCCCGTAGGGCTCAATATGATGTCAATTCCAACTATTCCAAAATATCCCTTCTTGCAAAGATAATTTGCGACAGGTACAACAAAACGATTGTACATTTGATTCTTTTGTTTATCTTGCACGTCCCAGTCAACAACTGTTCCATGGAAGACAAAATCCTTGATGAGGTTCGTGTTTGAGCCCAACCATTGAATACAACCAGTTTTCGTCAGATAAAACTGTCCATTGAGAGTCTGTGTAACATTTTCTATGTAATCCATGATAGAATAAGTTACTGCTTCACCGTAAGTTTTCTGAATACTTTTGATATTTTCACTCAACTCTTTGCTGTCACGTGCCAACATTTGACCATAGCCGCTGGAACATTGGTCAACCTATATATGCATGTAAAAATATCACAAATTTGTACACAAATATATCACAAAAAATATCACTTTTGGACCACTGTCAAGACGAAAAAGCTGCCCGCTGTGTAGCCAACCAGATTCCGGGAAAACAAAAATATCAGTTCCCATGCATAAATAATTATAATTATATTAACATATGTAATAATGATAAATTTTTTTAAGTGTTCTTTTCATAGTTATCTTTAATTACCTTCACAAGACATGGAAATGAAGTATTATTTTGGGTGAAATACTTCGGATTCGATGCTCCATAGCAAGGTATCTCACTTTTCAACATGATCTTGTAATGCATATCTGGATCGATCACATGGTGCTTTCTATCGATGCTCTCAATGGGAAAAAGAGTTATCATCATATCTTTGTCGCGTATTCCGTCTTCCAAGTACTTTTCATTTGCAAGAGAAAATTCTGGTAGCCATTTTTTCCAATGAAGAAGAAGGGAACTGTTTAATTTTTCATTGACAAGCAACGGCAATACGTTTCCAACAACACTGGCAAATCGATGACAAAGACATCTTCCATGAGCTTCTTTTGATATTCCATTATCATTAGGTAAGTACTTCTTATCGTTGAAGAAAAGTCGATTATTTTGAAACGATGTGGGATAAGCAGTCATAAAGCTGGCACTTTCCACATCTTGTTTGTATAGTTTTCCCAGCGTCCAAAAATCGTTTTCTTTTGTTGCTGTCTTATCAAACATGTTGTTGTTTTCCGAGTTAAAGATGTTTGTCTTTAGGGAGCTCTCCATAGCTATCAAAGTTCTAAATGAAAAAACGTCACTAAAAATAAGTTTGTCTCTTAAACAGACGATGTTTAAACTTAGTTTCTTTAGAGAGAAACAAGGGTCATTATATTGAAGGCGTGAAATGGCAATTCTTCCATTTAGTTACTGATTTTGACGTTTTTGACTTGCAAAATCTGGTTTTTAGTGTTAGGTTCAACACAAAATCATCTTTGACTGAGTTAACCCGATTAAGGGCCTGTTTATATGTAGCCGAGTTACCCGGCTGAGCGTGTTACTCGCTCAACCGGGTTTGGCAAAGTGATCTGTTTATATGGCACAGGGTAACTCGGCTAGTACTTCCGTTCATTTGTCTTAAATGAAGTTTGGCAATGCTTACTTCGAGTAAAGGCGCGAGATTTTAAAAAGCCTCACAGTTTCGGAGCAAAAATGGAATGGGTGAATATTAAATTGAAAATTATGATATATGTATGTTTTTGTATAATCATGCTGCAAGTACAAGGCTTAGTACGCATGCGTACCAACAGAGCCAATTTTCTCGCCTCGTCGAGTAACTCGCTCAGCCGGGTAACTCGGCTCCATATAAACAGGCCCTTAGAACTATTGGGTTAGTGCTCTTTACTTAAAAGTTAAAACACTTCTTTTAAAAACTATTGAATTATTACTTTTACCATTCACCATGGTATTTGTCATCTTTAGAACGATTTTCAAATTTTTGTCACCACGACAAAGTCTCTATTTTATTATGTACATATTTTGTTGTTAGAGTTTATGTTTAATTCCTAATGAGCAGAAAAGCTTTTGCACGAGTAGCAAATGTATCTAAAAAAGTGATGTGATAAGCAGACAAATGTTGCCGTTAGCCATTTCATTATTCATATTGGTCAAAAAAGCAATTGACTGGCCGCCACTATGGTAATCACATACGTAAATATGATATGCGTGTCACGAAAAAATTAAATGTAGTAGCTCTATTGTATATTCACTATACTGTGTTTTATGTATACACTATGTATCAAAATGCAGCATTACGCTTAAGTCTTTTCGAAAATTTTCCAAAGATAATGACAAGATCAGATTATCTTCCTTATGCAAAGCTTATTAGATATACAGAAGGGATGAATATAGGTGTAACAAATGTGTAACGCATGGTTGATTATTGCTTCAGTTGATAAATTTGCCTGGAGTTCTGACTCTGAGATAAGCCTTATTATGATTTAAGCGAGTTGCTGCTGCGCTTAAATAAAACTTACCACAATAGACGAAGCATTACTTAGCATAAAAAAAATTTACCGCCTTTGCCATCTTTCATAATTGTCTGCATACGAAGAAAGTAATTTATTCAAGCATTAGATAAGAAAAACGCATTTATTTGTATTTTGAATTTTCTATGAATTATGCTTCATAATAAAGTAAATAATGCATGATAGGTAATGTTGCAAACTTTCGTTTTAAACTATCTATGGATTAGTTGAAACGTATTAGTTTAAACAGCGGTCCAAATAATGTTTGTCTTTGAATTGCCAGAGTTTTGAGTACATGCACAAACGATTGTATCAGTGTAACAATTTCCCCGAACTACTTCAACATTTATCAATGTAAAATTTCAAACTTGCCTGCTTATATTTAGTCCACAAAATATTCGTCTTTATGCCTCCTTGATGACGGTAAAGTTTAAACGCCTCAGTGCACACCAGTGTTGCCAGATGAAATTTCTAATTATTCATGTTCTCCGACGTCAAAAGTTCACAAAATTACCAAAAGTTCATGTATCTACATTTTTAAAGTCGGAATGTGTCGGAAATTGCCGGAATAGCTCGGAGATTGTTTGTGATTGTTGAGCATATTCATAACATGACCAGAAATCACCAAAAACGATGAATAATTGATTGAAATCCAGAAGAACTCTATCAAATCACATTGATTAGCAAATTGAATAAATTTAAAGAGCTAAAGTTACAATAAACAAATATGATGAACGAAACGAAATCAGGCTTAAAGATATTTTCCCAGCCTAAGCAATGAAGGAGAGTTCGACCTGTATAGGCTATAGTATGCTTTTGGGTAAATGCTTCATTCATTGATACTCGGCTCACTTTCAAGCCTTAAGTAAACTGCTAAGAGTCTATGTACCGTTTTTAATTGCTGTAAGTCGAGTCCTCGTTGTTCTCGTCAGCACAAAGACTGCTGCTTGATATCCTTTGTTTAGCTCCAAGTGGGGGTGAAAGCTTTACGCAACCACCAGACAACTTGACACCACTTTTTACCTTTATCAATGCCGGGCAGTTGCAGTTTGCATTCGAGTTTTGCTCTTGGTCTTGATTGAGCTGACTGACGAAAACACTCTTTGCACATCGACATCTGCATGAGGTACGCAAAGCAAAGTTTGCATGAAGTAAAACAAAAGATCAAACTTTGCATTTCCAATGCCATCGGTAATCTTTTCAAGGCGAACCCAAAATTCTTATGTTTCCATACCATCACTGTCGAGGGGTAAGGTGACATGAGAAAGCATACTCCACTGGTCATCAAGTGCTTGTTGTTGAGACTCGGATATAATATTTGGAAAAGCCATGGCAAGAGGAGCAAGAGAAGAAAACTTTGCACGACTCTTGCCTGCATCTAAGACTTGAAGCATCTCAATGATCGGATCTCCTATTGGAAATCGGTTTCTTATTTGAGAGGCAGCTTCAATTTAAAATTCTTGCACACACTTAAGAAAATGTTGCACGTCTGTTGGTCGTTGCTTGTACTCATCTTTTGTCAAACAAAAGGCAATCCGAGCTCCCATATACATTTTTGACAATGGCATGAAATTCACTTTACTGGCTGGATCGATGTCTTTCAATGATAACCCTTTCTAGTGGGCTTCGTTTAAGTAGCAGCTTTCTCTGTAAATAGCACTCAAACCATTGTGCAGTCAGAGGACAGAAGCTTTCGAACTCTGGAACATGACATTTAGCTCTGTGAACTTAGGATGCACAAACTCCATAAAGGTGATAAAGCTAGCCATACGCAATTCAGCTTCCTAAACTTTTCTATCTATTGGCCTGAACGACGAGCAAACATGGAATTAGTTCAATTCAGGGTAGGATTAACAAGAACTTGACTTTCTCCTTGTGATGCGTGGTTTTGCTATGTTTTTTTAATGCAGTTACAACTTCTATGAGCTCTCTTTTACAAACATTGCAGTACGCTTTGCTCGGATTTTTGGCAACAGGTTGAAGCCAACTCTTAAACAAAGTATCTTTTTCCTAAGCATGACGGTATGTTCACCTGTGTTAACAATTTGCTTGCTTGTTGGTCTAATGCAGACAATCTACAGAATTAAGAATGTGATCATGAAATTCAACTATTCTTTTTGTATTAAATTTAGCTATATGCTGTCCTTTGTGAGTAAAATCGGCTGTATCTTTTACCTTAGCTTTTTAGGATTTGGAGCTTCACCGTTTTCATTATCATTTACGGATGAACAACCATCATCAGCATCGCTATCGCTTTCCAACATGTCCATAGCGACGTTGCTTTTTGATTCCTTCGACATTTTTGTCAAATAAAAACTCACAACAGGACAAAGTAGCGGGAAAAACACAGCAAATTAATTTCAGTTTAACATAATTTATGTACTATGTAAATAGTTTAACTTTTGACATAATATTATTTTTTGTTACAAGAAGTAAACAATTTACTATTTTCATTACTGAATCATTGTACTTATTATTTTCTATCTTAAAGGAATGACAACACAAGGTTCATGAAATCCTACAGAGAATTTTGAAAAGTTCACAAAAAGTTCACAAATTTTTCATGTTCATGAAGAGATCAAAACGTTCACAAATTTGTGAACTTTGTTCATGATCTGGCAACAGTGCACATGCTTAAAGACAGTAAATAAATGACGATCATCATTTCCGTTGTTTTTTATTAAACTATGCTAATTAAACGTAGTCCTTTTCACTTTTTATTTTTACTGTACGAATTTGTACGCTACTTTAATTGAACAACATTACAAAGCGTGTTGCAAGTTCTAAGAAAAGCCTTGAAATAGAAAAAATTGCCTGTTTCGTGTAATTGCTCACTGAACTCTCATTTAACTCCAGTTATCACGATCTGTCGACAATAAAGACGGTCAAGACGTTTGAAATCAGTCAATCTGACAGCGGATGTAACAATTACATTCTAACCATACTTTTAACCATTCAGTTACTTACAACGTTATATGTTATAATTATTGAATGAGTCAGTGACATCAGAAAAACATTCAACATAAATGTTGAAATTGAATTGCTTCATATTACAATAAAGAAATAGCCAGCACACAAAAATTTTATGAAAATTTTCTTACCATAGCAAGGTTGAATGCAACGAAGCCATTCATTAGAAAAATTCTTATGATATTAGTAGAATCATTGAGGACGATTACATAAAATTCAACAACAAATTACTGAAGAGTATCATTAGATTATTCTTCAGTGGTTAGAGAGTAGCAGCCCACTTCTTTTCATATAGAAATATAGAGATCAACATTTTAAAAGAGAGTAGATCTGTGTTGGTATGATTGTAAACACACAAAATAAAAGCACGCGATTAGTATGAAGTGTGACTAAACTATACTTGTACATACGCATTTACAAAAGTATGATATTTTGAGAGTGTGTACATAACATTGGAAAATACATCAAATAAATCTAAGAAATAACGTCTTAATGCTCTTGGAGAGAGCGTGTGCAAAAATTGATAGTTATATTAACGAAACATTCATTTGATAATTCACGTAAGTCTTCAATGTCTAAATTGTTTCTCCGCCTTTCTTTATTTGACAGATCAAATACATCGACATAATTAAACCCAAGATCTAAAAAATAAATGAACAAAGAAAGAAACGTGAGCAGTTTTTGCCTAATAATATACAACTTGTATCAAATTATTAGAATCGAGTTTTGATAAGCCATTGTACATTTGACATTTTGTTTTGGGCCTGTATTTTTTTATTTAACAAAGAAATAACGAAGTAAGTCGAAATTGCATTTTTCTACTTTTAGGAAGTTTTACTTCCATTTCAAACAGAAAGAAAAAAATTTTCCCTTGTATTGTATCATATCCCATAGAGCTTTTTGAAGAATTGTATTCATCTCCTAGTGTTAGAAAAATTAAATTACGACTTGCAGTTTTTGTCTGAAGAGTTTTCGATCATTTCGCAGGAGCGATGAAATTACAAAATATAACTGGAAGGTTAAAGATTATCTTTCTTGCTGTGTAAAAATACAATCGTAAAACACAATGTCATATCACGATTGAACACAAGATTAGATTGGATATTTTTTTATCCATAATATATTATTGAGATGTATCACTGTGCTCGGATTTGGTAGGTTGATATTTTCAAATAACATATCATGTATCAGAGAAAACTTTTTCAGGTTACCTGAATCATAGCAAAGCCAATACCAACTCCGAGAACAACTTCTAGATTGTCCTCAAGTTCAGTTTTGATCTTATCATAACATCCCTGTAGTACAAAACAGGAAATATAATTAAAATGTAATATTGCATTGAACAATAATTTCCAGTGAATAATTTGAATTTATTTTCTTAATTACGCATGCAAAGTGTATTGTTACCGCAATCTGATTGGCTGCAGCAGCCGGCGGCTTTTTAGGATATCTTTACGAAGTCCGAAATGGATATTTTTGTGCAAGGTTCACAAAGTCAGAATTAAATTTTTAAAATTGATTTATAAGCCATGTAAATTGATTGAAGGTGAAAGTAAAATGTATTAGATGGTGGTTACTATAGAGAGAGAATTTTAGCCACTATCCAGATGAAGTGAACTTTGTAGAAAACAATTCAATTTCAGTCTCAACAAGCCACATCAGACATTTTACAACGCGAATTTCTTCGTCATAAAGTAAAACAATAAAAATGCTATTCGATGTTTAAGCTGGTTCGTGCTTAAAAAATATTTCCGCTCGGTTTCATGATATACACTTTGTGTATGCTCCCGAAGGCAAAAGTGTCTGTTTTCCAAAATCCTGATTGTTTTCTGAATGTTTTTTTCTTAGTTAAATTTCGCTGCTTGATTTGAATTTTTTTCGGTTCCATAGCAGTTTTATTTGCATTAACTCTTCACAATATTCTATACCACTAAATCTTCTATAATATGTGTTCAGAAAATGTAATTTTGCTTTATTTTAGTTATAACTAGATCAAACTTACCGTACTATTATATGATGCATTTACACAAGGGGCAGTGGCGTTCTTGTCGGTATAGTCTCCAGAATCTTCAATTCCACAGCATTTATACTGAAGAAAATTTAGAAAATTATTGTAATTCAGACAACTATTTCTCATAAAATGTTGGCTCTTAGAGTCATATAACATAGAGTGTGTTGCTCACTTGTCATTCTTCATTCAAACAACAGCGCATGCAACTTCATATTTTGCAGCTGTATACCATATGTTAGGACAACTATATACTGCGTTGAATGTATGAAATACTGTTGTAAAAATTGTAAAATTTATGTCTTTAGCAACTTAACAAAGCAATTCATCAAATCAATTTATGTTATTTGATTTTCAAAGTGCATTTTGTGCGTTCAAGATGCGGTTGTCTGGGAAGATGAGATGTAGGTCAACATATAATGAGTTCAAACCTTTTCTTCAAATTTGTTCCAATGACCTTGAAATTTTGGAGAACCTTTAATGTTTTCTACAAATGTTCCGTTTAAACATTGTCTCAGTTCATCCTCAACCTTTTCAAAGAATACAAATTTAACATAAATTAAGCAAAAATTATTTATAATTATATTTCAAACGCTTTATTTACTTTCAAAAAGTCATGAATGTCAACAATTAAAAGTCTACGAGAGTTTAACATCATAAAATAAGAATTAAATTGAAATCAACCATCAAGATAATTCGACATTCCAAGTTTGCTTTAAATTGTATAACTCAAATGTCAAGTGAAGACACGAAATTCAATATAACTAAATACACAAATAGCAAAAAAAATGGTATTTCGTAAGACCTGTAGAAAATTTCTTTCAATTGCATGACAATTTAGTTATTTTTGGCATGAAAATGAATCATGAATGAGAGAGCATGCATAATTCAACTGAGTTCAGGAAAATTGTAAGTTAAAAAATTAAATTAAAAAAATATCGCTGGGTCGTGAAATTACCTTAGATCTTTCTACGCCACCTATGACTCCAGCAACAATTTCACAAACGAAAACGATCAACAATAGAACGAAGAACTAAAAAAATGAGTACTTGGTATTATATTAAGACAATTTTCTTAAAAACTCTTCAAGGCTACACAAAGTATAACATATAACTGTGACTTTTAGCATACGCTAATTATTTTAATTTTTTGCAGAGGTGTTGAGGATTAAATACAAAAGTGTGCGGCTTGTCTGCATTTCGCTGGCAAAACCTACTTTATAAAAGCGTTTTTAATCATCTTATAAACTGTCAACCATCAACATTGGGTAATGACAGTTATTCTATTAAAATTTTCAATTCAGGATTTCAACATACTATTCCCAGAAAACAGGAGTTCTGTTTCCATGCGCCATAGCAACCAAAGAAAGCAATGATCAAAACGACAGCTCCAACAGCCAATAGGAGATTTGCACCAGTGGCCCAAGAATATTTGTCACAAAGATCAAGGTAATCGTCATCCTCAAGTTTTAAGTACGCTCCAGTTCCAATTAAACCTGCGCCAGCGAGCTAAAAATAAATAAAAAGCTCCTGACTTCAGTGCGATGACAAACAAATTTATTGTTGCCCCAGTACTACCTAAGTTCGCTATCTGTAAACTATTGTCACGGAAGATATTAATTACCATAAACGAATGTACAAATGGCGACGAAAAAAAGGCATTCATGGTTATCTTTATCACAAAATACATTATGCTACACTGAGATAAATTTATTGAATGAATCAAAATGATTTCTATCACAATTTTTAAAATATTGGCTTGCACATTCCTACTAATTTACACTTATATTTTGACAGTTGTATTAATTTTATTGCATGCGACAAGATGAGATAATGTAATGGTCACGACCAGAATGCAAATGTCGGACCTAGACTGTATAACCACTACAATTCTTCTGTTTGTCCTCTGGTTTATTTTTCTGTAACTTTAAAGTGGGCGCTTATTGGAAAGAGGGCTTAAATTGAGAAAATACGGGAAACTTATACGAAAATAGACTTTCAATATCATTAAAATTAAAAGAAAAAAAGACTCAAGCTATATTTATGCAACAACCACAATCTATGCAATTGCATGGATTGCTGGTATTGTTCTAGTACCGCACATGCTAAAGTTGCATTTATTTTAGTAAAACATGCAGCAAAACAGACAGAAAAAAATACATACAAAACACATAGACGGCTAATAACAACACGCGTTATAAACCAAGCAATAAAAACTTACAAAGAAAATAAAATTGAAGAAAAAGACCAAATATCTGATGCACGTGTACCCACACATTTTTCACTAAAACCTAAAATAAAACAAAACAAGTAAATGTCAATATTAACTAAATCAAAACTGAAATTACTTCCAGTAGAAAATTGTGAAAATTCAAATTCTCCAGATGGCCGTTGAAATTATTCATTTTATAGTTAATCAGCCTTAACATTTTGGCAGCCTTTTCTCTCATATGAGTTTGTAAATTTTATATAGCACCATCAGTTTTACAGTGAAAAGAATTGTAGAGCTGCTTTTATCAATGAACTTTTCCAGAGTTCCTGCACTCCTTTGTTTGTACCTTTAACAACATGTCCAGTTTGCCAGCCCAATTTTTTTGTAATGCTAAGCAAGTATTTCAATGCTCTCTATAAACGTCCGAGAAATGAATGTTGGAATGCTTTAAAAATTGTGTTCCATATGCCCTGATGTCTCTTTAAGGAGTGCGTTATGCGTGCTGTAATGTAGAAGAACTAAACGCTTGCAGGGTGAGTTTGGCGTGTTGTAATGTATAACTAAACGCTTGTAGGGCGAGTTTGGCGTGTTGTAATATAGAACTAAACGGTTGCAGGGCGAGTTTGGCGTGTTGTAATGTAGAACTAAACGCTTGTAGGGCGAGTTTGGCGTGTTGTAATGTAGGACTAAGCGCTTGTAGGGCGAGTTTGGCGTGTTGTAATGTAGAACTAAACGCTTATAGGGGGAGTTCGGCGTGTTGTAATGTAGGACTAAAGGCTTATAGGCGAAATTTGGCGTGCTCTAATGTAGAACTAAACGCTCATAGGGCGAGTTTGGTGAGCTGTAATGTAGGACTGATTGTTTATAAAATCGCGTCACGCATCAGTCACGAGAAAGAACAAAGCTGTTAGTTGGCAAAAATAAGCATGTACGTAGTATACACGACAAGTTTATTAAAAATGAAAGCTTTTACGCATTTAGAGTCACGAGGGATGTATAGTCATATATTAAGCTTTGCCCTGTTGGTGTCTTTTGAAATTAAAATCGTTAACAAACCAAATCATTCAAGCATAAACGAATATATGAATATTCACCCCTCCACGTAGCGTTCTAGTTTCGCTACTGTTTGGGGTGATACGTTCAATAGTATCGTAAATAGCTGTCTGACTGCTCTTACTTGATTTCAACAATATGTTTTATAACTATGCCTTGCGTTATCTTTTCCTGAAAAGAATCTTTAAATAGTTTTATTTACACTGAAAGAAAAGACAGCGGCCATACATAATACGCTATGACTAATTTCGTAATATATTTGAATACTCAAGCTGATAATACATTACGCGATCTCACGCAGATAAAGAAATTGCCGACCCTCCCGACAGTATAGTTGCTAGGTGTTCTTATTAATATTGTTGCACAAAACTATGCACATTTATGGTATTGAAGAGCAGAAAATGACGCCTGAATGTCACATTCAAGATGCTTTCATAACACAGGAATTGGTTATGAATTTCTTAAATATAAAACCATTAAATAAAAAAAACAGTCCAGTAGCTTTGAGCTACTTTGCATTTTTAATTTATCCACAATTATAAGCGGCAATGTATTAGATTGAATTATTCTAAATTCAACATCGACTAAACACTTGTTTGATTATAAATGAAAGGGGCATGTACTTATGTTTAGCGTTTATCAACCAAAGTGACAAACATTTCATCGCTCTGCAGCTCATGACTTGTACGGTTGCTCGTGACAAGCGCGTTATACACACATTATAGTGCACTTACTACCTATACACAAGTTTAGATGTAAGGTATAATAAAATACAGATTATGAAAGAATTGAGTCAAGAATTGCTAGGTAAATGTGCTTTCCATCGACATGTTTTTGGCGACCAATATTTAAGGAGAAACGATTTACACGACTGCAAAATGTTAGCAAATTTATAAAGATCTTTGAAACTCGAAGCTTTAGCAAATTATATATCACATGAAATAATGATTTAAAGAGCTTAAACAATTTTATTACGTATTTCCAGGTGGAATTAAGCGTTGTTATACGGATTCATCGAAACTAGATACAATAAGAATGTGGTAAGCACCATTTATTTTGAATTACCTACCTTTCGCTTTTGTAATTGTTAGACAAGCCCTTGATATGTTTGCTAAACAAAATGTTTTACTACGAAACCTTATAAAATAACAAAGATAGTTTTATACGCAATGTTCGAGTAATTTGTATTTACCTTCAGACGAAGAACAAAATGAGGAAATTACTCGCCAGAAACTGCACAGTTGTGTTGATGTCTTTTGATGAGTAAAACAACGCCTATTCGCGGTTATTGACGTTGCTATATATATATATATATATACGTACAAGGTCGTACAATATTATTTCCGGGGGGTGTGAAGAATACAATATGGCATGACTAAGAGCAACTCACACAGTAAGAGAACATTTACGTAGAAAATTCTTGTACCTTGAATTATCTTCTATCTATATATTGTATGGTTATCAACCATTCTCAAACATTCATTTCATATTTTATTTAATGTTGAAAGTGTTCAATTTATAGACAAAAATTGCAAGCGCAACATATATGCGCGATCATATTAATTCAAGTGTTTTGCATCGCATGACATTTGAAATATGTTTTGGAATACCACAGAACCTTCTGTCCTTCAACGTCGCTGTCGCAGATAATAACTTGCCCGCTGTTAATTATCATCGTTCTCGAGTTAGTCGTCGATCTACTTGTGGCTCAGGAAGAAACATGTCAAACAATTTACACCTGTTTACAAATAATTTACACTTTCAGTTGTGGGCTGACAGTATTGACGCACTTTCAGTTTCTTAGTAACAGCTCAAGTATGAGCAGGCTGTGAGCCATAAAAATAAGTAATTTATAAATTGTAAGTTCGGCGTCTTGACTAATCTCCTTGCTTATATGGATGAACTTTTACCGGTAAAACAATTATAGTCTCGTATATAATTATTTCGCATTAAAATCTGTGCTGGTGGCATTCGTAGATATAAATATATAACACAAAGATTCTTTCTCTTTTAGTAAATTCAGCAATTGTTCTGGAAAAATTCTTATTTGGACAATCTCAAAGATTGTTTATACCTTTCGCTTTTCCCATGCATCCAATAATAATATACAATATAATTCAGTTACACATATGCAATAAGCAGTATGCAATATAAAAGAGCATAAGAGAGGAGATTGATAAGAGAAAACTGAATTGACGTTTTTGTATTCCTTGCGATACTCAACGTAATTTCTATTTGTGATCGTTAAATGTGTGATTAAAGAAGTTCATAAGGAGTAATGACAGAGTTTTTGCTATGTGCAATTTAAGTTGTCTAATATCAACGTTGAAGCTTAATATTTCTTCAAGATATGCGCAGCAGTTGATGAATCCGCGTATTATCTTGTCATTTATATTATATCAATGTTAACATTACGACGGCATTTTGTCATTTCTGTCTTTGACATTATGCAAACTTTAAGTTGATAAAGGCACTTCTTTCACTATAATCATATTGGCATAAGCCATACAAAATGTGGATTTACAAAACAAAGTTTGTTTAGATCAGAATGATGTGGCATGCCAGCTTGAAATTTGCAATTCTAAAATGAAATTATGAAGCCCAGCTGAGTTATATCTTTTGCGTTTATGTTATTCTTTTCTTAAAAACTTTGGTTTTTCTAGTCTCAAATAGCGGTATAAACTAATGATGAACAAAAGAAGTAAAATTATAATTAATGCCAGACTACCTTAAAGGCAAACGTGTTACCTTTGTAAGTATGGGAAAGTGTCAACTGCATGACAAACTAGTTATTCGCAAAAATGAAGCAAAAACGTCAAATTTTACCATTTTTTGACGCAAGACAAAACGCTAATGAATTGAGAATTAATAGATGAACGAAAGTAACAGGAATTTTATTATTATAACTAACCATATATGATACATTTGCACCTCTTTTTATTGAACGAAATAGTGAAATAGTTGCCGAAATAGTTTCCCTTATATTATCAAGAAATTGCTAAAAGAATTCGATAGGGACATGAAAAAACACAACACACCAACTGTACTACCCAACATGCTTTGCGTAGTATTATGAAAAAAGTTATTTTGGAAAACATTCAAGATGAAGTTCCATAAACTGTATATTTTACAGTTTTGTTGAATTAAAAGACACTCGATTCTTTGACTAAGGCTGAGACAATTTTTAGCTTTAAATTGACGTTTTTTTATTTTCCTTTTATATGTTTTATCTGTGTGTTAGTTATGTTGTAATGTATATATTTGTTGATAAAGTTATTGTTAATGTGTTATGTCTTAGGGCTTAAGTGCGAAGTATGTTCATAGCGATCGAAACATCCACATGAAATACTTAAATAGTTGTAAGATTGGATTAAACACAAGGAGAGGAGTGCAATGTGGTAATAATTTGTCCATCAGTCTCAAACATTATCAATAACCACGTGATCAAGATGGCTTCACATTGTAAGCATGCGTAATTTTCACTTCTCTGAATATAAAAAATACTTATTCAACATTAGTTCTCGTACGTTTCCCGTCTCTCAAGCGTTATCATGACACCATCGGCTGAATTTAAAATAATATCAGGACTTTTCCTAATGCCTTGAGTCTTCTGGGTTGAAAATATCTTGAAATGACGTAAAATTGCTGCGACGACTATTTTCTCCTCCATAAGTGCAAATTTTTGTCCTACAAATAAGTCATATCGATTATTCATATGAACAGTGAACGCAAGAAGCAGAAAGAAATCTATTTTATAAAGCAATACTTTAAATTGCCCCAGGTTCATTTTTCTGTGTTAGGATCTAAATTGTTAAAGAATGCAAATGGCAGGGAATAGTATAATAAAATCTTGGGCTCATTGTCTTGTTTTGCCTCCTATACTAATAAACAAGCTAATTTGTAGCCTTCTAGAAACGCAACTACACAATACAGTACAAACATGATTTTTGTGAAGTTACCTTACGAGAGATGTTTCTTTCCAAATTATTGCTCTATGCGTTTTATTTAAATTTTGTAGTTCAAAAGGCAAATTTCAGTGCATGCACTGTTTTAAATTTCAAATACAGCAAAATTATTTCAATAACTCGTCAGATTATCTACAAATATATCTAAGATACACACTCACCAATGCAGTTTCTTGGGCCAGCAGAGAAAGGTACATAAGCAAATGGGTTTCTTCCATGATTTCTTCCAGGCAGAAATCTGTCTGGATTAAATATTAACGGATCCTTCCAAACATTAGGATGAAGATGTAAGGCCATGGGTGCAACAAAAACATTACAACCTTTAGGTATGTCATATTCACCTGTCGATATAAAAAAAGAGACACTATTTATCTGGGGAATAACATAAAAATTAGGGAACCATTCCAAACTGCAAGGTTTCGCTAAAAACAGGATATATAATTTATTGACACTGAATCTTTACTTATTTGTGAAAAGGGGAGCTCCACTCAAGATTCGAAGCATCCTTCTCCAGACTGTACTAGCCTAACAATCAACGTTTATTCATGTATTCAAATCTCAGTTCTTAGTTATGTTAAAATCATTAAACACTGACCAAGTTTACAATCATGAGTAACTTCACGACCCAGCAACGGAACTGATGGGAAGAGACGTAAAGCTTCCTGAAATGAGTAACTTCTTTCATTATTTGTGTAAATTAAGATGGAAAGCAGTTATTTATAGCTACATGAATAACACTGTTCTTGAAGTATCTATGTAATGTGTAAATTAAGATGGAAAGCAAATATTTATAGCTACATGAATAACACTGTTCTTGAAGTATCTATGTAATGTGTAAATTAAGATGGAAAGGAATTATTTATAGCTACAAAAATAACACTGTTCTTGAAGTATCTATGTAATGTGTAAATTAAGATGGAAAGCAATTATTTATAGCTATATGAATAACACTGTTCTTGAAGTATCTATGTAATGTGTAAATTAAGATGGAAAGCAATTATTTATAGCTACATGAATAACACTGTTCTTGAAGTATCTATGTAATGTGTAAATTAAGATGGAAAGCAATTATTTATAGCTACATGAATAACACTGTTCTTGAAGTATCTATGTAATGTGTAAATTAAGATGGAAAGCAAATATTTATAGCTACATGAATAACACTGTTCTTGAAGTATCTATGTAATGTGTAAATTAAGATGGAAAGGACTTATTTATAGCTACAAAAATAACACTGTTCTTGAAGTATCTATGTAATGTGTAAATTAAGATGGAAAGCAATTATTTATAGCTATATGAATAACACTGTTCTTGAAGTATCTATATAATGTGTAAATTAAGATGGAAAGCAGTTATTTATAGCTACATGAATAACACTGTTCTTGAAGTATCTATGTAATGTGTAAATTAAGATAAAAAGCAGTTATTTATAGCTACATGAATAACACTGTTCTTGAAGTATCTATGTAATATGTAAATTAAGATGGAAAGCAATTATTTATAGCTACATGAATAACACTGTTCTTGAAGTATCTATGTAATATGTAAATTAAGATGGAAAGCAATTATTTATAGCTACATGAATAACACTGTTCTTGAAGTATCTATGTAATGTGTAAATTAAGATGGAAAGCAATTATTTATAGCTACATGAATAACACTGTTCTTGAATTATCTATGTAATGTGTAAATTAAGATGAAAAGCAATTATTTATAGCTATATGAATAACACTGTTCTTGAAGTATCTATGTAATATGTAAATTAAGATGGAAAGCAATTATTTATAGCTACATGAATAACACTGTTCTTGAAGTATCTATGTAATGTGTAAATTAAGATGGAAAGCAATTATTTATAGCTACATGAATAACACTGTTCTTGAAGTATCTATGTAATGTGTAAATTAAGATGGAAAGCAATTATTTATAGCTATATGAATAACACTGTTCTTAAAGTATCTATGTAATGTGTAAATTAAGATGGAAAGCAATTATTTATAGCTACATGAATAACACTGTTCTTGAAGTATCTATGTAATGTGTAAATTAAGATGGAAAGCAATTATTTATAGCTATATGAATAACACTGTTCTTAAAGTATCTATGTAATGTGTAAATTAAGATGGAAAGCAATTATTTATAGCTACATGAATAACACTGTTCTTGAAGTATCTTTGTAATTGAACAATACGACATACAACGTTATATTCAACACACATAACTACTAGAGTTAACTTCTAAAGGAAAACTCGTTCCAGGACTTGCAAGTTGCATTGTTCAAACGCGCAACAAGTTGAAAGTCATTTCTTTCTAACAGAGTAGCTAAGCTTTTGGCATTTCAAAAGAGAAATGCACGGCCAAAATAACTTTATAATAGTTTTCCTTACTCTTCCTGCGACAAGTTTGTAATAGCTTCCCTTACCCCCCTGCAACAACTTTATATGAGTTTCCCTAACACCTTTCCGCTTTCTTTTTTGCATTTAGTCGTAAGAAAAATTCACTGATAGTAGGGTTACGTAGCAGTCGTAGTATAATACCTTTATGGCACATTCAACATAGATTAAGTTCTTCAGTTGATCAGGACTTATATCTCCGCCATCAGACACAGATGCTGTGAAATACAAAAGATAGAAAAGTAACAGTCTATATTAATCTCCATAAATAGTATCTTGCCTAGTTCTGAGAATATAAGGATCATGCATAAAAAACATTTAACTCAATAAAATTCGCAGTCATGAATGCGACTGAACTTCATTAGAAAATGTTTATTTTCATGAGCATAAAATGTAAATCCCCTTTGAACTCTGCACTAAACTATTCCTTGGAATGGGAAATCGAAACAAATACAATCACCAAACTGGTGTAGAGTTTCCTGTTTTCAGTTAAATTCTTTGTCTCGTAAAAGATGTGTTGTATAATTAAATGGCACGTACATGGTGCTCAACAAAGTACTCTTTATTGAGTGAGACTTTTTTGAATTGTGACACACTTAGGAATTCAAATCAGGCTCTGATTTTAATAGAGGCTATACTGGTTGGGATAGCCTGTACAAATTGGGACAGCCTGTACAAGTTGGGACAGCCTGTACAAGTTGGGACAGCCTGTACAGGTTGGGATAGCCTGTACAGGTTGGGATAGCCTGTACAAGTAAGGCAGTTATAAACAACAGCCCATAAATAGACAAAAATAGTGAGGTTATATTTTACCAAAAAAATCATCAACCTCTTTGTGTAAACGTTGTTGTACTTCAGGATGAATAGCAATTAAATGAATGACCCATTGCAAGGAAGCGGCTGTTGTGTCATGTCCCTTGGAAACCAAAAGAATTATATGAACTAATACATAAAAAATTATATAAAATATGAAATTTTAAGCAACGTGCCAACGCACCTAACATGTTCACTCAACAGGCACTCAACATTGTCTTGCGTTTGTTGAGTAATGTTTAGTACGTATGTACAAACGCTCTCAACATGTTGAGGTTATGAGATAAAATGTTTCACGAGACGTATCAACGGCGCTCTTTTTCAACAAGCGCTGATGAGTCGAAAGTTTGAAAAAGTTCAAACTTCTCTCAAAACCACTCAACACCACTCAACATCTCTCAACACCGCTCAAAACCACTCACACAGCGCAACACCGCTCAACACCACTCAACACCTCTCAACACCGCTCAACACCTCTTAGCATAACTCAACACCTCTCAACACCACTCAACACCTCTCAACACCTCTAAACATGTTAAGTCTGCAATGTCCAGAGCATGTATAGTGAACATGTTGAATGCGTTTCCACATTCACACGTTGTACGTGTATAGAACTATAAATGGTTATTGTAATAACTGTAATTTATTTGTTTCTATGAGATGTGTCTAGAATCCTACATACATACAAATATTATAAACAGATCTATAGAATGAATAAGAATATAAAGGTGGAAACTACAAGAACGCCTTTAGTGTTATGTTTCATTTCAAATATTTAGCATCAGGTAAACACTTCTGAACAATAAGTGAAATAATTTAAGTGCTTTTCGAAATATTTTGTGTGATCATGTGATCAAGCCCATTCAAAAAAACTTTGAGCATGTTATTGCGCGGCATATATCCTCCTCAAAAGCACAATCAATAATAGCGTTAGCACCTTTGTAGTCATAAAAAGTAAGATATCTTACCTCAAACATGAACGTGTCAACTTCTTCACTGATTCCTTCTCTTGTAATGTTGCCCTCATCATATTGCTCCAACAAGAGGTCAAGAAACGCTAAAATATGACGCTTACTATCTGTCACATATTGTGTTGTTTCACTGACGCTGTGCTTTTCTTCATGGCGCTTTTCAATGCGATTGTCTATTACCTTTCAAAAAAAATAAATTTAGCGTTCTACAGTAGAAGAAATATTTTCACACTTTAACAGAGTTTCAAAGAAAATTACCCTGTTTGTAAAATTATGAAGAATATCCAGATATTTTTTCGTCAATTTTCCTTGATATAATAGGTTGTAGATAAAATCTGGCCACAACCAAGGTGATTTTTGACGCTCTTGGATCAGCTCACAAATGCTATTGATAGACGTAATACAAAAAATAAATTGAACAACGCGTAATTTACTTTACTGGAAAAATCAACATCACGGCATCACAAACCATTTTGCTAGTTCAAGTTAAAAATCTTGGTATAATAAAGAATAATCATAAAGAGTTGTGTGCATAGATTTAAAGCAAAGAAAGGTTTTAAATGTTTGTGGTTGTTCTTGCTTTTGTTATGCAATTCAATTTATTTGGAAAAACAGTATCCGTTATGATCTTAAAAGTATATACACGTTTTCAGAGATAACTTGACACAAGCAATAATTTTTACATATTTTCTTCGCCATAATTTTCCCATCGACTAACTCATAAAAAACTTTTTTTACTCTCATTCTTGTAAACAGTATTCACTGCTCTTTGTGTGCAAGTTAAGTAATGGCTGCCATATTGGATAATTTTGACAAATTACGACGCAATTGTCATCTAACATGGCGAAAAATTTCATCGAAACTTATTTTTCCTTCTATATCGCACCTGAATACAGAACTAATGTACTCGGAGTTTTGTCCAAATTGAGCATGAATATCAATTCCCATTGACGTTTCTGAAAAAATAAATTCAAATTAAAAATGTTATAATCAATCAGTCGTATGATATGAAATTAGTAGAAAATTTATATTCAAATAATCCATCAAAAATGAAATAAAATAAATTAAAAAGTGATCGTCTGTGCTATAGTAAAAGGCAAAACTCCAGCATAATGCATTTGTAAGAACATTTAGATACAAAATCTACACCGTAACTTGTCAATCTATATATATTATGGATAAAAAATAGAATCCCTGCATGGCTAGAAAAACAGCCAGCAAAAAAGTCCAATTGCGAATAGAATTCGTGAATATTGCAATGGAAACTTGCATCATAGAATGGAAAGTTCACCCAAATATGTGGCTTTCACATTAAATGTCAGATAACATTAAATCAAACTTATTGTTACATCATGTTGAAAAATTAATACCATAACATACCACATATTATATCTAGGACACACAAGGATAAATAAGGTACGATATTGAACTCCTTTTTTCCAACTCTTTCCTATAATATTTAATAATTTTTTCAGAACACGATGCTCAACACTTCGTAACAGAAATGTTGCAGCTGACTGCTTAGCAACCAATTGTTCAAATATTACTTGGAAAAATACTCACTTGAAGCAGATCGACAAGTTTTGTGGCATGCTTTTGATGTATGGAAAGAAAATCGTTTAGAATTTTAAAATGGAATGTCGGTGTAAGCAGTCTTCTCCGATATTTCCATTTTTCACCAGTGCTAACAAATGAAAAACAAATTAATGTAAAGTGACAGCAGTGAAATTAAGAAATTCCTAAAATTTGCAACGATCAAATGATGCAAGAAGTGATATTAATACGTATATCTACTTCTAAACAATAAAATATAAAACTGTGAGCTTGTGAACAGCATTTGATGTTTGCGATGTAACCATTTGTTTGTTTAACGTTAATTCCAAACAAAAATTGCACCGAAAAAATTACATCGAACGTTTAAAATTGAAATTGAATTTTTACCTGGTCAACAATCCTAAAAATAAAAATAAAAATAAAAAAAGTCAAAATTGAGGGCCGTTCTAAACTTCCATGTGAAAGAGGGTTTGGAATCGAATGCAAACTTTTGTATCTCATGGAAAGTCGACAATGGTACTGAATATATATAGACTAAACCAAAGCGTTTCCCCTGCAGTTCACCTGGTTGTTACAAAAGCTAACTTCATGTGGCTATTGTCACAGAAAAATGATTATACAGAAGGGTCACTCAGGTGTACAACGCGTCCTCATGTCGGCCATTATTCCAGCCAGATGATTAGGATTTCTCACTTGTTTCCAACCATTAAAATTACATGACGTCAATACTTAATAATGAATTCAAGTATATTTTGACTTAAGAAATGACTTCGGATCATTTTAAAAGTTTGGAAAAAGTCAAAAGCCCTAATCATCTGGCTGGAATAATGGCGGCCACCATGCGCGGCACGACATGCGCAAGGACAAAAACATCAAAGGTTCCGACACGAGTGACTCTTCTGTATATTCTTATTCTGTGCTAAATTCAAGAAAAATTCAATGATTCTAAGCATTTAAAGGAAAATATCAAGCTATGACACTCTACAAATAGGAATGACAGCAAAAATAATGCAACAAAAGAATATAATGCGAGAGGAAAAAAAGCTCTGTCTTTTTTCTCATTTGAGAAATCATATTTCCTAAACGTAGCAGATCTTTTCAGAAGCTTTTAATCTTCAGTTCTCCGACCTGAACCTTGCCCCTCGCTACTAATCCTTCTTAATAATCATTTGAGATTGTTGAGAAACACCTAGTGGACGGCTTTCAGCATATAAACATTTTGATGTCTTAAACTATGACTTCGGATAAGGAAACCAGAATGCATTAAAAATTTTGAAACAAGGAAATATCTACATTTTTGTTGGCTCACAAAGTGATGTCACGTAGTATGATGCAATATTTCAAGTTCATAGTACAGCTAATATTTCTATGAAGAAGTAGAGTTGCCAAGTAGCAAAATGGCAATTTTCTCTGAGCCCCAGGCTTCTATCCAGCAAGATAAGAGCAACAATAACTTTGAAAACAAGTGCAAATGTAATAATGACTTAGTGAGCAAATTTTTATAAGAACGCTAACTTTAGTACGTCAATTTCATATTATTATTCTGATTACTAAGCATAAAATATTACAATTTTTAAGTATAATTCTACAAATGTGAGATGTGGGGGGAAGAGGGCACATTGCAAAAAGTTTTGCCCCAGGCCCCAAATATTGTTTGAGCGGCCCTGGAATAATGAAAGATTTATCAACCAAGATGTATTTCTTAACCATCAATAATGCAAACATCTATCTGAAGCATTAAAAGCTTACCTGTCCCAAGCCATGAATGCAGGAAAGTATAAAGGTATGATTTGGTAATGTTTCTTTGACTCGATAGCACAACCTAAAAATATTTTGTAAGCAGTCTCAAATCGTTTATCTGCGTATTTCATTATTCAGGAACTTAACTATTTTCGATATAACATCACATGCAGAAGCAACGACAAGTAAAATTTTAAAGCAAAGCCAATTTGCCACTTTTTGATTTCGGCACACAAACAAATTTTTCTTGCGCCTGCGCGTTGTGTATGTATAAATACTCGAAAAATAAAAACAATTCTGATTATTGAAGTATTACCACTTCAACATACAAAAACCGTTCAACCAATCAGCGTTCAATAAATTCACACGACCAATGCATAGAGCAATGTTATACAGCCAAACGAGTGAAAATGTAGTAACGAAGTTGACGTCATAACTTTTTTTACGTCACGTTACGTTACACAATTACAGCGTATTGAAACAAACAAGTTGGGAACAAAGTTGACGTCATAACTTTTTACGTCACGTTACATTACACAGTTATAGCGTATTGAAACAAACAAGTTGGGAACGAAGTTGACGTCATAACTGTTTTTATGTCACTTTACGTTACACAGTTACAGCGTATTGAAACAAACAAGTTGGGAGCGAAGATGACGTCATAACTTTTTTCATATCACGTTAAGTTACACAGTTACAGCGTATTGAAACAAACAAGTTGGGAGCGAAGATGACGTCATAACTTTTTTCATATCACGTTACGTTACACAGTTACAGCGTATTGAAACAAACAAGTTGGCAGCGAACTTGACGTCATAACTTTTTTCATATCACGTTACGTTACACAGTTACAGCGTATTGAAACAAACAAGTTGGGAACAAAGTTGACGTCATAACTTTTTTCATATCACGTTACGTTACACAGTTACAGCGTATTGAAACAAACAAGTTGAGAACAAAGTTGACGTCATAACTTTTTTCATGTCACGTTACGTTACACAGTTACAGCGTATTGAAACAAACAAGTTGGGAACAAAGTTGACGTCATAACTTTTTTCATATCACGTTACGTTACACAGTTACAGCGTATTGAAACAAACAAGTTGGGAACAAAGTTGACGTCATAACTTTTTTCATATCACGTTACGTTACACAGTTACAGCGTATTGAAACAAACAAGTTGGGAACAAAGTTGACGTCATAACTTTTTTCATATCACGTTACGTTACACAGTTACAGCGTATTGAAACAAACAAGTTGGGAACAAAGTTGACGTCATAACTTTTTTCATATCACGTTACGTTACACAGTTACAGCGTATTGAAACAAACAAGTTGAGAACAAAGTTGACGTCATAACTTTTTTCATGTCACGTTACGTTACACAGTTACAGCGTATTGAAACAAACAAGTTGGGAACGAAGTTGATGTTGCAAGTTGTCGATACATCATACATTTAAAAACTACGATAAATTTCTCACACGATGTGATTCACCAAAAAATTATTTCATGACAATCATAAACTATCCAGGCCACAAGTTTTGGTCATGGAAAGCATATTTGCGGGATTTATCATTATTCATTTCTTTAGAATCCGTTGTTTATTTAGTGAGTCAACAAAGAAAAATTTTCATGGCTGGAGCAAATTTGCAGACCGGCTCCCGGACACACCACTGTTTTTGCCAGCTCATATAAATTTCATCTTTTCTAAAATATTCAAAGTATATACAATATGAAAGATATATAACGCATTTTATTTTTGTGCAAACCTCTGTGTACTCAGGCGTAAAAACTACTATCACAGGTTGAAGTCCAATCCATGCAACAATTAGGCCATCATTTTGAAATTCTATCGACCAATCAATGATTTGCTTATAGAACTCTGAAAACAAATAAAATAAAGAGTTGCGTCAACAATGACACTTCCAATACTGCTGTTATTTTGAGCCGAGTCGTGGGCTCACAGTAAATTTCGACACTTTCAGCCATATCAAAATAGTCGACAAGACAATAATTTACTGTCTTAAGCCACTCGTTGTTAGCAATAGTTGCAACAATAGAAACATTAGTTAATTTACTTTCCACCATTTGAATGATACAAAAGCTAACCAACGAAACAATTACACGTCAATTACTAGCAATACAGTCGCTTACTAAGAGGAAAAGTTTATTGTGTTGTAAACTAGTAATTTACATTCTGTAACGTGACCGGACAGTAATTTTATTACATTTAATCATTAAAAATTGCACAATTCGGACGAAGCCTAGCTACTAAATGAATGATAATTTTTTCGAAGGTCTTTTAAGTTTCTTAAATAGAAAATGTTTATGATTTAAGCAAGACGTACAAGAAAACAAAACAATACTTCTACGTATGTCTGATTTTGATAAAAAAATAACATTAATGATATACGTCGTACTGGATCTAATTGCGTACAATTGTAAATATTTAGCACATCGATTAGTGCACTTATATCAATATTCCATACTGCACTATTACCAATGATTTAATTTGCTACACCCGTACACCCTTCATTATCTCTATTTTGCAAAGCAATGGACATCGCTGAATAAAACGAAGTATAATTGTACGTTGTGTTACGTCACACAGAGACTTGATCCAGTCCCTATGCCAATTGTCAACTTTTACTGTCGAATTTCATATTTGATCAATAATAGTTCGATAGCGACGCAGTATGGCAAGCCAAACCTGCCAAAAGTGTATCGAGATTTATAAGTCGTATTAGAATTACTATAAGTGTATTCGAGATTCGTAAAGTGGTACTCAAAATTACTATAATGCGGTGTGAAAACTATATTATTATTGTTGAGTTGTGTATGACGAGATTTATATGACGAGTTGTTTTATAAACTGTGACGAGATTTATAAGACGAGTTTTATATGACGAGTTTCATATGACGAGATTTATAAGACGAGTTTTATATGACGAGTTTCATATGACGAGTTTTATATGACGAGTTTCATATGACGAGATTTATAAGACGAGTTTTTTTTATAAACTGTAACAGTGTAACGAGATTTATAAGAGGTTGTTTACAAACTGTAACGAGATTTCCCAAGATGGCGTCCGCTAGTAATGCAACTTATTTCGTAGCAAATGAAGTATGTATACAGTATAGATAGAAAATACAAAGTTACCAACCTGCCGAAATTTTGCATATAATTAATAACTGCTTTTGAAACAAACACGTGTTCTTTAACTCAATACTTCATGTTGTTAGAGGAAAACTCGCGATATGTGAAAACTATATTATTATTGTTGAGTTGTGTATGACGAGATTTATATGACGAGTTGTTTTATAAACTGTGACACCGCATTATAGTAATTTCGAGTACCACTTTACGAATCTCGAATACACTTATAGTAATTCTAATACGACTTATAAATCTCGATACACTTCTGGCAGGTTTGGCTTGCCATAACGCAGCGCATGAAAATATTGTGATATAAGTTTCAGATTACTCTTGAAGAAGCAATACGAGAGTGCTATAAAAAAAATTGTGAGATATGCGCATAAAAGCTTTTATACGCGAGGAATATCTGTGAGCGAATGCTTTCCCAAAATGCAGGCAAGCGTTAAGTGCATGTTATATGTAAACAACTAAATACATATTTCAAGCTGAAACCAAAAAAGTTTGGAGAATCTAGTGTTTAATCCAACCCGAGAAACAGTAATTATACATTTACCATGTTTGCTTAATATCGAATATTGATATAACGAAGATTTTCATACCGTGTGAATCTCTTTTCAGTTGCAAAGCATTTCCAAATAAAGGAACAGGTTTGGGCCCGGGAATTGCAGAAAGTTTACCATATAATTTGCGCTGGTTCCGTACGACGAGGCAATATGATAAAAACAGAATTAAAAATACGAATGTGATTACTAAAACCACCATTTACACATCGATAATGTTCATGAAACATCTACTGCTGTAATGCAATGCTGTACTGTGACGATAATAAAATTGACCAAAGGTCAAAACAAGCGAAGTGTGAAATCATTGTTTACTTGTGGTAATCACAATTGTTACCCGTGATTTTATTAGCTTTTGATTAGGGCATCTTACTTCCAACTTCCTAAGTCATAACCGAATATACTCAATATTCACTTTTATGTTTATATTAAACCGGAGCCTCTAAATCAAAGTATTTAACATACTCGAACTTTAAATATGTGAATGGTTTGTTTGCCTTGACCTTCATCAACCTCAAGAGCCACGAGTTAAAATAAAAAATATTATTAAATAAGTTATATCTAAGGAAAATACTATAGTATGCCAACTGTGTAAATCGAACTAAAATGAAAATGAAAATATTTCATTTATAAAGATGCAATTGTTGACTTATGGCAATAGCAGGCCTGGACATCTTGCTAATTTTAATTACTTGTTGATATTTAGTACAAAAAAGAAATGCGAAACACATACTCGACGTCAGTCAACCAATAAAAACAAAAATTATCTTCATGCGTTGCTGATTATGGGAAATGGTGTTGAATTCCACCTTGTTACTATCGCAAGAACTTCATGCAAAAAAATCATACATGCTGATGCTGTTCTAGAAGTTGAAAGAGATAATCTTTAACAGTACCTATTTATAATTCCTTACAATCCCATAAAAGAGCTTGCAATTAATTTGATAGTTAAGGGTGATAAAACTATTCGAAGTAACTTGCACAGTCCAGTTTTGTAAATTTCATTATTTTTCTTTCACTTGCACTAAATTGGTTATATAATCAACTCTCGTACTTTTTTTGCAAACTTAACCAATCCATTTATTGTGAGAAAGAAAGGTTTCCAGCTGTTGGATATTTTAAATAGCATGATATTTAACTTCTGATTCTTGTGAAACTATATTCATAATGATTTATGAATTCTCAATGACAAAAAAGTCTCAGGGCAAGTCCATCACAAATACGTACTGTGAGAAACAACTCCTGAAATGTTAGTTAAACTGATAATCACTACAGCTAAATTATGACACTACCCGGTGAAAAAAAAATTGTAATCATAAAGTCATTGCAATCAACAAGACATGTTACAGATTTATGAAAATACAAATTTATATTTTTCAAATAAAAACTTTATATAGAGAGGGTTCTTAAGAATTCATAACTTTAAAATCAAAATTTATGTGCAAAAGGCATCACACAAGTTCATCCTTCTTATCTTGCAAAACATGAATTTACATCCAGTAGACATCTTAGAAGTAAACAAGCCTAATTCTGCTTGAGCATCTCAACATATGACATACCTACACACAATTGTAAACTTCAAACAAAGCTGAAGTCTTTTTTGCATACAATTCTCATTCTTTGAACTATTTTTATTCAAATAATTATTTAACAGTTTTACTAATGTGATGTTTACCAAACACAACTTGTTGTCAATCCCAAAATTTTATGTTGTTGCATAAGAACCATGGCTATTAAAATGCTTCTCGAAATCATCAGGATTATTGTAACTGCTACCACAAAGAGAGCAGATGTATCCAATATCTGATAAGTCTGACTTCTTAATCTCATTGTTATGTTTAAAACGTGCATCTGAATCATGAAGTCTAACAGCCGCATCAACCTTGTCGTGCTTTCCTCTACTTCTTTGCATATGTCACATTGATATGGCTTTGCACCAGAATGAGTCCTCTTATGTGAAACAAGATGTTGATGTTGGGTAAATTTTTCATCACATAAATCACATTTATAAGGTCTTTCGCCAGTATGTCGTCTTTTATGCACAGTTAAACAACCTGCATTGCCAAACGTCGCCCCACAATAATCACATTTCAACGGTCTCTCTTTCGAAAAAGCTTTGCTTTTTCTTCATCTTCCCTTTGCACAGATTAATGCTTTATAAAATCATAGTGATGTTGTGATTTATTTTTTAAAGCATTGTCTATCGCACAGTTATACAGAAAGGAAACACTATGATAGGTAAATACTCACATTATAATACGGCGATCTTATATGCATATTATTTATAACACTATATGAATATTGAGATATTGTCTTGATGATCTGCTTAACTGGAGTTGAAGGGGGATAGTGGCATCCATTGAATAGTAATGTATTGATTCATGTAAAATGGTATCTTAAAATTTTTTTATTTCACTTTCAATTATTAGCTTCTTTTAAAACGTTGGCAAAACTTGCACTCTAATGCAGAAGGCCTATAGGTCCTAATGTGATCGGCTGATTTGGGGGGCGCAAGAAATGAATTGAAATATACAGTCAATATGTAAACACCCCAAAAAATGAAAAACAAAAGAGATAGTGAAACCTCACTGAACTGTCATTTAACTCCAGTTATCGCGATCTGTTGACCATAAAGACGGTCAAGACGTTTGAAAACAGTTAATCTGACAGCGGATGTAACAATTACATTCTAACCATACTTTTAACCATTCAGTTACTTACAACGTTGTATGTTATAATTATTGAATGAGTCAGCGACATCAGAAAAACATTCAACATAAATGTTGAATTTGAATTGCTTCGTATTACAATAAAGAAATAGCCAGAACTAAAAAAGTTTATGAAAGAGAATGTCAAATTTATGGTGGGTTTTCTTACCATAGCAAGGTCAAATGCAACGAAGCCAGCCATTAAAAAAATTCTTATGATATTAATAGAATCATTGAGGGCCATTAGATAAAAATCAACAACAAATTACTGAAGAGTATTATGAGAATACTTTTCAGTGGTTAGAGAGGTAGCAGCCCATTTCTTTTCATATAGAAATATAGAGATCAACATTTTAAAAGAGAGTAGATCTGTGTTGGTATGATTGCAAATACACAAAATAAAAGCACGTGATTGGTATAAAGTGTGACCTGACTATACTTGTACATACGCATTTACAAAAGTATGATATTTTGAGAGTGTGTACATATCATTGCAAAAATACATCAAATAAATCTAAGAAATAACGTCTTAATGCTCTTGGAGAGAGCGTGTGCAAAAATTGATAGTTATCTTGATGAAAAAATTGAAACTTTGTTTTCAAAATTCACAGTAGTAGTCTTTGGTGTGTCAATTATTTCTCCGTGTTTCTTTCGACCTATCTTTGTCTTACAGATTAAAACAATCGTCAAACCTAAACCCAAGATCTAAAAAATAAATGAACAAAGAAAGAAACGTGAGCAGTTTTTGCCTAATAATATACAACTTGTATCAAATTATTAGAAGTTTTGATAAGCCATCGTACATTTGACAATTTGTTTTGGGCCTGTATTTTTTTATGCAACAAAGAAATAACGAAGTAAGTGGAAATTGCATTTTTCTACTTTTAGGAAGTTTTACTTCCATTTCAAACAGAAAGAAAAAAATATTCCCTTAAATTGTATCATACACTATAGAGCTTTTTGAAGAATCGTATCATCTCCTAGTTTTGGAAAAGTTAAATTGCGACTTGCAGTTTTTGTCTGAAGAGTTTTCGATCATTTCGCAGGAGCGATGAAATTACAAAATATAACTGGAAGGTTAAAGATTATCTTTCTTGTTGTGTAAAAATACAATCGTAAAACACAATGTCATATCACGATTGAACATAAGATTAGATTGGATATTTTTTGATCCATAATATATTATTAAGATGTATCACTGTGCTCGGATTTGGTAAGTTGATATTTTCAAACAACATATCATATATCAGAGAAAATTTTTTCCGGTTACCTGAATCGAAAAAAAGGAACCACCAATAATGATAAGAATTTTTAGATTGTCTTTAAGGTCAGTTTTGATTTTATCATAACATCCCTGTGGTACAAAACAGGAAATATAATTAAAATGTAATATTGCATTGAACAATTGTTTCCAGTGAATAATTTGAATTTATTTTCTTAATTACGCATGCAAAGTGTATTTTTCCCGCAATCTGATTGGCTGCAACAGCCGGCGGCTTTTTAGGATATCTTTACGAAGTCCGAAATTGATATTTTTGTGCAAGGTTCACTAAGTCAGATTTAAGTTAAGCTGATTTATAAGCCATGTAAATTGATTGAAGGAGAAAGTAAAATGTATTAGATGAGAGTTACAATAGCGAGAGAATTTCAGCCATTATCCAGATGAAGTGAACTTTGTAGAAAACAATCCAATTTTAGTCTCAGCAAGGCACATCAGCCATTTTACAACGCGAATTTCTTCGTCATAAAGTAAAACAACAAAAACGCTATTTGATGTTGAAGCTGATCCGTGCTTAAAAAATATTTCCGCTCGGTTTCATGATATACACTTAGTGTTTGCTCCCGAGGGCAAAAGTGTCTGTTTTCCAAAATCCTGATTGTTTTCTGAATGTTTTTTTCTTAGTTAAATTTCGCCGCTTAATTTGAATTTTTTTCGGTTCCATAGCAGTTTTATTTGCATTAACTCTTCACAATATTGTATACCATTAACTCTTCTATAATATGTATTCATAAAATGTAATTTTGCTTTATTTTAGTTATAACTAGATCAAACTTACCGTACTACTATATGTTGCATTTATGCAAGGTACATTGACATTGCCGTAGTCTGTAGCACCGTTAATTCCACAGCATTTGTACTGAAGAAAATTGAGAAAGTTATGGAAATTGAGAGGACTATTTTTCATAAATTGTTGGCTCATAGAGTATTAACTTAGAGTGAGTTGCTCACTCGTCATTCTTCATTCAAATAACAGCGCATGCAAATTCATATTTTGCAGCTGTATACCATATGATAGGACAACTATATACTGCGTTAAATGTGTGAAATATTGTTGTAAAAATTGTAAAATTTATGTCTTTAGCAAATTAACAAAGTAATTCATCAAATAAATGTATGTTATTTCATTTTTAAAGTGCATTTTGTGCGTTCAGGATGCCGTTGTCTGAAAAGATGAGATGTAGGTCAAAATATAATGAGTTCAAACCTTTTCTTCAAATTTGTTCCAATGCTCTTGAAATTTTGTAGAACCTTTAATGCTTACTACAAATGTTTCGTTGAAACATTGTTTCAGGTCTTTCTTAACTTTCTTAAAGAATACAAATTCAACATAAATTAAGCAAAAGTTATTAATAATTATATTTCAAACGCTTTATTTACTTTCAAAAAGTCATGAATGTCAACGATTAAAAGTCTAAGAGAGTTTAATATCATAAAATAAGAACTAAATTGAAATCAACCATCAAGATAATTCGACATTCCAAGTTTGCTTTAAATTGTATAACTCAAATGTCAAGTGAAGACATGAAATTCAATAAAACTAAACATAAAAATTGCAAAAAACATTGATATTACAAATGGGCAGCAACAAATTTCTTTCAAGTGCATGAAAATTTAGTTAATTTTTGCATGAATATGAATTACGAACGAGTGAGCATGCATAATTCAACTGAGTTCAGGAAAATTGTAAGTTAAAAAATTAAAACAATATCACTCGGTCGTGAAATTACCTTAGATCTTTCTACGCCAAATAGATATGCAACAGCAAATTCACAAGCGGAAACGATCAACAATAGAACGAAGTACTAAAAAAATGAGTACTTAGTATTCAGTTATAACACTTTTCTTAAAAGTTCTTTAAGGCTACACAAAGTATAACATATAACTGTGACTTTTAGCAAACGCTAATTATTTTAATTTTTTTGCCGAGGTGTTGAGGATTAAATACAAAAGTGTGCGGCTTGTCTGCATTTCGTTGGCAAAACCTACTTTATAAAAACGTTTTTAACCATCTTATTAACTCTCAATCATCAACATTGGGTAATGAAAGTTATTCTATTAAAATTTTCCATTCAGAATTTCAACATACTATTCTCAGAAAACAGGGATTCTTTTTCAATGCACCATAGCAACCAAAGAAAGCAATGATAAAAACGACAGCTCCAAGAGCCAATAGGAGATTTGAACCAGTGTCCCATGAATATTTGTCACAAAGATCAAGGTAATCGGCATCCTCAAGTTTTAAGTACGCTCCAATCACAATTAGACCTGCGCCAGAGAGCTAAAAATAAATAAAAAGCTCTTGACTTCAGTGCGATGACAGACAAATTTATTGTTGCCCCAGTACTACCCAAGTTCGCTATCTGTAAACTAATGTCATGAAAGATACTAATTATCATAAACGAACGTACAAATAGTGACGAAAACATCCATAGTTATCTTTATCAGAAAATACATTATTATGCTACACTGAGATAAATTTATTGAATAAATCAAAATGATTCTATCACAATTTTTAAAAAATTGGCTTGTACATTCCTACTAATTTAAACTTATATTTCGACAATTCTATTCATTTTATTGCCTGAGATAAGATGACAGAATTTAATGGTCACGACCATAATGCAAATGTCGGACCTAGATTGTATAACCTTAACAATTGTTCTGTTTGTCCTCTGGTTTATTTTTCTGTAACTTTCAAGTGAGCGAATATTGAAAAGAGGGCTTAAGTTGAGAAAATACGGTAAACTTAAACGAAAATAGACTTTCAATATCATTAGAATTAAAAGAAGAAAAGACTCAAGCTATATTTATGCAACAACGACAATCTATGCAATTACATGGATTGCCGGCATTGTTCTAGTACCGCACATGCTTAAGTTGCAGTTATTTTAGTAAAACATGCAGCAAACAGACAGAAAAAAATACATATATAACACATAGATGGCTAATAGTAACACGCATTATATTCAAGCAATAAAAACTTACAAAGAAAATAAAATTGAAGAAAAAGACCAAATATCTGATGCATGTGTACCCACACATTTCACACTAAAACCTAAAATAAAACAAAACAGGTAAATGTCAATATTAACTAAATTAAAACTCAAATCACTTCCAGTTGAAAATTGTGAAAATTCAAATTCTCCATACGGCCGTTGAAATAGTTCATTTAATAGTTAATCAGCCTAAACATTTTGGTAGCCTTTTCTCTCATATGAGTTACTACATTTTATATAGCACCATCAGTTTTACAGTGAAAAGAATTGTATAGCTGCTTTTATCAATGAACTTTTCCAGAGTTCCTGCACTCCTTAGTTTTTACCTTTAACAACATGTGCAGCTTGCCAGCCCAATCTTTTTGTAATGCTAAGCAAGTATTTTAATGCTCTCTCTAAACGTCCGAGAAATGAATGTTGGAATGCTTTAAAAATTGTGTTTCATATGCCCTGATGTCTCTTTAAGGAGTGCGTTGTGCGTGTTGTAATGTAGAACTAAACGCTTGTAGGGCGAGTTTGGCGTGTTGTAATGTAGAACTAAACGCTTGTATGGCGAGTTTGGCGTGTTGTAATGTAGAACAAAACGCTTGTAGGGCGAGTTTGGCGTGCTGTAATGTAGAACTAAACGCTTGTAGGGCGAGTTTGGCGTGTTGTAATGTAGAATTAAACGCTTGTAGGGCGAGTTTGGCGTGTTGTAATGTAGGACTAAACGCTTGTAGGGTGAGTTTGGCGTGTTGTAATGTAGGACTAAACGTTGTAGGGTGAGTTTGGCGTGTTGTAATGTAGAACTAAACGTTGTAGGGCGAGTTTGGCGTGTTGTAATGTAGGACTTAACGTTGTAGGGTGAGTTTGGCGTGTTGTAATGTAGAACTAAACGCTTGTAGGGCGAGTTTGGCGTAGTGTAATGTAGAACTAAACGCTTGTAGGGCAAGTTTGGCGTGTTGTAATATAGGACTTAACGTTGTAGAGGTAAGTTTGGCGTGTTGTAATGTAGAACTAAACGCTTGTAGGGCGAGTTTGGCGTAGTGTAATGTGTAACTAAACACTTGCAGGGCGAGTTTGTTGTGTTGTAATGTAGAACTAAACGTTGTAGGGTGAGTTTGGCGTGTTGTAATGTAGAACTAAACGTTATAGGGTGAGTTTGGCGTGTTGTAATGTAGGACTAAACTCTTGTAGGGCGAGTTTGGCGTGTTATAATGTAGGACTAAACGCTTGTAGGGCGAGTTTGGCGTGTTGTAATGTAGGACTAAACTCTTGTAGGGCGAGTTTGGCGTGTTGTAATGTAGAACTAAACGTTGTAGGGTGAGTTTGGCGTGTTGTAATGTAGGACTAAACTCTTGTAGGGCGAGTTTGGCGTGTTGTAATGTAGGACTAAACGTTGTAGGGTGAGTTTGGTGTGTTGTAATGTAGGACTAAACTCTTGTAGGGCGAGTTTGACGTGTTGTAATGTAGGACTAAACTCTTGTAGGGTAAGTTTGGCGTGTTGTAATGTAGGACTAAACGTTTTAGAGTGAGTTTGGCGTGTTGTTATGTAGGACTGAACTCTTGTAGGGCGAGTTTGGCGTGTTATAATGTAGGACTAAACGCTTGTAGGGCGAGTTTGGCGTGTTGTAATGTAGGACTAAACTCTTGTAGGGCGAGTTTGGCGTGTTGTAATGTAGAACTAAACGTTGTAGGGTGAGTTTGGCGTGTTGTAATGTAGGACTAAACTCTTGTAGGGCGAGTTTGGCGTGTTGTAATGTAGGACTAAACGTTGTAGGGTGAGTTTGGTGTGTTGTAATGTAGGACTAAACTCTTGTAGGGCGAGTTTGACGTGTTGTAATGTAGGACTAAACTCTTGTAGGGTAAGTTTGGCGTGTTGTAATGTAGGACTAAACGTTTTAGAGTGAGTTTGGCGTGTTGTTATGTAGGACTAAACACTTGTAGGGCGAGATTGGCGTGTTGTAATGTAGGACTAAACTCTTGTAGGGCGAGTTTGGCGTGTTGTAATGTAGGACTAAACGTTGTAGGGTGAGTTTGGTGTGTTGTAATGTAGGACTAAACTCTTGTAGGGCGAGTTTGGCGTGTTGTAATGTAGGACTAAACGTTGTAGGGTGAGTTTGGTGTGTTGTAATGTAGGACTAAACTCTTGTAGGGCGAGTTTGACGTGTTGTAATGTAGGACTAAACTCTTGTAGGGTAAGTTTGGCGTGTTGTAATGTAGGACTAAACGTTTTAGAGTGAGTTTGGCGTGTTGTTATGTAGGACTAAACACTTGTAGGGCGAGATTGGCGTGTTGTAATGTAGGACTAAACTCTTGTAGGGCGAGTTTGGCGTGTTGTAATGTAGGACTAAACGTTGTAGGGTGAGTTTGGTGTGTTGTAATGTAGGACTAAACTCTTGTAGGGCGAGTTTGACGTGTTGTAATGTAGGACTAAACTCTTGTAGGGCGAGTTTGGCGTGTTGTAATGTAGGACTAAACTCTTGTAGGGCGAGTTTGGCGTGTTGTAATGTAGGACTAAACTCTTGTAGGGCGAGTTTGACGTGTTGTAATGTAGGACTAAACGCTTGTAGGACAAGTTTGGCGTGTTGTAATGTAGGACTAAACTCTTGTAGGGCGAGTTTGGCGTGTTGTAATGTAGGACTAAACGCTTGTAGGGTGAGTTTGGCGTGTTGTAATGTAGGACTAAACGCTTGTAGGGCGAGTTTGGCGTGTTGTAATGTAGGACTAAACTCTTGTAGGGCGAGTTTGGCGTGTTGTAATGTAGGACTAAACGCTTGTAGGGCGAGTTTGGCGTGTTGTAATGTAGAACTAAACGCTTGTAGGGCGAGTTTGACGTGTTGTAATGTAGGACTAAACTCTTGTAGGGCGAGTTTGGCGTGTTGTAATGTAGGACTAAACGCTTGTAGGGTGAGTTTGGCATGTTGTAATGTAGAACTAAACGCTTGTAGGGCGAGTTTGACGTGTTGTAATGTAGAACTAAACGCTTGTAGGGCGAGTTTGGCGTGTTGTAATGTAGGACTGAATGTTTATAAAATCATGTCACTTATCAGTAACGAGAAAGAACAAAGCTGTTAGTTGGCAAAATAAGCATGTACGTAGCATACACGACAAGTTTATTAAAAATGAAAGCTTTTACACATTTACAGTCACTAGGACGACACTAGGACGTCAAGTGGAGGGATGAATAGTCATATTTTAAGCTTGGCCCTGTTGGTGTCTTTTGAAATTAAAATCGTTAACAAACCAAATCATTCAAATATAAAGGAATATATGAATATTCACCCCTTCACTTAACGTTCTAGTTTGGCTACTGTTTGGGGTAATACGTTCAATAGTATCGTAAATAGCTGTCTGACTGCTCTTAGTTGATTTCAACAATATATTTTATAATTATGCCTTACGTTATCTTTCCCTGAAAAGAATCTTTAAATAGTTTTTTTATAGTGAAAGAAAAGACAGCGGACCGTACATATTACGCTATGACTAATTTCGTAATATATTTGAATACTCAAGCTGATGATGCACCACGCGATCTCACGCCGATAAAATATTGCCGACCCTCCCGACAGTATAGTTGCTATTGTTGGAGTCTGATGTCAAACTTCCTGGACTACTATGTAAATTCTGATTAATTATTCCCTGTGCTTCTCTTCCACTACTCTGTAACGTGGCGTGTATTAAACTGTTGTTGTATTGAATCCGTGTAATTATCCTCCATTATGTCAAGGGACGCCCCGTCGACAGCTAGGTTAATATTGTTGCACAAAACTATGAACATTTATGGTATCGAAGATTAGAAAATGACGCCTGAATGTCACATTCAAGATGCCTTCATAACACAGGAATTGGTTATGAACTTCTTAAATACAAAACCATTAAATATAAAACAGTCCAGTAGCTTTGAGCTACATTGAAATCTTAATTAAACACTGTTATTACGCATTTCGAGGTGAAATTAAGCGGTTTTATACGGATACGTTGAAACTGGGTACAATAAGAATGAGGTAAGCACCACTTATTTTGAATTAGCTACCTTTCGCTTTTGTAAATGTTAGACAAGCCCTTGATATGTTTGCTAAATAATATGTTTAGCTACGAAACCTTATACAATAACAAAGATAGTTTTATACGTAATGTTCGAGTAATTTGCATTTACCTTCACACGAAGAACAAAATGAAGAAATTCCTTGCCAGAAACTGCACAGTTGTGTTCAGTGTTGCTAGATGGGTAGACTACGGTGGCCCACAAGGGACACGACCTCTTTATACAAAATTCACGTCCAGTTTCTACGGAAAAATCGACCTTTTTCCTAGAAATCGACCTTCTTCCTAGAAATCGACTTCCTCCATGGAAATAGACCTTCTTTGTGGAAATCGACCTTCTTTGTAGAAATCGACTTCCTCCATGGAAATAGACATTCTCCGTAGAAATCGACCTTCTCCGTAGAAATCGACCTTTTTCGTAGATATCGACCTTCTCCGTAGAAATCGACATTCTCCGTAGAAATCGACCTTCTCCGTAGAAATCGACCTTCTCCGTAGAAATCAATCCGTAGAAATCAACCTTCTCCGTAGATATCGACCTTCACCGTAGAAATCAACCTTCTCCGTAGAAATCAACCTTCTCCGTAGAAATCGACCTTCTCCGTAGAAATCAACCTTCACCGTAGAAATCAACCTTCTCTGTAGATATCGACCTTCTCCGTAGAAATCGACCTTCTCCGTAGAAATCAACCTTCTCCGTAGAAATCGACCTTCTCCGTAGAAATCGACCTTCACCGTAGAAATCAACCTTCACCGTAGAAATCAACCTTCTCCGTAGATATCGACCTTCTCCGTAGAAATCGACCTTCTCCGTAGATATCGTCTTTCTCCGTAGAAATCAACCTTCTCCGTAGATATCGACCTTCTCCGTAGAAATCGACCTTCTCCGTAGATATCGACCTTCTCCGTAGAAGTCGACCTTCTCCGTAGAATCGACCTTCTCCGTAGATATCGAACCTCTCCGTAGAAATCGACCTTCTCCGTAGATATCGAACCTCTCCGTAGAAATAGACCTTCTCCGTAGACAACGCAGTCTCTTCCTTAAATTAACTCTATACGCTAATTGTGAAAATACCCTCAAATAGACTCTATAAGTCAATTCGAAACGTCCATTTGAACAACAGGCCTGGTGACTTGCCTGCCTGGTCAAAACCACGCAACCCATCATTTACCGCAATCTACTATCCCGCGAAGTTTTTGATATCCTCAATCGTTTATTGTAAAGTGTATGCTCTTCTGATTGCATTTTTTTTTAAATTCAATTTAAACTTTAATATTAAGTGGCGTGTTTCGCATTATTGCTGAAATGGAAGAAAACAATGGTAGTGGTAAGTAATTTTACACATTACACTTAAGTTATAAAATTACAAATACTGAAATACATAGGCCAATCCAGTGGCTAATTTATGTATTGAAGGCTATGTTAGCTTTTAGGAGACCTATACTTGCTTGCTTTTTGAAAAGATAAACAAGAGTGCTTATCCATTCTCTTCTTGGTCATAAATGCATCTTAATGAACAAACATCAACTCTAGTACACTATTTTACAAATAGAAATTACTATACAGAACTAACAATAGCATGCACATATGAGTGATATGATTTAGCTTAGTTAGCTACACCTGACTTAAAGGATCAGTCCACAAGTTAAGGTAACCTTGAACGAATATTGATTGTATAAAACAAATAAGCTTCAAGATTACAATGTTTTAAATACTAAGTAACTTAAGTTTGTCCAAAAGACTTATATTTTGAAAAAGAAAGTTCTTTCAAGTAAACTTGAATAGCTGCCAGTATCATATTGCTGTGATCACCTGCAAAATACATGTCAATCTGATGCTGTAGATATTTTTACTTTGACAAGTTAAACTATAACAATTTACATATGTAAGTGTGTACAAGACTTTCGATCTTGCAAGTTAAACTGTAAACTGTTTACCATCAAAAAGAAGGGTATTTTCATGTTCAAAGTAAAAATTATATAGTTGGACTAAAACCTTTGGCATGGTTACCTTGCTGTTCCTCAGTATGTTTTTCTCGATATCACATGCTCATTTATTTGTAAAGTTTGTTAATTAGTAATTACAATATTTTAATTTTTAAACATTATTTTTTATAGATTTTGATGTACTAGAATTAGATGTTACAGAATATGTTGATGTATCTTCTGAAAAATTTGTAAGTTCATCAAATATTTATTGTAAAGGAAATACGAGAAGTGTTAAGGCATCCTAGAGTCATAATGATTGTGCTCAACAGTGATATAGCAATCTCAATAGTTTTGTGAGCTGGTATTCATTTGGTGCTTGCTTTGCCATGCTAAGTTCTTAAAATAATTGTTTCTTCTGGATTAAAACATGCATTAATTTTTTATTTCATTGTTGGCCAAGGTTTCTTAGAGCTTAAATATATAGAAGCACAAAACAGCTCAGCAATATAAATAGCTTGTGCACCAACTTTCATTGATGCTTTCAACATGCCTAATTTTGCAGTGAGACTAAAGGGGAATACCCAGCTTGTAAGTTGTGATCCTGCTCCATAAATTTTAGAGCATCATTATTTCATTTCTATTGAGATCTATTGTTTTAACAGTAAATGAGAACATAGGAGTCAACATAACTGGACTTAAGACGTTAAAGGGGATTTGCAATTTGCAGTAGCATCAATATATATGTATGTATTATTGTATTTACTTTCAGGTTTTTGAGAATCAGCTACTGCTGAATCATACAAATTCTAAGTGTCAGCTGATTATAAAAATAAGCAGTTTTTTTATTCACCCTATGTATACCCATTGCTTTCATTCAAATATGCATGAATCTAATTTTTTAAGTAAAGAACTGATATTTTAGAATTATGTTAAAACTAAAGGAAATTGAAATGATGACCTGTTGTTGTAGTTAAGAAATTAAAAGCAATTACTTTGTTCAACAACTCAACAAGAAAACATATAAATTAGTTAGTACAATGCAGGGAATACTGTTTATTAGGTAAGACTCAAAGACACACATATATTTAATGTTCTTGTGCTATTCTGCCCCCTCATCGTTATCATCTAGCAAAAGTTTATTATATATCAAATGTCTATGAAGCGTACACTTTGTATTAAAACTGTGTTTTGAATTGTTGCTTTTATTGTGTTTAAATTGTGTTTTCAATTGTATGCGTGTTGCTGAAACTGGGGATTAAAAGTACACAGTTTTCTTGCACTTAAAGGTTACGTAAATAATGTGATTAGTTTCATGTTTGTAGATGTAGATTGTCCAGGTCAGTAGAGTTATGAGAAGGACTGTTTTGTTGATGTTGACTGACGTTTCGACAACCTTAGAGGTAGTCATCTTCAGTCCTTCTAAGGTTGACTCTGAAGATGACGACTGCTAAAGTTGTCGAAACGTAAGTCAACAACAACAAAAACATTCCTCAAGACTCTACTGACCTGGACGATCTACATCTGCCAACATGTAAAGATGCTCCCAGGTTCAAACCATTTACTTTATTACGATGATTAGTTTCCGTGGTAAAGGAATCACACAACTTGTTACTGCTTGTCTTCATGTCTGTAGTATTACTTTTTGTATTATTCGTGTATAAATGCAATTATTGGAGGTCCATCAGTCTGGAATTATGCTGCAACTCCTGGTTTGGCGACAGATTTTATTAGCAGCAGTGGTGTAATTGGAAAATCAGCCAGAAACTTGTTTCAAACCGGGATGAAGAAGTTATGGCAAGATAGAAATGAAGATAGTCAATTTACAGATCTTTCATCTACAAATACTATCCATGCCTCTACCTCCCCTTCCGTGTCGTTTTCTGTTTCCCCTTCTATTTCAGCATCTTCATCTGTAACTCTTTGTAGCTCTGTTACAACCTCTCTTCCAGTTAGTAGCGCTGTTTCAACATTCATTCCTATACGCAAAGATCTTCATTTTAAAACGATTTCCGCGACTTTCGAATCTTCCTTCCTCTCTGCTGCTACAAAGACCAATACAAATGTCGTCACTGATTCTTTTAGCACCAATCCCACTCTGGCCTCTTCCAGTGGATGTACCTCGATCGGCAATTCTTCATCTGTTTCAACCTCTTCTTCCTCTTCTTCAAGCTCCTTCGTCGCTTCAACATCTGTATCTACCATATCTAAAACGACTGCTCCATCTCTCCCTACCGCAACTTTTAGCACAGGTCAGGAATAGTGTACATAGGTGTTAGCATTAGAATGGTTGATTTTTTAGGTTCTTAGAAGTTTCTAGGTTATAGATGACTCTGAAGATGACTACCGCTAAGGTTGTCGAAACGTCAGTCAACAACAACAAAAACAGTCCTTCTCAGGACTATACCAACTTGGACGATCTACATTTACAAACATGTAACGATACTACCGGGTTTAAACCATTTACTTAATACTGGCAAGCGTTAAGTGCATGTTAAATGTAAACAACTAAATACATATTTCAAGCTAAAACCAAAAAAAGTTTAGAGAATCTAGTGTTTAATCCAATCCTCAGAAACAGTAATTATACATTTACCATGTTTGTTTAGTATTGAATATTGATATAACGAAGATTTTCATACCGTGCGAATCTCTTTTCAGCTGCAAAGCATTTCCAAATAAAGGAACAGGTTTAGGTCCGGGAATTGCAGAAAGTTTACCATATAATTTGCGCTGGTTCCGTACGACGAGGCAATATGATAAAAACAGAATTAAAAATACGAATGTGATCACTAAAACCACCATTTACACATCGATAATGTTCATGAAACATCTACTGCTGCACTGCAATGCTGTACTGTGACGATAATAAAATTGACCAAAGGTCAAAACAAGTGAAGTGTGAAATCATTGTTTACTTGTGGTAATCACATTTGTTACCCGTGACACCGTAAGTAATACGGAAATACTTGCTGATTCGTAAGATAGTAAAATTGTTATTTTATTAGCTTTTGATTAGGGCATCTTACTTCCAACTTCCTAAGTCATAACCGAATATACTCAATATTCACTTTTATGTTTATATTAAACCGGAGCCTCTAAATCAAAGTATTTAACATACTCGAACTTTAAATTTGTGAATGGTTTGTTTGCCTTGACCTTCATCAACCTCAAGAGCCACGAGTTAAAATAAAAAATATCATTTGATAAATTATATCTAAGGAAAAAACTATAGTATGCCAACTGTGTAAAACGAGCTGAAATGTATCAAATGAAAATATTTCATTTATAAAGATGCAATTGTTGACATATTTATGGCAATAGCAGGCCTGGACATCTTGCTAAGTTTAATTACTTGTTGATATTTAGTACAAAAAAGAAATACGAAACACATACTCAACGCCAGTCAACCAATAAAAACAAAAATTATCTTCATGCGTTGCTGATTAATGGAAATGGTGTTGAATTCCACCTTATTACTATCACAAGAACTTCATGCTAAAAAATCATACATGCTGATGCTGTTCTAGAAGTTGAAAGAGATATTCTTTAACAGTACCTATTTATAATTCCTTACAATCCCATAAAAGAGCTTGCAAGTAATTTGATAGTTAAGGGTCATAAAACTATTCAAGATAACTTGCACAGTCCAGTTTTGTAAATTTCATTATTTTTCTTTCACTTGCACTAAATTGGTTATATAATCAACTCTCGTATTTTTTTTTTGCAAACTTAACCAATCCATTTATTGTGAGAAAGAAATGTTTCCAAATGTTGGAAATTTTAAATAGCATGATATTTAACTTCTGATTCTTGTGAAACTATATTCATAATGATTTAGGAATTCTCCATGACAAAAAAGTCTCAGGGCCAGTTCATCACAAATACGTACTATGAGAAATAACTCCTGAAATGTTAACTAAAGTGATAATCACTACAGCTAAATTATGACACTACCTGGTGAAAAAGGTAAATTTGTAATCATAAAGTCATTGCAATCAACAAGACATGTTACAAATTTATGAAAATACAAATTTATATTTTTCAAATTAAAACTTCATATAGAGAAGGTTCTTACGAATTCATAACTTTCAAATAAAATTTTATGTGCAAAAGGCATCATACAAGTTCATCCTTCTTATCTTTCAAAACATGAATTTACATCCAGTAGACATCTTAGAAGTAAGCAAGCCTAATTCTGCTTGAGCATCTCAACATATGACATACCTACACACAATTGTAAACTTCAAACAAAGCTGAAGTCCTCTTTGCATGCAATTCTCATTCTTTGAACTATTTTCATTCAAATAATTCTTTAAAAGTTTTACCAATGTGATGTTTACCAAACACAACTTGTTGTCAATCCCATAATTTTATGTTGTTGCATAAGAACCATGGCTATTAAAATGCTTCTCCAAATCATCAGGATTGTTGTAACTGCTGCCACAAAGAGAGCAGATGTATCCAATATCTGATAAGTCTGACTTCTTAATCTCATTGTTATGTTTAAAACGTGTATCTGAATCATGAAGTCTAACAGCCGCATCAACCTTGTCGTGCTTTCCTCTACTTCTTTCTAAATCAACATTTTTCATTATATTTAACTTTCCTCTGCAATCGTCACAAAATGGTAGGACACATTTCTTCAAGCATGATACACAGTCATAAACAAGGTCCACTTCATGATTGGACTTTTTGTGCACTTGAAGACCATGATGAGAACTAAGCTGTTGAAAACTCGCATCACATTTCCTATTTTTGCCATTTGAGTGTTTTTCTCTGTGTTCTTTCATTCTACACAGTTGAGAAAAGCGTTTATCACATATATCGCAGACAAACTGTTTTATACCATTATGGGTGTTTCTGTGAGCTTGCAACGACGTGAGTTGATAAAACATTTTATCACATATGTCACACTTAAATTTCTTAATCCCGGTGTGAATGACTTTATGTCGAGTCAAAGAACCAGACTGAGTAAAAAACTTAAAGCATATGTCACATTGATATGGCTTTGCACCAGAATGAGTTCTCTTATGTGAAACAAGATGTTGATGTTGGGTAAATTTTTTATCACATAAATCACATTTATATGGTCTTTCGCCAGTATGTCGTCTTTTATGCACACTTAAACAACCTGCATTGCCAAACGTCGCCCCACAATAATCACATTTGAACGGTCTCTTCTTCGAATGTGTCCGTTTGTGTGCTGGTAAACTGGCCTGGTTTGCAAATCGTCGCTTACATATGTCACATTCGTACGGTCTTGCAAGCTTTGCTTTTTCTTCATCTTCCATTTACACAGATCAATGCTTTATGAAATTATAGTGATGTCGTGATCTATTTGTTTAAAGTGTTGTCTTTCGCACAGTAAGACAGAAAGGAAACACTATGATAGGTAAATGCTCACATAAGATGGCGATGTAATATGCATATTATTTATAACACTTTATAAATATTGACATATTGTCATGATGATCAGTTTAACTGGAGTTAAAGGGGAATAGTGACATTCATTGAATAGTGATGTATGATTCATGTAAAATGGTATCTTAGAAATGTTTTATTTCACTTTCAATTATTAGCTTCTTTAACCTTTAAAATTTTTTTAAAACGTAGGTAAACTTTCACGCCAAGGCAGAGGGCCTATAGCTCCCACAGTGATCTGTCGATTTGGGGGGCGCAAGAAATGAATTGAAATATACTGTCAATATATAAACACCCCCCCCAAAAAAAAAGAACCAGGAAATGGCATTTTAGCGCTTCATTTGAAAATTTTCTGGCGAGCATGCACCGAACCCCCCTAGTAATGACTCGCACCTGTAGTGTTCGGTTCGAGTCTTCTGCTCTAGTTTCTAAAGCGTGAAATTATTTTTGGTGAATACTTTTATGTCCTTTTCATACACTTTTTGTGGGAAACAGTCCTCACTCCACGTAGAAAAACTGTTTCCAGCACGTCACTGGACTTGTAGACTGAGTGTTTGAGTAGAACACTTCCGTGGCGAATGACGTCATGCAAATTTGAATTCAACCGAAATTCTGTTAAGCACATGGTAAATAAAGGCTTCTTGCGATTCTTGGGACGCAAAATAATTTCTGTTGTTCATACTTTTTATGTCTACATATTTGATTCTACAATTCGGATTTTGCGATTTGTTACATTAACTCATCTTCATATTGCTGTATCTTTATATGAAATTTTGAATGTGTTGCAGTGACGGTTCGTCGTTCAAGGTAAGTTGATATACTTTACAGTACAGCGACCTTATAGTTTCAATATGTTTTGAATCACCCTTATATCTCGTCAATTACCATTATGCTTTAATTTAACGCTTCTTGTCGTCTGACAGACAAAATTTATACCCATTCAAAAATGTCGAAACAAAACGTCAATTAAACATAATATAAATCCTAACACGGTTTTATTTTACATGCACGTGAAAAACATGTGACTTGGGCGAGATTTGAACTCGCACCTTCGGGATACTAGTCCCCGCTCTACGTGTTGAGCTACCAAGCCCATAGGGATTGGTGACGAGTCGGATCTTTAAAACTACGAATGGACGAGAAGTTCTCACCACGGTCGTCTTGGTCGTCCGCATAGAGCAAAGTTCTATCCAAGCGTTTCAGTCGTGTGAGTTATTTGAGGTCATCCCGCTCGTCTTTGAAATGTTCTCATACAGTCGCACGGGTCGTCTGTGAAATTTTAGCAAGACTGAAACGACTCGGACGACTATATGAGAACCAGGCTTAAGTATGTATATTCTAGACATGCAAAAATGTCTGAATAAGCCAGCAAGCTACGGTCAAAAACGATATGTTTTTCGTACTTAAGACTGAAACACACTAGGCAGTCGCTTTAGTCGCGCGTCTAAAACTACCGCTTTGCATGGCTACTAAACTAGTAGCGTAGTCGCGTCATCTGGTCGCTTTAAGTCACGTGGTTACTAAGCTAGTAGCGTAGTCGCGTCATCTAGTCACAGTCACAAGGAAATCAGTAATGATACACTTAGTTACTAGGAAATCAGTAATGATTCAGTAATCAGTCACTTAGTTACTTATTGTCTTGTGAATGGGCCATTTTTATGCGATTCAGCTTTGTTTGGCGTCGAATTGGGTAGAGTAGATGTACGTGGGAACGTCGAAATTTGACGCATCCCACTCAAAACATTCACAAATCAACAAGGTGTCTTAAAAAGCTGCTCATCTATCGTTGAAATCAAAGATTCTTTGAAAGATGAGCAGGTGTGCACGATGTAGACTGAGTGACAAACGACATTACACTCTACACATCGCAGAATTACGAGCTACTTTCAAACGGCGAACTTGGCAATGTTAGAGCTTACTTAATGTTATTTATTATACTAAATACTCTGAAATAGGAGTATTCTGGATCGAAGTTGTTGTTTTCATTGCCAATGGAATTTGCTCATGCCAATGTCATGCATTGTCAGCAAAACTGTTGCCAAAAAATATGCATTCCTCCGCCTGTCAATTTGTTTATCAAACAGTTTCTTTGATAGTGTGGGCAGTTTTGAAAAAGTTCGATTAACATTAAATGTTACTTTGCATTAGTACTTATAGTCGCAACAGGATATATATTACAAAGTTTGAATAAAACTGAGACGACTTCAACGTTGTTATATATATATAGTATATGACCAGTTATGCATATTTCTATCATTTGACGTCAGCATTCAATTGCTTGGGGATTACCCTAAACTCTGTGTTATTTGAACATTGTCAACAATTTGATAATGGCGACTTGTACGACATTTCGCGAATTCTAGAAATGAAGCGATGATTTTGAAAGGTTTTGAGTTTTGAAAAGTCTGTTTGAACAAAATATACTGTAAATGACTTATAGCACGAGCGGCAATTTTAATAATTGGAATGACGTCAGAAAGTAGCGTAGATATGCGCTTAAAGGATAAATCAAACAATAAACAGAAAGATCTGCATAGTTGGTAAAATTGTGTTATAAGTAATAATTCGTTAAATATTTGCAATATCAGAAAAAATAACGATCAATGATAACGTGTCGCCATGAAATATTTAAATTGCTACTTGCTTGTATGTTAGAATGACTGCGCCCAAGTTTCGCAATAATTCCCCATTGCGTCATTCTAACCATGACGTCGTTGATTGCTACAAAATTAATACATATAACCTTGTACGTGAGATCATTACGTCATATTTACTCAGTTTATCGTGCAACAGTCATCAATACACAGTGGACAGATAAAGTTCGTCCAAGGTATGAGACTTCTATCGACATTCTTTTAATGTATACAGAGTTATTATTATTATAATTATTTAATGATACATTATATATACAGAATAAAGTTCAAATAACCTATAGAGTTAAGACGTTGCTTTCTTATTTATTGACTACCTTTTAGATTTTTTTCAATAGTTTATTCAACTAAAAACATATCAATTAACATTTTTAATCCGTCGGTGTATCTTCGAGTATTAACTGTGTTTCATGAGTAAAATAAATTTAGTTCTTCTTAAATTGTATTTTGAGGAGGAATCACATTATAGCTAGTTGATTTAAAGGAAGCTTAAGTCATTAATAAGATAATAACTATGCAAAAATTTAACTCGGAAATGTTTTTTTGGCTAAAAAATGAAGGAGGAGTGAGCCAATGAGGGTGTTGCTGTAATTTGAAGCACAATTCGCTCAGAGCGAAGAAATTCGTGTAATAAAAATTAATGCCCAACATAAAGTTTTAATTAGAACCATAGGAATAGACCAAAAATTGTAAAATTGAATTTATTGTGACGTTTCGTCTTTACTCAAGACATCTTCAAACAATTAATAAATAGGATGTTAAGACAAGATATTATATTTACAACAGGTGTTAAATTACTACTAAAGGAGGTGGTGTCTAATGGATAATATGATAAGGAAGTTAGGAAGTAAAATAAAGTGAAATTAAAAAAGGTTAAGTTGAATGGACTTCCTTGCACGTTAAGTGAAGGCTTGTATTTATTGATTAGAAGGCTCTCGTGAATGGAGAGTTCATAAGAATCGTTAGAAGAGGAGATTATTTTAAAGTCGTTTAAATTTGGAGTGTGTCCAGTTGCGTTAATGTGAGCAAAGATGCTTGATAATGCAGGTTGGGAAACTTGGTTTCCTGTAAGGGGGGAAATTCCCAAGTGCTCCGAAAATCTGGTGTGTAGATGATGTGTGGTTTGACCTACATACGAGGCGTTGCAGCTTCGACACTTGAATAAATAGACTACAGCAGATCTCAGAGGTTTGGGAGTTTTTTCCTTAAAGAGGAAGAAGGAAGAGATACGTTGGGAAGGGCGGAAGACAAACTAAACTAAGAAAATCAAATTCGACTTATTTAATTGGGACTGTTTTAAGATCACCGTTTTTCGAGGAAAATACCCTCTCTTCGTAGACTATGAAATTATTGCAGAAAGTCACATTCAGTGCAATAACAGCCCATTTAAGGCTGTTAAATTACTTGAAAAGCAAGCAATGAGTTATTTATGTTGTGCAATATATGACATCTATTGTGACCCGATATTATACGCAAAATAAGGCCTAAATCGCAACGTTCTTCATCAGAAGAAAATTTAAAGCGTCGAACAGCTTGAAATTAGAATATTTAAACTCGCGATGAGTCAAAAATAAAAGTAAAAGTATTCTTTTGAATTATTATGAAATTGAAATTGCGCTGATCTTTAAAATAGACAAATGTCGTAACCCACAATCCCACAATAAAAAAAAGCATAACAGATATTATTATGCAGATAGAATGACAGATATTATTATTATGCAAGCATCGTTCACATAACACATCAGGAAATTCATTGGTAGTATCTTTGACGCTGTCAACTCTTGATTTTTGATTTAATAATTTACACGTTATATTAATCCTGTGATATTGAAGTAATTTAGTTGAGTAATAGCTAAAAATTTGCTATCGTCACAGGAAAACTGAGGGGAAATCGAATCCACGAATGTCGCTGATGTCAGCATATGTGCGCAATATATGATGTCAGCAATTATACAGTGTGTCGAAGTTTTTGAAGGTGAAGATTTAAAGCTTGATTAAAGTATCCAAATAATACAAAGTGTCAAGTGATATTAAAACATATGATAGCAACAGTAGGGTTTTTTATACGACAAGCTCAGTTCGACTGAATACAACCTTTCAATAAAATAGAGTACATGCATAAGTTTGGGTTGCATCCAAGTGATTTATTTTCAATCTTTCAACGCTCTTCTGGTTTGTAGATAATTACCTTCGCGGGAACGAAGAAAAGCTTAAACTTAACAGAACTAGGGGCAGTTATTTACTGAAAAGACCAGTTGAAGAGAGAAATTTTTTGCTAACAACTAGCTATCTAATGCTATGGAAAAAATGCAAGTGGAAAATTGTCAGCTTGATGCTTCATCGCAGGAAGTGAAGTGTTTAAAAGAAGAGTTGGAAAATTTGAGGGAAATTATTAAGTCAATGAGAGCAGAAAAAATAAAATTGGAAAAAGAAAATCATTATCTTCAAAAGCAGTTGGAGATATTGTCCTTAGACCATTCCACACATTTGTTTGAAAATGATCAAAATCGAAATGAAAGAAAACGTTTGAACAGTTTCCAGCAAATCTTCGAAGTCAACGATCAATCACAGCCTACTTTAACACATCCACCCGTAGTTTCACATTTCCATGGAAATGATAATGTGTTAGCTATGGCGCCACCTCAAGATGAAAGAATATCGACGCATCTTGAACAGTTTGAAAATCCTCAGTCAAGTGCGACAACATCTGATTCTTGTTCATATTCTGTTCAAGTGGATGACAGAACTCCTTTACTTACGACTGCACAAGATACATCAAATACGAAGTCTGCTGTTGGTATCGTCTATAAAATGTATGAACTTTTAATTCTTGCGTTATCTCATTCATTATTACAACGAGACATAAAAAAAATCAAGGAATGGGCAAGTACAAACTTTTCTATACAGAACAACCTTGGTGCGAAGGAGATATTTTTGAAATTAGAAGAAAAACGGATAATCAACTTTGCTGACCTAAGTCAACTTTGTAATTTTTTGAGAACAATTCTTCGCTTCGATTTGGTTAATGTCATCGAGAATTATGAAACTGGGAATTACACGCATCTCAAGAAATTGATTACAGAATACAAAGCTAGACAGAAGAAATCATTAGACTCGGCAAGATGGTCAGGTGAAAGAGGAACGAGGCCACGATTGGCAATGACTAACGGCAATAGAACCTATCAAGATTTTCAAAATATGGCTGTACACACTCCTTCAGAGCAAACTTCATTGCAGAGGAGCTTTCCACAAGTTTTAGGAACAAGTGCAAACAACTTTAAACGAAACGCTTTCAATCCTATTTTACAACCTTCAATTTTTGACCATTCTCGTGGTAATGAAAGAGGAAACAACTCAACTGATATCAACGTAAGAAATAGAAACGAATCTTCCGAATCAAGCGAACCGGTGCATAACGTAAATACCTCCAGTCGCTGTGTAATTTCGTCTTCTGGTTTAATAAATACAGAAGGTCAGATGCAAAATGCTTTACAAGTAAGAAGTGCAGCAGAAAGCAACGTTGCGTCTTCTTCGAACCAACGAAGTGCTCACTCTACGTTAACTCAACAAGCGAGGAACGTAAGATGGTTGTGTACTCATTATAAAAGAAGATGTTACGTGAAATTTCAGTGCTGCGATAAATATTGGCCATGTCATCGTTGTCATAACAACCAAAGTAATTGTGGCCAAAAGAAGCTCAAGTCACGTGATGTGAAGATGGTCAAATGTGCAGAATGTGGAAAAGAACAGCAGGTAATACTTTGTACTATACTTTATCGTTTATTATAGAACTTTTCGTTATCTTTTATTTTCTGCTTTTAGTTTGGTGAAAGTTGTGTTTCGTGCAATATTCCGTTTGCTGACTATTACTGCGGAATATGTAAACATTTGACAGGATTGGACGACAAGCCTTATCATTGTGACAAATGTGGAATTTGCAGGTAATAAAGAATTACATAATAGTTGCTATGTTTGGATGATCTGGTTCAAACACGCAGGAATGTAGTGAGAGTTAATAAATGCAACTTGTTTTTGCACCGCTTTCTTAAGTTAACCAAGATTCCCAAGTGTTTGGATCAGTGCATCGTTTCTTTAATATGAGCTTCCAAGAAAATCATATTATCTAATATTATCAAGAAAATAATACATAATAATAATGATCTAAGCTAGAAACTCCTGTTTTTTTTTTGCTTTGAAATTTCATAGCTAATGCCGAAACAATTTTTTCAAAAATATTTTTAGAGTTCACGGTGATCGATCGTACCATTGTGATGTTTGTGGAATTTGTCTTGATGTTCAACTTCGTGGCAATCATGAATGTCGCCCAAATTCCGCTCATGATGCTTGCTGTATTTGTTTGGAGGTAAAACAACTGATAGTGATACACCAACATTTATATGAATAACTTTGCTTTTAATGTTGTTGGTATTGTTAAGTAGCAATATTCCTTCTTAATTTCTTAACTTTGGCCCGTCATAATCATTTTAGCAGTCGGGAAAAAAATCACGATTGGATTGATGAATTATGTATTAGGATTCTATTTTGGTTCTCATATGATACTTGATGTTTCTTAGATATATAAATCCTTTAGAAAAAAATTGTTTTAACAAAATCCAATCAATAACATCCTACATAAATTTGCATAATGAATATCATCTCACAGTTTCTTCAACTGTTTTAGGATGCATTTACTGGATGTCAGATATTGCCATGTTCTCATAAAGTTCATAAAGAATGCGCAGCTCAGATGCTCCAAAGAGGAATGTAGGTTTTTCTTGAATTTTATCTTCACGTTTAATTCTATCGTTAAATATCGACATTGCATATAAACAAGATGCCGCAGCAATAACCATTCAGTTTCTATGTGAACGAGATCAGTGTATTCTAAAGCTAGTAAGAGGGTTATTATTGGGATGCTGGGGTAGCTTTCCTCCCCTACCCCCCTCCCTCGTTTCTTCCACTGTCATTAGCAATTCTCGTACCACTTTTTCAACGTATAATTTTCTCTTTTTAGTACTCGCTGTCCGATTTGTCGTAAAAGTTTTGCGCACAAGCTAAAGCGCAAGAATGACAATAAAAGATGAGCAAGACATTAGCTAATTTTGAAAATGAATGCATAACTGAAAGCACTAATCCCAAACGATGGAAACTTGAGGAAACTTAACACTTGAATTTTTCTCCCGAGGAAGCACATAATGATAATCTTGCTGGAAGCATACGGCAATGAGAAAATATACACGAGAAACAGTAAAATCTTTTGAAAACACACGATACAAAAGTTTTGGGTAGAAACGAAATTCATGGATAATTTTACAAAAGATGTAAGTGCATTAAATAGAATAATTTAAAAAATTGATATATTTATATTATATAAAATTATTAATAGCAATTTAGCATGAAACTTACGACTGCCGTTGGTGACAAAAATACAATTAAAACAATTTATTGGTTATGGATTAACATATATTGATGAATTTGATCACAAAATATCTGACATATAAAGATACTTAACATGGCAACTTAGAGATATTTTTGCTTAATTGTCATATATTTATATCTGATAAACTTTTTAGATTATCTTATGTAAATTAGTTTTAAACTTTTTAATTTAACCCTGAAAAGCACATTGGAGATTTGGTAAAGTACTGATAATAATAATGAAAACTCTATTGAATATTTTTATATTCTTGCAATTGCAAATCACGGTTAATTTTCATTTAGGGATTACAATTTAAGACGAAAAGAGCTTTTCCAAAACATTTCAGTCCCCAAGTATCTACACCAACATATTCCCACGCAAAGTGATTTTCAAATTTTGGTACTGCTATGTGGTCAAACCACCCGCATGGGAACACAATTTGAGCATATCTGAGAACGTCTGGGGGGGGGGTCTATCCAATTGACAGGCTTTTTATTTTCGCATCAGATTTGTGATTGTGCATGACGGCTCACGTCAATTATAAAGTTTCGTCATCGGAAGCCACCGCAATTATAAATAGGTTAAACTTCTGATGCCATACCAATACTAAACGTCACTTCAGATTTCGTTTTCTATGCGGGATTTTTTAAGCTTTGGAAACAGTAACTAAGCTTATTAAACAAACATGGCGAACGCATATAACGATGTTTTCAAATCATTTTGAGTCAAGCATGATTCATATGACGCAAAAAAAAGTCTTGTACATCCCGAACGGAAAAACGTTTTCCTTGACAACAAACATATCAACTTTCAAAACCAAGCTGAATTTGATAGGGGAGCTTCCAATGTATTATGTTATTTCATTTCCGGCTTTGCAAGCAATACACATGTGACCCATGTCATTTGGTATTAGTATTGGCATCAGGACCTGTTATATAAAAGCGTAGTTAAGTTTAACTATACGTTTTAACTGCAGTTAGCTCTAACTATTTTTTGTACAACCGACTTAACTGGGTGGTTAAATTTAACTACTTTTTAACTGCAAAAAGTGAAGGTAAAACTTATAGCTAAGAGATTTATACAACCGGCCCCAGAAGTCTAACTTTAACTCTCCTATATGATTCTGAGAAAGTTCAGTTAATTCATTCAACTATTCAATGCAATGCTTTAATTGCACAACAAGATGCTTGAAGGACGATTATGCAATCTGAAGATGCCTAAATCACTCAGCACATTTCAATTCCAGTAGAGTATAGTTATATTTAATAATTATATGGAACAAACATGATGAATATTTTTGAATGAAACTGGCGAGTACACAAGATAGACGTACAATGTTGTCTTTATATGTTTCTTCGTGTAACAAAAATCAACGACTTAAATACAATCAAAATTACTTAGTTAGAAACTCCTGTTAAACATTGTATTTTTGTCGTTTGTCGTGGTACAGTAATAAGGAAAATTTATAACTAGTACTATGCATGTCACCTAGAGAACAATAATGAGAACAACTGACCAATATATGGCGAGGTACTTTATGTAAATACCTGTAGAGTTTCATGTATTTTTGAAATCTTTTTTTCACATGTCTCAGAGTTAAGTCTGAACATGATTGCCAAAACGTCAGCCATCTTTACACAAACACCAACAGCCCTTTGGAGGACTCTACTAACCTGAACGATATATCACATACAGCGATACTCGTTCCGGGTTCGAAAGATTCATTTTGTTGGCATGTAGTGATTAACTGGTATCGGTGTATGTAATACATGTTAAAAGAATTTTGATGCATATAAATCTGAATTTAGCTCTAAACCAAACATTCGAATCACTCTTTTTTCAAGCACCCTTATGTTTATATTTGCTAATTTAAGACCGTCCATAAATTTTCACCACTGTTTCATGTGCATGTGTAACTTTTCTTATATCTTTATTTTGTTCATTGACCTTTGTCGTGTAACTGAAGTGCAATTGTCAAAATGTTTGCAATAAATGCTGCTCTGAGTACTCTCAATAATATCGCATCTTAAGAAACATTTTGAATAGAAGTCACAAATTACTTCAAAATTTTACTCATTGAGATATGAGCGTTTTATTGCTTCTTTAACAAATTTCACAAATGTATGCTACACCAACGTTGACTTGAAAGGCTTGAACGAATCAATATTTGATAAAGACAAAAGCTTGCATGCAACACGTATATTTGAAATTCATTATCGTCATTCATTAATTATTCTGATAATGAACTTGTATTGAATAAAGTATATCAAGGCTTTAAAACAAAATCTTACAGTTCTCGCTGTAAATATATAGTGCTTTTGATTGATGTGAAAGGTTTTTCTATCAACGATTGAACGTGTGAAATGTTTGTCGAAAAATATTTCTTTTTGATGGAAAATACTCAGATGCCGGAGATACAATATTGAACACGAATTACCAAACATAAAATTTTGCACTTGTATTTCATGCAATGATTTATATCTGTAAATCGGTGACTTGTATTTAGTGAATTAGCAAGGTTTATTTAAAATATTCCTCATATTTGTTCATATAATTGTCAAAATTAATCCGTTGGAATCGTGAAGTATATGTTGAGTGATTTAAGCATAAACATCTTCAGAAATCATACGCAAAATTGCGCCCACAAGCTTCTTGAAGTTAAAGCATCGCATTGTCTGAATAATTGAACATTTAACTAACCTTTCTCACATGTGACAACCACAGAGCTAATATGGCTGCTAATTTGCTATGTGAGTTATTTCTACGTTCATTAATGAAAAACTGAAAAGTTTGAAGAAATTTCTTAAACTAGCAACATAAACATTGCTGATTTCTTTCTAAGATCTTTCTTCAATGTCCGCCATTGGGAAATTACATAGAAAATATTTTTGCTTCAGTGGAAGACGCGTGGGATTTGTAAATATTATCAAAGCAACAGAAAAATTATTTTTGAAAGAGCAAAAGATCATGTTTTTTATCCCACACTCTGAATGAAAGCTGCTTTAATGAGTGTGAACATTTTTGTTGTACAATGTTCATGTTGCATGGTTTCCGTAAAGATGTAAATATTCTGAAAATCTTACTTGAAACTTTTTCTTTTCACTATCTTAAGGGCAGGAATTTAACATTACTTAAGACGTTTCATCAATTTCAAAGAACGATATTGTTTTGTTTTATGTCAAGAAAACTGTATAAAAGTGTGATTTTTGCATTCGCAATTTATATCAACACTGCGTTGAAAAGTGTCGGTATATAGCAACAGTGGTACGCTATTCTTTTAAGTTGGAAGGATAAAAAATGAATTTTAAAATTGTCGCAGTATTTTGCATTCTTTTTGCTTTGAGCTTGGTCAAAGCAGGTGAGTATATAGGTGTTTCCTAAAATTTTTTGTAAATATTCCAAAAAACGTACCAATTGTTTGTGTTGTCGTGAAACATAATAGATTTATGCTATAGCCAGTCAAGCGTTTGCTCCACAAATTACAAAGCTTTCGATTTGTTAACCTTTGCAGAATTTTTGTCACTCGTAGCAATGAATAAGTTAAAGACATGCTATTTCATTTCAAACATATTTTCCAGATGACTTTAACGATAAAATGGAAGACAAATACGACAGCAAAGTTGAAAATTCAGCTCAAAGTGATGTCACAGATACAAAGAAAATTGAAAGTGAAATAACAGATCTTGCTCAACAGGATTCAGAAAAATTGAAGAAGAGCAAAGGATGTAAGATGATTATAAATTTCATGCACTGGCGCGCCTTACACAATGAAGCTAATATATATCCAATTGATTTTTATTTTATTTCTTTGTTCACAGTTTGCCATTGGGGAGTCGGTGTTTGGTACAAGCCAGGATTTCAGATTCGTTGTAGGTGTATGAAATGGTATGTATCTATGTATCTCTTGGTTTCACTGTAAAATTCATGGTCTATCTTTTAATCGATTCTTTAAAATTTTTATTTTATATTTTCCTTACTTTCATTCCACAGTACTTGTCGAGGAAGAGGAATCTGGGACTGCAAATATAACTTTGCTTACTGTCCTTATTATTGTAAGTATATTTTAACTTTTAAGTAGTTTTGTTTTTGAACTATTTAAAGGCAATGTGCGATACGTAGTTGACAAATCGAAAGCTTCAATCTATCAGCTTGTGGATAAATCTCCCTTGAGACGAGTAAAAAGAAAAAATTAACTCCCTTTTTGAAAAAAAATTGTTTCCATAAATTTGATTTATAAAGGTTTTGTATTTTGCACAGTTTCTCAAAAATAAGTTGTTGATTTGATCATACTCCACTCTCACCTAATTTGAATTTTTCAATTGCCCTCTCCAATCGATCACCAGATTGCGGTAACCAAATCTTCAATCCAGAGAAACAACTCTGCTGTTGTGGTAAAGTTTACGCGAGGAAAAGTTACTATCGTTGCTGTGGATACTTCTATTACGACTCGCGTATTTCTAAATGTTGTAAACACGACACAGTTAAACCACGAAAAGTTGCTTGCCCACGTTTCAAACTTTAAAAGAAACTGTATACTATAATTGTTCATGAGTAAAGGTTTACTGGAAGTATTCTAATGAAATGTAGAAGATTTAAATAAAGTGTTCAAACATATTGCGTTTTCATATTTCTGTTTCTATGTTTAACCATTCATGCATGCCTTCAATGTATTTCATTCTTAATTGGTGAATAAATTAATTTAAAAAAGTGAAGTAATTATAAATATTTAACTGTGGGAAAGTACAGAAAGTGGTAGAATAGAAAGTTTGAATAAAAAACAGCGAATTTTTTACAGACTCACAGGAAAAATTGCCATATTGACCGGTACAGATTCACAATTATTTAACACGAAATTTGATTGTCCATATCGTCCTAAATATAAAATAAAGAATATTGAAAATATCGGGTTACAATGGTTTTGCCCTCAGTCACTAAAACAGTCTAGGGTAAGTCAAAATATATTACTGCAGCAAATTTTAGAATGTAAATACACTTCTAAGCCTTAGAATATCCATTGGTAAAATTATATTCTTTAGAAATTCAAAACCAATAATGTTTTCATTGAATTTAAAATTAAGGAACGATAATTTATATTGTTAAACGCTGGCCGCTAATGAATATAAGTCCACAAGCCAAATGTAAAGCATTAAAATGTTAACTGTGTGTCTGTCTTAGTCTGACTCGTATGTTTTAAAAGCATGCAGTGAGCCTTTTTTTTGTACTATGAACTCCTTGTAATGTAGCTAATGAAATGATAAAAATTTCATACAAAATAATGCACGCTCACTTCTAAACACTAAACACGTCATTCAATGAAATTGTTTGAAGCAGTTCACTTTGTATCTTGGGCGACAAATACGTCAAGGAAGGGTGCAAGACTGCAAGACATTATAAAAAAGTATTAGGATTCCTTAGGAAACTAATACGTAATGTAATGAAAACGATAAATATTTCATACAAAATAATGCACACTCACTTGTAAACACTAAAAAGGCACACAATAAAATTGTTTGACGCAGTTCATTTTGTACCTTGGGCTGCAAATGCGTCAGGGAAGGATGCAAGACTACAAGTCATTGTAAAAAAAGTATTAGTAAACTATAATTATCTAAACCCTTGTCTTTGTGCAACCTTCGTCTCTATTTTTTGCTGTGTCAAACATTAAGTATCGCCATCCGCTTCGCCCATTAAAAGTACAATAATTAAAATTCATAAAATCGACTCACTATTTAGTCTTAATAAGAAAGCAATTGTGGTAATACATACACCTTGATATGATCTGCAATTTATAATTTTGAATTATATTGAAAGGATATATTTACACACGCTTGTTTGGACTGCAAAAGTATACTCTTGTAAAGTAACTATGGGTAAACAGTGTCATAAATAGTTAATTTGTTTCCTGCTCTCTTGTCGAATTACGTCAATGCAAGTCTTCTTTAGAATGTATTTACAGCACCGAACCGAAGCAGCAAGCAACAGTTAAGTCTTTGTTTGTACCTGCATACGCGTATTGCCAATTTTGCCAAATATCTGCTCCAATAACTGCTATCTCTATTCTCAAACATGGCCCAACGAAACGTCGTAATTACAGGCTGTTCATCAGGAATTGGTTTAGATACAGCCGTATTTCTTGCCAAGAATGAGAGTAAAAAGTATAAAGTATACGCTTGTATGCGTAATCTTGCAAAGAAAGGACCTTTGGTTGAAAAAGCTGGTGATAGTCTTGACAAGACATTATTTATCTTGGAGATGGACGTGAAAAGTGAAACTTCAGTGAACAAAGCCATTAAGCATGTCTTAGATGTTGATGGAAGAGTCGATGTTCTTAGTAAGTTATTTATATTTGTTACATGTCAAATGATGAAACCCTATTAATCATACACATACATGCATTCAGAATGAGAGTTATATCATTGGCAGTTGTCCATGTCGATCAATGAGTTACAGGATAATATATTATGCATATTGTTATTAAGTTGAGCAATAATTTACCACATTGCTTGCATGCTGAGCTGGAAGAACCTCCACAGATATGTTCGAACGGGTGTTGTCTAAAAATTTAAAAAATGTGTTGCGTGGGTGGGTGAAAGGCACAATTTCATTTAAAAGACTTTCTTGCAGTATTTATGTTTGCCTTTTAGATGCATTTATTTGTATATCTTTGTGCGATTAATATTATGACTAAATACTGCAAATTAGCCTGAATGTTTTAATGTCATTTCCATCACTTTTTTTTATCTAGTCAACAATGCTGGTATTGGCTTAATGGGTGTCTTGGAGCATCAAAGTATGGAAACTATAAGAAATATATATGAAACAAATTACACTGGAGTGGTGCATGGCATCAGGGCAGTGTTACCCTCAATGAAGAAAAGGAAAAGCGGTCGTATAATCACTGTTAGCTCCGTTTATGGTTTAATGGGTGCGCCATTGAATGCTGTTTACTGCTCCACCAAGTTTGCTGTCTGGGGTCTTAGTGAAGCTTTAGCTCCTGAATTAAAAAAATATAACATAAAGTAAGGTTTTCTGTTTTCATCCTTTTTATCAATCTCATGTTTTCTTTATCCAAAGCATATCCTCTTGTCTTTTGTTGTTTTTCCAGTAGTAAACAATAAATTCCATTCTAAAGATATCTATAAGTGTACACTTTATAAGCCAGCTAGCCCTTGAATTCAGTATAATGTCACTGTACTTTTTGTTACACAACATTCACAATGTATCATTCAATATTGCAATTATATTTACACTGTGTAGCATATCATTGGTTGAGCCAGGTGCAGTAGTCACAGAATTTTTAAATGCTGTTGATTCAAAAGGATTTGGTGGTGCGCAGGAAGGAGACGAGATTACAAAGTCTATGCTTGATAAGCTTGGTCAGTTGATTAAAACCGTTGGGTCTGTGTCTCAAAGTGGGGAGGATATTTCAAAATATATCCTGCAAGCTATGGAGGATGAGTCTCCGCATTTTCATTATATCACTAATGAGTCTTATCTAGAGATGGCAAAGAAGAAATTTATCGATGTAACTGGTGACAAAATCGCTAATTCAAGCTTCGATGATTTCTTTTCTGGCAAATAGAAACAATCATACCTTTTAATTTGTGTATCTTATGTAATTATATGTTCACTTTTCTGAACGAAAATCTCAATTATACCCCTAATATTAGTAAAAGTATGTTTCTTGTGTTTGCTGAATTTTTGAAAAGTAATAAGCCAAACTTTGATCACACTACGTAATTAAGCAATCTAAACGTGGGTAAATAAAGTTATCTATCTATCTATCAATGACAAAAACAACAACAAACACATTTTCAACTAAATCTTTTTGACGATCTTAAAAGTATTTTTATGTAATGCATTATTTAAAAAATAGGAAAATCTAAGCCTCCCTACTGAAGCCCAAACGTCAGTTTATATAAAACTTTATTGCTGTCACTCGACCCATTCCCCAACGCGACATATATACTTGTGAAATCTCGATTTGTGTCCGGAGGGAATTTTTACGGAACGAGGGAGCGCACAATCACAAAAAGGTAGAACCTTTCGGAACTTCTGTAAGTTTCTGTTTCATTTTAAATGTCTGGAATCCGAATAGATATGCAGCCTAAACAACAAAATACAGTAGATACTAAAATCGAGTGATCACCGACATCAATTATACATATCTCGTTTGGCGAAAAACACATGAAATGGATTCACCGTGCAGTATTTAGCCAGCTCGGTCCACATTTTTTATCTTGCACTCTATGTTCACACGGTGAGAAAAATGTTGTGTAAGCATGTATTTATTTTCGTTCGAGCTTTTATTACTACTTGAAATATCGGTGTGGATTTAACAAAACGTCAAAAATAATTCAAACGCATGGTGCGAGTTCAATCATGAAATATGAATTATGAATACCATGAAACGTTTGCTCTTTGCGATAACTTTTCATCATTTTATCGCAGTCCCACAGAATCATCGGAAATAAGGTTCTATCAAAATGTTATAAAGGAAATAATGGAAACAAAACTACAGTTCAGTGCTGCCACTCCGTATATGCACATTTCCCCTACCAAAACTTTATTTTCCCCTACCTCCACCTACGACCATTTTCCTTGTTTTCCCCTACTTTCCCCCTACACAACAACATATTCCCCTATTATATACATATGTCGGGTCAGACAACTGAATTTTTTAGTCTGTTTGTAAAAAAAGTGAATGCAAAAAAAAATTGAAAAACATCTGGACTACAAGGTTAGTAAATTGGCGTAAGGCGTTGTGACGTAATGACACGCAACTGACGGAAATGACACATTGTGTTATGCTAAATTGCTAATCTTCTATTGCCATATATGGTCACATATTGTTCCAACAGAAAGTTTCTGTTGCGATCACTTCTTAAATAGCGAGAACACTGGTAGAAAAGAGTATCTTGGGCAAAAATGAGAATAGACATTGTCATTTATAAACGATTTTCTTTTCTCTCTGCAATCCACCTACGTTTTACAGTTTTCCCTGTAGGTTTCCCCTACCACCTACAAACCACTAAATCCCCCTACTGTAGGGGATTTCCCCTACGAGTGGCAGCACTGCTACAGTTTTCCCCGTACGTTTCCCCAACCACCTACAAACCACTAAATCCCCCTACTGTAGGGGATTTCCCCTACGAGTGGCAGCACTTGTTCATTTGATCATACTCCATTCTCACCTAATTTGAATTTTTCAATTGCTCTCTCCCATCGATCACCAGATTGCGGTAACCAAATCCTCAATCCAGAGAAACAGCTCTGCTGTTGTGGAAAAGTTTACACGAGGAAAAGTTACTATCGTTGCTGTGGATACTTATATTACGACTCACGTATTTCTAAATGTTGTAAACACGACACAGTTAAACCACGAAAAGTTGCTTGCCCACGTTTCAAACTTTAAAAGAAACTGTTTACTATAATTGTTCATGTGTAAAGGTTTACTGGAAGTATTCTAATGAAATGTGGAAGATTTAAATAAAGTGTTCAAACATATTGCGTTTTCATATTTCTGTTTCTATGTTTAACCATTCATGCATGCCTTCAATGTATTTCATTCTTAATTGGTGAATAAATTAATTTAAAAAAGTGAAGTACTTGTAAATATTTTAACTGTGGGAAAGTACAGAAAGTGGTAGAATAGAAAGTTTGAATAAAAAACAGCGAATTTTTTACAGACTCACAGGAAAAATTGCCATATTGACCGGTACAGATTCACAATTATTTAACACGAAATTTGATTGTCCATATCGTCCTAAATATAAAATAAAGAATATTGAAAATATCGGGTTACAATGGTTTTGCCCTCAGTCACTAAAACAGTCTAGGGTAAGTCAAAATATATTACTGCAGCAAATTTTAGAATGTAAATACACTTCTAAGCCTTAGAATATCCATTGGTAAAATTATATTCTTTAGAAATTCAAAACCAATAATGTTTTCATTGAATTTAAAATTAAGGAACGATAATTTATATTGTTAAACGCTGGCCGCTAATGAATATAAGTCCACAAGCCAAATGTAAAGCATTAAAATGTTAACTGTGTGTCTGTCTTAGTCTGACTCGTATGTTTTAAAAGCATGCAAAGTGAGCCCGTGAGCAACGAGCAGGAGCCTTTGTTTGTACTATGAACTCCTTGTAATGTAATGAAATGATAAAAATTTCATACAAAATAATGCACGCTCACTTCTAAACACTAAACACGTCATTCAATGAAATTGTTTGACGCAGTTCACTTTGTATCTTTGGCGACAAATACGTCAAGGAAGGGTGCAAGACTGCAAGTCATTATAAAAAAGTATTAGGATTCCTCAGGAAACTAATACGTAATGTAATGAAAACGATGAATATTTCATACAAAATTATGCACACTCACTTGTAAACACTAAAAAGGCACTCAATAAAATTGTTTGACGCAGTTCATTTTGTACCTTGGGCTACAAATCCGTCAGGGAAGGATGCAAAACTGCAAGTCATTGCAAAAAAAAGTATTAGTAAACTATAATTATCTAAACCCTTGTCTTTGTGCAACCTTCGTCTCTATTTTTTGCTGTGTCAGACATTAAGTATCGCCATCCGCTTCGCCCATTAAAAGTACAATAATTAAAATTCATAAAATCGACTCACTATTTAGTCTTAATAAGAAAGCAATTGTCGTAATACATGCACCTTGATATGATCTGCAATTTTTAATTTTGAATTTTAACGAAAGGATATATTTACACACGCTTGTTTCGACTGCAAAAGTATACTCTTGTAAAGTAATTATGGGTAAACAGTGTCATTAATAGTTAATTTGTTTCCTGCTCTCTTGTCGAATTACGTCAATGCAAGTCTTCTTTAGAATGTATTTAAAGCACCGAACCGAAGCAGCAACAGCAAGTCTCTGTTTGTACCTGGAAAGCGTATTGCCAATTTTGCCAAATATCTGCTCCTATAACTGCTACCTCAATTCTCAAACATGGCCCAACGAAACGTTGTAATTACAGGTTGTTCATCAGGAATTGGTTTAGATACAGCCGTATTTCTTGCCAAGAATGAGAGTAAAAAGTATAAAGTATACGCTTGTATGCGTAATCTTGCAAAGAAAGGACCTTTGGTTGAAAAAGCTGGTGATAGTCTTGACAAGACATTATTTATCTTGGAGATGGACGTGAAAAGTGAAACTTCAGTGAACAAAGCCATTAAGCATGTCTTAGATGTTGATGGAAGAGTCGATGTTCTTAGTAAGTTATTTATATTTGTTACCTGTAAAATGATGAAACCCTATTAATCATACACACATACATGCATTCAGAATAGGGAGTTATATCGTTGACTAATGTCCATGTTGATTCATGAGTTACAAGATCCTATATTATGCGTATTGTTATAAAGTTCAGCAATAATTTGCTACATTGTTTGCATGCTGAGCTGGAGGAACCTCCACAGATATGTTCGAACGGGTGTTGTCGAAAAATTTAAAAAATGCGTTGCGTGGGTGGCTGAAAAGCACAATTTTATTTAAAAGACTTTTCAAGTAATTCTTACAGTGTTTATGTTTGCCTTTTATATGCATTTATGTGTATGTCTTTGTGCGATTAATATTAAGAATAAATACTGCAAATTAGCCTGAATGTTTTAATGTCATTTCCATCACTTTTTTTTATCTAGTCAACAATGCTGGTATTGGTTTAATGGGTGCTTTGGAACATCAGAGTATGGAAACTATAAGAAATATATATGAAACCAATTACACTGGTGTGGTGCATGGTATCAGGGCAGTGTTACCCTCAATGAAGAAAAGGAAAAGTGGTCGTATAATCACTGTTAGCTCTGTTGGTGGTTTAATTGGTATGCCAATGAATGCTGTTTACTGCTCCACCAAATTTGCTGTTTGGGGTCTTAGTGAAGCCTTAGCTCCTGAATTAAATGAATATAACATAAAGTAAGGTTTTTTGTTTTCATCCTTTTTATCAATCTCATGTTTTCTTTATCCAAAGCACATCATTTGTTGTTTTTCCAGTAGTAAACACTAAATTCCATTCTAAAGATATCTGCAAGTGTATACTTTATAAGTCAGCTAGCCCTTGAATTTAGTATAATGTCACTGTACCTGTTGTTACACAACATTCATGATGTATCATTCAACATTGCAATTATGTTTACACTGTTTAGCATATCATTGATCGAGCCAGGTCCAGTAGTCACAGAATTTTTAAATGCTGTTGATTCAAAAGGATTTGGTGGTGCACAGGAAGGAGACGACATTACAAAGTCCTTGATTGATAAGCTTGGTCAAATGTTTAAAGCCATTGCTGCAGTGTCTCAAAGTGGAGAGGATATTGCAAAATATATCCTGCAAGCTATGGAGGATGAGTCTCCACATTTTCATTATATCACCAATGAGTCTTATGTAGAAATGGCAAAGAAGAAATTTATTGATGTAACTGGTGACAAAATCGCTAATTCAAGCTTCGATGATTTCTTTTCTGGCAAATAGAAACAATGATAGCTTTTAATGTGTGTAGTGAATTATATTTTCACTGTTTTGTATGAATGAAAAGCTCAATTATACCCCTCTTATTAGTAAAAGTATGTTTCTTGTGTTGGCTGAATTTTTGAAAAGTAATAAGCCAAACTTTGAGCAGTGATTAAGCAATCTAAACGTGGGTAAATAAAGTTATCTATCTATCTATCAATGCCAAAAACATCAGCAAACAAATTTTCAACTAAATCATTTTGACTATTTTCACAGTATTTTTATGTAATGCATTATCTAAAAATACCACAGAAGCTGAGTAGGTAGGTCCACGGAAAATAGGAAAATCTAAGCCTTCCTACTGTAGCCCAATACGTCAGTTTAGATAAAACATTGTCATATGATTTAGAACACGATATAGTATATACAACATAGTGTGAGTTATCGGAATGCAAAATGCGAAGTATACAATTAAGAGAAGAAAAGTAAATTGGTGTTAGTTGAATTAGTTTGTCAAGCACGCGAGAACTTACCGTCTCGCCATAGGCGATCCAGAAATCTGTTTTCGCGTGCTTGACAAACATTGCAATGATTGCATATAAATCAAATAATCTATTTACTATTCACTTCCACAGTCTGATTTCCAACTTTAGATCCCCCATGTAGTGTAATGAGTAGTGTAATGCAAACTGCTCATGTGCATTAGTGTAATGCAAACTGCGCACGTGCATTCGGCGTTAATTGCTGAGCTACCAACTCAGATTGCGCGCACATTGCGAGGAAATGTTTTGTCACAAATATTCAACATGTTGCATAGCCGAACAGACAGCACACGTGACGAAACCACTAAAAATGACATGTGCACCACGCACTTGAGGAAACAGCTCACGCAAAATGTACGCCAAGAGCTTCAGCTCAGCCTATAGCTCTTGTGTTCGCCGGGCTTAAGATATTCACATATTTGAAGCACATAAAAAGCGTGAAAAGGTAATTATTTTTGAAGTTACGTTTGGCCGGTATGATTGCGATTTCAAATCTTGACAAACTAATAATTTTTGCCTTCAATACAGAACATAAAAAACAAATAATTTGCTTGCACTTCGCAAGATGTCCATTACATGTTTTTGGATGTAGATCCTCCAGGTTAGTAGAGTCCTGACTCCTGAGAAGGACTGTTGATGTCGATGTAGACTGTCGTTTCGACAACCTTAGCAGAAGTCATCTTTAGTGTACAGTGCCGCTAAGGTTATCGAAACGTAAGTCAACAGTTCTTCTCAGGATTCTACCAACCTAGACTTCTACATCTACAATCATGTAACGATACTCCTGGGTTCAAACCATTTACTTTATGTCTATTATGTCTTAAACCAAAATATTATATTAAGTACATGCTACATCGCATTCCTTATTTTTCTTAATCATGTGAAATATACCGACTGTCTATGGGGTGCCATATCCGCCAAAATTACACTATATTCAATTATTCAGCACATTTTTTATCATTATTCAGCCTTATTTCAATTATTCAGCCTTATTTCAATTATTCAGCACTTATTTTTACTATCCAGCAGTCTGGCACTAGCGCTTCTTTTATGTTGTTTTGTTTTGGCTACATGTGCTTTGAAACAATAAAATGATAAAAAATGTGCTGAATAATTGAAATAAGGGGAATAATGATAAAAATGTGCTGAATAATTGAAATAAAGCTGAATAATGATAAAAAATGTGCTGAATAATTGAATATGGTGTAATTTTGGCGGATATGGCACCCCATAACTGTCCACATAAATGCGTTTTAATTGGTTCCCACAAGCTGTTACTGCCAACTTTCGAAAGTTGAAGGAAGGGGTTCCCCAAAATTTATTATTGCTATTAGAATGTAGTATAACTTTGGGGGAATTCCCTATTGTATAACTGGGGAATGTAAGTGTAGGTGTTAAAATATACTGATGTTTGACAATGAAACATCACATACCATGATGCGAGCAAACATTATTCTATTTCAAACGTTCTATTTAATGCAATCTATAATACACATAAAGAAAATGAGCCGTGATCACCTTGCTTTCTACATGAAAATCTATTTACACAATTATCGATAAAAGCTACAGTTATTAAAACAATATCTTTAAGCTCTGAAGCCAAAGACTGGAATTTGTTGCATCTCCATGTTTTATAATTTGTTGGTTGTACTCTGGCTATTTTGAATGCTTTTATTTTTATAGAAATGCCATTCGTTTGACTATATTGGTCTATCCTGTAAATTTTTACGTAAGGCAACCAAATTAAAGGGATAATTTCCACTTTTTCTTTCTTTGATATGTTCTGCTTTATTTTGTTCGCCATCTTTTTTTATAACTATGCATAGATCGACTCACATTTTTCTAGAAGCCGTCGTTTACAAATGATTTTTGTGGCTGCGATTTTTGATTTAGTGTAACTTTTGTATTCGTTGAAAATGCATTCAGCAAAAATTGCTAAATTTTTCTATATCTGCACGAACAAACCAATCATCATTTTTGTTCAACCAATCATATTGCCATACAATTTCATCAATGTTATCATACAATTTTCATATTACCCATGCAGACATCACAGCAGCAATGTATGATGGTACTGAGCCGAATGCATACTGTTTGAATGTGAAATACGATGACGTTTCGACGATATAGACTATAATGGACGTCCCACATCAAAGCATGATGGTTTAAAGACTCAATAGGAAGTTGTGTAAGACTGTAAGTTAAGATTATATACGTTTACACTTTACTTAGCGAGCTCATTTTTATTGTGTAAATCTTAATTAATTAGTATGCCAAAAATACTGTGAAGTGTAAAAACACGACATATTAGGATTTCTAAAGTCGTGTTTCTTATAATTGATAGTATAGGTCTTTACAATATTAGAAAATATACAACGAAATATTCAATATTTGCAATGTCATTTTGAAACTATGAAAGCATTATAAATCTGAATACTGTATCCGTGATGCTAGTCCAATCACGAAATTGTGTTGCATTTTAATCTTTGCGCTTCGCAAAACTATTAATATTAGCTTATGAAATATTTCACAGGTAGTTTTATGTTTCAAATTATTGCGACTTTGTAATCAGCTATTCGATAAACTAAATTGTAATCATCACAGATTTCAAAGAGTGCGAGATAACAATGATGTATTCACGATTTAATTGATATGACGATAAGATGGGCCAGTTGTTATTGATTTGCATTCACGCATGAAGGGAAAGTCCCTGATCTCTATAAAAAAGGGGGTTTCCCAAAAAATAGCAACGTTGAAAATTTTGAAATTCAAGTAAGCTGGGGAGGGACTTCCCTTTCTTTGTTAAATAAAGGTCTTGCGTTTAATGCAATAATATTTATTGCAATAAAAGAATACAGGGTTCATATATTTTATTATTCTAATAAAATTAAATCACAAACAATGAAGAAACGATATTGATCTTTGAGTCTTTGCACATGCACCATTAGTGTGCACTCTCACACTTTCTGAAAGCTGAAGGGACCAGAATATTACTGTGATATTGCACTCTATTTTTTATCATTTTGCTGTTATATGCTTTATATACGTTCAAATTTTGAAACTTGTTAAGACAAATTTATCATCCAGCATTCTTCGTATATGTTTGTCAATTTGACACAAATTATGTTATATACCATGGGCTTTCCCAGCTTCGCACGTTTTTATCCTTCTAGCCCCTCTGAGACATCGAATAAAATTTTAATGTTAAAGAAATAGATGTACGTAACAAGTAAAGAAAAAATGTAAAATTTTCATCCCCATCAACAATTCAAACGCAAAAACGATAATGCTCACGCTCATTGAAGCATTTTTGGATTAAAAAATGTGGGTCGTCTAAAAGAAAATCGAAAATTCATCAACCGGCGAATATCCATGTCTGCGTTTAAGCATAGTCAATTTTATAATGATATTGAATTTTGCAAGTTTCAGAACCTAAAGAGAATCTTGCGATTCAACTGAATCATGTCAGCGTGAGGATGAAATGTTTCTTTTTATATGGCAAGAAATAACGAGGTGAAATGCCAATGTTTCTTTTTATATGGCAAGAAATAACGAGGTGAAATGCCAATGTTTCTTTTATATGGCAAGAAATAACGAGGTGAAATGCCAATGTTTCTTTTTATATGGCAAGAAATAACGAGGTGAAATGCCAATGTTTCTTTTTATATGGCAAGAAATAACGAGGTGAAATGCCAATGTTTCTTTTCACATGGCAAGAAATAACGAGGTGAAATGCCAATGTTTCTTTTTATATGGCAAGAAATAACGAGGTGAAATGCCAATGTTTCTTTTCACATGGCAAGAAATAACGAGGTGAAATGCCAATGTTTCTTTTTATATGGCAAGAAATAACGAGGTGAAATGCCAATGTTTCTTTTTATATGGCAAGAAATAACGAGGTGAAATGCCAATGTTTCTTTTCACATGGCAAGAAATAACGAGGTGAAATGCCAATGTTTCTTTATATGGCAAGAAATAACGAGGTGAAATGCCAATGTTTCTTTTTATATGGCAAGAAATAACGAGGTGAAATGCCAATGTTTCTTTCACATGGCAAGAAATAACGAGGTGAAATGCCAATGTTTCTTTTTATATGGCAAGAAATAACGAGGTGAAATGCCAATGTTTCTTTTACATGGCAAGAAATAACGAGGTGAAATGCCAATGTTTCTTTATATGGCAAGAAATAACGAGGTGAAATGCCAATGTTTCTTTATATGGCAAGAAATAACGAGGTGAAATGCCAATGTTTCTTTTCACATGGCAAGAAATAACGAGGTGAAATGCCAATGTTTCTTTTATATGGCAAAAATAACGAGGTGAAATGCCAATGTTTCTTTATATGGCAAGAAATAACGAGGTGAAATGCCAATGTTTCTTTTTATATGGCAAGAAATAACGAGGTGAAATGCCAATGTTTCTTTTCACATGGCAAGAAATAACGAGGTGAAATGCCAATGTTTCTTTTTATATGGCAAGAAATAACGAGGTGAAATGCCAATGTTTCTTTTTATATGGCAAGAAATAACGAGGTGAAATGCCAATGTTTCTTTTTATATGGCAAGAAATAA